AATTATATAAATGAATATAATAAGTAACTATAAGGTATTCTCAACATATAGCAAATTATTTCTAAGTTATCCCTAAGGTATCTCTTCTATTCTCACTCTCTTATACTCTCTTCGCATTCGTTAATAACGCTCTTTTATATAATAGTATTTTTATATTTTATTAACGACTATCTAGCGTCCTTACGCTTTTAACTTTTATATCGTTTATTATTATATCTAAATTAATATTTCTCCCGAATTGGCGGTAATTAGAAATATTAGTTATTATAATTTATATTTATAGCGGTAAGTATTAATACGTTAATAGACTTATATATAAGTACCTTTTATTCTAGATTATATAATAGCGATAAGTTAATTATAACGAGAATATAAAGAATATAGATAATTTTTATAATTCTATAAATTAAATAACTTATAAGCCTAGTTTATAGATACGCTAGAAATATCTATATGATACTAGGCAACTTATAAGCCTAATTTATAGGTATACTGAAAATGTTTATGCGATATAATAACCTAAATAATTAATCTCGCATTATAAATAGATTAGCTTTTCTTCTCTTTTTTATTCACTTGAAAATAGATATATTCTTTTATATTATTAGCGAGAATTAAGTTAACGAATTATTTTCTATATTAGCTCTCTCTCTAGTATATCGCCTATCTAATAATACTATATTCCTATTATATATCCCTTTTCGTCCCTTTATTCTCAGCGCGCCTATATTTAAAGCTTAAAGAGCCTTTTAATATATAATAAATTAATATTATAAATAGAAGAGATATATTAATTATAACGCGATTAGATTATAAATAAAATTCTATCTAGCGAAGATAATATAATATAATTAAAATACGTAATTTATCTACGCTTTTATTATATATACTTTAATATTATTAATTACTTAATCTAGTAGATATAAGAAGTATATAAATATTATTAGATATATATCGCTTCTTAATTCTAGTATATCGCTCTATAAGTATTTTATTAATAAAAGATTACTATCTAGAGATTAGGTAAATATTATAAAACGTATAGAGGAATGAAATAAATAAGATTAAAGGGATACGGAGAGGGTAACTGCTTTTACCTATATAATGTATTTTATAAATAATAGCAAGTATTAATATATGAGATATATATATAAATTAGTATCGACTAGATTCGGTTTATTATATGAAATAAAAAGTGATACTTAGTTTAAATAATTCGATACCTGCGGAGATAGAATTTAAAGATCTTTAATAGATTTTAAATAAATCTTTAATAGATCTCTAATAGATCTTTAATAGATTTTTGAGTTATATGAGATAAGTCAATAACTATCACTTAAATATAAAGTTATATAAATCATAGAGTTAAATAAAATGAAGAGTTATTCGAGACGAGTTATTTAGCTTAATAGAAGGTTTTTATAAATAGTCAATTCGACTCTCTAATCGTAAAGATATATGTTATACAAAATAGTGTATTAACTAGCCGAGGATTTGCCTGTTATAACTAAATAGTAGGGACGATCGATATCTAAAACCAGTCATCTACGCTATATGCACTATCTATAGATATATCATCTTTCGTACTACCGACCCCTATAAGGTATATAACATAGTTTATAAACTTTAAATAAATAGTAAATATAAGATATATAAGCTAAAGAAGACGCTATATAATTTAAAGTAATTCTTAAAAATTTAATATAATATTCTTTTTATATATCTAAAAAAATTAAGCTTTAAGTCTATTATAATTAATTTCTTAATCTTTATTAATAATATTATAATTATTATAATTTATATAAATAATATTTTTTTAATTAATCTCGATAAAGTAGAAATTTAGAGTATTAAAGATAAGTTTAATAGTTATTTCGAAATAATTAATTTAAAATTATATATCTATTATCTAGATATAACTATTATTAAAAATTATATTAATTATATTATTTAACTTAATTAGATAAAATATATTAAAAAGTTTTTTATTAAATATAATATATAAGAATTTAAAGATATATCTATTTCTATAGATATCGAAAGATATTAGATATTCGAAGAGAATTTTTAAATCTTTAAAGTCTCTCGCATTAAGTATTAATTAATAATAGAGTTATTAATATATATAATACTTAATATAAGATTAAATATTATATTCGCGATTTTAATAATATCTCGATATAGCTTAAACTCTAACGAAGTTTATTAAAAAGCGATTAAGCGAATTTTTCGTTATTTTAAATAAATTATCGACTATTAACTCGTTTTTAGAGAAGATCTAAAATCTCTAAGCGGCTATATCGATATCGATTAAATCGATAATTAAGATATTTATTACTTTATATCTAGATATATATTTAATATTAATAATAAAATTATTAATTAATTATTAAAGTAATAATTTATTATAATACTCTTAATTTATAAGATTAAATATATTAATTAAATATAAATTATTAAAGAAGTAATTTAATTACGCGATTTATTAGATTAGCTTAATTTTAATAATAAATAAATATAAATAATTATTATTTTTTATAATAATTAAGACGTTATAGTATTAGTTAAAAACTCTTAATTTTATATCTATATTAAATATATTAATATTTAATATTATTATATATAAAAATAAGTTATCGCTAAGAATATCGCTTTAGATTATATTTCTATTAATTATTAAATAGTTAACGATCTTATTAAAGCCCTCTATAAGAATAAGTTTAAAAGATTTTATTAACTTATTAAGTTAAAATATCGTTTATAATTTTATTATAAAGAAATTATCTACTTTAGAGAAGCTATTTTATTAATCTTTATATTATAAATAATCGATTTAAGTCGCTCGTCGAGTCGCTATATTAAGCTTAATACTTTATAAACTCGCTATTTTATATCGAAATAGCTATTTCTTTAGCGCTATTATCGTTATCGTTATTAAAACTTCTAAAACTCTTTTAAAGAATCTATATCTATTTATTACTAATATCTTAAATATTATATCTTTAAAATATCGCTATTATAACTATTATTATTAAAAATTAATTATTTAAAATAATTCTTATAGAGATTTTATAGCCGGCGATATATAGCTAGAAGAATTTCTTCTAATTATTTTATTTAGTTACTTCTATAAATATTCTTCGATCTTAAATTAATTAATTTTTAATATATATTAAATAATCTAAAAATAAAATTTTTAAAAAACCGCTTTTTAATAAAAAGTGAAATTTAAGTTATATTTAGATAGGGGCCATAGTTTAATATAATCGTTTTTAGATTTTAACTTTTTACTCTATCTATTCTATTTTAAACGTCGCGAACTTTAAATCTCGCGTTTTTTAATTTTATTTATATAGAGGGGATAAGAGTATAAGAGAGTAAAAGGGATATATTTTTACGCTAGCTACCCGGCACTAACTTATCTTATCTACTCGATTTTAACACCGTTAGTATTAAACTTCGTATTTATTAGATTTCGCTTATAAAAGAATATATGCGAAGGGGAGTATTGAAATTCGGATTACGTGACTCTTGGCGTCTTGGCGGTTATGTGACTACGTCACGTGACACGCCTTAGTACGCCCGTGTCAAGTCGCTCTTTCCTTTTATAGAACTCTATAGTTAATACAACTAAGTATCCTACCTTTATATTTTAATAGAGTCTCTTCGATAGAAGCCCTCGAAGAATTTTTAAAGAGTTTTCGAAGAATTAGAGAAATTTTAGAAGATCTCTCTTTAAATATATTAGATAAATTATAATATCTCTTTCGATTCTTAATAAAATATAACGTCTCTCTCTTAATTCTCAAAGTTAAATATCTTAAAATTCTCTAAAAACTCTTCGAGAGTTTCTATTAAGAGACTATTAAAATAAACTTAAAATTAATTAAATATTATTAAAATAATTAAATTTCGAGTTTACTTTAATAGCCCCTCGATAGAAACTCTCGAAGAGCTCTTAAAGAGTCTTCGAAGGGTTCGAAGGATTTTAGAGAATCTCTCTAAGAATTAAATAGTTAAAAATTAGTACTCGGCAAGCTTTTTACTATTAAAAAGTCTACGTTTTAATATATATTAATTAAGAATATAGAGGTAATAGAGACTACTCGCTATCGAAATTTAAAATATAGTTAAAAGATCGAGTAACTTATAATATATAATTAGTATTCTAGTTTATTAAAACGTAGATCTTTTAAGAGTCTCTATAATAATTATATATTTTTAAAATATATTAATATATATTACTCTATCTCTTAATAAATAAATATAAGTTTAAAATAGTACTAGTAGATACTTAAAAATATATTAAATATATATACGATTTCGTTCGATAATTATATAATCTCGCTAAGTAAGAATCGAATATAGAATAATTAAAAAATTCTTTCTCGTTAGAGATAATTATCTTTCTACCTACTATTTAATAGTCTTAAAGCTAATATATCTACTATTACTATATATACTTTAATTATTATTAATACTTCTATTATTCTCGTCGTTATCTTATCTTCTATTATAATAAGAAGAATAATATTAAATAATAGTAAGAATAATACTTATAGCTATCTCTTTAAATAGAGAGTTATTTATAATTAAAATATAGCTATTATAGTTATAAAATATCGCTATTATAATTATAAATATTTATTATTTCTATATACTTAGCGTATATTAAATATTAAATTATAGATTAATCTATAATTTATATACTTTTAATACGTAATATAATATAATAAGTAAAAATATAATTATCGAACGTAATCGTATATATATAGTACGCTAATTTGAAAATATGTTGGCATATTTTGAAAATATGTGGTTACCGAAGGGGCCCTAAGTATAAAAATGGAGTCACATACACACACACACTATTCTTGATGGGGTGTGTGCGATTTTCTCAGCGCCAAGGATTCCGGACCTTTGTGCATACGCTAAAACTCCGGCAAATACTTCTCGCACGTTGTGCAATGAGGCTTGAGTCAACAAAAGTAGAACCAATTATGTCTGATGCAGATCTCGAAGAGGTACGAATTCACTCGGGAGTAGATGGGCTGTGGTACACATTTCTGACTTTCTAGTAGATAAGGAAAGGGCGCCTTGCGCAACTTCAACAGCAGCAACAGGGCGGAGCGTCTGGGGGAGGGGGTGGGGAAGATCAGCGGAAGTGCGCCGAGTCCACTGATTCTCTGCACAGATGAACAGGCCCAGCTGAAGTACTACCATAGACAGCAAGAAGCTGACGCTCGCACATCGATTCTCTCTCAAGTCCTCTCACCCGAAGCCGCTGATCGCCTCGGCCGCATTCGCCTTGTCAAAGAGTCTCGAGCCACAGATGTGGAGAATAGACTTATCATGCTCGCGAGGTCGGGACAACTTAGAAACAAAGTAACGGAAGAACAATTGAAGGAGTTGTTAGGCGCGATGACGGAGAATGCAGAGAAGGGTGGAGGAGGTGGCGGGGGAAGAGTTGTAATTACCAGAAGGAAAGACTGGGACGACGATGACGATCTGTTGGATCTCTAGCTGCAGAGGCAGACACGTCTATAGTGGACTTAAAGTGCGTCAAAGGCGTTAGGGGCATATACAGGCATGGATCACGGATTGATAGCGAATGAAGCCATATGGTAGCAGCACAGGTTTGTAAGGATAGTACTGCATGGCGCTAATCTGCCCTCAAGCCACCCATCATATCTCTCTTCTCTCTTGCGACCCCTTTGTGCTCTCTGAGCGACCTCCTTGTGTCTCTCAAGTCTGGCGGTCTCTTGATTCCCAACTCATTTCTAAGGTCGTCTACATCTCTTTCCAGCTCTTCTTCCCAGTACACATTAATTATGTCTTTGCTCCTCAACCCGTTGCTGACTGCCCAAGGGAGGTAGGTATTCCAAAACCTTATGCGTTCGGCCGGCTTCATTCTCGTGATAGCAAAGACGCTGAGGCCTGTCATAGGCAAGAGGGTATTGGCAAATTCGAATGCCTTGAGCGCCACTTCGCCTTCAACGAAGACAGGCAAGCCAGTGAGAGCATGATAAAAGTCATGACACTCGCGATACCTTTGCATGACGTATGCGCATTCTTCGTCGTCGATATACTTGACGCTGTTCCTGGTGTCTGGGCTAACACCCTCTCGATCCAGCCAGCTAACATACGCGCGCCCTACGCCGTTCTCCGGCAAAGCACGCAGCTTCGTCACTGACATGGTTTTAGATGTTATCCTCGGGCGGTCACGAAGGATTCGTCTGCCGGTTGGGTTGGAGAGCATTGCGTCTCGAAGACGGTAAATAAAGAAGGGTGTCGCAGTCGTTTCTCCGAGTGCCGCGATCAAGTCTTCGTGTAGGATCAGCGTCTACTAGTATGGAGCTGGTATAGCGAACATACCTCCGCGTCGGGGATTCATTAGAGACATCACTGCTGAACCTGCTGCAAGCGTGACTCGTTCAAAGGCGTTGAGAGGGACGTGACCTTCATATCTTGGCGGTGGTCTATTCAGCACCGAGAATGGTCTTGAAGAGCGCGCAATTGTGACTCGGATGAGGGCGGGAAGGGCGAAGAGCTTTCTCGAAGCCATTTGGAGCGTCTTGAAAGATTGTTGGACTGCATTTTATCAATGAGTGTGTAGTGGAAATGAACGTTCCCTCATTTACCTCACAGACGTTGCCAAGCAAGCCAGCGGGATCTTGCCGCTTATAAGTAGATACGTTACAATCGCGTCAGACATCTACCGTATGTGTGCTCGTTGCCTTAATAATGAAGGAGCGAGCAATTATTCTACGAGTACTCCGTAGTTACCAAAACTACTTTCGCAGTGCAGTTAGAGCGGAGTTCTATTGAGGGGAATGTTTCGGAACAAAGGTAACGAGCACTATGGCGAGGAGAGGATGTGACTCGGGCGGCTAAAGTAATCTGACATGTGCCCTGCAGCCCTGGAAACCGAAAGTCTGAGCTCCACCATTTTTAGGACTACTGGAAAATTACCCCTGAAGATTAAGGCTCTGCTGCTCTCCATGTGTGCTTTAGGACTTGGCCTTCGATCGGAAACGCAAGCACAGGCTTGCCGCCCCTTTTATTAATGTGACGTGTTTGCATTTGCGACTTCGGTGACATGCAGTAAGCCATTTGTTGAAACAAAAGATGTAGAGTACGTACGTAGTAGTAAATCATGGCGTGCATGCGGACTTGCGGACCCGGGAGTTGATCGATGGCTTTAACGGCTTTTGGAAAGGCTGCTTTTCCCAGGAAATCATACGGCTGATCTCTTCCATCACCATCGCTCCTCACCCTCGCCCTCCTCCTCTCACCACATCCACATCGTCCTCCTCCTCACACGAATAATACTTGGTCTATAATACTTGAAAAACCGTCATGTCGAAGAGGTGACACTTGTAGCTCTGTCCTGCCCTCTCCCATCTTCTCCCCATACTGGTACCCTCGCCGCCTGGCCAACTATGGATGTGACGACGATTGCATGAACACCCTTTTATTTTAATATTGACCTTGGAACAAGCCTTACCACATCCTAAACTCACGAACAGTCGCCAAGACTCATCGAATTCAGGTGCAAGCATCGCATGCGACACCTTCGGCCGAGTATAGAGCGAGAGAGCTGCTCGCTTACTCTTTCCGCATGACACTGTTCCCCGGAAGACGCTAGTCGAAGGGGCGTAGAGTCAACTTGAAGATATCCTGCAGACTGTTGTCGAATACCTTGAATCAACATGGCTACCGTTGCAATGGCACCGGAGCTGCTAGCCCAGCAGTCACAATCCGAGGAGACCCTCAGTACGCTTCCCGATCCTCGAAGCCCTCTTACTTCTCCAGAGCTGTCGAGGAGCAATTCAGTATCGCCACATCACCCAGAGCTGAGCAATGAGGTTGCTGCGCTAAGTAACAAGCTCATACACGCCATAAACCACCAAACAGATCTTGAGGATAGCCTCAATGCGACGCGGCATGGATTGGACTCAGCCCAAGAGCGTGTACGACAGCTTGAACCTTTGGTCCAAGAACACAAATCCTTAGTAGCTAATGGAATTCTCGTCCGGCAAACTGATGTGGAGGCCGAGATTCTGAGGCTAAAGACCAGTTTGGCAGATGAGAGAAGGCAAAGAGCGAAAGCTGAAAACGACAAGATGGGTATCGAACAGGAATTGGAGAGTTTGACGACTGAGTTATTCGAGGAAGCCAACAAGGTAGGCTAGGGCTCCCTGTTGCTCGAATGCACCATTACTGAGATCGGATAGATGGTTTCAGCTGCACGAAAAGACGCTCGTAAAGAGAGAGAGCCCCTCGAGCGACGAAATGAACAGCTCCAAGCCCAATTGAACGATGCCGAGCTCCTTCTTGCGTCACATCAAGAACAGCTCGCGGAATTGAAGATCTCCATGCAGGATATGACGGTCCATCGCACTGATTTGGAGGCTAGCACCAACGCCTCAACTGCACCATCGACTCCGGCACCCGACAACCAAGATCAAATGAGTAAAGTCTTCGATGCCCTGAACCTCTCGCCTACCAACCCGGGAAGAGACGAGATCCCGCCAGCGCCTCCCATGAGTTTTACGCATCTATTACAACCTGTCCTACGACTGGACCTGCAAGCATACGAGGACTTCCATGCACTCCTCGCAATGTCTCGGAAATCTCAGCCTTCAAGCCGTGTCACGAGCGGCAACTATGGTAGTCTGAACGGGCTTGGCCTAGGCAATCTGACCAACCGCGAGCAGTCTCAAGTTCCCGACCGTATGCCATCGAATGGCTCCACATCATCACTCTCTGCCTCCAATATCCACCACTCTTCACCGAGCACTCCAAACCTTCCGGCGTCTACCAACTCCAGCTTCTCTTCTCGTGATGCACCAGTCAGTGGGACGCCACTCAAAGAGACCTCGTTCTATAAGCGTGCGCTTACGGAAGATATTGAGCCTACGCTACGTCTGGACCTATCGCCTGGGTTGTCTTGGCTTGCTAGACGAACCGTTATCAATAGCATGTGTGAAGGGAAACTTATAGTCGAACCAACTCCACCAGCGGCAAGACTATATCATCCTCCGTGTGCTCTCTGTGGGGAACAAGGGCGAGGCGAAAAGCAAGCCAGAACGCATCGTTTCCGGACTAGCGAAAGCGAAAGTGCGCAACGTTATCCTTTGTGCAAGTATTGCCTCACCCGCGTGCGGGCAACATGCGACTTCCTCGGCTTTTTGAGAATGGTAAAGGACGGTTATTGGCGAACAGACGGAGCGGAAGCAGAAGCCATTGCCTGGGAAGAGAGTGTTCGACTCCGAGAGCGGATGTTTTGGTCGAGGATTGGTGGTGGTGTCGTACCGGCCTTTTTGCGTGCCCGGGAAGATACGCCCCGGAGCTCTACAGAAGACGAGAAGCCAAGTCCTAATTTTGCGGATTCGCAAACCAGTTTGAGCAGTCACGATACCAAACTGGAGAAATCATCACAGCCGGTGCAGGAGACGACACTTGAGCAGTCGTTACCCGCGCTGGCGGACACCAAGCCCGCTTCTCCCCCATCTTGGGTACAGAATCACAAGTCGGAGCATGCCATACCGCCGCCCAAAGATATAACGCCTAGTTTGCCATTCGACGGAAATGATCCAGTACAGACAAACGGCAATCGTCCCTCTTTGAGCAGGACATCGACACGCCCACGAGGTATGAGTCGTACAGAAAGCACCGGTAGAGGATCTGTTGCGAGGAGGGCAGCAATGTTTGAACGGGGTACATCGGAAGATGGAGCTTCCAGACAGCTTCAGACGAGCCTGCAGGATTCCATCAAGAGCAGATCACCTGTCACAGGTAGATCGCCGTCTCCAGCAGTCAGACCTCAAGCATCGGAGCCGTCTGTCAGCATGTCTCAGCTTGAGAGAGGTACATGCGGTACTATCCCGGGCTCTTTCGACTTTTGAAAGGCTTGCCACACAATCCTGTTCGCTTCGCGGCACACGCGTCTCATGTTCATGAACGCTGGTAAGGTGTTTTCACGACCTACTTTTTGAGGTCTGGTTCTCTTGGATCATCGTATCGGCTTCCCAACAGAGTGGGGCCGATGTTTAAACGTTTGACGATTGACTTTCTCTTGTCAATATAGCAGCTCGGAGGCAGTGAGTTTTTGGTGTCTGGAAGACTCCCGCAGAGGGCGATAGATAAGAACCGGTTTCGTGGGTAAAAGTGCATATGCGGTGGCGAGGCATGAGCATGATGGAGCAACGAGGCATGAATGCTCTGATTGTAACTATAATCTGAAGCGTTGATGTATTTTTCATAGACGACCAAGCTGGAAATAATTACTATCCGACCTAACTAGGCTTCGACTTCGAAGTGAAGCAGTGGTAAAAGGGTTATAGCATGCACGAAGACCGCTTCAAGTCTTTACCCTGACAAAACCCTTTGCCTTGTCTTCTAGCAAGCACTCAAAATTTGCACCTGACATCGATATGTCGAAATCTCTACGCTTTGTTCTTCTCGTGGATGCGTCGAATTTGCTCCTCAATATTCATAACCTGCATTTCTTTGCCCTTGTCCAATTGCCCATCATAGCTCAAAGCCGCCCTCTTCCTCCTCGCAGCCTCCTCTTCGCTGATGACTGGCTGGCCAGTCACACCATCGAAGACGTCACTGCGTTGGGAAGCGAGGCGCTTGAGGTTGGCGGCTACATCGGAAATTGAGAGATTGGTTGTTGAAGCGCGGAGATCGGATTTTTGACGTTGCTCCTTCCAGCGAGGATCGAGGAGCTCGACTGCGAATGTGTGTCAGCATTTGTTCGTATCTATTCTGGAGAACGGATAGAGAGGGAGAATGGGAATGCGGGGACGTAAGAACCGGAGACTTACTCTTCATGTGGTGATCCAGCTCGTCATATGGAATCTGCTGCTTGCAATTTGGACATAATGCCATCTGCAAATTTTGCCTCTTTGCTTGGGCGCGTGGAACGTAATCATTCCTGATCCGCATGGGTTGGCCCGCGCCGCCTTTAGCTGCTGCCTGTGCTGCCTGAGCAGCTTCCCGGTCTTGCGTTCGTTCGGCGATGGCAAGCTCTTCTTCATCTTGGTGAGCCGGGACAGATATGGGGGCCGTGAACTGATAGTCCATGGCTTGTGGTTGTTGTGTCTCGTAAGAATTAAAAGCTGGGGGTGGCATGGCGTATGGTTGTTGTTGTTGGTAGGGCTGTTGTTGATTGTAGAAAAGGCTATAGTCTTCATCCGTGGGCATAGCTTCCTCGATGCGGCGATCGTGTGGTTGTAATGACATGGCTCCTTTTTGCTCCAAAGAGGCAGATTGAAGGTCATTGAGAGATGTGGGAGGAGGGAGGTCTGCTTGCTCGTCTGCATCTTCGAAGAGGACTGTCTCGACTACCACAAAATCGTGCCAATCGATTTGAGCATACTCCAATTTCTCCTTTTCTGCCTCTTCTTCCTTCTTCTGCTTCTGCTCTTCTTGAAATCTCACCCATTCTGCTCGCTGCCTCGCCCGCCCAAGAATGTTGAATTTATCATTTGCGTTATGTTCCAAATCAAGCATCCGAGCTTTCTTGGCTTTTTCTCCGTCGGCGCTAGCGGATTGCAACAATAGTGTATACTGATCCACCAGACGGCTGAAGAATTGGTAGAGGGAGTGTTGAGGTCGTAGAAAATCGAATTGGTAATTCCTTGTTTCTTTCTGGGATAGTGTAGTCATGAACGATCGCCCATTTTTAGCCACAAAGAGCGCGGTCAAGCGGACAACGTCAAGATCCTGCGCACTGATGTTGGGCATTCGGGCAGAGAAGTGGAAGTCTGGCGGCGCTGCTGGACCCTTGGGTTTCTCTGGTTCTTGGGCCGGGACAGCCTCACCAGCTCTACCTGCTGACACCGCTGTACCTCTTCCCTCCCTGACCTCTTCAAGCCGCCATGCGTAAAAGGGGAAGTATGCATCCTTGGCACTCAAAAAAGAGAACTTTGGGTTGTGTTTTTCCTTCTCTCGGATACGATCCTCGAAAGCGGGCCCATTTCGGGCGACGTACCCAGCGGTCTTCTCAACGATAGCTCGGATGTCTCTTGGCGGCAGGACAACTCCTGCAGGTGGTTTGCTCACTTCATCTGGAAGAGCGAGGGTTACCGGACTACCAACGGCGGTCGCTGAAGGAGCCATCTGGTGTCAGAATCCTGGATGTCACACTTCTTCTGGCAGGCTTCACCTCCTCATTCTCGGACACTTCCAAATCTACCTCACTTTCTGCGCTGCACAGTTTATGGACGCCAGGATAGCTTGCTTCCTCGGAGTGACTGCTGACCAAGTGTAGTCGTGGAGGTAGACTTTTGCTTGAGCATGGAGATAAGTGCGTTTAGAGACTAGAGGTATGGACGCGGACGATGTCACAGGCTCACAGCATCTCGGAGGTTGGAGCTAAGTTTCAAAGTTTCAACTAGCGCTTGTTCAATGCGCGGAGCTCGTAAGGGTAATTTGATTTTGGTGATTTAGGGCTGGTGCTGATCAGCTCTGTGGACGTGGCCTGAAAAACCATGTGCTTCTAAGCAAAGCATCTCTTTCCTTCCTCACTGCACATTTCGCTTCCAGCAGACTCCAATTTCTTCTCGAAGGGCAAACATGCCGGCCTTCTGATACTTTCTCACACTCCTTGAGTTCAAATTTTCACCTTTTTGTGTCTTTGCACTGAAGACAAGAGGCTAGGTAGCTCAACTTTTGATCCTTGACCTGCGCATAAAAGTTTCGCATACCACTGCGGCTTAAAGTACAAGACACTTACCTCCGCTGTTATGGCTCCAAAAAGTGCGTCCCGCACTCGCTCTGAGGATAAGCAAGTCATTCAAACCCCCAATGGCACAGCCAAGTCAGCAATAGCAAAGCCCACCGACTACAGCTCCCACGGGGTCACTGACAATGACATCTTCATGTTACCAGCCTCCGATCTGCAGCTCTTGGGCGTTCTCACAATTATTGCAGCAGTTGTGCGTCTCTTCAGAATATACCAACCAAGCAGCGTCGTTTTTGACGAGGTTCAGTAAGTTGCCAATGCGGCCCTAGACAGTCATGGATCTGGAGAGCTAATTGCAAGCGCAGCTTTGGAGGCTTTGCTTCAAAGTACATCAAAGGAAGATTTTTCATGGACGTTCACCCACCGCTGGCGAAGTTACTCTTGACACTCGCGGGCTATCTGGCTGGCTTTGATGGAGAATTTGATTTCAAGGATATCGGAAAAGATTATCTCGAGCCTGGTGTTCCATATGTGGCGATGAGATTATTGCCGGCCGTTATGGGTGTAATGACTGTTCCTATGATCTTCTTGACATTGAAGGCTGCTGGGTGTCGAACCATGACTGCTACGCTGGGTGCAGGAATGATCATCTTTGGTATGACTATTCAACGGCACTCAATTCCCAGACGCTGATAATATTGCAAGAGAATGGGCTACTCACCCAATCCCGCCTCATCCTCCTCGATTCGCCATTGATCGTTTTCACTGCATTTACTGCTCTGGCATGGACTTGCTTCACAAATCAGCACGAACAAGGGCCTTCCAAAGCTTTTGATCCTAGCTGGTGGTTTTGGCTTGTTGCGACGGGTCTCGGGCTTGGCGCCACGGTGAGCGTGAAATGGGTAGGTCTGTTCACAATCGCTTGGGTGGGGAGCTTGACCATTGTCCAACTGTGGGTTCTGATCGGGGATGCAAAAACTGTTGCGCCGGTAAGTCTCTGCCACTACGTGGTCTTTACTCTTTGGGAAATGGCTAAAAACCCCGGGCAGAGATTGTGGTTCAAGCATTTCCTTGCCCGGGTCTTCTGTTTAATCGTCATCCCGGTAACTTTCTACGTGGCACTGTTCGGTGTTCATTTCCTCTGCCTTGTCAATCCAGGCGACGGAGACGGGTTCATGTCATCGGAATTCCAGGCCACTTTGAACTCCAAGGCAATGCAGGACGTGCCTGTGGACGTGATCATGGGCAGCCGAGTTAGCATACGCCACCACAACACTCATGGAGGATATCTGCATTCACATAATCACATGTATCCCACTGGTAGTAAACAGCAACAGATCACTCTTTATCCACACAAGGATGAGAACAACGCTTGGCTGCTTGAAAATCAGACGCAACCCCTTGGTGTGGATGGAGAAGAGGCTAAAGGCGTCAAAGCCTGGGATACGATTGACCCGGTGCCCCTTGTCGATGGAAGCATTGTTCGCCTGTATCACGTGATTACAGACCGACGGTTGCACTCACACGACGTGCGCCCTCCTGTCAGCGAGGCAGAATGGCAAAATGAAGTCTCTGCCTATGGGTACGAAGGTTTCGAAGGGGACGCTAATGATCTCTTTAGAGTTGAGATTGTTAAGTCGATGTCCGATGGCGCTTTGGCCAAAGAGCAAGTTCGCACTATCGAAACCAAGTTCAAGCTTGTCCACATCATGACTGGCTGCTCTCTGTTCTCCCACAAGGTCAAGCTGCCAGACTGGGGATTCGATCAACAGGAAGTTACTTGCGCCAAGCAAGGCACGCTTCCTAACAGTATTTGGTACGTTGAGCAAAATGAACATCCTAAGCTTGGCGCGGATGCAGAGAAGGTCAATTACAAGAACCCCGGGTTCCTAGGGAAGTTCTGGGAACTCCAAAAGGTGATGTGGACAACGAACGCTGGCCTGGTCGAATCCCACGCTTGGGACTCGAGGCCACCATCCTGGCCAATACTGCGCCGGGGTATCAATTTCTGGGGTAAGGACCATCGCCAGATCTATCTCATAGGCAACCCTATCATTTGGTGGTCGTCAACGATTGCCGTCGGTATCTATTTCGTTTTCAAAGGATTATCCATTCTCCGCTGGCAACGAGGATATCACGATTACGACAACGTCAACTTCAAGCGCTTTGATTACGAGATTGGTACTTCGGTTCTGGGCTGGGCACTTCACTACTTCCCATTCTATCTGATGCAACGTCAGCTCTTTCTCCACCATTACTTCCCGGCACTCTATTTCGCGATCCTTGCAACGTGTCAGGTCTACGATTTCGCAGCGAACAGGGCAGGAGGCCCATTTGGAGTCAGGGACAATCCTGCCATTGGCAGAACCGGTGTTGCGGCTTTCTTGGCCATGAGCATCGTTGCATTCACTCTTTATGCACCCCTATCGTACGGAAACCCCTGGACTCAAACCTCTTGTCAACAAGTCAAGCTCTTTGAGACTTGGGACTTTGATTGTACTGCATTCCACACCGATGTAAGCATCGATGCCCCTGATTGAAATTAATTTGAATATAGCTGACGAATTCTTTTAGCTCAATCAATACGATATCGTCCAACCCAGCAGCAATATTCAGCCGACAGACGCTCCAGCCGTGCCTCCCCCAGGTGGGCAACAACGGGCACCACCTGCAGAAAATGTCACGCCACAACCTGCGGTAGAGGAAGCCTCTGTACGCCGAGAAGAGAAAGTCGAGTACAGAGATCAGGACGGCAATCTATTAAACGAAGAAGAAGTCGCCGCCCTAGCGGGCAAAGTAGACTTCCAAACCCGATACGAAACCAGAACACGAATGATCGATGCTGACGGCAACGAGATACCCAGTTACGCTGGGACGGCGCCACCGCATCCTGCGGATCGTGAGCCTGAGACTGCAGCTGATGACCCGGAGAACGACGGGAGAGAACTTCCGGCTACAGCAAGTCCAGAGGATGATGTGGCCAAGGAAAAGTCCTTGCAAAAGAACAACGGTGGGAAGCCGGAACCAGGGAGCGAGGCCACTTCGGCCACCAAGTGAATCGTTGGGATCATGTAATGTTATGTATTCTATCAGACCTGAACGCAACATGCTTTTTGATGTCGGTGTATCAGAAAGCCTTACTGTAAAGGTACTTGTTCAGCCTGAGGGAGGTGCGCAAGCTGACCAGCTATTGCTGACAATAGCATTGGACGCGTCGCTTAAAATACTTTTTTGGATCCGTGTTGTATACGGTCGCATATATTCGTACATTGACAGATTGCAATGACATGTGTAGGCTTGGGGAACTTTCACGGCAAGTCCAGATTGTCGCCTCATTGCATATACTTTTCTACAATCAGGCTGGACAGGGCGTCTACTGCTATTCGTCCTCGGGACTTTCCAGGCTATCAAGCTGCATTAGTAGGGTGAGTAGAGTTGGTGAAGTCTTATTCAGCTTGGCCGAAGCTAAGACTCCGATGTGCTGCTGAAATACGACTAGACTTACTATTGCTCAATGTTCGCCAGGAACAGTTCGGGCCTGGGAATACCGACTTCAAGTTTGATTATTTGATGCAAAAGGCATATTCGAAAGTTTGTTCTATCGTCGGACCTCCTTAACGCCACAATCACAGGGCTGATTGTCTTTTATGTACATCCTGTCAACACCCAGAATTTCCCTCTGGTGACATTCATAGCTCAACACCTCTAGAATCCATCTTTGCCATATTTGTTAAATTGATCGTGCAGTTTCTGTTCGCTTGATTAGTCCGTATTCCTAGCCGTACGAACGTCTTCAAGCCCTCTGCTAGATTTTGATGCCCAAGTACTAACCTTTGGCATAGTCACGTTGGGCACAATGACGCTGTGTAGTGCGCTTGGCGCGTCCTTGGGCGTCTTGTTCCTGTCTCCACCCGGATGATACTGGTATTTGAAATGCTCATCGGCGCCGTCACCTTTTGCAGTGGTTTGCCAAGGCATCGTCCCTTCGGCCATGCTAACCGGGGCTTCGGAGGAAGATGAAGTGGGTTTGCGTCCGAAATGATAACCAGCCATGCCAAAGGCACCCGTCATGATTGTAAGAAGGATCTACTACGAGCATCAGCAAATGCACACCCAACCATTGAAGTCTTTGTGCGTACGTATAGTTCAGGATCCCTTTTTGCTCCCTTTTGCAACGCACTGTCTTTTCCTTTCCCACTACCGGCTTCGTTGGCTTTCGAAGCAATCTTGCCGGCGGCCTGGCCCACCTTACCAGCCATACGTCCTGCTGATGCTGACATGGTGCAAGACTTGAGCCCTTCTGGTGAATAAAATTGCTTGGTAACGGAGGTGAAGTAAGGTAGATCACCAGATAGCTATTATGTTGCAGTGGAAGTGACGTTGGGGAGGATCCTCAAAGAGCGCTAGAGTGGCCGCTAAGTCCGCTAAGTCCGCTAATTGCAGCTGCTCTTTAGTGACAGGCCGCTTGCTTGCGACGATGAAATGGCCATGATTGAATCAAAATTGAGCGGCTTACAGCTTGCTCGCATATATCATACTTTACTTTAATTGTCCTTTCAGGCTGGTCCCGTTACAGCTGTCCAATTTCTTCTGCATTGCCTTTTATTCCATCCTGTCCTTGGTCGCTTGGCTTCGAATCTTACATCCACTTCTCCTTTCCTGAATCTGTATTCCATGTGGCTCTCCTCCGCATCTGGACGTGCTCTGTGGGCCCAAATGAATTCACAAAGAACACCTTCCGATAGCTAATCCTGTCAATCACAATGGAGCCCTCTCTTTCACCCTCTTATCCCCAATCCCCACTCAACAGTTCTTTCCCGAGCCCACTGCCAACTTCTGGCCCCCAGCAAGCCCCCAGCATCATCTCGTCTCGGATGACAGATATTGCGTCGGAAGATGGTAACGAATTCCAAAAACAAGTGCAAGCCACTGGTGGTAGGCCAAATACAGCGGCTTCGGTCGATCCGAATCGCCCAGGCTCGGCCATGTCATCGCAAACTCGTCCTTCAACGCGGGCACCTCCATCTCGAAGAGGTTTGGGTTCGCCTACTACAATAGCTTCATGGAGAATGGGTGGAGCCTTTGAAGGACCCGGAGGATCCATGACGAATTCAAGCAGGCCTCCTAGTGCGACTAGTCGGACAAGTCGAACACATGTACCCTCATTGGCCTCACATGCTTTCTTTCGACCTATGAGCTCGCAACGCTTGCAAGCCCAACGAGGCTTCCGACCGGCAAGAGTAGGACCGCCATCAGCGAGCGTAGATGGATCCAGCGAGGCAGGCACCAATACCAATAGGCATAGTATGGTCTCGGATGCGACGTCACAGCAAGGCCCCCAAATTCAACACAACAACGACATACCTCCGCCGTCGAGAGGAACGGAATTTACGGAGCAAGATGATGGAGTTGCGATCAATGCGAGTCCTACCGAAAATGCAACGCTTCAAATCAAGGGCGAGAGTGAAAGACCGCTTCGAAGCCGCTCGCCGCACTCGAGACCAATGCAACTAGACATTGATAATCAAGGCAATGGATCACCAAAGTCTTTTCGAGCAAATTTCCACCGAGCTGCAATTACGCGAAAGGAAACGCAAGGCCACGAACGTCTTTCGTCGTCAAACAATTCTCCAACATTTGCAAAGAAGCTACCGGAAGCTGCTCCTAAAACTGGCATCAACTACCAATACTTTTCTGGGAATACCGTCTTTTGCTGGGGAGGAAGGTTACAGAATGCTAGAGATAGACCTATCAACCTCGCGAGCGGAATCATTGTGGTATTACCCACTATTCTTTTCCTTGTATACTCGTAAGTAGACTTTATGCCCTGACCTCTCCATGAGTTCACTAATGATGACTAAGAGGACCGTATCTCTCACAACATGTCTCACCAGCACTGCCGTTTTTTTTTGCGTATCTTTTCTTCATATGCATTTCGTCCTTTGTCCATGCATCTGTGACAGACCCTGGGGTGAGCGTTGAATGGGTCTCTTACGAAAGCTATGTCTGACAACTACAAGATATTGCCTCGAAACCTCCATCCCTTACCACCCTCCGACAAGTCTGATGACCCACTCACGTTGGGGCCACCGACAACAAAATGGACTATGATCAAGTCGGCCGGGACGCCAAATGGCGCCATGGATGTCCCCACAAAGTATTGTAAGACATGTAATATTTGGCGGCCACCGCGATGTCATCATTGCCGAATATGTGACAGCTGCATAGAAACACAGGACCATCATTGTGTGTGGATTAATAATTGTGTCGGACGAAGGAATTATCGGTATTTCTTTACCTTTGTGAGCTCAGGCACCCTCCTTGGTATTTTCCTCACCTTCGCCAGCCTCGGACACTGCTTGCGATATCAGACGGAACAAAGAACATCGTTCAGTGATTCTATCCACAAGTGGAGGATACCGTTCGCCATGTTCATATATGGCCTGCTAGCCACGCCTTATCCTGCATGCCTCTGGGGTTATCATTTATGGTTGATTGCGCGAGGGGAGACTACGAGAGAGTACCTGAACTCTCACAAGTTTGTCAAGAATGATCGCCATCGACCATTTACCCAAGTTAGCGCTTTCAAGAATTGGGTTGTTGTGCTTCTTAGGCCAAGACCGCCGACGTATCTCCGTTTCAAGCAGAAGTATGAAGAAGGAGATCAACGTTTCGGGGCTAGAAGAGGTAAGAGGCAAGCACCTCTCGCGGCAGACCAACAAGGCGGAGGAATGGAGCTGCAAGACGTTGGTGGAACGAGCCATATCGACCAGTGAAAAGCCTGGGCGAGGAGAAGGCACGTATATGCAGGGAAGAGACATCTGTATCGACACTGCAATTGCTTCACGCCCATTGTCAACTTGCTATATTTGAGCTTTGGCGATCCTTTCTGGCTTTGACTGTACTTATACTCACATTGGTTGTTGAGAGAAGAAGGAGCAAGCGGTCTGGCTATAGGAGTACCTCAATATTGGCTCAGGGAAAATGATCAAATAGAAATTAGAAAACCAATCATTAATTGAAAATGTCAGATCAATAAAGGTTGCTTGGAGCATTTAAGTTGTGGAATGCTATATGGTAGTAGTGGCACTATTGATTGGCTCAAGAGTGCTTCTTATGTTGTCTTTGCAAAATCAACCTCCAACCTCCAACAACACTTGTTACACATCACGCTTTCACTACTGATCATCATCACGTTTCTGTCGCACAAGGTCTATTTCTTCTTGTAGCTCACGTTATATGCTCAACCGTTTTGCCCGCTTCTTTACCAGTCTGTGATTGCTCCTGCCTTTGTTTATTTCCTTCGACTATCGCTTTATCGGCCGTTGTGCCATAAAGCTCCCCGCTACAATGCTTTCCTTCATTCAACAACGTCTTGGCAAGACGCCCACCCAAGCACAGACGAAGATGACGCGTCAAGAGTCTATAGAATCGGCCTTCTCCCGCGTTGCAGCTCGCAATGACTCCAAAGACCCTTCTACGACTCCCTCTCTGACTACAGCGACAAGCCTAACCGATACTTCCAGCGAACTCACAGATGGCTCCGCAAAAGCAGATGACTACAAACGAAGCTCTGCACGATCACGAGCCAGCATTGGCAGCTACAATGAGAACGTACTATCAGCCAAGCAGAGCCGCTCGGCTCGAAAGCAAGGTGCGCATGGGGGAAAGTGCACAATTTCGGGCCAAACGTTGGTTGACGGCGACGAAATTACTTCGCGTGAGAGGCTTCTGCAACAGAGTGTGCAGGCTCTGGACGAAGATTGGAAGATTGGAGCTATGCCTGGTGATAACTTGAGGCTGTCTACAAGCAATGAGGACGGCGCCAAGAGGCGGAGGTCCATGCGATTGGATATACTGGACCGAGCTTCTAGTATGATCGAGAAGACTACGACTGTGCTGGGTAAGAGGGGACGCGAGACAGTTGAGGCTGGAATGGGGACAATCCAGGCGTCGAAATCGGATAACAAGACGCCTAGCTTGAGGCCGAGGGAACCCGAAACGCCATGCTTCGAAGGACCCTCTAGGAAACGAGCTCGCTTTTTGGAGGTTGAGATTAGCAACAAGCAGTCTGCGGAGCCAGGGGAAGGAGGGTATGAAGTCACAAAAAAACCTACTAAACCATGGGTCGCCCAAGGGCTCTATGTGGGACAGCACCGGAGTGATGATGCTAGGCTTACCGAAACTAAGAATAAGGAGAAGAAAACCTCGAACAACCAGCCAGAGGCTGGTGAACGTGCAATCATGCCAATGCCAATGTGGCTTGGGGACAAAATAATAGAAACGGGTAGAGACTTCAAGCTGCCCTTCAACCTATTTTCACCCTTGCCACCGGGCCAGCCAAAACCAGACGAATGGAAGAAGACACAAAAGAGTAAGTCTACGCAGAATTTTGCCCTCAACGATGCTAACATACAGGTTCAGATGTGTTCATTGGCGACGCTGCCAACGTGTGGAAGAAAGCCAAGGATTTGGAACATTCTACATGCATCTGCACCGCAGAAGCTGGCTGTGACGATCACTGCTTCAACCGATTCATGCTCTATGAATGTGATGACAGCAACTGCAAAGTAGGCGCCGAGCATTGCACGAATCGTAGCTTCGCCGCTCTAAAGCAACGATGTAAAGTGGGAGGCAAATACAACATTGGCGTCGAGGTCATGAAAACGGCTGATCGTGGCTACGGTATACGAGCCAACCGTACATTCGAGCCCAATCAGATCATTGTCGAATACACAGGGGAAATCATCACACAAAGCGAGTGTGACGAACGCATGAACAAGCGCTATAAGGACGCCGAGGTAATACAGCCTATCTTCGTTGCATCACTCAACACTATTTATAATCTAATGCCAATCCTAGTGTTACTATCTCATGGACTTTGACCAATCCATGATACTTGACGCCACTCGAGGCTCCATCGCTCGTTTCGTCAACCACTCTTGTGCGCCTAATTGCCGCATGATCAAGTGGACTGTGGCTGGCAAACCGCGCATGGCGCTCTTTGCAGGAGACAACGGCATCATGACTGGTGAAGAATTAACATATGATTATAATTTTAATCCGTACTCTGTTAAGAACGTGCAGGAGTGCCGCTGTGGCGCGGAAGGATGCAGGCGAGTCTTGGGACCGAAGCCAAAAGAAATCCGAGAAGCGTTGAAACCTATTACGACAGGTCGAAAGAGGAAGATCCAGCAGGTAGTTGAAGATGCCGTGGAGACGGTAACCAAGAGGAGGAAGATCGCTGTCCCATCATCCGTGAAGTCTGCTTTCGCAGCAGCAAAGGTCCAAACCTCGAGGAGATTATCACAGGCAGGAGTGCTGGGATCTTCGGCTACTCAAAACCGACAGCTGGTGAAGAAAGTTTCGCAACGCTCCCTGCGGGGTCTCGAACAAGAAACAACGACTGAGCGTTTAGGAGATGGGAAAAAGAGACAGCGTACCACGATTACATATTCTCGTCGACGATCTTCTGTTGGAACTCTGACAGACACGAAAGGCGAAGACAAGATCCGACGCGGTTCATCTGCTAAGGTGGCGGAGGAAGACAAAGGGGAGAAGCCGTTCAGTAGGGGTGACAGCGTCAAAGTGAAGGTGGCCAGTATGAAAGAAGGTGTTGTCCGAACTGTTAGGAGGTCAAGCCGAGGGACACCGGCTGGAAAGACAATCCGGATTATCGGTGACGACGAGTATAAGGGTTGGCGCTGATAGTCAAAAGCTGGAGTTTAATGGATTGTGTCCCTTGCATTCTGGGTTTTCCGTGGCTTCCAGAGGCCATCTTCTTCGATTTTTTCTTCAAGGGCTCCATGATGCACGAAGGTAGGGTCGATATTCATGTCCTTATGAGGAAAAGGGGAGTCAAGTCTGGTATTCCGAAAGTCAGCATGCTGAATCTTACAATAATCATACATCGTGCCTCATTATCCATCAAGCCTTTAGTAATCTCTTCGTGACTCTTCAATCCTTTTCATCCAATTTGATCTACGCGCGTCCCTCCTGCCCAATGCTAACAACTTGCCCAACAGCTCTCACGAGTGCGTCGTTCTTGCCCAAATCGCTCCCTTCACACATCCTAATAAATCTCACCACCTCACTTCTCAGCTTACATTCCAAGTCCTCGATCCTCTCCCTCCATCCTCGTGTCTCTGACCGCGTCCAGGATGAGGGCAAACCTGGCCTGGTAGTTGGTGTCTGCAAGCCAAGCATAGCGCGGGCTTTTGCTGGGATGTATGACATGTTGGGCGACAAAGGCGAATGTGTCTCAACAGAGGAGATTGGTGGGGAACAGGATGAAGGCGAGGGTAGGTGGATCGCGGAGATATAATGAAGAGCTAGGTAAGTGGCTTGAAGTGATGACAGGAGTTGGGACGAGGCGTGGGGGAAGATGATGTGGAGAGAGCGCATGATGGTGGGAGGAACAGGGAAGTCTTGTCCAGATGCTGCTTGAAGGGGAAACTTTGGTGCAGAGTGAGTGGGATGACTTGATAGGGGACCGTTGAAGTTCGAATAGCGGCTCGGGGGTCCCGGCGGTGTTTCCCGTGGAACTCTACGTTGCCCGGCTGGGAGACATATCTGGAAGATCACCGGGCTGTCAAGTTGCAAGTTTACCTGTGGAATGCTAGCAACCGAGGCTTCGAGCTCTGTTATGATCCGATAGGTGAATTCGCTCGGCTGAAGTTGAACAGGTGCCGTAGGCCTGGGGGTATCTGCTCTGACCGGACGGGTTGTCTCTAATGGAACGCGTCTTACATTAACTGTTGACGATGGGTTCGAGCTTGGGGGTGTCTGAGTCCAGGTCTGTTTAGCCTTGATCCTTTCATATGCCTCGTCATATTTTCCGTTTAAGACGGACTCTATGCCAAGCCCAACCACTGATGCTGGGGTCGGAGGTGGTGTATGTGGGTAAGCAATCGAGAAGCCTCGATCAGGGCAGACCGACGTCGATGTTTGGAAAGTATTAATCGCAACGCGGCGACGTGGTGTACTGATCACCTGAGGCTTTGATGGGCTTGTTCTGATTGTGATTGCGTGCTTCAAATCATTAACATGGACTTCGGTAACTGTTTTCTGCATTTCTTGCAGCTTTAGGATACTCACTGCTTCTTGAATCTTGTCCTGTTCTGACAAATCAAGCCAGAGTCTAGGTTTGCTCTTTATGGGCTCAGAATGGTAAGGCCTAGCAGCAGAAACATTCGACGTGCTGTCTGACCTAAAACTAAGATCTAAGTCCTCTGCGTGCCGTTCAGCTTCATGTCTAAGCTCCCATGATCCCGTAGTCCTATGGAGGGGCCTTGACCCTGGTCTGCTTCGTGGGTCACCATAGGATAGCTGTCGGCGTGGAACCCTGCGATGTGCATGTAATGTTTGATCGGTCTTGTCAGAAGGGTTCGTGGGCGCATAGTAGATATACCCGGATGAGTTCTCGCTACGCATTGGTCTATTGAGATCGAAGCGTTGGATGCCATCTTTCGCATATCGGTCAACTTGACTGGCAACGAGCTCTCTAAATTCAAAAGGTGATCGCAGAGGCTTTAGACGGTCAAAATCAAGTTGATCCTCAGTAGCTTCTGCAGGACCCGCTCGCTTCGGCGACACTGCCTTTGCATCCGAAAGATCTAGTAATGGCTGTGACAAGCCAGTCGTGACCAAATTGTTACATGAGGACAGAGGGCTGGGTAACGGAGGTGTAATCGGGCCTTTCAACCGTTTCGCCGAGAAGATACCAGAAAATACTCGTGGATGGGGTTCGTCCGGGTCTCCAACCCTTCCGGCGGTTAGACTCTGATTTGATCTTTTCTGTGGCAAGGTCCACAAAGTATGTGGAGGTTGCGAACAGCTCCGTTCCTCCACGTTGGTCGTACTATTGTTGTGCCCAGTGCTAGTAAGTCTGCTGTTCGTGCCAGCAAGGAAATCAGGTTGAAAAAAACTTATCTCTTGTTGGCTTGTCAACAATGTAAGAGATGATTCTGAGGAAGGGCATTCTCTAGAGAGGTGCTGAACATCCATATTGGGCTGACCAGAGGAATTTGCTGATGAGAACAATGACATGGTAGGAATAAGACATCGTCGAGATATAAGAGCATGCCTCGCCCTTGACACTTGATCGAAGGGGAGTTTCGTCCCTCGAATACTATACAGACATTGTAGTCAAAAACGAGGAAGGTGGTGTGGCATCATGCAAGGTACAGAATTCAAGGAATGAACGATGGACCCACGCACCCCCTTGCAGCCAAGCTGCACCTGATTGTAGCGATGCATCTGCGCTATGCCAAATATTGGCTTTCTAGTCGACTTCCCAAGCTCCCAGGATGAAGTCTTGCAATATGGTAGTTCAAGTCTGCGGTATTGGCATTGGCCCAATTTAGCCTCAACAGACCTGACAACAGCTACAGAGGCTTCCGCAAGAATGTCAACGCGGCCACACACAGAGCCTCATAGCCTACCCTCAACGTAGGCTGCACAGTAGGCCCAAAAAACGCCGAGTGGTTAGCCGGTACGTCCTCGAAGAGTCTGTCTTCTTTTTCGGCGCGATCCCATAGTTCATGATCAACGCCTCCAAAGAACCAGAAATTGTAAGGCTTTCCTATACTTGACGCCAGGATGGAAACATCTTCACTGCCATTGGTGGGAGGCTGCTCTGAGTCGAACTCTTCTTTAAAGAATTCCGTGAAAGAGGAAGCAAGGCGGCAAGCGATGTTCTCGTTATTGACAGTGGGTGGAAATCGTGTTGTGGGCTCAATAAGCGGCTCTTTCGGCGAGTTGCTTGCTTCACATTCTGCCTTGACAATTCGTCGCATGGCAGCCAGCACTTTCCCCCTCGTGCGTGGAGAAACGGTCCTGATGTTGACTTTCAGTATGGCATGATCTGCAATTACGTTCTCCGTTGACCCAGCCTGCACACTGCCCACCGTCACCACAGCCATTTCCGATGGGTCTACCTCACGACTAACAATAGTTTGTAGACGGAGTATAACATTAGCTGCCAGTACCACTGGGTCAACGGAACGATGTGGCATAGAGCCATGACCTCCCCTACCCCTGCAAATTGGAATCAGTATGACTTCTTTAGAGCAGAAACTTAAGTTGCAGAACAAGATTGAGAATATTGTGAGTATTTGCTCTCGAGGCATGTCTTGCGACTCAACCATGGTATAGACTGGGGGGAACTGCTCCGGAAAGCGCACTTACCAGACCGTAATCTTGAAGCTATCGGCGGCGCCCATTATCACCCCTTTTCGGTTGCCTACACGCCCTGCGCGCAAAGGCAGAACATGTTGTCCAAGAACGTAATCAGGGATAGGGATTTTGTCGTACAGACCATCGTCTACCATAGCCTGGGCGCCTGCTGCTCTTTCCTCATTCGGCTGAAACAAGACGATCAAGGTGCCGCTCCAAGCATGTTTGATATGGGCCAAGTGCTCGGCCGCTGCAAGTAGGCATGTTATGTGCATGTCATGCCCACAGGCGTGCATGACGGGTTTCTCAATTCCATCGGCTATGTCCTTCATGGTGACCTTTGATGCGTAGGGTAGACCGGTCAATTCGAGGACTGGAAGGCCATCCATATCAGCGCGTAAAAGGACAGTGGGGCCTGAGCCATTCTTGAGGACGCCAACAATTCCATGCCCTCCGATTGCTTTGAAAAGTTCATATCCTGCTTTGACAGATTCGAGGTGCGAAGCTATGGTTGAGGCCGTCTCGCGTTCTTGGAGTGAAAGTTCGGGATGAGAGTGAAAGTGTTTGTAGAGTGTTTCATATCTTGTAAGATCCGGTTTGTCGGACAGCAAGCTGATGAGTGATTGCTCTGCCATTGCAATGGTGAAAAATCAAATCAAGGTGTAATTGCGTGGAAGGAAATTCAATCCGTCGTACTCCGTAAATCGTACTCTGCATGCCGGCATCGGCCCCACGCGGGACATTTCCCTCTACCTTCCCAATAAGGGCAAGATCTGCGCCTGCTTTCACTTTGCTCTCATAGTCTTATAGACCACAGACCTTTTCTCTGTTGTGCGCGGTAGTCTACCTATAAAATTGCATGCACTCGAAGGACTGCAATCTTCAGAGATGACCGCACAACATAAAGAAATCCCACACTTCATCAACATGTGCTTTTGAGTCCACAAGGGTTGAACTTGGCAGGAACTAGATGAAAAATAACGCGGTGCAACCAATTTCTTTAGATAATCCGGGAGGACATTGTCTCGACGAATGCATGTGCACCTAAACAGCTTTCCTTATTCTTTTCCGGGCCCTTCGAATCTCGATCTCTACTTCGCTGATTTCCTTTGAAATACTTGCCAATGCCGGTATGAGATCAGCGACTGCGTCTTTGAAATTGCTCTGCGAAGTCCTTAACGCTGGAGGAACTAGGATCCCAAACCAATTCAAAGGATCACGAGTCATATTCGACGCAGACTCTGCGTCTTCGGAAGGAAGTTGAGTGTTGTCCATCACGGTTGACTCCTTGGAAGTGTCGACCTCATCATCATCATCATCATCAGAACCTAGGACAGATTCCTGAGCTTTAGGTTCCTGAGTGGAGAATGAGGGTGTCGATTGACTGGTGAATCTGTGCCGGAATTAGCACCTTTTGTGCATCATACACCGAAGTATACTACAATAAGGACGCCGTACACACGAGCTGATGCTTGCATTCTATCATCGTAATGATCCTGGCCGTAGCGGACGCGGTTTGGATTTGAAAAATTGGCTTGAGCAAGTGATAGATAACCCTGTGCAGACTGAGAATGAGTCCAAAACTCGGCTAAATCGATCCTTACCCTAGAAAAATGTTGAGCCAAGGACTGCTGTAGAGTTTGGTACTGGTTTAGAAGATGGAGGTAGCGCTCTAGAAGATCGTCGAGGGAGCGGACCAATGTCTCCTTCCTTTCCACTTGCTTACTGGCGTGCACTACTGTGGATGGATGGAGGGTTTCCGCCATTATATCATTCAGCCAACCCAGAGGTCTTTAATGGAGTAATATTCGAGCAGCGTAGGAGTATTACTGAAGGTAGAGCGAAGGCTATGGAAAATGAAGTAGTAAGTTGATATCAGAGTCTGGCCGGATTTTAGCGCGATTAACGCCTAAGCCATCGTTTTCATCATGGTGGTGGAGACATCATGTTGACAGCCAACATTACTCTGGGTTAGCGAGTTGGACCACCCGGTCACAGCATCGGTATGCCCTTCCAGAGGCTGCCAATGTCGAGGCTACTGTCGTCTACTCGCCCATTGAGACCACCCAGGTCTGCCAAACCGCTAGCTGGGCCCCGACTCTTCACGCAGAATTCCCAATTACTCCTCGTATCTGGTGTCTCTCCGCGACCGCAGCTACCTTTTCTTCATCCTGCCACTGGCAGCAAAAATCCTCCTTCAGCAACACGGAATCAATTCCAGAACCAATTGTCCCGCCTCATAACCACGGAAAGAAAGCTTTATTTCAAAGATCAGTTATGGAAGGGAGCCAAATATAGCGTGTATGGCTGGGCAGGCCTGTTACTACTGAGCATCATGGCATTTGGTCTCCGAAATGAGGTCTTGGAACGTCGATTCCCGTCTCCTCCAGAATGGAGTATGATAAGTCGAATCATTTACCGCAATGCGAATGACCTGGAACATCTAGATCCCAGTGGCACCGACCCCACAGATTGGTCTAGCGCAGGCGATTGCAACCGCCGATTACTCAAGCGTCTCGAGGATCCCGCCGTAGATGGTCGAGATCTACGGCCCTTGTTACAGGAGGAAGGAGACATATATGTTGCTGGGTCTGGCAAAGCTGGACTAGACGTCTCCTCCAAGTCGGAACCCTGGAGGCGTGGTTACTACACTTGTCTTATGGGTATCGCAAAGGCATCTGAAAATAGAGAAGGCTGGGTCTGCGATACCACAAGAAATAAGACTTTCCCACCAGAATACTTGATCGGGCCTTCGAATCCACGCCCGAAGCCTGTACCTTACGGGGCGCCACCTGCTCCTCTTGAAGAAAATTGTGTTCCGGACTTTTCACCGGCCGAGAACCATTACATGAAGATTCTTACTACCCAAGGATTCAATACACGCCAGCGTCTTGACGCTGCGTTAGCTTATGCTGATTGGCTTGACTTCAAAGGCCTTTCTTCAACGGCAGAAGAGATGTACAGTTGGGGCCTCGATATCGCAATGGGGGCGCTACCAGTGGGGGTCAATAATATCATAGACCTCAAGTCTGGGGTTATCGACCAGAGAGCCACTTATATATCCTCAAATGTACTGCTTGCAACAACTTCGCTAGCCTTTCATCACGCTCGGAACAACAACCTTGCGGCGGCTCTGCCTATCTACCTGTCTGTCTTACGAGCTAGAAGACAACTCCCAGCGCTTTCATCGCAGGACCGAACAGGGTCTAATTCACTTGAGGGATCATCGATTGCCCAAGTCCTCTTGTTTTTCCAATCCATGATTGTCACACCACCATATCCCCCGGCGCCACCTACCGGCGATGAGATCGCATTCCGGACGTCAGCTGCGAAATGTGAGGAAGCTGGCGTAATGGCCCATGTTGGTGAAATCTTGTTTGCCTCATCCTCTGCGGGCTCGTCTGCTAAAGTTTCATCCGATACCGTCAGAGGGTCATTGGTTTCTTCTAGATCAGTGGCCGGTCAGTTGAAGAGTCGACAATCCGGCTTAAGCTGGACTCGTGACGCTGTAGATTTGGCTGAAGCCACCCTTACATTAGCAGACAAAGATGATGAAGAAACCCGAGACAAGTGCTCTCAATGCCTTGCGCTTGGCATGGACAATTGGTCCAAGATGGTCGCGAAGTTGCTCAAAGACGAGCGAAAAGCTAAGGCAGAAAAGCAGCCGATGGCCAGCAGCAGTCGGCTTTGGGGTAGCTCTGCAACGGTTGAAGATGAAGGGAGATGGGAGCGCGAATTCCAGGTGGTAGACGAGAGACTCGAGAACGTCCGAAGGCTACTTAGTAGAGAGGCTGACAGAAAGGAAAGCAAGAGTGGCTACTTGTTCATGTAATCGGCGCCCATCGCGGTTGCATGGCCACAGGACAAGAACATGGCGTGAGGAGTGTGATGCAGTCTGCCTACGATGGACCAGCGTTTCGGGCGATGCATAATCGCTCCATGTCAAATCGATTGATATGGCTTCCGCAAGGCTTGTGTTTTGGACATTGTTTTATGAATAATAAATCAATCTAATATCGGCGCATCTCTTCCCACAGATTGAGCGGTGATTGGTGGGCACTCTGTGCTGGCAAAGCTAGTGCAACCCGTGCATCTCACTCCGCGTCGTGCCGCCATCAACGGCTTTCTCGCCCTAACTTCGATATCGAACCGGTCTGGACTACAGTTGAACCTGAAAGTAAAAGGTCGAAGGTCAGACGGCGGCCGCTTGTCAGGGCTACCGCGCTACTCTCGCAACTGAGCGCGGAGATTTCTATAAACGGCCTTCATTGTGTGAGACTCAATAGCGCGACCCCACAAACTGGAAGATGCTTAGATTAGGCGTTCTTCAGTTGATATCTACGTGGGGACCGTATTCTTGTCTAGAGATCAGGCCATAGCGAATACATTCTTTCGGACGCAAGTCTGAACGCCGGGATGGCCGTGATTTCGGAGGCTTGGTAGATGTTGCGGCAGCCGAAAGTATGGCCAGGGGTTCTTGACGGCCCCTTTGGACTTGTTTAATGTTGCACAAGGCTTCGCGGATAGGTTACTTGTTGAGTTGTTTGTTGCGTAGGACCGACAAATAAAGGCACATTACGATCGGGGCGCAGCGCTTTGGGTGATACGAGCAGCGAATCGCGATGCTCGCTCGCTGGGGACAAGTTATTTCATAAAGGAGGAGGAAGGTGGCTTGTTATGGATTTCGAGTGCAAGATCACGTAAATTGGCAAATCAACCCGGAGTTTTCAGCGTAGTCAGCTAAATCGAGAATGATACAATGCAAACAAGATCTAGTCTATGTTTCTAAGTCAACGTCACCACCCATTCGCACGTCTCTACAACCGATCCAAAAGCCCTTGGCTTTCCAACATCAACACAATCTGATGCACCACACCCCTCACGCTCGTCTTCTCGATATCCACCACCAGATCCGCCTTCGAAGGCGCCTCATACGGATCATCCACCCCCGTAAACCCCTTGATCTCCCCGCGTCTCGCCTTCGCATACACCCCCTTTTTATCCGTCCTCTCACTGAACTCCAAACTCGTCGCCACATGCACGAGATAGAAACTCCCATGCTGGCTGACCGTCTCCCTCGCGCTCTGTCGACTTTCCTCAAAAGGTGCGATGGGCGCCGCGATGACTGCCGCGCCTGCTTTTGTGAGTTCGGCGGCCACGAAAGCGATGCGCTGGACGTTCTTGTGGCGGTCGGAACGGGAGAAGCCGAGTTCGGAGGATAACTCGCTGCGGACTGTGTCTCCCAAGAGCAAGGAAACAGGACGGCCGCCTTGCTGGTGTAATGTCACGTCCAAAGCCCGGGCTATGGCGTCTTTGCCGCTGTTCTGATAGCCGGTCAAGAAGACGGTGAAGCCTTGCTTGAACCTTGCTGGATGGGATTCTCGGAGCACGCGCACGACTTCGGGGTAGGAAAACCATTCGGGGATGTCCCTGCCTGAGCGGAGACGCGAGCGAAGCTCGGTACCGCTGATGTTGAGAGTTCGCACGCCGGAAGGGACTTCGTCATCGGGCTTGTACTCGTCGCTATCGGGAAGGTAGATCATCTGCTGGAATGGTACGACTTCTATTCCTAGTTCCTCCCTGTATTTCTCCACGGCATACTGTGCATCATACGCACCATAAAAGTCCTTGCCAGCGCTGTTCTTGCCAGGTCCGGCATGGTCACGGCCCACTATGAAGTGCGTAGCGCCGTGATTTTTGCGGATTATGGCGTGCCAGATTGCTTCTCTTGGTCCGCCCATGCGCATGGCTAATGGGAGCAAGCCGAGTACAGCCATACCGTTGGGGTAGCGCGGGAGTAGAGCTTGGTAGACACGCACCCGGGTGAAGTGGTCGATGTCGCCTGGTTTGGTTAAGCCGACAACAGGGTGGATGAGGACGTTAGCTTGGCGAGCTCGGGCAGCCCGGACGGTCAATTCTCTATGGGCTCGATGCATGGGGTTGCGAGTTTGAAAGGCAACAACGCGCGACCAGCCGAGTTTTTCAAAGTGAATTCGGAGTTCCGCTGGAGTGTAGCGCAAGGCGACGTAGTCGTAGTGATTGAGTCTGGAAATGGCATCGATCTTGCCGCCTACGTAATAATCTTGGACTGTGTTGTTCAAGTATTTGATTGCGGGATGCTCTGGGTCTCCACCGAATACTTCTTTGGCTTCCTTTTGTCTGCGTCATGTTAGAAACAGCCTGCCAAGAAGGGATTGAGCAACTGACTTGTCGGGCTTGTAGACATCATCGATGGTGATGATAGCAAGATTTCGATCATCTCGAAAATCCGTAAGCGTCACACGTACCCCTGCCCTCAGGTTGACCCTTTCAATTGTCTTTTCTGAAACGTCCAAACATATCGGCATGCTGAAAAGGCTACCGTCTGCTGTGCGCACATTTTCAACGACCCTTTGTTTTTATTAGCGGAAGATCTTCGCTCTCCGGGGCTGCATGGTGACCTGCGAATTGTAGTCCTTTTCATTGAGAAAACCTGGTGATGGTGTTAGTGGCATGATCCATACATGATCAGTCAATAAAACAGTTCTTCATTCTGTACTCCGCAGACGACATGGAGGAGTTTTTTTTGAGATTGAATTGCTTTCTCCAATTCTCCTTCATCTTCTTCTTCTTACGAGTATTGACGAGACAAATCAACTGCTAGGTCTACTCTTGGGACTTTGACACACCTTCCAACGGGGAAAATCCACCACTCATGATCAACTCTAAATCACACAATTGCCTCTCGGTAAGCACAATGGCTGGCAGCTTCTCGGCCTCTGCTGCCAGCTCGTCATGCCTTGATGCATCTCTGGCAAGCAGGTCCTTGAGGACACCGCCATGAGGTTGATTAGCCATGCCGATTATGTCCAGTAAAAGATATAAATTAGAGGTTAATGAACGTGAAAATAGCAGCGAAGATGTAGATTATATCGGAGGGTTTATGGCAACTTCAGCAACTGTGGATTATCAAATCCGGAGGACAAAGATGGGTAGGTAAGTAAAAAGACTGGGGTTTGTAATACTCTAGATTTCCTGCGATTATGTATGGAAGGTCAGATCATTTCAGGTCGGGTCTGTAGAAAAGGAAATTCGATCCAATGGCATGTTTTGTGTTGTGTGAGAAATATTGTTGAAGGGAGCGACAACGGCCTCACATATGCATAAAGATAACCGAAGCTCGGCACTCCCCTTCAACCTCTGCAGCCCCCCACATCCCACCCCCACCCCCCAAAGCCCTACCGTATCCTGCAGGATGTGCTGTTGGTGCCGTGCATGTCTACTGCACTCAGATCATGGTAGAGTGCAAATTGCGAACGATTCAACTAGATCATCTATACTCTATTCTCAAATAAGTCTATCCATGCCCGTTGCTGTGCTCATGCTCGCTACAAGCCCATCAGCTTTTGCCCTCGTAAATGCTTCTGTAATTCCTCCCAAGCGCCATGCTGAACACAAAGACCAAAAACACAAAGAGAACCCCCCGAAGAAAGCAGCGTTGGAACATCATGATTCAATCTCCAATCCGGATTCCAAAGCTTGGTGCAATGCCTCCTGCTGCTTCTTCATCTCTTGTTCTTTCAAGAATTGGGCAAACTTGGACCGTGGGTTATGAATACCGCACTCAGTCTTCTGTTGACCCTGCCACCGTCCGGCGCGCTCGCTTTCTCCTGTTTTGACCGGCTTTGTCGAATGCCAGTCACCAACACTCTTGTAGCCACGGTCCAGTAGCTCGTTGTAGGGAACATCGTTGGCCTTGATATAGTCTTGCACTTGCTCGAAAGACCAGTTTGCGAAAGGGTTCACTTTGACGAGGCCAGCTTCGTCAACTTCAATTACGTCGATGTCGCCACGCTTGCCTCCTTGACTACGCCGACGCCCTGTCAAAACAGCACCGACTTGCAGTTCCCTATAAGCACGTTGCGCAGGTTCGACCTTCGCTAGCCAATCGTATAGCTCATCATTGGTTTCCCATAGCCTTTCACCGTGTTGCCGAGCGAACTCTTCCGCGGTATCAGAACCGGAGGGCTTGCGAACGTGGAGGGTGACAAGCGGGTATCGTTCTCTGATGCGGTCGATGAGGCTTAAGGTTTCGGGAAAGTGGTGGAGTGTGTTGAAGAAAAGAAGATCAACCATTTGTGGTCTCGGTATTTTCATCTTGGACAGCATGTCGAGGGTCGTAAGGCCAGTGAGACCAAAGGCAGTCTCTTGGAAGAGTGAGGGTAGAGTCGTGATGCACCATTGTAATATTTCTATGAGCTCCATGTCAGCCTGAGATTTTCCACTTGTGGAGAGAAAACTTGGGTCATACCCTGTGGCTCAAGATTCTGTAATTGACGATTCAAGAATGCTAGATGTGGTTTTGTGAGGTATATTTCTGGGATGCCTGCTTGGCTAGAGCTGCCGCTAACATAACCGGATTCGACATCGCGGGCACCATCGTGCTCGAGATCATAGACTGGAGAAGAAGCCATGCTACACGTTTGATTTGGACAAGAAAGAGAAAAATAGATGCAGTATATGTTGCCACCAACGGTTCAAGAGCTGAGGAGGGAAAATGTCGAAGACAATTGGCAGTGACAGGTAGGAAACAGTGTGAGAAGATATTCCGAGGAAGATGGTATGAACCAACATGAGATATATAAGCTCCGCAATGACATTATTCATCGTAGGCGTTCATACATCGCTATCACAAAATCCGCTATGGAATTGCGTGCTTGCCGCTAATGATCGGCTCCTGACAAAGCCCCCTCGGCCAGGGGAAAAGCTTTCGGGAAAAAAAGAAACGATGATGTGATCTGCTTCTCGCTCCTTTTGGCTGATTTTGAAATCTCGCGTCTCTCCAGCAATGATCGATGGTTGACGTTGGAACTGGGACCTAGCTGTCGAACGTGGACGGTTAAAGAGAGTCACAAACCGGAGGTGCGAAGCCCCTCTACCCCAAGCACCTGCGAAACCCTGAGGGCATTTTGAGAACATCATCCGAACATAAGACGGATGGATGAATCGAAAGTAGCGCTTCGTACCGCATTCTCGTGCGAATGGTGATTTTGCATGATGGCAATGAAGAGGAAGAGTCTTCAAAGCGGAGAGCAGGCCGATGATGGTGGCGAACTTTTACGGGGAGCAGTAAATACTTTCACGCAGTATTTGGTCGAGCACAAACCACTCACCCAATCAATGCACTGGAAGATAAAAATATAGCATCGTTACGGCATCAATTGAAGCCTCTGAAATAGCATATAGACAAAAGTCGCATAAAGCAATCGCCTGCTGTGGTATCTTATTTCATACTTGATCAAACTCCAAACCCTTGACCACGCCCGAGCATGAAGACATTTGGCAGCTCATGACCTGCCACCCTGTCTGCCCAAGGATCTCTCAAGGCTACCCAGCAAATCTTCTTCCCCGTCCGTAAAGTGCTGAGTAGATCCGTCCGACTCCTCTGCAACCCTGGGCTCGACCAATCCATCTAGAGGATCATGGTCAACCGGTATTTGAGCGTTGACTCGGGTATCAATATTGGGAGCGGCCTCAACTGACCCACGATGAGCGCCCGGGATATGAGGCATGTCTGGCGCCGGGACTTGGTCTGTTTCCTTCGTGGTGTCGATTTGGGGCGGTAATCGAAAATGCTGGTCAGCGAGGGGTATATCCGGTGAGCTCGACATACTTCTTTCGATGGGTGTCGGTGGGCTCATAGTTGGCGCTTTAGGACTTAGGTAAGGGGCTTTGAGACCGAATGTATTTTCGATGGGTGTTGGTGGGCTTGGAGTCGGTGCCTGAGGGCTAGTAGTCACTCTCGTGTATGAGAATCTGCGCTCGGGGGATATGGCTTCGGGAAAAGGCTCGGTCGCTGGCCTTGCCCAGGGCTCTGTCATAGGTTGCTCCGCTATAGATTGCTCTGCTATAGATTGCTCTGCCATGGGTTGCTCGGCCATAGATTGCTCGGCCAATGGTTGCTCGGCCACGGATTGCTCGGCCATAGGTTGCTCTGCCATAGGTTGCTCTACCAGAGACTGTTTTACCAGAGTCTGCTCCACCATAGTCTGCTCTGCCACAGGCTGCTCAGTCAGAGGCTGCTCGGCTGTAGATTGCTCGGCCACGGGCTCGGACTCTTCAATAGGTTCCGTTACAGATTCTGTTGGAGGTTCCGATAGAATTTCCATTTCCGGCTCTCTCTTCGGCTCCGATATAGCTTCTGTCGTTGGCGGTGACATAGCATTTGTTGTTGGCTCTGGGGTGGCAGCAGAAGAAGACGCTGGCATAGATTCTGCCATGACCACCTCCCAATTATCTGTTCTGGGCTCCGGCACAGCTTCTTCTCGAAGGTCTGCGGGAGCGCCTGGCGTTTGTTCTGCAATAGCTTCCGCTCTTGAGACGGCTATACCCTCTGTCACATGTTCGGCTGGTACATCTGGCGTCGGCTCTGTCCGGGGCCTTGTTAAAGCTCCTGCTAGGCTTTCTGTTCGCTGCTCAGCCAAGCTTTCTGTGATCTCATCCGTCACAGACTGTTCTACAGGCTCTGGTAGAGGTTGCAAGGTTGCGTCCGGTGGAGGGGTCGTCATCGATCTCATTTGAGCTTCTGTCTCTGGCTCTGCTATCGATGCTGCATAGGGCTGTCCTACGGCAGCTTCCGACGGTCTTGGAATAGATTCTGGTGTGGGCATTGCCTCTTCTAAAACTTCTGCGGCGACCGGCGCAGCGACGTCTGTGATTTTATGTGTGTTTTGGGTGATGGATGCCACCGTAGGTTTGGAGAAGGATTGGCTCATGGGTTCGTCGTCATCCTCGTCCAGAAGCATAGGGTCTGAGCTATCTTCGCGAGTAGGCTCCGCCAGCGACGATAGTGGCACCTCTGACGGCGATGGAGTGGATGCCTGTGCAATTTCCGCGGGCTCGGCCTTCATATCATTGACGACTATTGTTGGAGGCTCTGGAGGTGATTTTGCCGGGGTAGGCGAGGGTGAAAGCTCTCCTTCCTCTCTATCGCCGTCTTCCCCTTCCTCGCCTTCACTACCTTCTTCGCTGCCTTCTTCGCCTTCTTGAACAATGTTCTCATCTCCCATTTCGGTATCCCCATCCGGTACTCCATGTTCCATCTCAGTGCTCTTGCCGTCGTCTACCCCAACAGTTGAGCCGTTGAGAACAGCACTGACCCCGTTGGCTGTAGCGAGGCCCTCTGCGCCAGATATAAAGGCGACCTTCTTTTTCCTCCCGCGGCCCGGGCCTTTGGCTTTCCTTTTCGGCGGAGGCGGTCTTCTCCTGTTGGCAGCAGGCACAGCTTGATCTCCAGCGATGACAACACCCTCAGCGTTGACTACCCCAAGCCCCTCCACTACAGTGCCTGGTGCAGGCGCTTGTGTTGGGCTGGTCTCTTCCTCAACAATCTCGCCATCTACCGCTTGGCCCTCAGGTACAAGGACCTCCCAGATGTAGCTGTTCCCCTCCGTATCGACCTTTCGAATCTTCGTTTTCCTCATCTGCACCGTGTTACCAAGAGGTCCGGTTGCTCCAGTATAGACAGATGGTAGGCCCTTCCGCCTCTTGGCCAAGAATTCTGGCTCAAGTCCCTCCATATCTTTGGGAACAACGGCCCACCTTTTCGCAACGAACCCCATATCAAGATCACCATCTGCGTCCTCATCGTCACCAGGCTCTTTCTCGTCATCCATCAGTGGGATGGCCGGCTTCTTGACTTGACCCATTCGCGCCGCTCGTAGCAATGCCTCACTCATTGGTGAATACATGTGGGCGTCTCGAGGCATTGGCAGCTCTGGCCATCCTGTATCACCGGTACCGAGCGGATCTAAGTTGTCCTTCTCCGGCGCGGCATTGACGTTGAATGATCTCTTCCTCCAATGGCGGACGGGCAGGCCTTCGAATACATCGTGGTCGATTTGAGTGCGGGTGGATCGAGCGCCAGTGCGACTGTTGCGATACTGGAATTTAGAGAAGATTAGCTTATTGTACTGCGCCTGAAAGTCTTTGGATAATTCGACTACCATCTTAGTGATGCGCGCGAAAAGACGGGGTGCCCGAGGGCATCCTATTATTTTTTGTAAGAGGACAAGGATATGGAGCGACGGCCATGCTGACAGCGTGACAATGATAGTATGAATCACATGTGCAAGGGCGGCAGAGAATACTTGCAGACGGTTCGTCATGATACACTGAAGATATATGCAAGGCGACGTGAATGGAAGATGCACTTACAGGGGCCATGGCGCGTGAGCCGTTCCTTCAGGCGGCGCTTTTGACTACACGGTCCGTAGGTAGGTATGTAGCACACACTGTGAATGAATGAGATAAGCGTAACACAGCGTCTAGCTGGCTTTCTGCACCAATATTTGAACCAAGTGGTGTAGCCGGCACGTTGTACTTGTTCCCTTCCGATACTTTGATATTTGATTCGAGCGTTGAACGAGGGGCAACTTGGGGAAGTCTAGAGTACTTTTACCTAAAGTGCTAATCAAGTAGACTGTAGAAAGAGAGAGAGAGAGAGAGAGTGAGAGGGAGTACGGTAGCCTAGATGGGCATTGAGGGAGATCCCGACAGGATAAGGTAAAGTACCTTAAGTTTAGAGTCCCTGAAGAAAAGTCTTGGCTGCCGTGGTACTGGTAAGCCTGGCAAATGGCAATTGATTAGCTACGGCATATCTTACCTTCAAAGTGGCATATCTTACCTACTTGTACTTTCCCGATGGCCTTTTCGCTTCCAACTTTTGGCTTTAGATAAAGTAGTAACTGGTCCAGACCCAAAGACTAACTGCTTCTTGCAGCTGTTAGTCTGCATAACCCACCCCCCTCCCCCCAACCTATGAGGCTTTGATCATCTAGGGAATCTATCACCAACTTGGGGACAATCATCAAAATTATCCTAGTACCTACCTTAGTACCTAGCACCTAGCCTAGGCATCCCTGGTGGTGCGAATTGCAAATGCAAATGCAAATGCAAATGCACACTGGGCCAGTGGGGAGAAGGCTGTGTTTTTGTCTTTCTGCCCCCATCCGCCTTATTTCTCGAACCTTTGAATCTTCAGGCTTTCTTCAGCCTTGACTTGTAGCATGTACAGTAGTATATCCTCCGACCCTGCTTTACTTTCCTTCTCGATTCATCTTCTTGCATTGCATTGCCATTTTTGGACCTTGTCTTTGGTGCTACTATGGTCGCGGCATCGGTGACATAGTATACGTATTTACTGCATCTGCATCTGCATACATATCAATTGACCACATGGACCAGCCGTTCAAACAAGAACCTGCCTGGGATCCATCGGCCGAGGAGGCTACGAGGAATCTGTCTCCGACCTCTGCAACAGAGAGAAGACATTCGTCATCAGCTAGCACTTCTACACTGTCGACGAATGACAGTAATGATGCCTCTGGTCCACGTGGTCGTCGCTCGAGACCCTCAGTGGCCTCGGTTTCGTCACAATTACCTACAGTGCGGGAGAAGAACCTGCAGAGGATCATATCCGAGGACAAGCCTAGCCTGTCTCACCTAACTTCAGAGGAAACGGTCGTCAGCTCCCAGAAGGTAAACGCACCTGATGCTATGTCCTTTTGCTCCCTGACTCGAGCGCGGTATACAGGTCTTGACAAGCTTCAATAAAGTGGCAACGCGAAACGTGGAAAAAGAAGAAGCCAGGCGTCAGCAGCTTGACAGATACAACCTGGAGAACGAAAATCAGCGTGAAGTGTACGAGCGACTCAAAAAGTGGGCGGATACCCAAGAGAAGGGGATGAAAGAATGGCTGCTTGCATGGCCCTCCCCTAAATATCGACAGGCCCCTCCGCCACACGTCGAGGAACTGAAATCCCTTGCCCGGCATTACTACCCACCTCGCTCAGAATTGAAATGCTATGTCTGCGACTTCGGAGAGGGTAGAGCAGAGCATAAAGTCGTCGATCTCGGTGAGCTAGAGGAGTACTGGCAAACAAAACCTGCTTGGGTGGACGTGAGATGGATCCATGCTCCGCTTGGCCTTGGGCTTACGCATTCTTCTGTCGAGGATATCTTTCTCCATGATGGTCCAACTGGTCGGGAATTCGAGAACGCTGGACGCTCTGGATGGCCGTACCTCGAAACCGAAGTTCTGAATTTCAGACACCGGGACAACTTTCAAACAATGCGCGACATCTACTTACTGCTTCATGACAAAAGTGAACTGCTAGATGATCTCAACGAGTCAACTTGGCGAGCCGACCGTAACGCCAGCTTACGAACCGATGTTGAATGGAGAGGCGGTCACCTTGCAATGGAACCTTCTTTCTGGAATCTCGTCGACGCGGATATGCCCTGGCAGCTTTCCGAAGGTCTTGCAATGGGGGCAATGGGGCCAAGAGATGGACTCCAGCCCATTCTCCGCCACGTCGACAAACAAGTTCTTTCCTCGCACCCCTTCTATAATAATGCTCAGCTCGTGAGGAGCCCCTTTCGCACATTTCACCGCTCCGACGGATTCCTATTGAGCCTCTCCCCCATGGCTGGTGTCAATTACCTGGATAAGAACTTTAATAGGCATCTCTCCGAACCCATCGACGCCCTCTTTGACAACGACGACGCCTCGGCTGTTGGCCATGTTTTCCAAGCTTTCGCAGACCAGGGCACGAATACTTGGCATTGGAAGACTGTCGAATGGTTTCTAGTTTATCTCATAACAGAAGTTGGCGTGACGCCTCACAACTTCAGGCAAGGCTGCAACGCACCTTCGTTTGAAAGTGCGTATTCTTCAGTCATCCAGGACTTAAAACGAAGACGATATGACCAGTGGAAGCCCAAAGTCACAGTGAAGCTTGTTCGCGCATACCTTAGTGGTATTGACGAGCTCACTACCATAAGACTGATCTTACAAAAGAAGGTCGAGCTCTTCAAAATCATGCAGCTCGATGTCAAAAGGTTTGAGACTGAAGACAATCGCTTCCGCAAGACACCTGATAATGCCGAGGGAGAATCATCAATGCAACGCTTGATTTGGGCAATGAATACGGTGAAGTACCAGCATGAATGTTTCGAGAGACTCTTGATTGATTTAAAGCAATCGATGGATGCCGTAAGCTTACCTCAGCCGACGCGAATGGATTCATCTGCTGACGTCCAAATTACCAGCTCTTCCAACTGCGTTCGATCGAACAGAATGAACTAGCGATAATTTCTGACAGCCAGAACAAAGCTATTCTCGTCTTCACCATCGTAACGGTCATTTTTCTACCCCTCTCCTTTTTCACCTCCTACTACGGCATGAACCTTACCGGCATCGTCAACACTGACAAGACCGAACACTATTTCTGGAAAGTCTGTGGCAGCGTCGCATTTCTTATTGTTCTGTTCACTGCCTTGGGAGCTTTCAGGCATAAGCTGAGGACCCTGCTTAGACATAGGATCATGAAAGCGCCTAGCGCAATGGTTTGAGCTTTTGTTCGTTTCTCCGGATGATTGTCTTTGCTGTATGTTTGGTTGGCTTCTTGGCATGGAAGAGGGCCTTTGGAGAGATATCCTTTCGATGATACACTGTTTTGGCGCAGCATGAGCGATCTCGGAGTCTTGGAATCTGCATTGCAGCATGATGATGATGAATTGGTTAGATGACCTTCGGCTTCTGTCTTTGTAATCCATTGCACTATACAGTACCAAGTATGATGTAGACATTCGATGCTTTCGTCACAACCACTCCATGTGAAGTTTATGATCTGCGTGAAGGAGGCGGGACACAAGATCGAGGCGCTGTACACACCGGATACCACGCAAATCTAATCAGGCGCTCAGACCAGCAACTTCAAAGATATGAAGGTCTCGTGAAATTTGCTTTGAGGTTGGGCGCACATTCCGTAGATAGCCCTGCATAGATACAGATGTTGAGGTATTTGCAACGCCAAAACACCAGACCACAAGCTTGGTGAGGTTCATTCCGTCGTTTGTCGTACTATGCCTCCGTCCTCGCCTGTTTGCTTCCCCTACAAGGACGTCAACCTGAAGCTTACCGGGCGGTGAGGCCGATGCTTACCGTCTTCTGCCCTTCGACTACTAGTCTGTCCAATTGGAAGAATTGACTGACCGTTGTTTGTCTCTGTAATTTTGACACGGGTCAGCATGCCACCCTGGCAGCAGCATGACTGAAAATTTTGCCCCGTAGCACCTCCATGACAGCATCTTCCCAACGCTTTCGCTTTCCTCAGTCGCAAACCATCATCTTGTCAGGCTCACCTTCATCATTTGCAGCTCTTTTAGCCCTCTCTGTATCAGCTCCTGTGTCTCCCTATCCCCAAGGTTTTTGTCATGGTTCTCTCTAAATGCGTCTTTTGTCCTTCGCTTTGCATATTCTCGGAAATTATAGGCAGCAAATTGAGAAGATTGTCGGAGGAGGGATCGGAACTATAGAGGGAGGCAGACAAGGTCAGTCATGACCTTACAACGCATGTGGGTGAGTGCCCACTAGTGACCTTGCTTGGAATGCAGTATCTCCTTTCAGAGCTGCCATTGACATCTTTGAGTGGTAGAAGTGGACTGCAGATGTAGGAACAGCTGCCCTTTGTATTCAGAAAACGCACAGTCCGACGATTTGTATCAACTCAGAAAAACTTTACGCAATTGCAAATTTTTCAGACCGCACAAACACTATAGATTTGGTAAACAACTGTTTGCTGTCAAAACCCGAGAGCTTTCATGTCCCCAAGGATCTCGAGATCTTGTCACGGCTTCTCCCGCTGGACCCCTGTTTTAGCGTGCATGATCGGCATTGTGTGGGCGTGTCTCAAATAAAGCTCAGGTGAACGCTTTTCGTTAGAGAAAGGCAATGAAGATACGCCCACGATGGTCTCCCAGATTCACTGGTTACCGTCGCTTCGATTTCCGTTGAGGAAAATTCCAAGGGAGTGTATTCTAATGTCTCTGATTGCGGGGCAAAGTGCTCTCTTTCTTTGCCAGGGAGTGCATGTGGAATTGAAGGCATTGTTAAGGGCCAGCTACCACATTTTTGCTCATATTTGGCATTGTAACGTGCATGAGCTCTATGGAGCAGGGGTAAGCCCTGCTATCTATGTTGAGTGACGCTACCGTTACCGCCCAGACGTCTTTAAGACTGTGTGGGGGCAACCCCAGACCTAGTTTCAATTGCGCCCGCTGTCACCATGGGAGCATGGCTTGGTCTCATATCATCATTCCTTAAGCAGCGCGGGGGCTTTCAGCACGGATTCCAGTCTCCCATCGGACAACCCTCGACATGTCATCCTCGTCCTGTGGTATGTCCAGCTCTGCCTCAAAGTATCCAGGCATATCGTTAACAAGCTGGAAAAATGCAAGCATGCTCTGGTGGGACCTTGGCATGATGCACTCGGTGAAGGCAGATTCGCCTGAGGAAAAGCAATTACAGCTGAGCTCCTGGCGACCGGCAAGAGGCGTCTCCACTGGGACACTGTGGATCAGGTAGGCACGGGCACGCTAACAAATGGGCACCGTTAGCAAAGATTCTCACAGACAGTGTAATTGATGCAAGAGATGAAACCAGGAACCTTACCTTTCCCCAAAAATCTATGAACTTCTCGTTATGGATGTCATCTTGGACCCTCCACACAAACCCCACGCCCACACAGATAGCCCTCACTTTGCTCTCCCAGTGTTTCCAATTCTGGTCCAGGTATCCCACCGCCTCCTCGGCCCCTTCCCCCAACCCAATCAGATCGATCATAGCATCTTGCCTCGCCAGCTTGACCAGCACCTCCTCGAAGACGCTCTTGACATGCTCTTTTGTGCTTCCATTTCCGGGTACACGATTTTTGACAGCATCGATCCTCATTGGATTACTGACGCCTGTCTTTCTTGGTAATGCGTTCCAACTCGTAATCGTCATCGCACGCTGGCCGCGACGGTACCACACGAGCTGGCCGAGATTGGCAATGACGATTGCCGTGCCCGCATTTGATTCTCTGGATTGAATAGCATGGACAAAGTCCAAAGCAGAGCCGGAAGCAATGGAATCCTGTGCTATGATACGATGGGCAAAGATTCCGAGATCCTGCATTGATTCACCAAAGTAGACGATTAAGCGTTTTGCGGTGGCGAGATTAGAGGAGGTGAGGATGGGAACATGTGGATCTGAGAGACCGACGTTCAATGGAAGTCGAGTGATGTTGAGGCCGGAAGCCTCGAAGCGCGCACTGAGCTCACTGCGAATGCAAGCTAGATATCGCGAATCGACAATTAGATGAGAAGGCAGTCAACTTGAGGGAAGACTGACTATCAAACGCTTCGCGCTGCATCTCTCGGACCCGTTCATTTTTGCTGATGAAGAAGTTGAATTCTTCGTCCGGGTGGGCGATGGAGCGGATTTGGTCTTTTTCGTTGATGTAGTACCTAATAAGATTCAGTATTTGGATCTAGTAGAGTAAGGAAGATAGTGGGTCACCCCAATTTCTCCAGATCCGCAGGAAACTTGGGGTCTTTGGGCAGACTGCTGCTCAAACGTCGAAACATGGCGAAGGTGGTTGGTTGATTAGATCTGGATGCAGGACGGTGTAAGTGGTCAAGGAATAGGTAAGAAGAGCAAGATGTTAAAAGAAGGATTTTAGATTAGGTTAATCAACAATACTGACGAGTGAATGATTGTCTTCACACTCGTTGGACCAAAATTAAGTAGGTAAGGTCGAAAACATAAGCGGCTAGCCGAAGTGATGCGGAATCAGGCACGGTCAAATGAATGTCAATATCAATTCATCAACGAGATGGGCGAAGATGCTCGGTTTTTTGCTGAGTGCGATGTGAACGCCACCATTGGATTTCTCTGAGAATATGCTCATCATTCTCTGCCATGCTATGCCTTCACATATGTACAATGTCATCTTCGCCCGGCAATTTCTATCACCAACTAGCCTTTTTGACACCGGGTATATTCCCCTCGAGGGCATTCATTCTAAACGGATACTACACGCACATTAGTTGTCCTTGACACAAGCTGTCATATGGAGTTGGACTCACCCTTGCCATCCTGAAATCCTTGAACACGCCCCTCGATTTCCCTCCCTCTATACATCTGTTATTGATCTGCGTAGACCTAGTGTAGCAGTGCATCTGCGACAGTTGTAGTTGCGCTTGGGCGCGCGCTCGTCCTGGGAGCGTAGTGTTTCTGATGATGTAGCGGAGGGCTTGTCTAAAAGTAGTCGCACCCATCAGCAACTCATAAGGTACTAACCTGCTCACCAGCATCCCGACGAGCCCATTGAAGACGATGTATACGTATGATAGGAGGTGATCGCTTTACCTTTCTGTCTCGTACTGCTCGAACACTTTTCTAAGAGCAGTCAGTATTCTTCGAGCTCAGGAGATCGAGTAGGACCCACCGCTTTGTGTGATCTCGCAGCACTCTCACGTTGATGAAGCAGCTGAGATCTAGTTTCTTTGCCCGGAATTGCGACATAACTGATGCGCAATGACTCAGAATCACCGAGCAATATAATATTTACTTGATTCTTGTTTCTATGTACATAGAATATTCGGTCCTTGCCGTAAAAACTTTAGTGTATAACCAAGAACATTGCCCCTCAAACTGCACGCCCGATTGTTTGTTCGAACTGCGGCACAACGAACCCTCCCTGCTACTTTCTCCTTCCTGTGAACGCCTTTTCGCCCCTCCATTGCCTCTACGATGTCCATTACAAGTCAGAATGCATTAATTGGCACACCCCATGTCATAACGACCATGCGTTTTCTTTACGATGAAAGCTTTCGGGAGATCAAAGGGGATATTGATGCTCCAGCAAATGAAGCACACGCCATTGGTGAAGTAAGAAGAGATCGTGCTGGGAGCGAGGGTTTCACGAAGCTTTTTGGCATGTGCTTCTGAGCTGAAGCACGGTATGAGCCCGATCACAAGGATTCTCTGAGCTGAGATACATGAGAATGCCATGGAGGCTCTACTATTCTCAACCGTCTAAAGGATCAGCGTCACGACAGTCCCTCTTCTCAAGCATTCTCGCGGAGTGTGGGACCAGATGCACAGACACGTCCTTAGCGATCAAGTTGTGCACATTGGTTGTCAAGAGTATTGGGGCGGTGGAGGATCTGATAGACCAACTACAAGGCACAAAGGAAAGGGTCGATATCACAGTCTATGTCAGGGGATAGATTCAAAGGATCAAAAATTCAAAGAGATTCATGAGTGGTCGAGATTGGGGAGTGAATTGCTACAAAAGCCATGGCAAATGCCATTTTAGCCTGGGATAGAGCTAACGCGCGAAGAGGGTGGACCTGCGTCTCTTCCCTGTTTGTAAGCAGACCTATTCGGAGACTAGACTCCTGTTATATTCGACCATTGTCATTTCCTTCACGGAAGCATCAGAATTCGAGCGACTTGTCAAGTCGCTTTATCCAGATCAGAACAGAACACCTCGAGCTCTACTCGTCACTCCCACCTTAAAGCTATCAAATGGTTCATACCACTGCTAGCTCGAGGCTATCCTCTCTGCCTATTGGTATGCAGTTGAGCACACTGCACATATGTCTCGCTGCTTGGTTTGCCTTTGTTGAAGTCGTTTCTGGCTCAGCAGTAACTGAACAACGAACGTGAACCCGGGGCAAACTCGGTCTCGGAGGGCCATGGAACAGTGGACGATCAGACAAGGGTTTTGTAAGCGATCGATTCAAAGCCGACACGTCGATGCAGTCAAGAATCAGCGCACGTGAGATCGATGACACGGTCCTATTCGCTTACGATCGAGAGCTGCTGCAATTTGAGCATCGTCTCACCACAATTGGAGCGATTGCCGATTCGATGGAGGGACACATGCAAATATCAACGTTTCAGGTACGATTGCAACAGATGATCGAGACACTGGCGAGCGATGGAGCAAAATTGCAGGGGATATGGGACGTAATGGACGAGCTGAGAGAGGGAAGATCGCAGAGGGAAGCGAAGGGGGTCGATAAAGGATGAAAGGAATGCAGCGGAGGGTGAATCGGAAGATGATGAAATTCGGACGCTGAGTTCTGCGCGGGATAGGACTGCGAGCGGAGACACGTGGGAACGTGAGTGAAGTCACGGCAGGTGAGACACAGAGAGAGAATGTGGAGCACCACGGCCATTTTCTGGCATTTCAAGTTCCACCCTTCAAAAGACTCTGACTCTGATGCCTTCATCCCTCAAATGCTGGCTTATACGAGAAGCCGCTTCGAGTGCCATCTCGTCAAACTTGAACATCAGCCTGCCTCATTTGTGATTCCGGTACCGGAAAATTAGGACTATGTTGAATCGGTTCGATGCTGACTTTACCGAGTTACTGGTCTAAGCGAATGATGGCAAATATCCATGCGTGAAATTATCTACCCAAACTTATGCTTCACCCGTGATTCAACAACAGGTCCCCATTTGCTGTAATATAGAAGAGCATCAAGCCTTGAATTGAAAGCTTGCAGACCTAGCCTCTTTGACAAACGGCTTTTCCGTCGTCAGCTTGACTGTCTGTTCTCATTCACCCAACACCTGCTTCCCCTTCTCCAACGTCTCACCATCCACATCCGTGGGCACACACTGCGAGCCGGGCTGCAGGATGTCCTCGTCCCAGTAGCTTATGCACCTCTCCCTTTTCGGACCTCGGCCTCTACGATGGCGGTCAACATCTGGACTCAGCTGCGCCAGCGCTCCAGCTAGTTGGTCTTCGTGGATCGTAAAGTCTCTGCGGGCGGTTGACATCTCCGTCTCCGCACTGCTGGAGGCAATCCCGTCAACACGAGCCCTCTTGCGTTTTGGAGGGAGGCTAAGATGGCCCTGCAGGGTTGTAGGGTGAGCAAAAAGAAGAGCCTTGGTATGTTGGAGGGTTGCTTGAGAATGAGTCTGGCGAGAGTGGGACGGGGTCAATGCTTGGGGGTGTTGTGCAGGAGGATGTGTAGGCGAAGAAGAAGACTTTGAAGGGCTGATATTCTCCTTGTTGCTGGATGCTCCTAACGGAGATTGCAAGTCTTGCTTCAAGTTTGACACTGATACTCGGGGTCGTTTTGGGGATGAAAGATTCGGTGCTATGCTTTGTGAAAACGGAGCGTCATCCATTGGCAGATCCTCTGTGCTACAACACTGCTTTGGCGACCTTGAATGTCCAGATGTTGTTGCCTCTACAATTCTGTTGAGCCATGTGTCGATGTGACAGCGCTGTGTTTCCTCCGCATCTGAATGAGGGAACGGCAGTATAAATGGTACATCATGAGTAGAGTGTAAGTCGTCCCTGTCAGAGCCAAGACTATATGCATCAGAGCTAGACCGTAGTGATGGCCAATTCTCCAAGATCGGATACTTTACCTCTTCCGGGTTCTCGACAAAACTGGGAGTTGGTGCAATTGGCGTTGCAAACCCGCTGCTGATGGGCTCTTTGCCCTCTTCTTCGAGTTGTGATGGTAAAGAGGCGCTGCTGACCCTCAGCGCATCATCAAGACACATACCGCCAACGTCGGTAGACTCGCCGAGACATTGATTAGTGAGAGTCTCAGGGCTAGCGCAACCAGCTTTGGTAAAGGGTGTTGGTGTCGGAGAATGTGGCCCACTTCCAGAGGCCCAATGACGACTGACCTCCGACGACGCCCAGCCCGGTTCACATGACTCTCCTAGATACTGACTTATCTTTGGGAAGCGGCCCAGGCCTGAAGAGACTACGGTATCGTCCTGACAAGTACTGCCAAATTTGATGCTGCGAGCTTGCGAGAGGGGTAATCTGGACCTCTTGATGTTGGACGGCGATGGATATGTATGTGATCTGCTACCCTGCAATGAAGTTGCGGCGTCGCGGAAGATCATTGACATCTGTGCGCCGTGACCAGGGGTCGCTGTGGGTCGCGAGAGATCTGGCATTCGTCTCCTCTTCTTAGCACTGTTTGGCGTAGGCCTCCCCGGGCTGGTTGGGAAGGTATTTGCGAGATTGGCAGCAGTGAAGTCGTTTGGATTGTGGAGGTTGTCTGGTGTAGTCGTTGGATCTGACATAGCGATGCCTTTCCCGTCCGCTATAGAAGCTGCGTAAGCCTAACTCGATACTCTAAACCGCATCAAATCCTCATCCAAGGCGCGCGGAGCTCCACATCAGAGCTTTGGAGCAAGGATGAAGTCTTGGATACCGGACTTACCAGTACCAATACCAACGTGATATAGTTGATCACGCAAGGTATTCCCAAAAAGGTGCGCACGAGGAGAGGCCATGTTATTACAGGACACGGCTCTGACTGCACCCAGTGGTTGAAGCAGTCCAGTGGGAAGATGAAACGGCTACCTCAGGCAAGGCTCCTTGAATGGAAATAAAATGAGAGAACAGACCTCACAAGATTTAAAGACTTTGTGCTGACCAGGAAAAGGAAAAACTGCAAGTTGGTATACCAATGCTTGAAAGGAGAATTGTTCAATGTACGAGAGACGGAGAGTGAGGCCAGGATACTGAACGCCTAGTAGAAGAGTCCTTGTTCTGATCGTGACTTCCTTAGGCGAGCAAATCTGATGATAAAGAAATGGAAGGTCCGATGCATCGCATGAGTAGCCGAACCTTTTTCATTTCGGCATGTTCTCATCCAGACTGATGCCCACAGTATTAAGGAACCCAAATGAAGCAATACATCTACAGGCGTGTTCTCCAGCACTTAGAAATTGATTGTTCCATCTTCGCTCTGGAGTCTGACTAAGATGATGCTTGTGAGTCTTCCAGCAAGGCCCAAGGTCCGAGGTTGCGCAGCGGGCTTGAATGAGGGAAGACGTTTCGTGTGGTACGTCGCTGGCTGTGCCCTGGATCCCGGCAGACTCCGCCACCACAGGAAAACGTCAGCACAAAAACACCGAGTCAGCTTCCGAGTGCAAAGAAAAAGGCGAAGGTGGCAGTGTCAGGGACGAAAATGATCCAGATTACTTGATAATGGATCATGATGGAGACACTGAACAGATGAGAGATGGGCCCGGGTGATTAGTTGATCTAGGGGGTGATAAAAGGAGCAGGAGACCTTCCTTATCATCGACAGTCATATATAGCCAAATGACCGCACTAATAAATATCTATCACTATATTACACATTTTAATGGTTAATTAGGCCCTAGGTAAAATCGGATGATTTTAATTCGTTAAAATAGCTATCGTTCGATCTTTACTATCGCGCTATAGGGATATCTTATCAAATTCGATCTCCTTTTAATATAGAATTCTATAATCCTTATGATCCTTCTGATCCTCCTCCTTCTTCTTCTTCTTTATAATTGATATTAGCTATTATAGTATTCTTATAATTAGCTAATAAGAGGTCTTTCTTCTTCTCGCTATTCTTCTTCTATAAATAACTATTATACTACTCTACTATTTTACTTATTTATTCTCTATTTATAATAACTTCTTTATACTTAAGACTCGAGTGTCTAATCGTCTATTTATTAATTAATATAGATATATTATAATTTATTTACTCGCTTAGAGGTAAGTCGATTATAAAGCTTCGAGTATATATAGTTTATAGTTAAAAGCTCGTTCTAAGAGTACCGAGTTTGCTATAACTATTTATAATCTTTAAACTATTTTATTAAGATGTGGATTTATATTTATAATCTTCCGCTAGAATAATAGTAGATTATTATTATTATTCTAAGTATTATTAAGTAGTAGTATCTGGCTTTTCTACTTTCGAAAGTTAAAGAATTTAGTCTTAATAATAATAGCGTAATATTAAGTAGAAGTATATTACTTAAAAAGAATAATAGCTTTATTTAATCGAGTATTTTAAATATCTTATTATAGTTTTAGAATATAAGTAATAAATAACTCGATAAATAGAAAGAATCTATTTATTTAGTTTTTATAAGAATTCTTTTATTAAGAAATTACAAATTAAGGATTTAAAGCGATTATAGCGAGTCTGATATGTCAAATAATGTTAAACTATTAATTATCTATCGTATACTCGGTTTAGTATAGATTTATTACTTTCTAATATTCTTTAAGCATTATAGATAGACGTAAGAATATTAAGTAGTTCGTTAATTTCCTATCAGAAGACGGGATCTCTAAGATATTAAATTATTCGATTTGGAGGCTTATCAGCAGGAGTCTTAAATCCAGCTTCTTCGTCTTATACGTATGCTTATAATATATCTCTACTATCGATAAGAGACTATAAGAGATTAATCTATATACCCCACCGAAGGATTATTAAGGCGATTAATGCTTTATACCTTTTATATTAACGCATTTAATGCTTTCGAAGAAGATTAAGCTATTATTTTACTTTACGTATAGAGTTAATATATTTTAAGGCCTTCTTAAACACTATATGAAGCTCCGATAGATTTAGAATATTCTTTATTAATAGCTGTAGACTATAGGAGTTATAAGAAACGAAGAAGATATATCTAAACCGAGGATCCTATTGAATAATATCCTATATCGCTTGTTCTAAGTTATATATATTTGTGGCAAAGCTGTTTACCCTCTAAAAGTCGCCTTTAATCATCTGCAAATCTGAAAAGTTCCTCTAAATTTCAAATTGCTGATCTTCGAATAGGGCTGAAATTAAGAATTCCCCGGTTTAGTAACTATCTCAAAAACCAGCCAAAATTCCGCCGATTTAGCAACTATCTCAAAAATTAGCTAAAATTCGTCGGTTCAATAACTATTCTAATCTTCCGTTAGTCTATCAATTTAGTAGTAATACGTACGAAAAAAAAAAGTTCTAATAATCGACGTTACGACGGTAAGATTTTACAACGACGAGTATCAACGCTAACTTAAATTTGATTACGAAATTAGACGATTTAATAAAATTAGTCGCGTAAGTAATACTCTAATATAGCGTATAATAATACGTATATTGATGATGATATATATTAATACTATATATATATAGAATAATACTTACTAGTAGAGTATATTAGAGTATATTACGTAAAAATTTTTAAATTACTAATTTTTTTTAAAGTTACTAAATTAATAGAACTGGCGGAAAGAATTAAGATAGTTACTAAATCGGCGGAAAGGATTAAATATAAATAAAGTCTGCTTAATAGGCTAAATCGTCTAAATCGTGCTTATGATACGGACGGCGGAAATCGTACGGAAAGGAACTTCAGATTTGCAGATAAAACTTCTTTCACTATAAAAATTATTTATCTTATTATATTTACTATAGAAAGCTTTTAATATTTAATCGATTTAGTATAAATATAAAAGAATTAACTCTTAGCTATTATATATATATTAAGAATTTAATTACTTAACTAATTATTACTCTTATTACTAATGAAATTTAGGAGTTATAACTAATTTAGAAGTCTATTTATCTTTTCTTAAGTCTTAAGAAAAGCTTTATCTAGTAGAGTATCTATTATCTATCTCTTAAAAATAGTATTTAGCTAATTCCTTCCGCAAATAACTCTTTTATAGCTTTATCTTTAAAGAGATCTATTGATCTTTCTTTATAGTAGATAGCTATTGCAGCTAGCTTGTCTAATTGCTTACGCTTATAAAAGATAAATTATTATTAAAAAGAGATTTTTATATTTTATTCTCTATAATAGCTATTTTATATAGAATACTATTAAATCGTTATTGCTTCTTTATAGCCTTTAGATAAATCTAATACTTTATAAGATAATCTCGCTAACGTAAGATATACTTTATTAAGTTCTTCGAGTAATATCGATAGCGAACTCGCTTCTTCTTCTTTTACTAATCGATGTATTGATTGAAAGTACTATAGACGAGCGTATCTAATAGAGATATTATAGGCCTAATTATACTTAATAGTAGAACTTTATTTAACCGTATAATAATATAGAAATGAGAGTGGTAAGTGGATATTGAGTGCTTTGTTGGGGAGATGCGAGGGTATTCGGTATTCGGCTAAACCTCGTGCTGATTAAAATCTAATCTATTCGGGTTAGCGCTGTCATTTGTTAGGTCAGACGGCCTGTTATCGTATGACCGTTATATGACTGTTATAGGGGTCAAATGTCAGTCATTACGCATCCCTAAGTTGATCAGAGTTGAAGCTATTCAGAGCATTGACTAGGTAAGGTAGCGAGGGTAAGTAGTCACTAGATAAGGTACTTTAGCTACGGTAGTTATTATCTTATCCGGGCGGATTCCCATCAAACGCGCATCTTCATTTCTATTACTGTATTTACTTACATTACCGTCCATCTCCAGTCTCCACGTGTCCGTCGTGTGACAGATACCTTACAGTGTGTTTTTGCTCTCATGCCATGCTATGCCATGCCAATCATTCAGGTAGATTAGATTACACTAGCGTCCTAGACTAATTCCCAGTGAACTCTTTCATTTCCATCAAATTGCTCCAAGTAATAATAGTAATAGTAATGTAGTAATCTCTCGCTTTACTTTGCCTGGCTAACTTGCCCTTGGTACGACTGTCGAAACTGGCGAAAGCGAAAGCGAAGGCGAAAGCGCTCGTCTTTGCTAGATTGATCAGGCACCATGCTGAAACATAGCCTTCTTCTTCTTCTCCTCTCGACCTCCGACACTCGGCAAGAAGTGCACCATCATACCTCCTTTGTCCTGCATATGTTATGCTTCTCACTCGCTTTTGTTCTTTGCGACGGCCGGTATTTGTAAGGAAGATGTTTTATTTACAGCAACATAAGGTAAGATTACTTTGTGGTCCCTGAAAGTGGTCTTGTCGTGTCTGTGCAACAAAGAAAAGTTGTCGAGCTACCCACGAGTCTTGAGTCTTGAACCGGATCATATACCTTTCCTTCTTACACTTGCTTACACTTGCTTGCCGTAGGGTCATGTTGGAATTTGGATATTCCCAATTCCCATCAAAATCCCTTCCTTCTTCAAACCAACATCAAACGCCCCAAAAGACAAAAGAGAGACCCCTGCTTCACCTCCTATCCAATCACAGATTGCGCTTCAGGCCCCTGCTCCCCCTGCCGCTCTGCTGCCGAAATCGTCTAAACTCCAAACGATCCGCCCGTTTCTTCACTCGACTTAATCACTCTTTCATACATACAACCTTCTCGTATTCTTGTCCTCGTGTCTCTCTCTTTCTCATTCGCATCGTTACCGCTTCTTTTTTTACATTTTTATTTTTGGTTGCTCACCATATATCACCATCTACAAGACGTTGTACAGCCTCTTTCACCGCGCATTAGCATTCCTTTCTGCCATCGTTTCGCATTAATCGCGAGCTTGACGCTCCTGTACACGCAAATCACATCCGTGTCTCTTGGAGGAAGTAACTTCGTCACGACCCCGCATCAATTTTCAACCAACCATCGTGAAGGTCTTCCATACACGCCTTCTCATCTGTGCCGCTACCGCATTCCACATACATTGGGCCGCGCAAACACTGCCCGTCAGCCTCCACAGGCTGCACTTCTGTCCTTCGCTTCCTGTCACTCCTTCAACATTTGGTCCACCCATACGGTCATTACAGAAATCGAGCCTGTCCCGCGCTGCTGGTGGCCGTATCGTCAAGTCGCATACCACTGTACCTCTCACGACTATGAGCATGACTTGACCTATCCCAGGTGGTTCCTCCAACTAAGAGAACGAAGATGGAGTCGGACACCCGAGAACCTCGGCGAGGGACCGCTGGCCAAGGTCGGACAGTGAGTGGGGAAAAGAGTCCCGCAGGCTCCGTAAAACGTGCCCGGGAGAGAGCAGCAGCAGGCCTGCCGCCAGAGCGCCCCCAGATGCCGCCATATCCTACGCCGCTCTCTGTCAAGACCTCACCAAGAACATCTCCACAACAGGGCACCAGCCCGACGGACCGTGCTCGATACCCACAATACCCAACCCACGGGAGTAGACAGGGCCAGAGCTTTTCGAGCAACGTACCGTTGGCCTCCAGCCGTCCCAGAAAAGGCCCTGCGAGTCCTGTGTCTCCACAAGAATACACACAGACCAGTTCAACTCAGGAGCGGAACGTAGGTCGGGGTCCACCACCGCAGAGACCACCAAGACCAAATTTCGTGCCACCAATGCCTCAATCTTCTGGCTATAGAGATAACCAACCTCCACCACTTCAATATCGAAAACCTCAACCCCAAGAACAACCGCCGCGAAACTACTGGGAGGATAGTTACCTGGATTCTAGTAGCTCGAGTCGGCCACTCACAACCTCAACGACGTCAACGGGAACCGGTTCCTCTCCCGGCAGCATTCCTGATTTCCCTTCTACACCCGCGATGCCATCAACGCTACCAATGCCTTCTTACCAACCTCCTCCCAGGCGAAACCTCGGACCCCCACCTTCGGCACGAAAAGGTGGCTCATCATATTACTCGCAGACGTCCTTTGTACCACCCATACCGGAAGAACTGTCGGATACCCATAGCTCGTACGCTTCAAGTACTGTCATGCCAGTGAGTTGGAGTGACGGTCCGCCTGAATATTACATGGGCGCCGGCATTGATGAAGAGGAGGAAGAAGATGCACCCGGAGGCAATAGCGGCCGTGGCTCGAGCGCTGGTGATCATGATGATGCGAGTGGCCTGGTAAGGAAAGGTGGAAATCCACGAATAACGTCTCTGGACACAGTGGAAAGTGGAGATGAATCGGACAGAGGGTCACGCGGCATGCAAGAGCTAGATTGGCAGGCTAGACAGGATGAACGGTGGCGGCCTGGTTTCGCCGGTACTGCTGATACAGACCCCATCGGACGACATAACTTCAGGGGCAATGCGAGGCTACACCCGTATTCTGGATATGAGAGCGATGCAACCTTTTTAGATTCGCCGACTGGCGAATCTCCTATGCCTCGAGCCCTCAAGACAAATAACTTGCCAACCAGCAATGCCTATTTTGGGACACCATCCTCGACAGGTTCGCCCGTCGATCCCACAGTAGACCAGATACTGGGTCACCTTGAAAAAGGTGGCGCTCTCGCTCCCAGCGGGACGGCTTCCCCCTCAACAGCGGCGTCGATGACGGGAAAAGGGACCAAACGCCCACCAAACTTGAACCTGAAAGCTACAAAAGAAGGCAGAGACAGTGCAACGAGTCTTCCAGAGCTCATCAGGCGAGCAACAAAATTGGCCTCGAACCTTGATCGAGGCAAGACAGCAAGTCGACTAGGCATGCTGGATATGTTGAATGCGAAGGAGAAGGAGTCAAGAGAAAGGGCAGGCAAGGGCTCCCGCACTGGCTCGATATCAGACATCCTAGCAGCGTTTCCATCACCGTCTCCTACAACGCCCACCGGCCAGCGACCTTCCGGTTGGCCAACCCCATCGCCACATGGCAAGTCCAATCTTTCGAGAGCTCAGACGGTCAATTATGGCTCCTCGACTGGTCACAGAAGTAAGAAGCGGAGATGCTGCGGCATGCCTGTTTGGGCTTTCATTCTTCTCCTGATCATACTACTGCTGCTCATCGCCGCTGCTGTCATAATCCCAATCACGCTGATTGTTCTTCCTCGCCAGCACAAGAATAATTCACCAACTCTTGACAGCTGTCAAACGAGTAACCCTTGCGGAAATGGCGGGACAAACGTCCTCATCGACAAGACGTGCAGATGCGTCTGCGCTAATGGCTATGTAGGGCTCACGTGCAACACGCCCGGTGATAGCAGCTGTACAACCAGTGATGTCCCCGTTACCGGTACCACTGGGGCCTATAAGAATTCAACCCTCGGCAGCAGTATACCTCGTCTTCTCACCGCGGCAGAGTCCAACTATAGCATCCCAATCACCTCATATACACTTCTCTCCATTTTCAGCGCCAGCAACCTCTCATGCTCTTCAGAGAACGCTCTCGTCACCTTCAACTCACAGTCACAGCGCAGAGATCTTGATCTTCCGCTCCTTTTTTTCTCTTCTGAATCTCATTTTCATCATCGTCCTAGAATTCTAGACTTGGAGGAGGTCGTTGCACTGCCTACAAGGACCCATCACCATCCCTCGCACATTCTCGAAGCCCGCGGTGCTGCTCAGACCTCCGAAAACATCGTCTTCGCCGCTCCCACTGGGGACGTTCCCCCAGCAGCAGCATCTTCGGTGCCGGCCTCCACTACCGACGAAAAGACGATTACCTCAACTGTGCTAGACTTCGCTCGCACGGCCGTCCTCTTCATCTTTCAAGAGACCTCATCGCTTGACATCACCACTACCGCGTTGGACAAATTACATGCTACGTTATCCAACGGGAAAACTTTTGATGCGAGCGACACCAGCGCCGGTGGGAACATCACCGTGGATCTTTCGGCTTTGACCGTCGGCTTCGGGAACGGGACTCTATATGGAGGGAAAGGTACTGGAGCGAAGCGTTGAGGTGTCGAACCTCGACGCTTGACCCTTGTATTCTTATATTTTACAATTCGCTCCTACTTCATTCGTTTTTGAGCAACGGCGAACGGCGCATTTGGGTGGTCCCGACGGGCTGTATAGATTTAATGTCTGAATGTGGCGGAATAATTTGCGTTCAAAAGCATATTTCTTGGGTTGGCTTTTCTCGAATCGGATTGGCGGCTGTCCGATTACCTCCCTGTCGTTTGCCTTCTCTGTGAATATATTATATCATATCATAGCATTGTTGCCGACATCTACTCTTGAGCTACCTCTGCGGCTACTTTGACACTCTACATAGCGTTTCCTGCCGACGTTCTGTCCTTCAACTATATCTACGGATACCTTTATCTCGTCACAGCGCTCCTGTTATCATCAACCCTGTTGCTCTACTTCTATTACATTGTACATAGGGTCTTCTACCGTTAGCCTTCAACTATCTCGCTCATCTTGAACTTGAATCTTAGATACCTTTCACCCGTTCCACCGCCTCGTGGCGCTCATAGCAATCACAGGCACCATCACCCAGCCTTTTCGGCCAACATAGACGTCTTTGCAACCATCTATCCTCTGCCTACGAATTGGGCACATGCTAGTCTAACATTCCCTTCTGCAAGTCCACGGAGATCATGGCTTATCAACGGCGAGGGAAGGTGCTACAATGTCTTGGGAACGGGATGATGATGGAGCAGTGAGGAGGAGATGGCACCGGGACTATTGCCGGCGGAATCGGTTGGATGAGACCGTACCAGAAGAGAGCGGGCGAAAGGATATGGAAAGGATAGGAACATGGGCGCTGAAAGGGACTGCGGCACGAGTCACGGAAGGACTGGTCCCAGATTTCAATTTGCTTGCTAAACAAAGGATCGGTAGTAGATCCAGCAACAAACCTAGCCACATGTCAGAAGAGCACTCGTCCTTTTTTTCCGTCGTTTTAAGCTCGCTGCGAAACAAAAATGTTTGGTGTGACAAAGACCAAGCCCTAGGGGTATGAGTGACGGTGCCGAAATGCATGATGCTTGCTGCCGCTGACCCCTCCGCCATGGCTCTGCAGCGGTGCAATTTGCTTCCGCCCACTGACCGTGGAGGAAAGAAGAAGAAGAAGAAGCAGATGAAGAGAACGCCGCTAATTTTCGTGGTTGGATGAAAGAGGATCCACCTCTTTCTTGTTGCCACCGTCGAACCTCGAACGGGAATAGTAATGTATGAATGATAAGAGGACGAATCCTGGTTAAAAGGTCAAGTTGTCTAGGATGAAGCCCTCCTAGAGGCTTCCGGTTCGCCAGCTTTTTCGTAGACACGCCCGGGTTGCCATATCTGAGGCTGAAAAGCTTGATTTGTGAAGTGCGCAGGGTCTTCTTTTTTGGATCTGTCCGGACTACAGCTGACGAACAAGAGTCATCTTCTGATTGCCTTGAGGAGGGGTTTTCGAAGGCTTGAACACTCACTCCTTCAAGACATCGCTCTGAATCTGCTCCCCTTGCGCTTTGAAACGTCTGTCATACTTCCGCTGTTGCTTTGTACGAGGCTTGAAATCTGCTTGAATTGGCAATTCTTTTGGGGCGGGCGAAATGGGCGAAGCTGTCGCGGCCTTTGGAGAATATTCCTCCTTCACTGCCGGGTCCACTGACGGATAGATTGGCGTTGCCGGTGTCGCCGTACGTGGTGTAGACGAGAAAGTCTCGGCCTTGCTCTGGTAAGACGGATAGAGGGGCGGTGTTGGAGTCATCGTACATGGTGCAGACGAGAAAGTCTCGACTTTGCTCTGATAAGGCTCGGTCGAGGTAGGGGTAAAAGGCATCTGAAACATGCTGGAGGAGAAGCCGGGAATGTCTGCTAGTATGTCCATGTCCCCAATATGGGAAAATTGCGCGTGGTTAGAGACCGCAATTTGTGGAGCAGACACGAGGCGTATCTCGGGATGAGACAGGGTGTGGCGCGACATCTCCGCGACGTCTTCAGTCTTGTACAACAGATCGTAGTGCCCTCTACTACAGATTAGCACCCCCCATCAAGTGAGTCCACGTCCACGGAGAGACGCACGGTCTATATAAAAGGCGGATCGTAGGACCGCCCTTCTTCTCGTTACCATCAGCGTCAAGCACAGGCAATCGATGCGGCGTGACCTCTTCGCCGGCGCTGCGGTCAAGGTACAGAACTTCGATAGCCATGCCCGCTTCGTTGATGATTGCAGTAGCGAGAGCTTGCAATCCGACATGGTCAAGTTCAATCGAGAAAGGCTCAATGTTTCTCGCACAATAAGTATGGACGTCCATGTCGGGTAAGAAGCCTGCGTAAGATTCTGCATTCGACTTCATCCACGCACTGGTGATGAGCTGAATCACGTTAGCAAAGCTAATTGGAGAGAGTCAGTCTACAGTTTCAGATTTAGGACTACCTTGAATGAGTAGGTAAGCTGGCTGGAGGGCGCATCTTCGTTGAAGATAGCCAGTACTGCAGCGCCTCCATCATGATTCGGTAGAGTTGCAGCCTGCTGTTCCAACAAATCCGCTGTCGGCTCGATGAAGTCCTCATACAAGTCTGGGATTCCGACAGCGTGCATCAATGCCTCGAAAGCTCTGAACCTCGCTGCTTCTTCTAGCATCCTTGAAGCATCGCCAAGGCGGAGAAGAGTTTCGAAGTAGCCGAATGCAAGGGCTTGTGGAGCTCTTAGTCTGATGGCACCGAGGAGAGATTGCACGAGGGAGGAGGAACGTACCTCGCCACCCACAATTGCCGTCGCCCTTGAGCGTGCGGTAATGAGAATAAATCTGGGGAAGTGCCTAGTGAAGGTTCAGGCGGTTTGCTTGTGCATTCTATTCCTGGATGTCATGGGTGTATACCTTGGTTTTATTGACGTAGACTGGGTCTGCTTGTGCATATTCAGCGATTAGCGCGCTCGTCGACTGCTGCCGCCCAACTAAAGGTCCCTAGCCAGCTGGTCAGGATAGGTAGCAAACGGCGGTGGCTTCTGGTCATTACCGGAGCATCAGGGCGCCAGTCGTTCGACAATCTCTCCATGTCTGCCAACTCTTGCTCCGAAGCCATCATTTTTCAGCGCCAATAAGAATTTTGAACTAAAGTGAAGCTTGCTCAAGAGCTCGGCGGCACTACTGGTCTCTTCGGAGACTCTTAAGTATATGATGGGAGTGGTGGGATGAACCATGAATAAAAGATGATGATAGGTTGAGTCAAAGATGAGAGATGAGAGAGGCCGATAAAGGTAGGTAATGATATTTGGGGGGTTATACGCGGATACAAAGTACTTTTTGGGAGGACTATGCGATGCGATGCGATGACAAGATAAGATTAGATTAGGTGTGGAGGTTTCAGGAATGTATGGGAAAAAGAAATGGAGACGAGTAGAGAAATGGAGGATGTCGGAAAGGGACTGAAAAGGAAGGATGTTGTTGTTGTGGTGGTGGTGGTGGTTATGGCCAGAGGTCAGAGGGAGAGACTGTGATTTTCCGCTTGATGGTCTAGCAAAAATGAAGCATCACCCCCACCCCACGTCTTTCTGCTGCAGCACTCGGCAACATTCAAAGGATTGTCGGGTCGGTCGATCCGGGGGGGGGGGAGGGGGGAGGGGAATTGTGGCTTTGAGATGGATAATATATTGTTTGGATTATGTTGGTGAATTATTGTGTATTCATATTGTCGCTATTGCAGGTGGCGGTGGAATGATGGGGGTCTGATGTTGACAGAGGCAGGATTATTGTTCAAGATTGTAGGAGTGCAGGCGAAGGTGTCTCGCTAGTAAAGTAGGTGGGTAGTAGTGGGTAGGTAATAAGTCTTGATTTTGAGAATTGAGATGAGTGGATGATAAGAAGAAATTAAAGAAACTAAGGTAAGGTAAGGTAAGGTAAGGTAAGGTAAAGTAGGCATGAGTAGCACTGGTGGCACGACTAAAGTACCTTAGGTGCCTGAAGAAACTACCGTACACTACTACTTAACCACCATTGACTGATTACTTAAGAGTACATGATGTATGCATCTCTTAAAATACTCTACCTTACAACCCTATGCGATCACGTGCGTTATGCAATAAATAAGTTATGGTGCACCGTTCAAAGAGAGAAAGAAAGAAAGAAAGGGAAAGAAACGATAGAAAGACAAGAGACTGCTGTGCACCTTTTGATCTCGAGCACTTCTGCTGTCAAACAAGTCCATCCATCCATCCATCGCCATCGCGCTTTCATCACTTCGAGGAAGTCACTGGAGCAATATTGTACTGTAGGTATATGCCTCGGCCCCCCACACATTCTCGCGTGGAAGGGCAAAAACACACGATGAGGAAAGAATCAAAGATGGTATGCGTTCATCATATGCAACACAGTTACCTCCGCGGCTCATTGCCGTGCCTGCAGAAAGTACTCGTAGATAGATAGATGCATGCACTGGCAAAGGTGTCACCCTTCTACCCTCTCGCCCTCTACATTCTTCAATGCATGCTTGCTGATCATTGCTATCAAGTACTTGCTTGAAAATCTGCCAGGCAGCTGGACGCTCAATACCCTTTTTCTGCCACCCTGCCATCCTGCCATCCTGCCATCCTGCCGCTGCTTCTGATCCCTGCCGTACGGATACACCCGCATCTGGTGCCACTAGCTAGATGATGCTGCAGAGGTACCAAGGCTACTGACCAGGTAGATATTCACCGCCGTGCAAGTAGCCGTGTCTCCCGTGCATCCGGGGCCTGCTGACAGCACATGCTCTGTGCATATCCGTTCCATGCGTCTCTTCGGCTTGCGTGGAGCATGTCCTGTCATTTCAGCATGCTAGATGCCCGCGCACTAAAGCCCACACCCTTCTTAGCCCCTCTTGCTTTGCCGAACCCAGCAGGTCCTTGCCCTCCGCCGCCGCCGCCGCCACGGTTCCCCGTTGACAGTAAGCCAGCGATGGAAGGACCACCTAATGACTGAGAATCGTCTGTCTTGAAGCCGTCCCCTTCATCCAGAACAGTCCTAGAAAGCGCACCAATCGCAGATGTCCATTCTTGCAATGCGTGCGTCCGGTTGACATCACTGCGATTGTCCATCTCAACAGTGCCCTTCTCCTGGTTGATCTTGCCCTCGATCTTTTTATCGAGGATCAAGAAGCCCACAATGTCTTGCACCTCCGTGACGGATATATTTAGCCGCTTGGCAATAAAAGCTAGCGTGAAGCGCGTATAGGGAGCAATCAACTTGAGAACTCCGGTGGTCCGCAAGCTTCGAGTAACCTCATCAATATTCTCGGCAATGAATGGGTCTGCTAATACATCCTTGTTGTTCTGTAATATCGATTCGTATCTGTGGATGTCGTTCTGTTGATAAGCGTCGACCAAGTCAGTCATGGCGGATATGCGGGGATCGTTCTTGTACGGTTTTGTCTCTTGAGACTCGAAAGGATTGATGTCTGATTTCATGAGCATAGTCGTTAGTACCAGGTACTTCAGAACCTGGATTCTTTGTAGAGATCCAGCTTCGTCGTAATTTCGAAATGACTCGAAGAAGTCGGTCTGGGCTTCCTTCCAATTTTCTTCGCTCATGTGCATCTTTCCTCCACACTCCCGGATGATACCCATGATCTTAGGATGGGGTACTGCGGATCGAACCTTCAGAGCTCGTTGATACAATGCCTGTGTGATTGGTGTCAGGAAGATTATCCGATCATTACAGGATAGTTTTGCTTACCTTTAAGCGTTTGTTGTTCCTCGTCTCTGCGTACATCTGGATCTCTAGAGCATAGATCTCCAAAGCATAGGTTCCTTTGCTTGGATCATCCGTTCCGTCTTCTTTCTGACAAGCACGATGCAGCTCCTTGACCAACTTGACCAAATGGGTGTATTCTCTTCGATCCAACCATAGCCGCGCTAGCTTGATGTTAGTCTTCAACCACAGTCTTTCGTTGTTCGTACTCTGGAAAGATTCTAAAGTTTGAGAATAGAATTTTTCCATGCAGTGGTATGCTTTCTCGTCTTCGGCACCCTTCTCGATGAAGTCTAGCATGTTGTTTATGGACTTTTCCGAGTAGTTGCGAGTGACAGCAGACTTGACGTAAGTTAGGAGCTCGGTGTAGTGCTCTATAGCCTGCATTCCGATGAGTACTAGGCTTCCATTCGATTATGGAGCCTCGTACCTTGTCATATTTGCCAAGCTTGTATTCTAATTTGACAGCCTGCTTCAAACCCTTGAAGCCCCTTGGGTAGTAATTGTCAGTCTCTCTGGCGAAAAATCAAGGCCCATTTTCGTTGGTACTGACCAATCTCCTTTTTCATCTTCCAGAGCCGGCATCCCCAGAAACTCTTGGATAGCTTCATCTGGATTGTCCGCCTTCATCTGTTTGGCATTGTAGTATTTGTTCTCGATACCGACATCTCCTGCTTCTTCTTCATCGTCATCTTCGTACTCAAAGTCGTATCTGCAGTTCATCAGCGGAAGACCGAGCAAGCTGAAATTGCATAGCAACTCACTGCTCTTGATCAGAATCTTGCATAAAATCGTCGTCGTCCGACATGGTGTAGGTGGCTGAGGCTGTAAGCCTCTGCTGAAGTTAGGGTTGAACAAGCTAAGCGTTTGGAAAGCTTTCCAGGATTTTACCAATGAGTGTAGCGTTGTAGTAGCAAGCTTCACAATCGATAAGATGGTAAGGCTTAGTTTCTTGGCATCAAATTGGCACTGACGAGAAATCGACCAACCTCCCTCACAGATTAGCCGACCACTAACTTATAACGCATATATCTACCAGATTTCTGTCTCGGTATTCTGCTATCAATCTTGCATCCCTGCACTGACCTTCGCGGCTTTAATCTGAGAGAAATTAACCAAGATGGGAGGCGGAGACCTCAATCTGAAAAAGTCATGGCATCCCGTTCTGATGAGCAACCAGCGGCGGGTATGGGAGGAAGAAAAGAAGGCGCTCGACGAGCGCAAACGTATAGAGCAGATGATGAAGGAGCGTCAAGAAGAACGGAATATCCAGGAAATTCAAGATATGCAAGAGGCAGCAGGCGGTACCAAGAGAGCCCAGCGCGTGGAGTGGATGTACTCTGGGCCCTCGGCTGGCCAAACCGGAACCACCGAAGAGATGGAGGGGTATTTGTTAGGGAAGAGGAGGATAGATGGGCTGATCAAGGGTACGGAGAACAAAAAGCTGGAGAAGGCGTCTACGGAGGATTCATTCATGGCTTTGCAGAACGCAAATACTGTCAGGGATACGGCTGCTAAGATACGGGAGGACCCTATGCTGGCGATCAAGCAGAGGGAGCAAGCTGCGTACGAGGCGTTGATGAACGATCCTGTGAGCCGAAGACGTCTGCTCAAAGAGGCCGGGCATGATGTCAAGCCCAAAGAAAAGGAGAGACGACGCAAGCACAGACACCATCATCGCAACGACAGAGATGATGCCCGTTACTTCAGCCCTAAACGTAGGCGGACAGGTGAGGAAGACAGGCGCAGTCGGAAGAGCCGAAGGTATGATGAGGAAGACAGACACCATCGGAGAAACTACCATGACCGCCGTCGACGGTCAGATTCTTCAATATACTCCGGATCTCCATCACCACCCCACCGCCGAAGATCACCCTCTCCGTACAGCCAGCGAAGGAGCAGGTCTCCCTCTCCTTACTGTCACCGCAGCTCTCGATCGCCGCCTCGCCAGCAAACCAACGGCCACCACCTCAATCACAGCAACAGCTTTCCCTCCAATCGCCCTCCGCCTCGTCACAATACTTATTCCCCAGAAGCACAACCCAAAGAGAAACCCAGAGATCAGGCTATGGACAAGTCTGCAAGATTAGCCGCAATGCAGGCTGACGCCAGCGATCTGGATGCTGTACGCTCCAACCGACTTGCCGCCATTGAGGAACGCGAAGGCGTAGAGCGAGAAGCGGAACAGAAAGCGAGGGATCGATCGGGAAAATATGGTGGAAGAGGAGACTTCGTCAATGGGTTGAATCGCAGGGCTGGAGAGATGGATGTTGCTGAGAGAATTCAGAGAAACAGGGGTGGCCTGGAGAGGGGTCTTGACAGAGAATGAGTGCCAAGTCCGACTGATGGTGCGGCCCACAATTTTCGGTAAAGGCCTTCATTGCATGAAAATACCCACTTGAGCGACTGGCACTTTGCATAAGCCTAGAACAAATGAAGAGAGTAGTCGAAAAGTATGTCCGCCTCAATCTTCCCCATCGTATCATTTGACCCGAATTTCTGCAAGGCTGATGATCGCGTCCTCCTGATTTCTTTCGGTTCATCAACAATGATTTCATCATCTCACATCGTACTGCACCGCAAGAGGTACCCAGCGTGACCTTTCACAAATTAAAAGTTCTCCACCTCCAGCATACTCAGCCAGTTCATCACCATCATAGCCTTGACCAGGTTACCTCTCAAATCAACGTGCCTGCATACACCCACCGAGTCAGCCCAGGATTGAATGACCCACTCCCAAAGCCAGCAGTCTCAACGCAAGCCCCAGGGAACAACACTTACACCCCATCAAACTTGTTGCTCTGCACAGTCGCATTCCACGTTCCCAAATGTTCCAGCCCTCTTTTCCGAACCTCGATCCCGACAGACTCCTCAAAAATCATCGTTGCTTTGTTTCCCTGAGTGATAATCCACTCATCTGGCTTGTCTTTCCCGGGGGCGTTAGGCGTCAAAAACAGTCTTGGCCAGAAGCCGGTCTCCCGTTTCCGCCCATGGCTCGTCGAAGATCCCGAAGAGGACAGAGATGATGAGGGAGACAGCCAAGGAGCTTGGCTCAGCACTGTATCAAGGATCGTATCCAGCCAATCAAGGGTAGCCTGCAGGTCGAGATCATTCCACAGTCCATGGCCGAAGATGAATGCGTAGGGCCGAGACGGCTTGGTGGCGGGAAGGAGAGAGCGCAGGCGGTCGAGTTCTTCAGAAGCGATGGGGAAGCGAATCATCTGTTCGACTGCGGGTTTCAATCAGGAGTGAACCGCGAAAAAAAGGATTGAGATTATTCTTACTCATGACATCGATTGAATTGACGGGGCAGGCAATGCTATCTGGATCGTTTCTTACGACGTCGGCTGTCTTGAAAATCCCCTGGATGGAGCAGGCTTTGACATTGAATTGGTAGTTGCAGAAGCAGTCCTTCCTAGATGTCCCACGTCGTCAGCACGCTAGTGACCCTGCAGCTTGCAAAGTCCATGCTTGGGCCCAGGGCGATTACCTTTCTTCAGGTGAGAAGTTCCAGTCAGTTACAGCGCCGTAGCCAAGATCTTCCCTGATCATCACGTTGATACTCCCAATAACGTGGCGCATCATGCTGTCCCCAATGATGATGACCTTCTCAAATCGGGCCAAGATCTCACAGATCTCCTCCGTCGAAAACCAACGCATGTCACAGCCTCGAGGCATATAGGGCGCGTCATTGCCAATGCGACCTCCGGAAGACATCGCCGTTACCATGGACTCGCGGTCTGGACATAAGGGAGCGAATGGCGCATGGAGATCCAACGACGAGATGTTGCAGGTGTTGCGATACTTGTAGGATGAAAACGTGTCAATCGTATCCGAGTAACGATGTGGTAGCGGTTCGGGAGGTTGAAAAGCGGCATGGGGGATGAAAGTAGCATTGTATGTTACTGGATGTGTCAGATAGTCTGGACGGCGTGACTGTAAAGACTTGTCATTTAGAAAGATCCGTTGACTTCATGCACGAGTACGTACTCGATGACGAGCATACGAGAAGAGCACACTGTGCAGGAAGAAGAGGATCAGCACCCCGACTGCCACCAGAGCTGTTCTTCTTCTTGTCAAGCTCCACATGCTTGTCTTGTACGTTGGCGACCATGTGTGTGATCTGCCTGCAGGCGTTGTAGGGACCGACTCATATTTGTGGTTGTGGTGAAACATGGTCGTCTCTGCAAGAAGCTTCCAAGGCAGTCTCTCAATATACTTTGTGCACTTGAACTTCAATTCTCTGTTTACTCGGGAAGAGCCTCGATCTTAAAGTAAGCGCGGAGACTACCAATATTTAGACGCCGGAACACTCTTGACACCTCATGGAATCCTTGGTGCTGGCAGGCTGGGACAGACTCTTACAGAAGACGCCAAAGGTACGATGGTTCATGCAATTCGTGCTTATCCTGCACGGAAGCTCTAGAGGAACACCTACATGTGACACATATGAAAAGCATCAGATTGCTTGTTAACACGCATAGATTGGTCAAGGCCTCCTACGCTCGAACGGAACTTCTTGAAGCAAAGATGTTTCTTTGTCCCCTAAATCCTCGAGGGAACAATTAGACCTTCCTACAGCCAAAAGGACTGGAGCCCCAGGAAGCTCGACTCATGCAAAGCCAAAAGCCGACAGGCAACAAGTTTTCCAAAGCGGTTTTCCTAGATGAGTTGGCCAAGGCACCAATTAAAACCCAATCTGCTGCTTAAGGGTTGTGTAAAGTTTCTGGGAAAAGCCGTCATGGTGACCATCCCATGCCGTACTCTAAAGCTGCAAACTTGTCTTTCAGCCAACCGGACCATCCTTTTAACTCCATAGCTCGATTCATAATCCCGACAACCCTACGCAAGAATTCGAACTCATCTTCAAGGTTCCGGAGTCAGTATCCCTTTGCTGTGGAGCAACGAAGTAGGGATATGTGGAGGGTTGCCTATGCTACATTATAAAGCTGATTGATTTCTTGTTATATTCTCGTCAAAAGCATCTGACTTTTGGGGCTCCCTGCCTCGTACAAGTTCATTGTCTGTGTCAATCTTTCTGGCTTTGTCCAACTGTTCACACTTCAACATGTCACCTTTGGTACACAAACAAATAACCATGAGGCCTTCTGATGTTTTCCGTGACATTCGTCATCCACTTTACTTCACACCTTGATCATGACTACAATTAGACAAGATCAAAACTTGCAGAGCATGTCATGCCTTTTAGAAGACACTCGGTCCTCCACTGACTAGCCGAATGACGTTTGTATACTTCTGCTTTGTGACAACATAAGCCCACACCGCCACGCGGATGAGCAAGTGATAGAACACTTGATCTGGGAGCCTGAGGTATACAATCATTTCAGGGCTGACTCAACATCAATCGAGGACTTCCGCGAGCCCTTCGCGTTTTGCGATACCACTCAAAGATACCCCTCGGGCTTCTCAAATTCCACGCTCCCACTTGCAGCAGCCTACACGAGCAGTATAATGGACGCTCGTTGGACCGATACCAATGATATTCGTGCAGCCCTGCCAGCTATCGCAGACTCAAGCAGCCGCCCAGTGTCTCGTACAGCATTGATCGCGTACGTAAGGGGAACTACCGAGCTCGAACCTGCTGTCGATGCTTTCACTCTCATGCCACACAGAGAATCCAGCGAGGAGAAGCAGATTGATGAAGCCACTGGCGGTGTGGAGGTCGCGGCTGTGACCTCAAGATTGGAGGGTCGGGATATTCAAGGGGAAGAGTACCCGACTACTCAGGCAAGGCCTGGTGAAGGGCCAGAGTCTCGTTACATGAAGCCGCAGGCTGGCGATCGATCGCGCTTCAGGCCGTGGGGATACATCTGAACGACAAGTTATACAATGACGACGGCAGTGCGAATTGGGACAGGAAATTAGGTATTGGAGACGTTATGTACCTAGATTGTGGATCCTTTCACTCCGCTTGGCTGTGTTCCTAGCCACAATTTTAAACGCAATCAGGGCGCTACCTCCTATCACGGGTCCGTATGGTCTTATAGCGTTGCGACAATTCCCTCACGATTCGTTGAATGGTGACAGGTGCGTCACACCTATTTGGAGTTCTAATTTGCGATGCGCGCAAGGGGGCTTTATGAGGCTCCATGAGGCTCCATCATGCAATTCAAAGGGGTAGGCGATGGTTCTTTGCATTCCATGTTCATCCTGTGAAGCCTCACCTTCGCAACATGTACCACTCCTTCACGTCCAGAGCATCATGACGGCCTTTGGGAAAGGATGTTCTGCTACTTTACATGAAAGCAGGTTGTGGTCGTTGTCTACCCCACCAACCCTGTTAGCATCTTACATGTCAAACCCCCACATCGGAGCGGAGCTACCTTATGTACCTCAATCACATGATACATGAAGTACCAATGTACATAACCGAGGCTGCAGATTGTGGGGTAGGAGTGGAAACTTTGGAAAGGGGAATAGTCAAGCAGTTGATAGGTACGTCGGGTTTTTTAACAGGTTATCAATTGCAAATTTGCTCATCTTACCCAAAGCTGACAAGCAAGAGTAAGGTAGTGGAGATGAGTGTATTGAGTACGAAGAGTAACGCAGTCAAGTCATTTGGGGTTAACAGTACCTACATAAGGTAGTAGTTACTTAGAGACTTAAAGTTACCTTAGTGCATCTGCCGGCTCCGACTGGATCAATCCCTCTTTAAAGTAGCGTGTGGAGATTTCTTGCAAATGCTTGGCATCGCCACACATGCCCACACATAAGAATTTGAAAATCTCCGGTGACGGTGATCAAGCGTACTTGAAAGTATGAAGAAATGAGAGTCTGTAGACCATGATCCTTCCACCGTCTGTATTTTGATAATTACTTGATCAAATTTTACAATTCCGACCGGATTAGAATCGCAATACTCGGAATATTTGATGTCTACGTACACTGATCATTGAAACGTACAGCCAGCATTCATCATTGCCTTACAAAGTTGTTATACATGTGGTATGGGGGACGACAGTGTGGCGATGCCAAGCACTCGCCAGAATTCTTCACACGCTAAGTCTTCCACCCGAGAGCCCCTGCGTCGTCCCGAAATCCCAAGTCCAAACATAATTTCTATCGTTATTCCTCTCTTCTGCACCCTACCATATTTTTCACTAACGGATACTTACACTCAATCCTTCTTGTTTCATGCCCTGGGGCAATGCTTTGTAGATTGTAATGACTTGCCGCTTTCAACTACTACAGAAGCATCCACTTAAAATGCTCACTCCCATGCGCACCGGCCATCTTCTACGGGATGTCCAGCATTGGCAGTCGCGCTTGGTCAAACTGTCCCTCTCTCTCCTTCCTCTTTCTTATATCCCTCGAAGTTCCTTCTTCAACAATGCTCTCAAATTTGCTCACTCGTTTTGCATTCCGACGTCGTTTTCATGACTAACCTTGCTTTCCTCCACTTCTCCCTCGAGAAGCATTCCTACACCTGTCATGATTATATAGCACAATCACACAGTGATGAAGAGGCTATTGCCTTGGGAGGCAGTTCCTGCATCTACTGGCCAGAGAAGTGTTCTCTGGGCTGAAGTACGTTCACTCGAACATCGACCGTCCTCGAGAGACACCCTAGACTAATACAGCGCTAGGGTCTTCGCGGCATTGCATCTCTGCTCGTCGTTACGAGGTACGTCCTTTTGCAGCTCGGATTTCTTGTCCCAGTAGGATTTGAGCCTTCAGGAAGACTTCAACGTTCGAACCATCGTCTTCTTTAGGCAATGCTGACTTCGAAATCTTTGATAGCCACTTGTCTCGATCGTTTGCCTACACCCTTATTACCCCAGCTCAAGACAGCACCCATACGGGCTCCTTCATCCACCTGCCTTTACTACGTCTACCTGCCCAAGGGGCGCCATGGGTTTCCCTCTTCTTTGTCTTGACAGGCTACGTCAACGCTATGAAGCCGATTAAGCAAGCACGGAACGGCAATGGTAGCCAAGCTCTCTCGGGCCTGGCTTTCAGCGCGTTCAGGAGGACCGGCAGACTCGTTTTACCCGCAACAATAGCTACTATAATAAGCTGGGTGATATGTCAGTTGGGACTGTTCGAAATTGGCAGGACGTGTGAAGCTGTCTGGATTCGAGACACAAGCCCCAAGCCCGGACCCGGTGTTACGGGCTCCATTCGTCTTCTTCTCGCAAACCTTTTCACCACTTGGACCACTGGGTTCAACGTGTACGACAAAAACCAATGGACCTTCCCCTTCCTACTCAAGGGGTCGATGCTCATTTTTATTACCTTGCTCGCTACAGTCCGTATACACTCGAACTATCGCATACTAGTATTCCTAGGCCTTTATGCATTCAATTGGGCGGGAGGAGATCGTAAGCGAAATTATTCCTCTTCAATTCACAGTAAGATTGAGGGTCCCCTCAAACGCTAACACAAGCCCTTCAACGTAGCAATGCTCGGGATGAACATCTATTTCGGAGCTCTCCTTGCCGAACTTTCAAACCGACTCCCCCCTCCCTCTATGACGCCCCGGCGAAATCCGTTCATACGAGCAATAACTGGGGTTGCACTCCTCCTAGGCCTTCACGTCTCGGGTTATCCGGAGGTGTCTCCCGAATGGACTTCTTGGTCCCAGAATTTGGCCCAGATTGGGCAATTCATCTTTCCCGGGAAGGACTACTGGCGTTACTGGACCTCCATCGGGGCCCAACTTATCACTCTCGCCGTCGTAATATCTCCCCGAATGCAAGACATGTTATCACATCCCGCCTTTGTATGGTTAGGGAGTGTCAGTTTACCACTTTATCTGATCCACGGTCCCTTGGTCCGTAGCTTGCTTGCGTGGATGCTTTTCGGCTGGCAGAAGCCGGTCTCTTATTACAGCCAGGATGTCAACGGGAATCTAACAGATCCTTTCCAACGAAGATCGTTCCCGGATGGCTGGGTCTTTTGCATTGTGTTGCCGGTATTTTTGCTTATCTTGCTTTGGGCTTCGCATCTGTGGACTACCTGGGTTGAACCATGGTGCGCATCCATAACCAACCGCATAGAGGAGGTCATGTGTGGGACCGAGACAGGAGAAAAAGGGGATTTACCAAGGACCAATGGGTGTCACGGGGATAAGGGGGAGCGAGTAACGGAAGTTTGAATCAAGTATGAAGTAATGATCTGGGTATACCATCGAAAAAGCGATAAAGGGAAAGGTGGTTAGACATCAGGCATTATATTGTATTATGCTAGTAACAATACAACGACATTTGACGAGATTCTGTTGCATTAGGATAATCGACTAGACCTTTAAAAAATGTAGATATGCGTCGGTCAATGAGCCTTGGCTCATCTCGCAGGTACTGGTAATATGCTATAGGACCGTCAGATTAAAGGGGAGCGTCGCGTTTGCAGGAATTGCTACAGGTTTGATGCCTGCAATTCAATGGGACTCATCCTTTGCAGAACCGTAAAGCAAGTTTGATCCGTTCAACTGGTTTTACATTTCTGTCGCCCACCCTCTAAGCATACCGCGTCTCGCCTATCGCCCCTCCTTCACAACATCCTCTCCTGACACCACCAACACTCATCCCCTCAGCGCTTGTCCGCCGGCTTCTGCGTCTTCGAGTTCGGGTTTCGCGGATCGTTCTTGAATTGCTCGGCTGTGCGCGAAGAGTGCTTGTCAGTCTCGCCGCCCTCTGTAGCGAACGCTTGGAGGTCGCTGCGGACGTACACTGAGCAAGAGCGTTTGCCGCCGAGTTGATCCCATACATCATAATCAGCCCTGCGTGCGGCAATCAATCAGCCTTCTTCTCCTTGGACTCGGAGTGGAAGACTGTGAGGATTGGGGGGGGGGGTGTGGCAGCGACAACCGGCTCGTGCCGGAGGAATGGCAGCATGGACCGTTGGATCCCGGGTGGAGGTTAGGTCGGCGACGTACCGGCGATGAAGAAAGGTGCCATTGGTCGCGCTGCAGACGTGGGTCAGCTCTCGAGAAGAATGACGGAGTACTTTTGCTTCCGGAGGGCGGATGGGGGGGTTTCGTACCAAAGAGGCCGTTGAATTTCTTGCCTAGCAGCGACATCTTTGCGGGGTCTTTGTGGTAACGGAGGTGGGAGTTCGATCGATGGTGGACGTTGTGGTGGTAGAGTCGAGATGTGAAGTCGAGGTTTGAGCTCACAAAGATCCAACGCCGCTTTGAGCGCGGTGCGCTCTTGTTCCGCGCCAACCTCCGCTGCTGTTCACTCCAAGTAAACAAGGCACCCAGCGGCGCTCGAGCGCTGCCAGAAGGTCTCTACAAGATGGCAAATCCGCTGGCATCTTGCGTCTCGTCCCTGCGCTCGACAAATGCCCTTCTATCCTCCAGCATATCAATCCTCGACTCCGGGGTCAATGACTTCCCACGCCTAGCGAAGGTGCTGCAGACAACGCGCGTATGTTCGCACCTTTCTGTCTGTTCAATTGTTACCTCTTGATTCGCATCGATCTTCACGGTGGTCTTCCTAGATGGCACGGCTCACTGTGCTAACATCACCCAGCACTTCGAACTCCTCCCCGAACCCACCCTCCAATCCGCCCAATCCTCCCTCCTCGCCTCCCTAACCCCCGAAGTCGCCTCGCTTCTTTCCAGAGTCGAATCCCATCTGGATAAGCTTGCCCGCCGCGAACAAGCTCTAATAGCACGCTGCGAATTACTGGAGGGTCGAATAGGCGAAGGACGCGCATCTATGGGAGGCGCGAGGGGGAGTGGTGCGGGAGAGAGAAGCAGTGTGGGTATCAACGGGGACGGGAGTAGAGAGGCGTTGAGATTGAAACAGTTGAGGGGGAAGAAGGAGAGGTTGGGGTATGCGGTTGAGAGATTGGTTTTGCAGGCTCAGCAGCGGGAAAGGCAGCTGAGGATGAGTGTTGCTGCTCAATGACCGAGAAGAATGACTACGAAGCCATGCGGATTCCTACGTCTGCCGAGCGGGATGAGATTCGTATACCCATTGTTGCTTTGAATTGGAACCCTCCGGAAATGCGACTTCTGCTGTCAATCGTGTGGATGTGCATCGTAGCCATGAAATGATGGGTCATCAGGCTGCATTGGAACGTGCAAGCTAGGACTGGAGAGACAGCCCAGAGAGATGTACGCCGGTAAGACGAAAGGGTCTCGGTCAAAGGCAATGTTGCTTTCAATCTGCGTCTCTCGCGAATGTGCTCCTCGAGATGGAAGAGGCTCAGGGGCAATTTTTCGCTGGTAAGAGTTGGGTAGGTATCCCACTGTGGTTCTGGATATGTATGACTCGTAATCTACGATATCATAGTTAGTATTCTGAGCACTCGCTCTTGGGCTTTCTATGGAATAGTGATTGGATCATATCCCTGTGGTGTTGGAAAAGAACCTGTTCAAAGTTCCGTGGTTGTTTGTGTGCGAATGGGCTTGGTCATCTTGTTTGATGGTATAGACTCACATCTCTTATATACAGTGACGTTGTGCAGCGAGTATGCAGATCCACGCTGCGCAGAGTTCATCTCTTTCCCTTCCTCGACACAACACCTCTCAACCCCATCAACCCCAACCAAACTGCCTCTTCCGTTCGAATCGTCCTGCTACCTTGTCCTGGACACAGATTCACCCAGTGATCAAATAATGCTTCGGGACTTTTCACTCCCAAATTCTCCAACTCCTTGTCTGCCTTTACTGCAACTTCCAATCCACCAACGCCTCCGAAAACAATCAACATGTGCGCAAACTCTGGAATGGGATGGCTCTTTGACGTTTTTGTACTATCAAGACTAGAAACAGGGACGCCACGCTCTGACGTCCCAATCGTTAGATCGTAGCCGCCATCGAATGGGCACTCGGTGAGAACAGCAGATATACAGGACGCTGAGCGAACACTGTAGCCCCAGTAATAGCCAGCCTCTTCTCGCGGAGCAGAAGGAGCGACAGCTTCGGCCAGTAACTCATTACCTGGGATTTCTTCGGGCTTCTCTTCATCTTTGAATTTGACAGTCACGCGCGTTTCTGGTGCTATGACAGCTGAGATAAAGACTCGCGTACGAAGGCCAGTCTCGATGTAGGTATGACCAGGCGGTGTCCTCCATATTTTCCTTTCTTGCCTATTGGGTATTTCCCGTTTGGTAACGCCTTCACGGTATTGGCACCAATCGTGCATGCGGACGTGATGGGGCATGTCTAGACTTGGCAGGGATCCCGCCAGTCGGAAGTCTGGATGAAGAGGAAACAGGTCTTTTCGTAGATATGGAGGTGTCTCAAGATATGACAAAATGTGCGCCAAGAAGAAGTTTGGATCTGTGTAGCCGCTATACGAGTTGTGCTCTTTTCCATTTTTTTGAGTACTTGAGAATGTAGTATGAGTCTCAGCATCCTGCGTTAGTTGACCATCGTCAAACACCACTACTTCATCGACGCAGAAGACGGCAAGGGCACGGGCAATTTGACCTGCTAAGAGCGTTTGGAGTTCGGGCGTTTGTGCACTGTAATGAACTCATGAGTGGCTGCGCAGGGTGGGTTGAAGGAGACTCAATGACTTTGCAATGATGCTCCCAGGCAGCGCAATGCTCAGTGTGTACTTTCGCCCTTCCTTGGCTTCGAAGACAGCGGTGGGCTTCGAGGTATCCACTTCATTCTCTGTGGGCTGGTCGGAACCACGCTTGCGCTTCTACCAAATCATTAGCTGGGCTCGGAGGTAATTGCATGGAAAGGACCTGCACCTTGGATTCCATGGGAAATGAGGGTATGATCCAAGCGTATGTTGGTAAATAGGTATTCCTATTTTCAAGCCTTGAATTGCTCGAAATATTTCACCAGTGCTACCCTGCGCCAGGTTCAGCTTAGCCACTCAGCTAGCGTGGCACATTGTTGACTTCAAACCAGACATCACTTGATTGTACACGTCCAATCAAAATGTCTACGCCAGCGCGACCTTACCTCTCTAATGGCCAAGTGCTGCAAAGGTAAGCTCACCCAGACTCATAACCAGGAGTACTCGCTAAGCAATAACAGCCCCCCCTTGTCCGCCCGTATTCGCAACTTTGTTGATGATTCCTACGCCTTCTTAGGTCTTTACGTGACTACCTTATTCTCTGTGCGTTGATATATCCATGTGTATATTGGAGTTTATAAGTCTGATGGATAGCAAAGCTTGATGCCTATGCCGCTGCCGAGCAATCGCCCTTCAATATTACAAACAGAAACCGGTCAGCTGCCGGCGTGAGAGCTGGACCAAGATCCGGCGGTAGTGGAGGTGGGGGAGGCGGAGGTGGAAATGGTGGTAGTGGGGGTGGGGGAGGCAGGAAAGTGGGAACCGTGGACGATATACGGGGCCCAGAGTGCAAGAGCTGTGGTTGAAATGTTGGAAATGCCTAACAATTCGGCTGTTTCAGGCGTTGGAAGAATGGCGTTATGTTTATGATATTTGCAACGGGAGTCTGATTGAAATTCGCATTGTTTGCGTAGACAAGCAGCCTGGTCGACTATAGCGACATTACAACAGGTGTTTCTTATGCTAGAAATTGCTCCTCCTCCCTCTTGAGCGACCTCCATACCTTGAGTTACTCTTGCTAATACCTAGATCAACCGCTGTTGTGCAAATGGTAGGCTACAATCTGCACCAAACATCTACCGCAGAACGCAGAAATGCTGAACTTGTAGCAGATTTCACCATGCAGCTCCTGGCTATTCTGAACGCCCTTATTCCATCCTTAAGTATGTCCAAGATGGCCAGCATTCGGTCCCGCCTTCGGATTTCAAGCCACTGATCTGTTGATCGCTTTTGTCATGATTCTAGTTCATCGCTGGATCTATCTTTTCATGTTCGAGCATAATCCTCTTCGGAAGTAGGATAGATGCACGATGACGCCGAGGTTTTGGCGTCTGAAACACAAGGAGAACCGTTCGCGATCACATGAGAGTTATGGCAACTTCAACGAAGCTAGCTTTCCTCACCCGTGACTCTGGTAACTCTTCCTCCTCCTCTTCTACTTCCACAGTCTCAGCCCCTTTGGGAATCGCTGACTCCACTATATCATCGACAACACCAACCGTGCCAGTCCTCAACCGCACTCTGCAATCATCTTGGCCCTGGAAGAATAACGCTAAGCCTAGCACATTCTGAATGGCCCTATTCGTAGCCTTCAAGACTACTTCCTCTGGTTCTTTGCCTGTTGAAGCATTGGTTCTTTCACCAAGCTTTCTGAGCTTTTGTTTGTCACTGCCTTTGCCTTCCACTAGGTCTACCTTGCCCATAGATCGTTTGTCAATCTCACCAAGCAGCTTGCGAACCCGTTTGACGGCTGATATGAACGGCATTTTGGTTGAGACGTAGATGACCTTCTTTTGGTCAGCACCGGTATAGGGAGAAGGTATCGGTGGACGGAGAATAGGCCGCTTTTCGATTCGCGCATCTAGATGTCTCTGAGTCTAGGATTCCAGTCCACAACATAGGTCGACCTACTCTTCGGTAAACGAGGCATTTTTTGGGCATTGCTTTTATCTTTGTCCCTAGGTTTGGTAGCTAGTTTTGGTGCCATGATAGCGTTCTATGATTGTAAAAGCACCACAAGACATTGCGGAGCAAGATCCGATAGAACCCAGTGCTTCTTCGGGAGCGCTTGGCGCCTTTCTACCCGGCCGGCCGGCCGTCCGCTCCTTTACTTTATTCTGCTGCAAGCCTGCAAGGCGCAAGCTCCACATCACGCCCGCAGCATCCTTGGCTTGATGAGGCTACGGCACGTTCACTTACCTGGTCTGACACCTTACCTACGGGCATCAGCTATACAAGAGCACCTCGTTCGCCTTCATTTAGATCACAAAGCCTCTCAATCAACGGCTCCAGCTCCCGGTCCCGTCCTCCTTACCTTCCAGACCCCTCCAACATACACCTGCGGCCGGCGAGAAGTTGGTGCGCTTTCACACGAGCAAAAAGCCCACCTCAGGGCTCACAGGAAAGCTGAATTCCATGAAGCACTCCGTGGCGGGCAAACTACCTTCCATGGCCCAGGACAAGTGACGGCTTACCTCATTCTCTCGCTTCGAGAGCATAATCTAAACGCCAGAACTCATGTTCGGCTCCTCGAAGACTCAGTAATAGGTACGTGCGAAGGGTATTGGCTTGAGGCCCGTACGACCGAAAACCCAGGGGTATGGATTGGACCTAGCTCGAATGAACGCAAGCTCGCCAGTGTAGGAGTACATCTGAGACGGCACATTGCAAGTCATGGGGTCGGGTTGAACGTCACTGTAAAGCTCTGGTGGTTTGATAGGATTGTGGCTTGCGGACTACCAGAGAAAAAGGCCACGTCAATTGAGAAGGAATATCAGAACATAGAGCCGGACAAGGGACCAAATGCGAAAGCACTTGGTCCCACCAGGGTGCCTGGAAAATGTCGGCCCGTCCTCCAGTTCTACGACAATCCTAGAGTGATGCGGCAAGTGGCTGACGGCCTCGCGAATCAAGTGGCATCACGTTTGTCGGGCGTTGACGGCAGGGTAGAGAATGTTACTGAAAAGAGCATAAGGCCGGGAGAAGTCCACTACCCATAGCCGGATTGAATGCATGGCTTAATTATGCTTGTGAATTTGACAAGCGAGAAGCCTTTCAGCAAATTCCCATCATGGTCCATTCATGAGTGCTATTAGCTTGAAGAGGCTCAGATCGGAGTAGATAGCTGGAGCTCGCAAGCTATTGATTGACCTCGTACTCATCTCATGTGGACCAGGTCTCACCTTTCCGGCGATGGACATCCTCACAGTGTCTGAGCATCAAGGAGACCTTAATCGAGCGATAGAAATAGCCATATACACAAATATACACAGGCTGTATACACCGGCATTACTTTGATTTCCTACTGTTGTGCTGTAGAAGCCGAGCTAGGCTGAATCATAAGGTGAACGTACTAAAAGCGGCGCATCAATAGATATCCTCAAGCATTTGTGTAAATGTTCCCAGTAGAAGACGGGAATCAATTGTTTGGACCTCGGGACCCAGATCCAAACCTTAAAAGAACCCGGGTCCAAGATTTCACGCTAGGCTGGTGAGGGATCGCAAATGTCAATTCGTCACTCAGAACTGTGTTCAAGAGCCTACTTTAACCAGCGTCCGCATCACATTCTTTTGTTACATAGCTTTGGTATCACATCCCCTACATAAGTGAATGTCCGCGACCCATTCAAGATTGCAAAGCAAGATCCTAGCTACCTGAGTGCCGTCCCGCAATCCTTCACCCGCCATGCCTCTCTGCGGAGGAGGCAAGACGGTTCATCGCAAGCTTGTCCTATTGTACGGTCTTACCACCTTCCATTACTGCCAGTTGACTTACAGACAATTAAAATAGAGGTGACGGTGCTTGCGGCAAGACTTCACTGCTCAACGTATTTACCAGAGGGTACGTCTTACCTTCTAGGACCCAGCGGAGCTTATCTGATGCGCCTTGCGCCATCGCAGGTACTTTCCTACAGTATACGAGCCCACCGTCTTCGAAAACTACGTCCACGACATCTTCGTCGATAATGTCCACATCGAGCTCTCCCTCTGGGATACCGCGGGCCAAGAAGAATTCGACCGCCTGCGCTCCCTTTCTTATGACGACACCCACACTATCATGCTCTGCTTCAGCGTCGATTCCAAAGATTCGCTCGAGAACGTCGAATCGAAATGGGTGGGCGAGATTGCGGAGAACTGCCAGGGTGTGAAGCTCGTGCTTGTGGCGCTAAAGTGCGATTTGAGGGAGAGGGGCGGCGATGAGGAGGAGGAAACGGGAGCGAGGTCAGGAGGGGAGAAGGTCATGATTGACTACAAGCAGGGGTTAGAAGTTGCAAAGAGGATCCAGGCGCTGCGATATCTGGGTACGTCACGTTCCCGTAGTGTCTGCTTCGCAATGGGAGGGAACGAGCTAACACCTATTGCTGGCGCAGAGTGCTCAGCAAAACGAAACCGGGGCGTGAACGAAGCATTCACAGAAGCAGCGAGAGTCGCGCTCTCAGTCAAGGGCGCCGGCACGTCTAGTGGAGGGAGCAAGTGCTCAGTGATGTGAGCTGTACATGACGCGAAACATTCCTTTCCCTGTGCATGCTGAGTATTCGCCTTTACGAGGACCCACTTCCACGCCTTTCTATTTGGGCGTTATGGAAGTCCATTCGCTGTATTCACGAGCCTGGAGATGCTGAAAGGGAGTCTCTGTTGGCTAGCAACGGCGTTTCAATCGTTCGTTCTACTATGTAACATACTCGCCCTGGTCATCATACCAAACTTCCCTGCAGACTGTGCGCTGCATCCTCGGTCCGCTCTCTAGCTTTGTGACCGATGCTTGCTCGAGGTCAGAAGAGAGCGGAAAGACATCGGCGGGGTTCGAACACTTTAAGCCACGGATGTAAGAGGCGAAGACTTGGACCTCGTTCGCACTGTTAGCTGCCTTCTTCGCTCTGTGAGGTCAAACATCTTCGAATTAAAGGGCCAGGAAATGCAACAGGTGTCCTCTCCGTTAGTGCAGGACAGACCAGCCGAGATCGCTGAACGTCAAAGTACTAAGCTCATACATCCCATCTCTATAGTCTATATTGGATTAATTTTTCATCTCCAAAAGAACTTGCTCAACGTGATGGAGTCAAGACCCAGCTGCAAGCACTCTCTCCCCACTTCAAAAGATCAAGTACAGCACATCTGCGAGGCTGTTCCCATTCAATCTCATGGGCGCCCGAGTCTGCACCTTCTCTTTCGCATTCCATGCAATGCCTAAGCCCGCGGTCCCAAGCATGAGCAGATCGTTGGACCCGTCTCCCACAGCCAGCGTTTCAGACAACGGGATCGCATGATCAGCTGCAAGAGATCTCAAGGTCTCTCTTTTCAGCTCGGGCGTAACGACTGGATAATTGGAATCCAGCAAACCTGAAAGATGCGGATACGGGAAGTCCGCTGTCGGGCCCTCTTCCAACAAATGGTTCGCAACGGCGACATCAAGCCCCAGCTCGCCTTTCAGCCACTCGGCCATTGGGATGAAACCTCCGCTCACAACACCGGTCAGCACTCCCTTCTTTTTCAGACCACTGACGAGCTCTCTTGCCCCTGTCGCAATCGTGACCGTCTTCTTCAGGTCCTCCCATACATTCGTACGCACACCCTTTAGCATGGCTACACGTTCTGAGAGGGAGGTTGCGAAGTCAATGTCCCCGTTCATGGCACGGGCTGTGATGGCCGAGACTGCATCGCTGATGCCAATTGATCGGGCAAGCTCGTCGATTACTTCTTCGTTGATGAGGGTGGAGTCCATGTCGAAAAGAGCGAGCAGCAAGGGCCGCTGTTGATGCCCAGAAGCATTTGGATGAACGTCAAAGATGATCTCGAGACCATGTCTCCTTTCAAAATCTTGGATTGGAGCATCATGCCGGATATTCGAAAAGTCCGGTAGGTCTTGGTAGAGTCCTGTGTAGGTGGATTGAGTAATATGGGAGGTTAGATGCTGGGTTGATTTATAGTCAAGTTGGGGCACAAGCTGGGCGAGCAGAGATGTAAAAGTACCAACATAGGAGGGCAAAGATGGTCTCGTAGCTTTGGTCTCATATTGGTCCCTATCTCCGCTACTAGCTGTAGCCTGTACATTCAGATTTGGGGGAGTGAGCCTCGACTTGGGAAAAAAGGTCGCGATGAGAGCAACTTTTCGTGTCTGTTCAAGCGACTTGCCATTCTTTTCATGCTTTGGGCCCTCCCTAGCGACTTCGGTAAGAGGTGCTGGAGCGAGCATCGGTGATCGATGAAGCGAAAGTTGCTCGAGCCTCTCGTCGTCCGTGAGCAAGGATTTCGGGTGTGATCTTATCGATAAGGGCATGGAACCTTAGCTCGGAAATTATTCAAACTTCCTTGAGCTTCGACTTCGAGTTGATAGGCTCATGGGCTCCGAATTTCCTCCTCTGATCACGTTCACTCGTCCCTCTTTCTGCAATGCTCACAGAAAGCTTCATAGCATCGACGCTTAATCCTGAGAAGCCAAGCAACAGCGTCATTCCTGGCGTACACCTCTATGATTTCCAGCCTCTACCAGCTCTGAAGTCCACCTTCAAGAAAAGCTCAACCAACACCAATTCTCTAGCAGTCAGCCCATCTCATGTCTTTGCCGCACAAGAAGATAAAGCAGTTATTCATGTCTACAGCAGGGAGCGAAATAATCAAGAGGCAGTAGTACCCTTTCCAGAGAAGATTCAAAGCGTTGTTCTTGCCGCAGAATCAGAGGGAGCCGGAACGCTCATCCTGGGTACTGAGGGTGGAAGGGTGGTACTATGGGAGGTGTGTCTATCCTACCGAAATGATATCCTCCTCCTAGTAATGCTGATCACTTAAAGTAGCTGGGAACTGGCAGACAAGTATCTACACCACAACATCACCTCCAATCAACAACATGCCTTGCGGTCGATCCAACCTCCAATTTCTTTCTGTCGGGCTCTACAGATTCAAACATACATGTCTGGTCTATCCCAGGTCTGCTCTCATTCTCAGCCTCATCAGCTAATGACAACGGCCATGATCTGCCGTTCTCTCCTTTCAGATCACTTTCGAACCACCGCGCTGCAATAACTGCCATTGTATTCGGCCACAGCTCTGGTAACAAAAACATTGCCGTGTCAGCTTCGAAGGACAAAACATGCATAGTCTGGAACTATCTAAATGGAGATGCTCTGCATACCTTCCTGCTTCCCTCAAGTCCACTCTGTTTGGCTTTAGACCCTGCAGATCGTGCAGTTTACGCCGGTTATGAAGATGGCAGTGTACAGCTCATAGACTTCTACAGTCAGGATGGACTAACACAGCCATTACATAACCCTGCTCTGCAGTCTACACCAACCCAGCCCCGACCGTCGGGCAGGTGGTCAGCTCCGCACCATTCAGCATCCCCACTTCTCTGCCTTCAGGTCAGCTATGATGGCACAAGTCTACTTTCCGGTCATCAAGACGGCAAGATTCATAATTGGGACGTAGCCGCAGGCAAGTACGACAAAAGAGTGGCTGACTTCGCTGCCCCCGTTACGAATATAATTATGCTAAAGCCGATTGGCTTTCCCGACGTAGCCAAGCCAGCTGTGAAACTTCATAATGTTGTCAAGCCGCGATATGAAAGTTTTGTCAATGGCGATCACGGCGTTTCTGACGCTATTATACCCACCAAGTACACCTTTATAGCTCAATTCACATCGACTCTTCCTCTCCCATTCTCCGCCGAAACCACATCTTTTCATCAAGAATTGCATCATTCATCTTTCCCAACTGCTCTTCTCGAAGAATCTCTCGCTGAATTGTCTTCTCCCCAGAAGTCTTTCGGCGCTGCTACTGATTCATCGGAGCTTACCAACCTCCGTGTCCAAAATTCTGCACTCGCCTCTCGGCTTGAGGTCGCTGAGGAGCGTTATCGTAGCGCAGCAGCAATCGTGCTTGAGCAAGAGAAAGAGGATTGGCGGCGACAGAAGGATGAGGAAATCAAGGCGGCGAGAAAGAAACGGAGAAGGCTGAGAAGCATGAGGGATGCGGAAGTAGCGAGGAGAAAGGAAATGGGAGAGGCCGTCGAGGATGAAGACGAAGATATTAATGAACGCGGGAAGGACGAAGACGAGGACTTGAGTAGTAGCACCGATGAGATGACAGAAAGCGATTAGACTCTGAAGCAAAGCAGGAGGAAAGGAAAACATATCAACCGGTCAGGCAACCGAAAAAGTCGCGGTTAGAGGTAAATTTCGTTGCTGGTTGGCCTAACCAGAATTTCTGACCAGCCCTCAGGCATCCACAAAAGCGGTAGTCTCAAAGCGCGATTAAAGGTGTCAAGCTGGTAGTGTTTGTTGGGATACGGGCTTGTAGCCCAAGCAACTTCGTACGCTGATATGCTTCTGCTCTAAGTACTCCGTACAGCTACCGGATCCAAGCCCAGCAACCCGGCCAGTTTTGTTAGAAAGCAAGGCCAGAACAGCAGTTTTTAGGGTTCTGACCGCTGCAATGAGGAGCAAAAGCACGGGAAGAGCGTGAGATAACGATGATTTCAGTCCAATGGTCTTTCCTCGGTGCCACATTTCATTGTTTTCTATGCTCTATACAATCCCGAACTTTCCTCACAGCTCGAGCCGCAATTGTCTTCTCTACACTATTCCACACCGCATATCCTCGTCATTTAAAGTGAGATTGGAGGTCGCCACTCTCGTTTCAGTTCCGCACATCTAGCCTCGACTAGCTTTCAGCCTGGCTTGAACTGCAAAGAATGACTTGGAAGACTGTGACAGCCAGACGGATGTTGTTCATTGCTCAAACGCACTGTCTAGCGCTCCAGGCCTGTTGCAATGAGATGTGTCGGAATGACCGTTGTGGTCTGGAGAGAGCGGAACAGCGGGCTCGATGCACCGTGTCTGATGTTTTGCCAGGCTTACTACCGGCTCGGGACATGAAAGCAGTGAGGAATGTACTTTGGATGCACCATCGTCGTGCAGCGCGGACGTTTGGCGTGCGACATAGACCAAAATATGCTCTATCCATAGTGAGGAACTTGGATCACCGCCGCGAGTGCGACCTCACCTCTGATGTCGGAAGCTTCAGACCATGTCATCATCTCCTTCAACACAGCTTTGGGTGCCATAAAGGTTGCTTGAATAGGTGCGGGAATGTATCTCTTGTACTGAGCCAAAAGCCCTTTGAGGACAAAGCCAGCAATGGAAACGCCTGCTCCGAGGACGAGGAGATCAGAAGCTAGGGTCATGATAGATACCGGAGAAGACATTATAGTGGTTTATGATGCGGTTTTGGTATGTTCTAGCTTGTCCGAATGATTTGGCTGAAGGAAGTGTGGAACTTGGTTCAAGTAGTCTTTGCTTTGTTATTCTTCTTCTTCTTCTTGCTGAATTGAGATGTTTAGAGGTAGTGAAGATTATATAAGAGAGGAAACAATCGCTGCCATTTGTACTTTCGTGAACTTCCGATCTTTCTGAGCGTGCCGAGGTGTCTCTTTCGGATGCAGGAAGCGTTTAAAGTGTCTTGCATGACAACCTGGGAAAGAGGTTGCGCTTCGTCCATCCCCACCTCCTGGTTGCCCAATCGAACGCAAGGCCCCAGGCGCAACAGTCGAGCTCAGACGTCACGCGTGCATACTCCGCATCGATCTGCATGAATGTGACTAGATTGAGTGCAGTCTCATGTGGATCGTGCCTCGGCTGTGACTCTTTTATTTTCGAGGACTGTGAAAAGGACGCGACCATGGCGCATAGATGAGGGAGAAAGCTCTCTGCATTCTGCCCTCTTCGTTGACTTCGGAACAAATATCAGCGAGTCGCTTCAACCAAGCTTTCACAAAAGGGTACTATGATAGATCTTTTGTGGACTTCTGGTTTACGAGTATGCTTATCTCTTAAGTCACTCTTTTTGCTCGACCAGCTACCTACCTAGGTAGGCTGCCGTCAAGTAAAGTTCATGTCAGGCACATATCCTCGAACTGTTCACTGGCTTGCAGAAGGGTTCGACGGTGGGATTATGATTGGGTTCCGAGTCATGATGAAGGCTTTTGACCACAGCAATTGACGCAGGTCACAAGCTGTGCTCGGCTGTTTCAGGAATGTGCACTCGGTCGAGTGTGAGGTGCTGTCAAGACTTCCTGCACGTCATGGATGACCAACATGCAGAGCAACGGACACCCCACGTGACCTTGGAATATGGCTTATCGGCCTCTGGTATTTGCTGAAGTGTATGATTGGGGCCGGAGCCTTTTCCCTCCTGACCAAAGGACAGGTATTCTAAGCTTCGTGGGACCCTGTGGCAAATACATTGCCCGATAAGGTGATGATTGGAGTGGCAGCAAGGAGTTTTGGTTCAAGAAAATCCTAAGAATGTGTCATACTTCAGACTCACGTCGAGAAATTTAATCAATTACTACGGACAAAACTCTCAAGTCGGCCATTGACATGACTCAAGCAGCCACAATGTTTGGCCCACCTCTCATTTCAAAAAGTTCAACCATGGCAATCATGTATGCGTAGAAATCCGTTCGTTTTGCTTACTCGAGTTCTTCGACACCAGGGACGTGATGCATAGTGAGATATGTGATTCCTGAGCCCCACAGAGGTGCTCAAACCCTGTCTAATGACAGCTTTAGACAGAGCATGGAGAACACAGAACACAAATATGAAGCCATGACAGCATTACTACTCTCCATCTCTTTTATCTGTTCAAAAGATTTACTTGATCTGACATTCCTACATTCCAGTCAGCTTCCCCTTGTTCCTCAAGCATCCAAATGTAACAACTGCAACGTACCAAGCAACCCCATGGACATATCCATCCCGTCACTGCAAAACACAAACGCGTTTCAGCACTCAAACTCCTTCACGACATCTCTCAGGGCTGACCAGTAACCGGACAAGAACGCCGGCGTTGTCGTCTTGTCGTCCAATTGAGCAATTTCGTCCTTTGCGGATTGAAAGCGTGCGTTGATGATAGGGCACGTTTGGTTCGTGCAGCCGCGGTCGACTGCGTTGCCGTTGGCCATGTCGGGTGCGCGTTCAGTGAGGGCGAGGCGAGGGGCGAAGAGGAAGAGGACGGCGAAGACGGCCTGGAGGGGGAGTTGCATGGTTGGTTGATTTGTTTGATGGAAAGGGCGGAAGGAAAAGAAGCCGAGTGGGTCTGATGGGTCGGAGGGAAAGGGTCTTGAATGATAGGAGCAGGGGTGGTGAGTATTTGTAGGATCCTGGAGCTAGAGAGAGTTTGGTACTCTTGCCCACTGTATGTGTTCGTTTAGACATGGCTTTTCTTGACTGGCTGTCAGGGGCTGCTTAATGCGCGTTTCGGAGGGATATTCAGTATTCGCTTCATTCGATCTGCCGGATACCGTAGGCACAACGTTTGTATTTCAGCCGTGCCATGGTTATCAATGCTGTTTTCCACCATGGCGAACGGGCTTCTAGATTGTCGAGTCGTGAACAAGACTTGCAGTGTAGGTTGATTGAAGGGTTTGCCGAGCACCGACGACGTCTGAGTCTTTATTTGACAGAGGGGCGCCACAGATCGAAGTGCCCTATTGATTTGGGGAAAGCTTCACAAGAGCAAGAACCTTCTCACAGGTGTCAAGCCGTGGTAAAGTTCCAGCCACCGAAAAACAAAAAGAAGCCATAAGGCGAGAAGCCCCCTCACACTTGGACACGGAGGGAACGATGAAGAGGATAAAAAGGGTGATGAGGCATATGTGTATTGGCAAACCTCGCGGGTGTATGTTCAGGGTCAAACACGTCGCAATGCAGGCTGCCGTAAGAGATGCCCTCCTTATCAACCCACTCTGCTAATAATGCATGATCGTGAAGACGATTCCGAACAATCCGTATTCTTCTCGAAACCTTCCTTCCAAGAAGTAAAATCAGACGCCAAGGGTATTGCTCAGTGTCGTATCATACGTATCATCGAATTCGGCGCTCATCTTTCTCCACCCGGCTGCCAGCCATTTAACCAAGTCATGATCCCAACTCCGATAAGTACGACCCCAACCATAGACACATAAGGTGCACTCTGTACTATGCGCCCACCCTCTCCGGTACTGCCCCATTGCCGTTGCTGCTGGAGTACGTTTGATACCGTTTTCTCCAGCTCTCGGTGCATGTCCTCTATTGCAGCGGTGCCATTTGGTAGCTGGTGATGCAGATGCGAGGACGACGAGCTGCGGTCCATTCCTTTGGAACGTGTAGGACCCTTTGAGTCCGCACCTCCATCAATGTCGCCATTGCCGAGAAGTGTAGAGTCTTCGTCATTTGTTGTTGGCATCACGCTCTTGGAGTCGCGTCCTGCTCGAATGCTTTCCACCATCTCCGCTAAGCCCCTTTGTCCCTCTTCAGCGTCTTCTGCTCTTTGCTTGTATGATTCCATCAAAAACTTCAAGTCATCCATCTCTTTGACCATGAGGTCTATTCTCGCCTGTAGCCGCGAGGTTGAGGTATCGATATCTACTGTGCCCTGATGCATGTCTTCAGCGCTCTTCAAAGTCGCTGTGGATATCGATCTTGGAAGCAACTTCGACTCCTCGTCATCCTCCGCATGACCATTTGGTAGCTCGTGCTCGATGAGCTCCAGAGTATCCAAGGGTGGCTCGAAGGCCTCCTCCTCAACAGTACCATTGGTCTCGTGATCATCTTGGCTACCCGATAAGGTGCGCGCACGCCGTTCCGCAAGCTCACGTGCCTTGCGCTCTCGTGCCAATGCAACTTCGAGATGCTTTACGCGGCTGCCTTGCGAATCTATTTCTTGTTTCGCTGACTTTAATGCTTCGAGCAGGGAGACAATCTGGCCACTCGGAATCTCTTTTGTAGGTGAGTTCAATCCTGATTTTGGTCTTTCTGTATCTACCCTCTTCAAAGATGGCTGAGACAACGAGTCTGGTATGGTGAAGCGAGCGGAATCTGGTTTTTCAGGAAGAGGATGTTGTGGCGGTGGGGCTGGAGGCTGCGAAAATGGAGACATAATGTCGACCTGGGAAGGTGGATGAACACCATTCGTTTTATTCTCCTCTGTAATATGTTTCGGTGGGGAATTAGGGGGCTGTTCGCCAGGTTGTAGCGTTAGTAGAGTGTTGAAAAAGTCCCCAGTACGGTGGAGATCCTGGGATTGCTGCTTCGCTTGCTTGAGCTCCCCCTGGCATATATCAGCAATGGTGTACACATAACTTAGTCTAGCTTTCGACTTACCCCCAGCTTTTTCACGACCTGCTCAATGGTGATAGGACCCATCCAAAGATTCATTTGCCTCTGCGGTCCCAACATATTTGAATTGCCCCCGGCCATACTCGACGGACCAGTCATACGGCCGTTGCTGCCCACGGAGCCTTGACTACCACCTCGGCCTCGCATTTGTGACATTTGCTGACTCATGGGCTCCCCCATCATCGCGTTGCCGCCACTCGAAGTATTGGCACTGAAGTCCATTTCCAGTAGGCTTGGAGGGTTGGGATAAATACCCGCAAGTTCAACTTTGGCGGAGACTTTGTGGTGTACAATACTTTTCTGATCCTCACTCACAATGTCAATACCCAGCTCCAACGTGTCTTGTTCCCGAAGTTCGTGCGGCTCAGAATCTCTGTTTTCCGCCGATAACCTAACTCCGTTGACGAAGGTTCCATTCGATGATTTCACGTCTTTGATCCATATCTTGCCAGTCTCCTTGTCCGCCCACACCTCAGCGTGTTGCCTCGAAAGTACCTTGGAGTCGAAATAGCCGTTGACGGGCGTTGGTACAGTCTTCGCATTCGTTTGACGACCAATCCGCAAGAAGTCTGGAGAAAATGGTACGGTAATTTGTTTTCTTTCGAAGGTACCGGTCATTGGCAGCAGTGCCAGAATGGCCGGTGACGGTCCTGAACCTGTAGTCTGCTGTTCTCCTCTTCCTCCATTTTGCTGGGCTTGAGATTGAAGTCTGTTTTGTGAGGGTAACACTGGGGAAGGCTGGTGCATTGCGGTGTTCATGGTGGACGCGGCTGACTGACCTGACGACGGGGTCGGGAGTGCCTGTGATCTCGCTGTAGATAGACCTGATACAGGCTCGGCTTTGGAAGACGGCCAAAGACCTCTGGCACCACTGGCCGCCTTTTTCTTTGGTCCCCACCCTCCTTGTTCCCCATTCGCAGTTGGGGTGTCGCCGTTCGTTTGTGGGGCAGGAGCAGGTGAAGTGAAGGTAGATGACGAAGCTGAAGAAGTAGTCGAAGAAGCCGAGTTCGTGCGCTGTGCACCCTTGCGAGGCATGAACATTCTGGTAACCTCCTCGGCGCTCATGGGTCCCTCTACACCACTACCAGCATTCCATCGTGGCTGAAAGCTAGGTGGAGACGCTACAGCAGTCATCGATATAGTGATAATTCCGTTGCAAATTTGCTTCTGTACCATCCAACTTCCTAAAGCTCCAACTCCTCTTCCAAGCGGTCCTTGATTTCAGGTCCCACGTTGTTGAAACAAGCGCGCCACTGCAGGCCTCGAGCGTGGAGGGAGGTGACTTCGGGTGATGAAATGACCCTTCATGTGACTTGGACTTGTAAGGAGGTGTGAGAGTTTGGTGGATGTGCAGCTCCTGGCGTGACACAACTGATGCAACGACGATAGATGCCGGACGACCGCAAAGACCCTTATGGCAAGAGCTAGGTCACCAATGAAAAAAAGATCAGACCAGCTGCGTGTCTGCTTGAAATTCAGAGGAGAATTGAAAAAGGTTAGTAGCAAGTGTGATGATAGTATTGAGGCCCGCCAACGTTGATGTACTGGTTGTTTGATTTTAAACCTGAGGGGTAGGGTTAAAGGGATAAGTCATCGTTGGTTTTTTGGCAGGCGCAAACGCGAGCTAATAGGGCTGAGACAGACGCCGGCAAAAACAATGATAGAAGTTATCGTAGAAGACAACAAAAAGACATGAGTTCACAAAGGCTTTGTACATTTCTACATCATCCCGGTCTGATCCATCCGAGTATTAATTGTATTTTCGTCTGTGGGGATATTGCATGTAGCTGCTACGTTGACAGCCACACGTGACTACATTTTCCTGCGCCACGGGTGGTCCGAGCTTGCAACGGAAGACTCGAAAGTCAAAAGACTCAAAGCTTTCCAAAACATTCTGAGAGCATTGATACACGATCCAAATTTTGCAGGCACATCCGCAAGCTGTCCCTAACTTTCCCCTACATCCTATAACCATCTATATATTCAACATGCCGCCAATGCCATCGAGCTCCACAGGCGGAGGACGCATGCAAGGCCCCTCCACGTTTGATAAATGTGTGCTCTCTCTACCCTCACCCACGTGCCATTACTAAACAATGATCAGGGAAAATGGGCGCAATGCTTGGAGGCTGTATGGACATTCAATGATGCCTGCCTTGGGTCAAGTCTTCCACTAACCAGGTATTTTGCTCTACAGCCGTAGGTCTGATCATGGGCTTCATCTTTGGTACATCTTTCAACAAAACTCCCTTGCAGGACAATTGAACGAGTGCTAAGATGAAGCGAAGGTGGCTTCAACATTATGAGATACGGGGCTGGTCCCAGTGGCCCTATGAGGACCTTAGGTCAATACATGCTGGGTTCGGGGGTTACATTCGGGTACGTTGGCTATGGGTTTTCCACCTCGCGCCGCCTGGCACATCTACCTGAGTCCAGCTTGATGCTGACCGCCATTCTACCCGACAGTTTCTTCATGTCAATAGGCTCTGTAATCCGCACGGAAGGCAATTCACCCTTGGCCACCGAGGCATTCGCACGAGCGAGACGCCAACCTATGTTACTGCCTAGAAAACATGCGAGGAGACTGGAGCAAAGAGATGGAGGAGAGCGTGAGCTGTTAAATCGTGTACAAAAGAAATAAATGCGAACTGTGGCTGTGATCTTACTACCCACCTATCTCAATCGATCACTGACCCACCCCGACAACGTTGATTGTGGATCACGCACCCGCTACTTTTGCCCTGATGGCTATCTCAAAGCACTGATGGTGGTCTCGCTGCTCATTCAATCGTGGTGACTTTAACGGCACTATTGTTCTCCTTGACCCGGTACGGCCTACTTATAATTTGCTATCTAGGGAGCTGTTGAACAGGACAGAAGGAAACGAAGGAAAAGACATGGATCGGGAAAATTGAGAAAGAGGTTGGGATAAGGATAATAGGAAGGGGGAAGGCAGTAAGGATACGAAAACGATGTGGAACAACGTCCAGAGGAGGCTACACCTAGGTTTGAAGCGGTATAGCAGTGAAATTTTTCCCAGAGCATCATAGGGATTGGCACTAAAAGTTGCTATGTGTCGGAAAGCGAGAGTGTGTATATGAATTACTGGAAGACTGAAAATGCTTGTCTCACCACCCTCTAGACTCACATTTGGACAGTCTATAAAGACAGAACCACTGAGTCTGACGACAAGGGTAGGTAGTGTCTCATCTCAAACGTAGGTGATTTGGAAAGGCGCAGGGGAAATGAGTTGTCCAATGCCGATACTTGGTTAGCCACCACATTGTCAGCAAATATGTCACACTGGGCTTTGGTCTCCTCCAGTGCTGCAAGCGTAAAAGCCAAGAGATATTGGCGGAAGAGGTGTAAGAATAGTTTGGGCGGATTGTATGATACCATGAAAAAGTCGTGTACTCGTACTCCACGCCGAAATTCAGAAGTAGTGCTTTTTGGGGCCCGCCTGCGCCTGCCGCTGAAGCCGCGATCACAGGGTTGAAAAGCATCCTTTTTACACTTTTCGCAAGCATGTGCAAGCTTTTCATCCACAGGGTGCTTGATGCCATCACGTGAGCTGTGGCAACAGCAGCTGCAACCATTGTTACACGTCTACTCGTACACCATCCAGCCTTCAGAAGGCCTAGGCGAAGTGTACCACAGTATGCGCGATGACAACTAGATATACACAGGACGAGTGGCTTGCTATATTTGACCAAGCGGGGCAGAACCTATCAAGTACCCCAACAGAATACAAAGCACCAAGTGTCGGGACTGCGGCGTTTGCTAAGACCTTTGATCATACGCTCTTAAAGCTCGAAGCGACAGGCACGCAGGTGGATACTCTCTGCGAGGAAGCTAGGAGACACAATTTCAAGGTGTGCCATTTCTTTCGATGCGAGATTTGATTAGATCTGGCCCAATTCTACTATGACCTATGTAAATCCATTCGTCTCAGAAGCATCCTTGGAATTGTTCAAATTATCCTTCGTAACTGATCAAATCTACAGTCCGTCTGTGTACGACTGAAGTGGGTGGACCGCGCTGTTCACAATCTGCAAGGAGGTTCGGTCGTTCTAGCTTGTGTGGTCGGATTTCATGAGGGAACCCAATCCATCAAGGAGAAGACAACGTGGGAAGATTCTTACTAGAGGGTAAAGCAGCGCTGATGACAATTCAGTGAAGCCTCGAGAGCTGTCGATGCAGGCGCCAAAGAGCTCGACATGGTCATGAATCATGTTCTCCTCAGACAGAAACACTACTCCAAGGTGTACACAGACATAGCAGCTGTGCGTAACGTGGCACCTCATCCAATCATCCTTAAGGTGATCCTGGAAACATCTCAACTATCTCCACGCGAAATAATAGCTGGATGCAAGATAGCGGAGGCAGCAGGGGCCGATTATGTGAAGACTAGCACTGGATTCAACGGCCAAGGTGCAACTCAAGAGAACGTCAAACTGATGAAGAGCGTTGTGGGAAACACTATGAAAGTCAAGGCAAGTGGTGAGTGCACTTTTCGGAGCCTTTTCCCCACAGTCGATGCCATAGTTGAGTCCCGCGAAGTGTCTGGGGAGCAAATGCTCTTCATGCTTTTGTTTGATGACTTGCAATTTCTGTCTCAAAGAATTCGTACTGACTCCGAAATGTGCAGGCGGCGTGAAGACGGTGAATGAGTGCGTGGTCATGATGGAAGCTGGTGCAGAGAGAATCGGCACGAGCAATGGAGTATGGATCATGGATGAAGCAAAGGGTTTGCTCGAGCAGGTAACCCATGCTGCTGCAACTGGGGAACTGAAAGGCCAGAGGCCAGCATCATCGTTAACGCGGATGTTCAGTTCTTCATGAAATTATCGTAACATATGGACTCTGATCCGATTAGAAATGCCGTCCAGGGCGATATGACCATTGATATGAATCTGTTACATATTGGCGTTGCCCCAAGACCTCTATCGCGTCGAAGACAGAAGGTTTGTCTCTTTCAAACTTCTCGCAACATTCATTCCGCTCGACTACCAACCAACCTTGACTTGCTTCCAGTCTTTTGACGAGACGGCGAAGATTCCAGCCCCTTCTGCTCTCGTGTCAGAAGGGTATTTCCTCTTCGTGCGTTTGCCTCAGGAGCCATCCTAGAAGTCATACATTCCGGATTTAAATTGCCTGGTAGATCTTGTAGTAGAGACACCCACGTTTCAACGGCTTTAGAACAGTGATTAACAGCCCGCTCCGGGCCTCGAACCCTCACTCTCTGCCGTTGACTGCGCTAGGAATAGTGATCACTCGAGGGACGAATCCTTCCTGATGGCAGCTGACATCAGCAACGATATATGAGCATGCAACACAGAGCACACAATGTTTAAAATTGTGGTTGCTGCCTAATGCTCTTCAAAAGACCCGTTATATTCCTTGGGAATTTTACACCTATCTTCATTTATAAAAAACACATCGCCCCGTTTCAAGCTCAGACAAAAAACGCACGCAGGACCCGCACCCTCCGCTTCGGTATTTTCCGCTCTCGACATTTGCCTCATCTACTTCTCCAATATCATGTGTCTTCATCTTGCGCATTTCCATGCTTTTCTTGTCAGTCACAATGAAGATATTGGAGAGCGTCTTTCTCGGAATACATATACAGTCCATTCTCTCTAATTTGCTTTCGTTTCTCAAGCATTCTCATCTGTTCGCACAGCGTCACGTGGGGAAGTGCTGCGACTTCCATCGAATTCACAGGAGGGATAGAACCGCATGAAAGTTTCCCAAAAAGACGGCTAAACGAAACTTCCGTATCCCTATCATGATTACGAAACCACTCCCTGTACACAAAGTCCAGGATCCTAAGTGGATCAAACGTACTCATACCAGTATTAGTAGATAGCGCAGTCTTTTCAGAAGAATTGCCGGCAATCGTCTTCTGTAATATTCTTGGTATCTCGTTGGTGGAATTGTAGAGATGCGCGAAAAGCTTCGGATCCGGAAGTGGAAATGTTGAGTTGTCAGGTCGCCATCAGTCTTTTGGTTGAGCCGGAGGTACTTATGACTTTACTTTACTTTAGGGTTCCTCGGTCTTGAAATGCGGCTTGGATTGAACAGCAATTGCGGTGATGATAAGATTAGCCGGCTCTAAGAAATACGCATGGCGTGACGCGATTTACGCATAAAACTGGCCTTAGACGTCAAAATAGAGTTGGACGGGGTTCTTCTCCAGTATCAGATGGCGTTATCAGCGCAAGCACCGAAACTTTTGCCCCAAGAAGCAAATATCAATTCCACGGAAAAATATGACCCTCTTCGCCCCCAGATTCTGCTTTTGCTCAAGAGGAAGCCTGTTGGTACTGGCCAGTTTCGTATACATCGTCCCTTAACATTGTGAGAGCAGCATTGCACTCCCGAACACTCCAGAATATATACGTAAAAGGCATCAGCCAGCTGAACCCGCAAGGCTGATGGCCCCTCCTTTCCTTACAGCTCTTGACTCGGCTGGTCATGTCCATCTGATTGTTGGATCAAACCCATTAGCCAGTGCGAGGTGCTCGAAGAGCATTGAAGTCGGCGCAAAGCCAAAAGTCATTGCCCCAGCGGACGCAGACTTTCATTATGTACTGGCAAAACGAATCGAAGATGGAGAAGTGGAATGGATCAAGAAAAGCTTCGAGGATACAGATCTTTCAACGCTGGGAAGGGGTGAGGTAGACAATGTTGTAGACGCCGTATTCGTGACCGGGAATGGGAAGAATGCATTAAGTATGAGAGAGTTTGCTCTTTGGAAGGACATAAGCTTACCAGTCATTTGTAGGCACACATATCTCTAGCTTATGCCGCCGTCTGCGTGTACCAGTCAATGTTGTGGACGCACCCAATCTATGCACGTTTACACTTCTTTCTACGCACGCGGATGGACCACTACAAATTGGGATCACGACATCTGGCAAGGGTTGCAAGCTTGCTTCAAGGATACGGCGAGAGATTGCGTCATCTCTCCCGCCCAACTTTGGCACTGCCGTGGAACGTCTAGGTACGATTCGGCGTCGGATATGGGAAGAAGACCACAGAACGTACGAGACCGAGGAGCCAGCTACGGAAGTTGAGGACGATGATGCCACAGCACAGAGGCCTACCTTCAATCGGTTGGTTTCAGAGACAGATCACAACGCCGCAAGAACACGCCGTATGCGTTGGCTTTCTCAAATTTGCGAATACTGGCCTATGCGACGGCTCGCTTCCATTACGGATGCCGATATTGATACTATACTGCGATCCTACAATACCCCGAGCGATTTAGTGCCGCCTCCATTGGATGCTACGAATCCAAACACACGCAGTGGTCCCAAACCAATGATCATTCTGGCCGGATCTGGCCCTGGCAATCCGTCACTCCTGACAATGGCCACCCACCGCGCGATCCAGACCGCTTCCGTTATCCTCGCGGATAAGCTTGTTCCAGCTCCTGTGCTTGATCTTATTCCTCGTCGCACCCCTGTCCACATCGCTCGCAAATTTCCTGGCAACGCAGACGCCGCTCAAGCCGAATTGCTCTCACTTGGCCTGGAGGCCTTGCAGAAAGGCCATACCGTACTTAGGCTAAAGCAGGGTGATCCTTACATCTATGGACGGGGAGCAGAAGAATTTAGTTTCTTCCGAGAAAGGGGTTATGTTCCAGTTGTTCTCCCAGGCATTACTAGTGCCCTTTCAGCTCCATTGTTCGCTGCTATACCGCCTACGCACCGCAGTGTGGCGGATCAGGTCCTGATTTGTACGGGTACCGGACGGAAAGGAGCTGCGCCTGACCCTCCTCCCTACATTCCGACACAGACAGTGGTCTTCCTCATGGCATTGCACCGACTTTCTTCTCTTGTTGATGCTTTGGTTGGAGCAGGACGTACAATGGAATCATCGGAAATTGGATCAAAACCCAAGCCTTGGCCGCGAGAAACCCCTTGTGCCGTCGTCGAACGAGCTTCTTGTCCAGACCAGCGGGTCATACGAAGTACGCTGCAGCATGTCTGCACAGCCGTCGAAGAAGAGGGGAGCAGACCTCCTGGATTACTGATCGTGGGCTGGAGCTGTGAGGTGCTAATGGAGATGAAAGGGACAGGGAGATGGTTGGTGGAGGAGGGATTCGCAGGATTCGAGGCACCAGAACTTGGAAGCAATGGTTCAGCAGGTTTAGTGAAAGGGATGAGTATAGATGGTCCCTCGAGAAACGAACATTTACTACACAACAGCGAGACATCTGCTCAAATATCGGATCTGAGTGTCCAATAAGGGTCATTTAGGCATGAGTCTATGTTGAAAATGTCGATATATCGAGCTTTGTTCGTGTACATGAAAGGAAGTTATTCTTGGTATATAATCAAATTCATATAGTCTTATCTAAAAGAACTCTCATCACATCGTGTGCGCCTAGTCCACTTCCAAAGTCACTGGTGCAGGTGCAACCGTGCACGGCAGGATTGCAGCTCGCTAAATTTCTGCGGGGGGGCTGTGCTAGAGATTTAGGTAGGGCCTAGGGGCTTGGTCCGACCTCTAACGTCTAAACATCGGAGCAACCATTTTCGCCTCCCAACCCGCTCCCTTCGCCTGAGCCATTGACATTTTAGGGAGAGCCTTACCCCACATTTGCAAGCGTCCAAATTCGAGACCTAGGCTCTTAGGGTACAATAGGTAGTCTGGATGTCTTGAAGTTGGACCTCGTTTTGACCGATTGGGCCCCCCAAACACCAACTTATTTACCGTTACTGACCTACCGTACTCACTCACACCTCGGCCTATACTGCACAACGACAGCTTTGCTACTGCCACTGTCACACTGTCACACCCCAGCTCATACATCATGCTCACTCGACGGCTCTTCACGAGCTCCTCCACCCCCTCCACCATCCTCCGCACCTTCACCACCTCGACCGCCCACCAACGCTCTCCCGCCCTCGGCGACATCACACCCAACGGCGTCGCAAAGTTCGACGCCCGCCAAACAGCATTCCGAGAAGAAGTGCGAGAGGCCCAAAAGGCACAAGAAAAGCAAGATAGTCAGTCGTCTGTTACAGCTCCCACTGCCCCAACAGCCCCCTACAATGCCATCCCAGGCGCTGCTCCCTCCACTTCACCAGCAAGCGATGCGGGTTCCGCCTCCTTGCATGGCCATGTTGCATTGGGCTCACTGTCAACGCATGATGCAGGGGCCAGTCGTGATACGTCACAACAACCGGAAAGCTCGAAACATAAAGGCGCGTTAAGCAGCTTGATCTATGGCACGCATGAAGGACAACAGATGGACCACGAGATCGAGAAGAGCTTTAGTCAAGTGCTGGCAAGAGGGAAGTATGTGCATAGTATCGTGATGCACTCTGTCAAACCGGACAAGGTGGATGAATACGTGGATCTAGTAGGGGATTGGTATCCGAAGGTCGCCAGTACACCGGAGCACCACGTACATTTGGTCGGGAGCTGGAGGACTGAAGTGGGTGACTGTGATACTTTCGGTATGTGTTTCTCGCTCTTTCCTTGAGGAGATGGGACGACTTCGAATTGACGACTCGGCAGTCCATATATGGGAATATCAACGCTATCAAGGCTACCACTCTTCGCTCCACTCCATCCAACACCACCCCGACTTCCCGGCCTTCGACAACAAACTCAAGTCTTTAATAACCCACAAAGAAACCTCGCTCATGCAAGAGTTTTCCTTCTGGCCCACTACACCCCCTCGTCAGCTCGGCGGACTTTTCGAATTACGCTCTTACACTTTGCACCCTGGCAACCTCCTCGAATGGGAAACTCATTGGCGACGGGGCTTGAAGGCAAGGAGAGAGGTTATGGAGGGGGTGGGAGCATGGTTTGTGCAGATTGGAGACTTGAACACTGTGCATCATCTGTGGCAATTTGCGGATCTGGAGGAGAGGAAGGCAAGGAGGGAGATGAGCTGGGGAGTGGAAGGCTGGGGTGACACGGTGCACAAGACCGTGCCCCTGATTCAGAAGATGAAGTCGAGGATCCTGATTCCAATGCCATGGAGTCCTGTTGCTTGAAGATAGGGAGCAGATCCTTGCTGTATTCTAGGTGTGGGCCCGTCTCGATCAAGCACAAGGGGCAGGCAGCTTGCTAGTCGCTCAGAGCGAGGAGTGTGCATTGTTGAGGATGGTCTCATCCTTAAAGACCCTCGATGCGGCCTTTGTGTACTTCTTCGCGCGTTTAGCGCTATGTATGCTCATATTTCTTGGGGTATAGCCTGTCTATCAGCATAGAATTCATGTCAAACCATCTGTTCAACAGTTTAGGCGAGATATACATTATCGGCATTCTAGGATCTTTCGTGTCGCCTTCTACCAGAACTACCAGAAACTACATTTGCATTGAACGACCTCAAAACCATTCATACTGTTGCCCGTGTCTGGACAGCCCCTTGAAGTGGAACTACTCCAGCATCTCACAACAGCATCACTGACCCTCTTCTTTATCCACCCTCTCCTCATGAGTATTGCCATGCCGCTGGTCCGCCAGTGTTCGCCGTCCCCAGCTCATCGCCGCTCGCGGCGAAAGCAACAAAGCCCAAACAAGCACTCACGTTGCCACCCGGCACATCGCAATCCTTGATCCCCTCAACATCAGCGAATACCTGCCACGGCGTCGTCCCGTTCTTCGCCGGGCAGGCCAAGAAGCCCGTGGAACCTAGGGCGGAAAAGCTGAAGACGCCGAGTGCGTGGTCTGTGCCGGGCGCGAAGGAGAAGCCGGTCGTGGTGCCGTTGTTTTCCCCGGGTTGGCCTTCGGCGTGGGCGAGGGTGAAGGAGAGCGCGCCGGTGGGGAGGACGTAGACGATTTGGCCGCCGGGAACTTCCGCGTACTGTGATGGTTAGGCGTCTTCCGGACACACCGAGATAGGTTGTGGCAGAAGGGAGAGCAAACGACACCGTCTGGCACTTTCAAGAAAATCATGGGGGGAGGGGGCAATTCACCATCGAAGCACCACCGTCACCCGCCAAGAGTTCGGTGTATATGCCGGTGGGACAATCAGGGCCGACGTCCGTGGGACAGTAGCTGGCGGTGTTCTTTCCGATCCAGAAGCTTTCGCCGTTGGCGTTGATAGCTGACAGGTGGATGGGGCTGCCGGATCGGCCAGCGATGAGAGTGAAGGGGTTAAGAGTTGATTGGCGGGGCTCGAGAGGAAGAGGGTTGGCAGAGGCGAGCAGGGGGAGGAGAGATGTGAAGACAAGGGAGGAATGCATTGTCGATGGCAGTTTTTCTTCTTCTTGAAAGTATCCGTCTGGCGGTTGATGCCTGTGGGTTGGGAGAGTGTGGTCAAGTGAGAGATGGAATATGTGTTTGACTTGAGTGTTGGCAGTGAAGACTTCAAAACGAGAAAATCTCTTCAGGTTTGCTCTTTCCTCATCGCGAACCGGGTCTTTGTACTCTTTCAACTTCCAGTCCTCCTGTTTCTCGGATATGCTCTACTCCCTGGAAGCCAAACTTACCCAAATTGATATCCTCATTCGTATCCTTCTGCGTCCCTGAGTTGCATGCATCGAATTCAATGCGCCTTTACGATTCAATCCACCACTCTGAGATCCTTCTACTTCGTATTCACGATCCCCACAACGATCCATCGGCAGAGTTGCGTCACGTATGCATTGCGAAGATGAATGCACCTGCCTTTTGGAGCGCATAAGCTGAGCTTAGCCGCAGCAGCGTGATGCTTCCGAGGCTCATGATTCGCAAGTGATGATGGTGAGCGTCGTATTGAAATCTGTAGGATATAAATAGAGAGCTTGGTAACCCCTCAGCAAGTCTCCGGATGTCGGAAGAGCTGCATCTTGGCATGTAGTAGGTACTTAGGCGCACTCAGAGATGACGTAATGGCAGAGAAAGTAGAATTCAAGAAGACCTACAGTACCGTAAGTACATGTAAGTACCTATGTGAATGTCATCAGACGATGGTTGCAGATCTGTTTTAGGTAAGCAGTTAGGTAAGCAGTGTGGGGGGCATGCCTTCATTGAAATTTGAGATACATGTGCGCTGGCGCCAAAAAAATTTTTTTTAAATTTTTTTTTTTTTTTTTAAAAAATTTAAAAAAAAAAATTTTTTAAAAAAAAAAAAAAATATTTTTTTTTATTTTTTTTTTTATTTTTTTTTTTTAAAATAAAAATTTTTTTTTTTTTTTTTTTTTAAAATAAAAAGGGGGGTGTTTAGGGGGGGGAAGAGGGTTAAAAAAATTCTACACATGCGCTAAATCTCTTAGCATGCTTGGCATTTTAATAAATCTAATCTTTTTCTTAAATAGCTTTATTTTTCTAGTAATAATACTTTATATAGCTACGTATATACTTATTTACTCGCTTTATAGAGTTATAGAGCCGTATATTACCTCTCTTACGATCTTTTCTATACTCGTTACCGCTCTTAAAACGAATAACCTTTATAATATATCTCGATATTCGCTCTATTTACTTCTAAATCCTCTTCTATATAAGCTTATAATTTTAATAATATAATTATTATTTCTCGATATCTTTACGAGTTCTTAATATATCTTTTCGAATAATTTAACGCTTTATTTATAGTTAATAAAGCTTAATTATATTAAGATTCGAAGAGTTATCGTATTAGAGTATTCGAATAATATTTATTAATATATAAACTATTTCCTAATACTTTAATATATAAATCGAGGCCTTATCTTCTATAAATATTATATTAAATTACTCTTATTTATACTCCTAAGCGAATTTTAGAAGTTTTAAAATAAGAATCTATATCTAATAAGAAGAAGAAGTATAAGAAATATAAGTATATATATTTTTTTCTAATAGCGATATTAATTAATTCCCCTCTTCTTCCCCTTAATAATAACTTTTCTAATCTTAATAGTAAACTTCCACTCGGGTTTCTTGCTAGAAAGATTTCGTAAACCTATTTATTATATATTAATTTTAAGTTCTTAAGCTTCTTTAACCTTAGCTTTTAAAGTATTATTAATTTTAATAAGATTCGCGATATATTCTTTCTTTTTAGTTATAGTTTCGACTTTTTAAATATAGTATAACCCCTTCTTATTATATAAGAAATAACTCTAGAATATAAACTCTATAGTATCTACGAAACGACGTTATATAGTAGATTTAATAAAGATTTCATTAGGTTACCGCTATATATATACTTTTCCCTATTAAGAATTTAAGATTATACTAATTTCGTTACTCTAAATTATCTTTTTTTACTTCTCTATAGTTTAATCTTAATATTATAAAGCGAATTAATATCGAGCTTTTATTATAGCTTTTATAAGAGAGAGTTTTTTAATAGTCTTATAGAATTGAAAATTATTTCATTTAAGTATACGTAGAATTATTATTAACGAGAGTTCTTATTTAGTAGCTAATATAAATAAGATTTTCTTATAGTCGTAGCGATCTCTTTATATAACGACTATAATAGCACTCTTAATCTTAAAGATAATAATTAAAAATCGTTTAAATCTCGATATATTACTTACGTATAATAGTAGTAATTTCTAAAACTTACTAAAATTAAATTCTCTAATACGAGTTTATTTCTATAGATAATTAATAGTAAAGTAAGAGATCTTAGTAATAATAGTAATAATTTAAGTTATAATATTAGCTTCGATTAAAGTAAGTATCTAAAGTCTAATATTATTATTATAATTAATAGCTTAAGCTTTATCTATAAATATTTTAATATAGAGAATATAGAGAGGATTACTTCTTATAGCTATATTAAGAACTTTATATATAATATAAAATCTTAAGATTCTCCTCCTTTTCTTATAGGCTAGTGCGTTTAATATTAACGTCGTAATTTATAAATATACTCTTTATATATAGCTATAACGTCGCTATAACGCGTATATACTTCGTATATATATACTTTATATATATACACCTTATATATATAGCATTAACGTCGCTATTAAGTAAAAAGTAGTGATATTAAGGATATTTAAGATATTTAGAATATTTACCAAGTATGCTAAGAGATTTAGCGCATGTGCAGGACTTTTAATATTACTCTTCGTATATTTAAAAGAGAAAGTATTATAAGACTAAGCCTTAAATATTAACTTTATTAATTTATTCTATTTAATTCCTTTAACGTTACGTAATAAATAATAATAAAATAAATTTATAGAGTTATAGAGTTAATTATACGCTTTTAAAGAAAGTAGCGAAGATGAAATTTGATAAAGTATTCGTAAAGATATACTAAAAACTAAGATTTTTATTCAAATTATCGAGCTTGCGAGAAGAGCCCCCTCCTCGGAGAGCTCTCGGAGAGCCCCGGAGGGTTAGGGGGGTTTCAGGGGGTCTCCCCCTAAGTATATCAAATAAAATACCTCTATCTCTCTCGATTCTCAGGGTTAGACCCCTTAAAAACCCTTAAACCCTTCGGAGCTCTTTAAGGGCTCTCCGAGAGCTTCTATCGGAGGGGCTGTTAAAGCAAGCTCGAAATTAATCAAATATCACTAAAATAATCAAATTTCGAGCTTGCTTTGACAGCCCCTCCGATACAAGCTCTCGGAGAGCCCTTAAAGAGCCCCCCGAAGGGTCCGAGGGGTTTTAGGGGGTCTCCCTGAGAATCAAACATAGTCAAAAACCAGTACTCGGCAAGCTTTTCACCACTGGGAAGCCCGCGCCCCAGCACATAGTTATGAATAGGCTGTCTGACTTATACGGACGTCAAAATTCACATTCGTGCCACCGACAGCCAGCAATCATATAGATGAGCCGATGGATATTCACCAACGTTTGACTAACCTACTATGAGTTTCAGCAATGTCCATCTTCTGTGTCAGGAGCGTCCATATTACACCATCATTGGATTTTCCTGGCGCTTGATTTTGTTGCTTTGGACAGCTGCATATCTGCCATCTATCTAGAGATCGTGGCAAGATCTTGATTTAACCAAGTATCGCTCGAACCATTAGTATTATCAACGGTCCCCAATCGCCTCCAGGCGAGACCGACTGAGCTTCACGTACATGACTTCAGACCCAGCGACGTCGTCGTATCACTGTCAATGATCCTAGCCAATCAGAACGACAGGAAGTCTTTCAACGCATGAACTCATCTTCGCACCATGAAGTACCTATTGTCTGCGAGACCTGAAAGAAATGCTACAATAGGGAGTTTCAGGACTTTTGGGGACTTTCAGGAACCGAAAGACCAGTCTAAAATAATGGGACTCGGAGGCCTTTTTTTGGTTTAATGGTTTTTCAGCCGTGGTTTTTGATAGATTCTATAGATCTAGTAGCTAAATAAGACTATTCTACCACTTCTACTACTACTACTACCACTACCACTACTTATCAATAGTATCATTGCCACTATTGCGATCCTCCATATATCTACACTCTCCTCAACACCTCCTACCCTCCTTAACACCTTCCAGCCTTCTCAATGGCGCAAAAAAGCCCTCTGGGCCTTTCCCCGATTCCATGTAGCGTTCTTCCATAAAGGCCTCATGGACTGTTAGCCATTTTCTCGTTTTAGGATGTCTTCTACCATGTCTTCTAAGGCTGATAAGAAAGAGATTGAACACCTCACGTCTCTGTATCTCCTTATTAGATAAGCGAGGCATAGTTGCTAATAGTAGGAATAATGGCTAATAGTGGTGTTAAGTAGAATACTCTATGACTACCTGTATATGCGGAGAAAACTACGGAGCATTCTCGGAAGCTAGGGCTAGGGCTATATGTGGCAAATCTATCATAAAACCACAGAAATGGCCTTATTTTTATATGTGGGGTCTTCAGGTGTTCAGGCCTTCTGAAAAAACCACTGCTGAAAGTCTGAAAACCTGAAAAAACCACAGCAAAAAAAAAGTGGCCTGAAACTCCCCAATACCCTTCAAAGATTGGGTGCAGACGGGAGGGTCTACCACCCACTTTTGGTAGTTAAGATTCAACTTTCGAGGCAGTCGTTAATTAACAGTAACCCATTTCCTCACTGCGCCCCGGGAATGATGTTCACAGCTTCATTTTGCTTTGAGGTATGTAGCTGCTGCGTTCCGTTTTCATGGCCCCTCTGGCGCCGTGCATCCACTTACGCCGCCCTGACTGAAATCGCGCAGCAAACGCCAAAAGAAGGGCAAGCCGCCACCATCAGCTTTGATCATGAGAATGGTTTCCTAAAGCAAAGTCTTTCTCCATTGTCTATATAAAGCCATGTAACGGAGCATTTGACGTGACTCATCAAAGGGGAGCCACACATCCAGGATGCAGCTTACACTCATCCAAAGACTCGTGTTTCGTCCTTATGCTACACTGTGCCATAAACAGTCTCGGTTCGCCATTGGTGATTAGCTTTATAATCGGGCCCAATCTTAGCTGGGTCGCTTTTTGGTGGAGAGATCGCGGGACGGGCCTCAATGGAGTCCGATTACTTGCAAGCGGCTGCGTTCCTAGGTACGGCGGATTGTCGGTGTTTCATGACCAACGGAATTGACCAACATATTGCTTGTGTAATACTGATGAGTTTTCTTGGCAAGATGCTGCATTACATAGGATGTCGCGTACATGGCTCAATGTCCAGCATAATTTGGTTAACACATCCCCTTCGACTTTGTCAGTCACTGTCTTTTCTCTATCGCTCCGCCTTGAAATTGATTTTTCCCTTGGCTGGATCCAAATCAGTTCACCAGCACCATATCTTTCGCCAAGTCCATGAGCATTGCAGCACTGCTTGCTTTCTTTGTCAGCGCACAATTCTGCCTTACAACTCAACATGGCCTCGGCGAGTACCTAGCCAGCCTTTATCCAACACCGGTTCTCGTGGAATGAATCCTCTAGGTTCATTTTGTCAGGGCTATTCCCCAGGTGGCGGCGACTCGTGCATGACTATGCCTTCAGGATGCTAAATCGTGCCATCTGGATACAATGTAATGTCGCCTTGACTTGCACTGCGTCCTCGAAAAGAAGAGGTCCCGGTTTCACCAGCAGTATACCGATCACCCCATCATGGAGTACTGCACCATTATCTGCTAGCGCTGTGAGTACTGTGATTAGTACAGCCAATTCGTCGCAGGCCAGCTCGTCGAAGCTACAGCCCGCTTTAATTTCCCACCCCTTGCGAATGATAGATTGGCTAAGGTGACGCGTTTTGCTATGCTCCGGCAATACCTCACCAACGCAGATATTGTAGCGACCTGGAAAGCGACGAGTGCGAGGATGCATGCGACGCTTGCAGAGGTTGAAACCGAAAGCGCAGCGATCATGAACGTGAGTTTCCCTTACCTAACGTCTTTTCACATCTGAACACTCCTAACAATCCGCGGATAGCCTGGATTCAGCTGGGCAGACGAATACAAGATCTGGGAACATAACTTCCTCTTCCAGCAAGGTAGCCTCGTTGAACAAGCTCCTGAAATCGCCATCACCAACGCCAAAGATCAAATAACGAACAATGCGGCAATCGGTTCGCAAGCGCTCCGGAACAGCTTCGTAGCAGCCATCACTGCGCAGACTCAGGCGCCGGGGCTGGCAGATCTGAGTGATTGGCTGGATATCGATGACGCGCCGAAGATGCCGTAATTCCTCAAAGAGTAGGAGGATGGCTATGAGGGTTTGCGAATTTTGCTTTCTATTAAAAAAGGAACGGTACGTGATGGGGTCAGTGAGACTACCGAGGTGGATTAGGGAAGGTGTGTTGTAGTATTAGCCATTTTCTAATTCTCTTTGCAACTATATAGCTATCATCGTTTGTCCTAGCTCTTCTAATCTACATCTCCTCAGGTATATACGTCCGGCCTCTAATACTATAAAACGACAGGAGGACGAGACACTAATAACATTATAGCGTAAAGAAGGGGAGTATAAAAGCTAAAGAAGCTGAAGAGGGCGTCCGTCACCTATAGCGGCACCAGCGGTTGCCTTGTCTCGCCAAGCGTGCCAAGGAAGGCCAAGACCGCGGAGACATCCGGCGTTTACAACTCTTACCTTACTTTAGTAAAGTATTCGTGGCAGTAAGCGCGCTGTGAGCTTTGGAAAGCCGCCAGAGTGAAAACTGGTACCTCAACATCTTCAAGACAAGCTACCTGAAAAAGCGTATCATCGACCGTTGATTCACCCTAACTTGCGACACCGTCAAAGCCAAGCAACCAGCATTATGGCGGATGGACAGCTGTTCAAGCCTGAAAAGGATTACACTAAAGAAGTTGACAAGCAATTACCTGAGGCGGAGGAACTTGCGAAAAACAATGTCCAGGCAGCACTTGAGAAGCTTTCGGTGCTCGAGAAGCACACCCGACAGGTGATAGACTTCCAGGATTTCATCAACGTTTCTTGCTGACAGCGATCGGAAACAGGCGTCAGACCTTGCCTCGACATCAAGACTTCTCGTCGCCATCATCACGATATCGAAAGACTCTGGAGACTGGGGCTTGTTAAATGAGCAAATATTATTGCTGTCGAAAAAGCATGGCCAGCTCAAACAAGCCACCACCAAGATGGTACAGGTTGCCATGTCATTCATAGATGAAGCACCGGACGCGGAGAAGAAGCTGGCGCTGATCGAGACATTACGGACTGTCACAGAGGGCAAGGTACGACCTTACAGACAACTAGGCGATCCGTGAACGTGGGTCTAATTTGGAGTGGTAGATCTTTGTCGAAGTCGAGCGGGCACGTGTCACCCGCATTCTATCCGACATGAAGAAAGAACAGGGCGACCTCAACGCGGCGGCAGACATCTTATGCGAGTTACAAGTCGAGACGTTCGGATCGATGGAGCGGAGGGAAAAGACAGAGTTCATTCTCGAGCAAGTAGCGTTGTGCATAGAAAAGGGGGACTGGACCCAAGCAGGTATCCTGAGTCGGAAGATAAGCACTAAGTTTTTCGCCCGGAAACCAAAGAAGACACAAGAGCAGATCGAGAAGGATAAGAAAGAGCGGGAAGAAAAAGAGAAAAATCGAAGTATGGACGATCCCCCACTTGAGAAGGAGGACGATGTTACAGATCTGAAGCTACGGTATTACGAGCAGCAGATCACGTTGGCAAAGCAGGAAGACAAATATTTGGATGCATGCAAGCATTACCGGCAGGTTTTGGATACGGAATCCGTCGAAGAGAATCCAGTACAGCTGCATGCAGTAAGTCAGCCCGTTGCGCGCTCCTTCGTATTGCTACGTCTAAAAACTTCTAGGTCCTCCAAAGAGTCATATACTATATCCTTCTCGCCCCTCATGACAATGAACAATCCGACCTCCTCCACCGCATCAACTCCGACACCCGCAACTCCCTCGTCCCCGACGAGCAGCAGCTCCTCAAAACCTTCACCATCCCTGAACTCATGCGCTGGCCCATCGTCTCCGAGCGATTTGGCGCCCACCTTTGCTCTACTGACGTCTTCTCCGCTGCGGCCTCATCCTCAGATCAGGAAGATCCGAAGGCCCACACCCGCTGGCAAGATCTACGCAAGCGCGTTATCGAACACAACGTTCGTGTCATAGCGAAATACTACACGCGCATACAGATGCATCGACTCACTCAATTGCTCGATTTGGATGAGGAAGAGACAGAAAGCTATATCAGTCAACTGGTGACCGCCAAGACGGTGTATGCCAAAATCGACAGGCCTGCGAGAGTCGTTTCCTTTGCCAAAACCCGGGATGCAGACGAGGTCTTGAACGAATGGAGCGGGAGCATGAAGAGTCTTCTGGGCCTCCTGGAGAGAATCGATCACTTGATTACCAAGGAAGAGATGATGGCTCGTATACAGCCTGTGGGCGATAACGCGGTGAAGGCCCATTAATCAATGCATTCAGAGGGGCAACGAGAGCCAGCAGACGGAAGGAAGCGTTGGCAATGTTGCAGTAAAGGCCAATCAGATTTGCTGCGAATGGGGGACGGGAAGCGTAGCAAGGGCCGCAGATCATCACTTGACCGCTGACCCACGGGTTCGTTCGGGCATATGTAACAATACTCAAAGATAGAAGCAACATTAATCGAAGATCATTCCATGCGGGCGAGACTTTCCGAGAAAACGTTTCGCGGGGTTTAATCGCTATTCTGCACAGATTTATGCCACACTCCATATTTGCGACCCAACCAAGTAACAAGTCGGGGCATCTGATCGTCCCATGACTCCCTCCCACCCAACGAAATCTTCAGCCTTTGTCATGGGCTTTTCAAGAGATCAGCCTGATGGGCCGTAATCCCTCTTCCGATCCATGAATTCAGCGTCAGCTTCGATAGATGTCCCGAGCTTTTCATCCCAGCATTTCCGATTGCCAAATTCCGAATCCCGAATTCCTCAATATGTCCGTCTGCGGCTCCGTCTTCACTCCTCGGATCATCTGCCCGCCTGACCGACGGACTTTCAACTCGGATGGCACCCGGGTGTCAGAGGTCGGGTTGGAAGAGTGGGTCGAGGGGGTCAGGAGGGAAGGGAAGGTTGGGGAAGGGGTTGGGAAGAAGAGGTAGGTTTCCCACTGCATGAGGATAAGTCTGGTGATGTCCTTGCTGATGAGGTGCTTTTGTAGTGTAGTTGGCCAGATGAGTAACCCAACGCATGGATTTGGCGAGAGGGTTGGTGGTGGTGACTTGTCAATGAAATTGGGGTTGAGTGGAGAGACGGTGACTGGGGAGAAGAAGGGGGAGCGTAGAGGGTCGCCGGTGAAGAAGTTGTTCCGAAGAAAGGGGAGTGAGGATAAGGGAAAACAGTGACCAGAGCAGTCCAGGAGCTGATATCTGCAGAGATATCAGAATTTAAGCCGATGCATTTTAGGCTCTTTTGACTTGACAAATAATGCATTTCAGCAAATAGCGTCGAATGGTGCCAATGCTTTGAGCAAACAATAGACCCGTTACCCTGAGCCGTCCATCCTCTCGTAGGCGGACGTCCCAATGTGTGGTACTAGGGTAGAGGCATCGACAGCAGGTTCGAGCTCAGTCGTTTAGACGGTAGAAAAGAAGGTCCAACTCGTGAAAATTCTCAGCTCGATCTGAATCCGAGATCATTGATGCGAGATACGTGGTCGACGTGATTGAAGAGACTGAGTCCTTGAACGAGGTACATAGCCGAAGGATGTGTAATTGGTGATTGAAGGATAACCGTATGTTGTTGATTTTCAGCTTTCGCTCCTAGTGAGATGGTCCACTTGATTGAGCTACGGTTCCGAGCTCAGCCTGCAATTCTGGGGCTTCAGAGGCTTCAAAGAATCCTCGCACATCTCGTGCACGAGATCGTAAGGAAGATGATGGATGTGTTCTTTTAGGCAGAAAATAGATAACTGATCGCGCCCAGGCAGATCCCTCATCCATCCTGAGACTTTGATTACAGCTTTTGGAGTGTCTTCTTGTCAGCATGGATTATTGGCAGCCACCTAGGTATCTTTAGTCTCCAGCATTTGCAACAAATACGGAGCCAGGTAGACTAGCAGCTTGATCGGCCATCTGCTCTCGAGGCGGGTCGTGTTTCCGTATTTGCGAATTTGTTAGGGTCTTGAGGCGATACCCGAAGACACTCCACTTCTTCGCCCTTATGCATCTCCTTCCAGATCTTCCCCCATGACCACTCCAACTTTAAGCCTCCACCCTCCGACCGCATGCCCCAAAGCGCTCAATTTGGCCAATACAGCCATTAGACTTGGATCTTGGCTTTCTACCCTTACTTTCTCTTTCACAGTCACCTCCTCTCCACGGTAGTGGAATACTTGACCGAGCTCGTCATGGACAGGCGGTCGAGGACCCAGGCCAAGCCGAGTACGAAGAGAGAGGCCTGTGAGAGATGACTCCGGTGCAGACGGAGGAGCAAGAGTGCGGACATGCAGGAGAAGGGCCGCGTCGGCGATGGAGAGATGAAGAGACAGACTTGGCGGGACCGAGGGTGAGGATGTCTTGGTAGATTTGGAACGTGAGTAATTCGAACAGTGATAAGGAAGTGTAGCGGCAGTGCCACGAAAACAAATGATGTTCAAGGGGAAAGAAGCAAAAAGATTTCGTCAGACGAAACGCAATGTTAGGGAAGCGAGATGGCATACATCCTCAGTCATAGCATCTTCCCACCACTTCCCCCCTACTACATCTTCACCCCCTTTGAGCGTTTGCTGTGCCTCTCCGATGGTGTCAGCCAGTAAACGTAGCTGGCCAGATATGAAAGCCCCATTATGCGGATCGCCCGTCCATCTGCTAATGTCGATAATGTCCAGGGCTTGGTTCAAAAGGGTGAGCAAGGCAGTCAATTGTGGGAGTGGAACGGGGTATTGCAAGTGGACCGGATAGGATGAAAGAGAGCGTGGAGGGGGCAGAGTAGTGAGCCGAAGGTTAATGTCCTACATCATGCGTAAGCTGAGATGCTAGGATGCCAAAACAAAGGGCAAACCGAAGAGAATTTCCTTGAGACAAAAGCATGCAGCTATGTATTGCGGTAGGCAAAGCATGAAGAAGAGTCCGACGGTAGTCTAATGGAAAGAAGGAAAGCGACATACTCCTTTGATAATCCGAGTGCCAATCCTAGTCACGAAACCTTTGACACTTTCAGACCGCAGTGACGATAGGGCAAGCGTGGACCCCGGTTCTTTCGGAGCCAGCAAAGCGACGCATTCCTGGAGTCCACTTTTCAGAGATGCTAGACTCTCTTGCAGCAGATTCAGAAGCCATTCAAGCTCGCACGCCTACAATGCGTCAACTATTCCACATGTTCAGAAATACTTTGTTGGTCTTGAGATACTCGTACCAGCGATTTTTCTTCCTCTTTCATTAGTTGCTCATGGGAAATTGGTGGCCAGACTGTAGCAGACATGATGGTTTCGAGCTTTTGGGGTTTTCTTCCTCTCGATACTCAGTTTCCCAATGAGGAAGTTATAAGGGAAAATTGTCGGCTCTGAGGCTCCCTGCAACGACGGCTATCACCGCTTTCCGTGCATACCTAGCCAGCTTTCTATGCGGAAAGAAGCTGGGGAAGCGCTAAAGACAATCGGACTTCTAGCATGGGTATTTTCACTTGAAATGCCTACTTGTATAAGTCGTGACAATTCCAGCAAGAGCAATTGAACATTTGAACATTTGAACATTTGAACACTTGAGGAATGGAACCTCGCCGTCGCCAAATATCCGTGTGAATATGATGTCGGTGACGTAGATTGCGCACAGTGGGTGCAATTGGAATGACCCTGTCTCCGTACAAAGCAGCGGATAGGCCGGGGTATTGGGCAGCAGAACAGGGAAATTGCGCTGGGGGCCTTTAGTCCGCCAACGTGACCCAATTCGAATTTCGCGGTTGGCACTAGCAACTACGTCAGCCACAGCTAGTGATTAACAACACGACTTCAATCCTTGTGCGCTCCCTCTCTCCTCCACCCCCATCATCTTTTCATTGCTCTCTCTTGCTCACCGGTACGTTTGCGCCTTAATCAAGTCTCTATTCCTCAGCCTCAATGCTCGCATACTAACAATCAAAAGACGCAGGATAGACAGCCCTCCGTAAACATTCACCAAGATGTCACCCAGTGAGCTCCTGTTGTTCTAATTACACGAGACGACCAGCACTGATGAATCCTAGGAGCACCTCTCGCTGTGGTTTCCCTCGTCCTCATCGCTGGAGCTCTTCTTCTGATGCTTCTGGTTGTAATCGGTGGTGCTGTTGACAAAAATCCAACCAATCAATTCTACTTCCTCCAGGCCGATACTTCCGCCATCCCAGGCGCTCCGGCTACCTCCAGATGGACTTTCTGGAATACCTGCGGTGACACCAACGGACGCAATGCTTGCCCGCACGTACATCCAGCATATGCATTCGATCCCCAGAAGAACTTTGGCACTACCAAGGGACTGCCGGCTTCCCTCATCAAGCAGTAGGCTATCTCATCCGTCCATTCGTTTGGCACGGTACTAATCATCTGCGCAACAGTTCGGACAAGTACTATCTAGAAACGCGATTCATGTTCGCCTTTGAGTTCATCGCCCTCTTCTTCTCTGCTTGCGCCCTCGTCCTTGGTCTCCTTGCCCTGTTCAGCCGCGTTGGCAGCTTCCTTACCGGCGCTCTCTGCTCGGTCGGCCTCTTCTTTCAAACCATTACGGCCGCGTTGATGACGTAAGCTATCTGGACCACGCTGTTTCATAACGAGTATGCTTACAAAACATAGTGCTGCATTCGTGCAAGGCCGCGACGCATTCAGATCTGCCGGCACAACCGCAACTCTTGGGAAATACAATTTTGGCTTCATGTGGGCAGCCGTAGCATGCCTCTTCCTCGCCATGGTCTTCCTTTGCGTGGGCGGCGCGACGTCCAGTTCAGGTGGCAGGAAAAAGTCCGGAGGAGGCCGATTCGGGAGACAGAAGAGCTCAAGGAGCCGAGGTAGCTTCATCGACAAGGAGACGGCAGTGGATGGTACCAATGGTGTTGATGGTGTTGATGGTGACCGTTCATCATTTGTCCGCGCATAAATCAAAAGCGTGGTTACAGATGGTCCAGGAAGAAACAGGGGCCAAAGTCAGTGAAGGGTTGAGGGACGGAAGGTCTGCTGCTGCGATGATATCCATTCCATCGGTATTTCCTAAGTACATGATGCATCGATGGAGCGTTCTATGGCTTTGGAAGCCGGAAAGGTGATAGTTGTGGTAATTTGGACCGCGTGGATTTGGTTTTCTGAGGCACTCAATTACTTATTATCTAATTGTACAAACACCACAACAATCACTTGCTTTCTGAGCTTTGTGAAGGTTCATTTGTATATGTAGTCTTCACAAAGCAAATTGTTAAAAGGGTCGATAGTATGCCTGGGCGACGAAAAGCACATCCATGCGCTAGTGATTGCTAGCGCGTAATGTGCATCCCTGGGGGTCATGGGGTCCTCGAAGCATCATTCTTCGAAAGTCGTATGTATAATGTCGCAACCTCAACAGCGAAACGTCAGTAGATCATCGCCATGACAGAAACTCAACAGCCGCCTCTAAACTGGGAGGCTTCGGCGACAGCTACACATCCACAGGTCTCATCATCTTTGCCCTCAGAAGTGGAGGCATGTCTTAAGAACGCCAGATTTGTATGTTTTCGTGACCCGAACAGTCTTTGGAAGACACTAACCACATAAATAGCTACATCTTGCAACATGCGATGCCATGTTTCCCCACATCTCTCTTATGAATTACACATACCTTTCCTCGACGCCCTTCAACCCCAACCCAGTCATCATCATGACCACGAACCCTTCGTCTAAAAAGACTCTCAACCTGATAAACAACCCCCGGGTATCCATACTCGTCCACGACTGGGTCTCCCATCGACCTCCGACTCGAAATCCAGATCCTACTCGCGAAGGCTCTCCGCCACCTCAAGCAACACGCTCGAGTCTTGCCAGCTTGTTGCTGAATATCAATACGAGCGCATTGAGCAGTATCAGCGCTACTATCAACGGCGAAGCGAGGATGGTAGGCGAAGGCAGTGACGAAGAGAGGTGGTGCAAAGAGAAGCATCTCGACAACAACACTTTCGGGGATCAGGCCAGGGAAGAGCAAGGGTTCTTCGGGTCGACGCCACTTGCGCAGGCTGAAGGTGATGGGGGAGCAAGCTGTTACATTGAAGGAGAGGAAGTCCGGGTTGTCCTCGTCGATGTAAAGGAAGGACGGATAGCAGATTGGAAGGGGGGAGTGAAAGACTGGACTCTTGTTCCTGAGGAGGGGGATGGGAGAGGCAGGCAAGAACTGGTCAATGGCATTCCCTGATTCATGAGGTTTACAATTGCATAGCTACAGGCGTTGTTCATGCTCAGCGATAGTCTATATCACTCCATTGCCAGAATCGTTGAAACGGTGATCCGAACAGCCGGACGTCACTCCGCAGAAAAAGTATTAGCGGTCCAAGATGACAGAAATGTGCCCTCAGTTCGGGGCTGGCCGCTTTTAGGGTGAGCAGGGGTGATGCGGCACTAGCACTCGACGCGCGCATTTTTCCACTCAAATAGCCCGATATTTTGCAACCGCTAGGGGCTCTCGCCCAGCCAAGTCCACATGTCCTCGGAACTGGCTGTAAACCTGGATATATGTATGAGAGCGGTGCGCCGCCTGCTTTGGCTCTTCTGACCAGAAGATTGCAACGATGGTCTCCCAACATGTTCATGCTCGACCCTCCCTCTATTCTCGACGATTATGATTCGCAAATGAGTGTCTGCTGATGATTTCATCTACAGACTCTGCTGTTATGACCCTGAAGTGTGCAACCAAAACTATCACGTCTTGCATTTGGCGTTGTACTGTTTCTTTGTCCCGATCCACAGGACCAAAAACCTAAGGCAATCTTTGAATGTGCCCACCTCATAACGGCATACTCGACTGCTATCTGTTCCTGGTTCTCATTCACCCCTGGCTTCCACTTTAGATGTGCCCAGCGGCCGGCTTTGGAGCGTATGGCTCTTCCAAATACTTCACCTCATCTGCACTCAGCGTCATGTCCCGCACAGCACACGCTTCCTCTAGCCTCTCGATACTGGTACTGTTCAAGCCGGCGATGGGGATGCAACCTTTTTCTCTGATCCACACCAGGGCAACTTGACTCATCTTCCAGCCCTTCCTCTCAGCTACCTCCTGAACTCGTTTATTGATGATTTCCATCTGCTTCCGTAAGCCCACCGCTCATAGCAACACTCATCTTCCACCTGGCAGACTCGGCTCCCCATGGCTTTGCCAGCAAGCCTGAGAACAAAGGCCCCCATGGGATCAAACCCACTCCAGTCTCGTTACAGAACTTGTTCATTTCCCTCTCCTCCTCTCTGTAACAAAGATTGTACCGGTTCTGCAAGCTCACTAATTTCGTCCTGCCATTCTTCTCAGCGATAAATTGCATGCGGGCAAATTGGTATGTCCACATGGAGCTTGCGCCAATGTAGTTGACTTTGCCGGCTTGGACGAGGTCGTGAAGCCCTTTCATGGTCTCTTCCGGAGGAACTGGGGTGTCGTACCTGTGGATCTGGAGAAGGGCGATATAGTTTTTTCAGAGACGCTTGAGCGAGGCATCAACGGCTTTGAGAATCGCGCCGCGTGATAGGCCTACCCGGCCCAAAATATTCAGCCAAAGCACCTATAGGACGACGCCTCATACTGACACAGAGCTGCTCACCGCCTTGGTTGACATAGTCTTTACTCTTTTGCATCTGCGCCTCAAACGGCCAGCTGAAAATGCCTGGTTCGTCTGGGACCGTTCCGCAGCACTTGGCCGAGATGGTAAGTTTGTGCCGGGGTATCGCAAACTTTTGAACCGCTTTCCCAATGATCTCCTCGTTTATGCCCCTCGAATAGACGTTGGCGGTATCCCAAGTTGAGAGGCCTATTGTTGATTGAATTACAAATCATCAGTATATCTCGACATGTTCTACTTACCTCTGTCCCAGGCCGCTTTCAATATCTCTAACCCTTCGTCTTCCTCCATCACCCAATTCTGCCAGTCCTTACTGCCAATATCCAGAGTACCGAGGATTGGCGAGGAGACTCGAAGCCCAGAGGAGCCTACGCAAATTTCGGAGTCAGCATGGCTTTCTCAGGGCAAGAAGCCGGGTCGTAACGAAGGTCTAGGGCAGAAGTAGAGCGCTCTGCTCTCAAAAGCTGGCTTTCCAAGCCCGAAGCTTGTAAAAATAGGAGGCATGGTTGCTCCGAAATGTACGTACCCAGCTGGACATACTCGACCTTGGTGGCATTCACGCTGATTTGCAGCGATGCGGGGACAGGCGGCGCAGGCATTTTGGGGGAAAAAGATTTCGAATCCAAGGTAAGCATTCACGAAGTATCGATGTTATCTACAGCATCTGCATGCAACAACGCCTTATATATAGTCAGAGAAATCTACCTGCGGACCAGGATCAACTTAATCACCGGACTTATGAGATAAGCTCTTCGTGAGAACAAGCATCTCTTACCATTGGACACGGGAGTTTGGCGGAGATAGACATCTCGAGAGTATCTCCTGACTGGACTAGACACAGCAAATGTCCCACTGACGAATGCGCAGCGGACCTTACAGCCAGGCCACCGGTTTCCGCCATAAGGAACGAACATGTGCCCCTGCGAACATAGGTCGTAGAATTATATCTCAGCGCAGCATCAATTGTCGATACTGTCCATGCCTTTGCCATTTCGAGCTTGGCACCCGAAGCCACTAATCGTTCAGTCGCACCACTCTTCGCGGGTTGCTCCTAAGCAGGACTAGCTCCTAAAGAGAAAGAAAAGAAAGACGTTAACTCCGTCTTTCAAGCTGCAATTCAATGTCGGTTTCTCGCAGGTTTGTCCCGAGAGGGACTCGGAAGTTTCTTTAGTCTTGCCTATCGGTGCAGGGACGAATATTAGTCAACGGAGTGGTGCCATCTTGCGTATATAGACTCAGGAGTTGCTTGACGGGCATGCGGCTGAGTACTACAATCAATCGATTCAACTAGCGCATCAGATCTTACTCTCCTCATATCAGGCCCTTGGCTATGAAACATCCACTGTCGTCGCTTTCTTAAGAGCGAAAACCCGATATGCAGTATCGTCCAATAGTTCAATTACCTCTGGAAGCACTGCGTCCGCAAAAGTATCAGCAAAGTCATGACTTCGAGCCAGAAAGCCATCACGAAAGTCGTACTCGGCGCGATGTCGTTCGGCCGGAAGAGTATGCGAATCGTTGTAAGAGGATTGAACGACAGTCATGCATAAAGGGGAAAATTACCCCAGCGAAGATCCCAAATTTCACGGAGTCCACATAAACAGTCAATTCATTCTGGTTGATACGCACAAAAGTAATCAAAAGCGAAAAGATGGGGGCTCTTAGGGTTGCCACTTTTCTTGACGATTTGCCTGTGCGGATTTGCAATTTTGAGTTTCTCTCTATGCATGACTTTTGCTACAATCTCTTATCTCTCCTCTGCGTTCGAGGTTGCCAATTCTGCTCACAGATGTGGCACCACATTGCCGGGTCACTGATCTCGAAACTGGGAACTCAATATTGGACGTCTTCCAGAAGCATGGGTAAGTCCACGATTGCGCCTCCACAGTAATACCGCTCATTCGAATTAAGCACACCGAGATCGATACCGTACGCCGTTACGGGAACGTCACACCGGAGAGCATGCTCGGCGAATTGAAATGTCAGGAGCGAAGTCTAGTTATAAGCCCAAAGGATCTCCCCGCGTTCCATTCGAACCCCGAGACCGCCATACCTGAGGGCTGGGGTACGTCCTTGCTTTCTTCCGCCTCCGCAACGATAAAAATCCTGATGCACGCACACAGACTTCGACCAACGCTACCATTCCGATATGCTCCGGCTAACTCTCCAGAAGTCCCTCGCAGAGCTCAGAACGCACAACTTGCACGTCTACTATCTTGGCCCTGACCGCTCTGTCCCTCAAAGCGACATTTTTTGCGGCATCAACGCAGTCCACCAAGAAGGCCTCTTTGCCAAGCTCGGCGTCACCTGTCTCCCCGCATGGGAAGTCGCGCAGATCTGCGAGCTGTGCGATCGCGAGGGATGGGTCAAACCGTCAGTCTATCAAGGCAAATACAACGTCCTCCATCGCGCCGTAGAGCCTGGGCTCTTCCCCCGTTTGAGGCACTACGGCATCAAGTTCTACGCGTTCAACCCTATTGCGGGGGGCTTCCTGGCCGGCGGTGAGTCACATAAGAGAAATAAGAATTGGGGCTATGGGAACGAGGAGTACTTTGCTGTGATGGAGCTGCTGGATCCCGTCGTTGAGAAGCATGAGTTGACGCTCAGGGAGTGTGCGCTGAGGTGGTTGGCGGATCATAGCCTGCTTGGCATGGGGAAAGGCGACGCAGTCTTGATGGGTGCGAGCGGTGCGGCGCATTTGGAGAGCAATCTTGTGGATCTTGAGAAGGGCCCGTTGCCGGACGTGGTTGTTGGGGCGTCGGATAGGGGTGTGCGCTGGAAATATTGAGTTCGAGAGTTAGGGCGATTTCTGGCAATATAATTGTTGATTGCACGTGATCTTCAGTGGAGCAAGCGTGATTGAGTGATCTACAAATGCATTCTTAAAAACAGGGATTCTCGGATCTAAACGGCCGGACGTCACTCCGCTGAAAAAGTCTTGGCGTCGCGTCAACCTTGAAATGAATCCGCGTGCCTAGAGATTTTGAAGTTGCTTCCTTGTTACTAAAACCTCCAAAGGATTGCGTTGCTATTCAGTGCATGTTCTCTAGCTCAAGATGGTTTACATTCGTCAGAAGAAGTTGGAAGGTCTTCACGACTACAAATACGCCGGAGTTGACCACTCGTTGACATCGAAATACGTGCTCAAGCCCTTCTACAACAATGTGGTTATCAAGTGCTTTCCTATGTCTATGGCGTAAGAATCTTTAGCTGTGTTTCGATGCATGATCATACCGCTGACAGTTTTAGTCCAAATGCTGTGAGTTCATGAGAACAAGTGTCCTTCTAACGTTCACTTATGGCGACTCTTGCTCAGATCACCCTGTCCGGCTTTAGCTTCGTCGTCCTCAATTTCCTGACCTTGCTTTGGTACAATCCAAGTCTCGATCAGGATATGCCACGCTGGGTGTACGCCTCCTGGTCCATTGGACTGTTCCTTTACCAGACCTTTGACGCAGTGGATGGCACACAAGCGTATGTAGAGACGTTCGGTGAAGGGCTCTACGAGGTACTGATGCTGGGATCTTAGACGGAGAACACACCAAAGTGGACCTCTTGGAGAATTATTTGATCATGGTGTGTTCGACTATGAACTTCAGAGCTTGCTCAGGGCTGATCTCGCGGGCCAGGTGTGGATGCATGCAACACAGTTCTAGAAGTACTTCTTTTTGCAGCCGCTATGAACCTAGGTCAGAGCTGGTCCACCATTTTGACCTTATTTGGCTGTAAGCCTCTCTCCCCACATCTGTCCTGCGCTCTTCTCTGATTGTCCTTAGCGACGCTCACGTTCTACATACAAACGTGGGATGAGTATTATACAGAGACCCTTATATTGGGCATCGTATCTGGACCCGTCGAAGGAATCTTGACACTTTGCATTGTGTATGCAATTACTGCTGTGAAAGGAGGAGGCAGCTTCTGGCAACAATCCATGCTTGAAACCATAGGCGTTGCGAAACATGGAATCATTCCCGACTACTTTTATGAAATGCCCTGGAATCAATGGTACATGGTATACGGGGGTGTTGTGCTGGTTGCGAACACCGTACAAAGGTAAGCCGTTCGACTCGCATCAGCTATTCTGCGCTGACACTGCATAGCATCTTGCATGTCATGGAAGTACAGCGCGAACGGAAACAGTCCGTCACAAAGCCGCTTTATGGACTTGCTCCCTTCTTCGTCGCTTCAGCCCATGTCGCTGCGTACCTCTACCTCCAGCCGGTTATCCTCAACCACCATCTCATACCCTTCGTCTTCTACGCTGGCTTGCTCAATGCATACTCGGTTGGCCGAATGATCGTGGCACATCTGACTAAGGATCCCGAGTTCCCCATGCACAACGTCCTTACGTTCCCTCTGGGCCTTGCAGTCGTCGACTCGCTAGGCCCGACATTGGGACTCTGGCCAAGTGCCTTGGGATTCGGGACATATCAGATCGCTTTTGTCTTCATGCTGATGGGCCTGAGTTTTGGCGTCTATGGCAGCTTCGTTGTAAGTCCTCCCGTGCAAACTACGGTTAAAAACGCTGATTGTTCGTAAGCATGACGTTATTACTACGATTTGTGACTACCTCGATATATGGTGTTTGACCATCAAGCATCCATACAACGAGGAAGAAGAGTCAAAGAAGGGAAAATAGGGGGAGACATCCTAGGTAAGGTCGTGCTAGGAAGTATCTGATCTGGGGATTGACTGCGTGTCAGGTTTAGCGTTCCAAATTCTTTGATATGATACCACAGCGTGATTCTGTTTTGCTAGCGATTCTAATATGCAACACAGGGATCTTCTTCGATTAGGTTCTACGAATCTAGCAATCCTCGTTTTCTAATACCATCTTCTCAATGCACCATGAACGCCCGTCGCTATGCTTGAAATCCAAAGCCCTTTTCGCCTCAAAAGGGGACATCCATATCCTCGACCCGTTCCTCCTCTTTGTCCTCTTTCTTACCCTCTCCCTCCATACGCTGCTTCACAAACCCCACAACGGCATCTAACCACGGCTTCTGACTGGGAACGAAGTGACCCCCAGGATGCACCACCACCATTCCCTCTCCGCCCTCGCAAACACTCACCAACTGCATCCCCCTGACCTCATCAACCACCACATCCACCTGCCCCAGCACATTCAACACCTTCGTCCTAATCCGCGGCTCATAGAAAGCTTCGTACAACTTCCCCGGCGCCCTGAACCCACTGTAGCACACCGCAAACTTGAGCGGAGCCTGCACGAAGCCGTCGACCCCTCCGAGGAAACTCGCCGGATACGGCATCCCCCCTCGAGCCTCCGCCTCCGCAAACGCCTCTGTCCGCGTCCGACCTTCCAGCAAACTCGCAACCATGGCGGCCGCCGCCGCCCCCTGACTGAACCCCACGACCCCGTCGAACGGCCCCTCCTCCCGTATACAATCCGCCACGCTCTGCAACCCCCGCTCGATCCCCTCGTACACCACCCCCGTCCCCGCCTCCTTCCCCTGCCCGTCTTTCATCACGTGGTCCTTCCGTCTCCACCACCCGTACGCCTCCGGCGCCTCGGCGCCGGGCACGTCGAGCGCGGCGGCGCCGTGGCCCGGCATGTCCGCCGCGGCCAGCCGGTGCGGCGCGGGGACGTAGCGGAGGTGCAGGGTCGGAAAGGGGCGGGCGAGGGATTTGGACAGCGCGCGGGTTTTGGCGTGGAAGAGGGGCGGGGATTGCGTGAAGCCGTGGAGCATGAGGATGCGGAGGGGTGGGGGGGCGGGGTTGGGGGGCGGCGGGGGGGCCATGGTGGGGAGGGTCCGACGGGGTGCGGGAAGCCGGGCGGTGGGGCGATGTCGGGGGTTGGGTTTGAGGAGGCTGCCTCTCATGTGGTCTTTTTTTTTTCTCTTTCTTTCTTTCTGTGCTGAGGGTTGGGACACGGTCAGAGCTTATCTCCGGGGCCCCCCCCCCGGTGTTCGCCAAGAAATCCAGGGTTCATCCGGCTGGGGGGACGGCGGAACTCTGCTTATGTCTGATGTTCAAATATTACTTCAACTGGACGAGCTCTCGTGAAAGGGGTAGAAAGGAATGTCTTTACTGCGATGAAGGGAAGTATTTACTCTCTGAACCTTTCACAGGCAGGCATAATGACTGAATCTTTTCCTTTCTCTCCATTTCGTGAGCAAGTTAACATACGCCGCCTCCCAGACACTATCAGTGTCATTCTATGCTTTCTCGAGCAAAACGCCTGGCCCAGTGCTATGACTAACCTTCTCCGTTAGATGATCGTACTCCTCTCCAGTTTATCATTCATTTCGCCGTCCGCCAGAGCTGTTTGATTCTTGCTTGCCCGCTTCTTGATGACGTTTTCAATGAACGCTTCACCAGCTTTGTATGAACTGCGAACCAAGGGTCCACTAGCGCAGTACAAGAAGCCCATGTCCAGGGCACGCTGGCGCCAAGTCTCAAAGACGGCCGGAGTAACGTATGTGTGTACGGGCATATGTCGTTTTGTAGGCCGCATATACTGCCCGAAAGTCACAACGTCGACGTCGACTTTCCTCAGTTCTTTTAGTGTCTCCCAGAGCTGCTCCTCCGTTTCTCCCAGTCCGAGCATGATACTTGTCTTCGTGATAAGTCCTTCCTTGGCCACTTTGGCGTGCTTCAAGACGCTCAAGCTCTGCCTAAACTTTGCTCTCCGGTCCCTGACCATCGGTGTCAAATCCTCCACCGTCTCAACATTATGCGCATAGACATCCAATCCGCTCCTAGCGACTTTAGCCACCATCTCTAAATCCCCAGCATAGTCACCTGTCAAAGCTTCCACCAGCATCGCAGGAGCTTTGCTTTTGATCTTCATAATGGTCTCCGCGAAGTGACGAGCACCTCCGTCCGCCAGATCATCCCGGTCAACAGATGTAAGCACCACATACCCCAGCCCCCACCGCCGTAATGCCTCGGCTGTATGCTCCGGCTCATGGGGATCCAAAGGCGGAGGCGCCTTACTTGTTTTCACACTGCAGAATCTACACCCCCTCGTGCACGTATCGCCCATAAGCATGATTGTAGCCGTAGCGGCACTCTTGTCAGACCCACCCCAGCAGTCGCTAATATTTGGGCATCTCGCTTCCTCACAAACAGTATGTAGATTCAGTCCGCGTAGATCTCGTTTAATAGACTTGTAATTTTCGTTGTTAGGTATGGGCGTTTGAAGCCAGGATGGGAGGCGGGTAATTTCTTTCTGTTTGCCGGCGGGGCCAACGAAGGCTGTTCGAATCTCTGGTGCATCATTCTCGGGCGGAGGAGATGTGAAGTCTGAGAGCGAAGGTCCGGTGTTGAGGCGGTCGCGGAAGATGGTAGGAGAGCGACGAGTCGTTGAAGTTGGAGGGGCGATGGGCTCAGTGGGTTCGGAGACTGCGGTGGCAAAGGTGCGGGTGGAGGATACCGAGGGACGTATAGGATGTATAGATGTAGCGTGTAGGCAGCGAAATCGTGTTGCTTTGGAAGCCATATCGTATGAATTGCCCTAGGAAGATGGCTCAAGAATGATGGATATTTAATATCTAATCGAAAGGTCGGCGCTAGCCGAGTACGGTCATTCTAAAGATCGAGGATTCACACTTGAAAATCTACTCGTGAGGAGGCCCGAAGCACATCCGCCTTGAAGCGTAGCATGCAGGTATCTCTTACCAGACAGCGATTCTGTCACTACTGCTCCTCCCAGCTGCTGTTCCTTTTCGCAAATGGATTCTCATCAACTGCCAGACTCCCCAAGTATGGAGCAAAGCCGTGGAGTCAATACAAATTTCAGACACGATCCTTTAACGCCGCGCGAAGACTTCGGGCCTCAGTCGAACATGTTGGGGCTCTCGAGAATGAGCTCCCGAAAACTCCAGCGCAGATGGAATCGATAGTACGCCAGGCACGCGAGACATTCGGAGAGACTTTGCCCAAAGATTTTCTTTCATCGGAAGAATACACGGTCTACGAGAGGCTTTACGGTCCGCCATCCGCAACCACGCTACCTGAAGATTTCGATCTGCTTCGAGGCGCGGAGGAAGAAGAGGGCGACTTCCCGGAAAACGTGCTCATGAGAGAAAACGCTGAGGGCAGACTGGAAGAGGTCATCTACGAGGAAGTCCCATCTGACGAAGATGAATTGATGGACGATGACGCAGAGCCGATGCCCTCGGAAACAGAAGCAGATTTTCAGGCGCGGATGGCAGTATTCCGAGACATAGCTGCGGCGAACGCTTCACAAGCAAAAACAACCGAAAAGAGCTCGCAAAAATTGGAACCAGTAGAACCCTCAGACGATCTCTTGTCGTCGGAGCAATTGGCAATCGAGGACGAAGATACCGAAGACTTTGAACAAGATGATGAGGCATACGAGAGCGGCGATTCAGTAAGGACACATCCGTTGACAGTCGCTGGACGGTTCAGCACGTCACCAGCTACGATACAGATACCCAAGGATACCGTCATCGACCCTATCACAGCTCTACTCGCAGACGCCTCTAACAAGCAACTGTCCGAAGTCGCCCAGAAGACTTTTGGTGGGCCTAGATTACCAAATTCTACAGCCACGATATCAAGGGCCCATCTCAAGCAGCAACCGATTGCGTTGGAGGCATCTCAGTCTAACATGGGCGAGATGGAAGGTAATGCCTATATCGCTGCAATAATGCCTGGGGCATATGCTACTGTAACGAGCGCGTTGGTAGAGATCCGCAAGCGCTTAGGATCTGAGTGGATACGCAAGCTCATACAGAACAAAGGCGGTCCTCGTGTCTTAGACGCTGGGGCGGGAGGTGCTGGCATTCTTGCATGGCGGGAGATTATGCGTGCAGAGTGGGAACTCATGCAACCCGACGGAGTTCCACCTAATAAGCCTCCGCCGTATGGCAAGTCTACTGTCGTTACTGGGTCGTCTGCATTACGAAACAGGGCAAGCCACTTGCTGGACGATACGACGTTCATTCCCCGTCTTCCAGACTATGATCCGTCACGAGACCATCCCTCCCTTGAAAACAAGAACCCTCAACCCAGGAAACAATACGACATCATCTTGGCGCCTCATACTCTATGGACACTGAAAGAAGACTACATACGAAAGAACCAAATTCAGAACTTTTGGTCTCTACTGGATCCGAAAGGTGGTGTCCTCGTTCTGATCGAGAAAGGGGTCCCAAGGGGTTTCGAGCTCATTGCAGGCGCAAGGGAAACGCTATTGAAGTATCACGTAGCATCACCAGGAGACGAAGAAGTGGAAGCGCCCGTTGAAGCTGCTTCTCCGAATCGTTTCGGGCACAAGGAAAAGGGCATGATCATCGCTCCGTGTACGAACCATGGGAAATGCCCAATGTATATCACAGCTGGACGGAGCCAAGGTAGAAAAGATTACTGTCATTTTTCGCAACGCTACATTCGCCCACACTATTTGCAACGTATCCTCGGCTCGCGAGAAAAGAATCACGAGGACATCTTATTTAGCTACGTGGCTCTTCAGCGCGGCATTGACCAGCGGGAGGCGGACAATATTATGCAAGGCCAGGCAGCCGTAGAGGCTGCTTTTGCAGGGTTTGAGGATGCGGAAGGGATTGAAAGCACGAAAAGCTCGCAAGAGGCCATTGATCCTAAAGTCGCAAGTGTCAGCACCCTCAGCTTACCTCGGGCGATTCTTTCGCCAATAAAGAGACGCCGTCACGTCATCCTCGATCTTTGCACTCCTGCAGGTAGGATAGAGCGGTGGACTGTTCCGAAGTCTTACAGCAAACAGGCCTATCGGGATGCACGTAAGTCCAAGTGGGGAGACCTATGGGCTCTCGGCGCCAAGACCAGGGTCCAGCGAAATATCCGCGTCGGTCTGAATAAGGCGAAGACCCAGCGAAAGGATGTACTCGATGCCGCTGAAGATACAGACGACATACAGGACTTCCAACCGCCTGGACCCGCTTTAGGAAGAAGTTCGAAAAAGAGAAAGCTGGCGCGAAAGATTTCCGAAGACGACTACTAGAATAACCCAGTGATTGCAATGACCTGCCGCCGAGCTACCTATCTTCACGCGGTACCTGTTGTTTACGGAGTCAAGGATGGTAATGCTGCCTCAAACTGAGCCAAGCATTCCCACGGAAGAGCGGTGCCTAACCGCGTGCTTTATTCCTGGGCATGAGTAGACCGCCGACCTTGAGCCTTCGGAACTGTAGGTCTAGTGATTGGCAGTGTTGCACCCGATGAAACATGCCTTCAGCCTATGAAAACAATGTATATTATATGTACAGTACCCTATTTCGCCTCATTCTCATTCTTTGCTCTCTGTTGGCCTTAAAGCCCACAATGCTATCAAATGGTTGGGTCACAACCTCCAAGCTTTTCTGTTGGTGACCGGCTCCGACGTTTTTGCAACTCAGAGTCATACGATCAGCGAGGTACAATCTTCAAGACAACCTGCCTTTATAATTACCTTTTACCCTCCTCGTTCTTGTCCCAGTGCGACTCAGAGTACAAGCCTTCTGTTCTGCTCCAGTTGCAGCAGTATCGGAAGAAACTTGCCATCCAATACTGCCAGCGTCCCAGCCATATTACACTTCTGGCTTTTGCTTTTCGTGACCGCATCTTTCTGGAAGAGCACCACCGTACTCCGAACAACAAGGACAGAGAATAGTCATCATGTTCAACAACGCGGCAACATATGACCGCTGGGGAAACCTAACGTCACCAGAACAACCCGCCCAAAATGTCCGTCCTCCTACCGCCGCATGGTTAGGACAAGGTAGCACGTACGGGAATGCCTATGATTTCCTCTGCATGGGATACAAAATGAATGAAACTGCTAATTCCTTCCAGTGGCCTGCCTCCTGTTCCTCCTCCACCTCCTTATGGGCCTTCGAGGTCCGACCATCCACCTCCGCCCTCGTTCCCTATCGAACTGCCACCACCATCCCCACCATCAAGGCCCACCGGTGGCGCCTTTGGATTCTCAACCAGCTTTCGCTTCGGGCTTCCGGGCAGCGGAGCCCCGACTACGCCGCCAGTTCTTTCCTCCAGGTCCCCTACAGGTGGAGCCCCTCCAGCCTGTCACGTACCCAACCCAACATCAACAGCAGCACCACAAAGCCGCTCTACTCACCCTTCCGACCCAGAGAAACGCTATGCCTCTCCCACATTCACACGTCCCATCTGCAACACATGCCATGTCAACTGCGTCAATGTCCGCGAGAGCAATACGAACTTCTGCGAGCGATGCTTCCAGGATGCCCTGAGACGTAGGGGTAAGAAGGAATCGCCGAAGGCAAGTAGGCCCAAGTGCAGGGTCTGCCACGTTAATTGTATCAATGTGAGAGATGGGGAGATGAGCTATTGTGAGAGGTGCTGGCAGGAAGCGATGAGGAAGAGGGGCATTAGGGAGGATGGGAGTGTGTCGGCTTAAGGGAGGGAGGGCGAGATGCGATGGACGGGGTTGAAGTGGGCGCATGGTTGTAGCGAGCTGTTTGTTCGTTCGTGTGTTTGTCAATTCTACTTACAATCGATGAGTTCGGCTCGTTCTGCGTGTTTGGGAAGCGTGGAGTCTGGTATATATCTATCTACGAGATACCTAAACATCCAAATCTATGATTTCAACTAACCACTCCCTTCTCATTCCCTGCTGAAACAGCCCCCCCCCCAACCCACCTCAGGTATTGATTGTGACCATCTATCTATGAGTCCGAGCTGCGCGTTCACTGCCATCCGAAATGGTCTCCTCCAAGCCTGCAGACCATCAACGTCAAGCTCAATGCCCATGATAGCTGCTAAAGTAGGCCCTCCTTGAGCTTGCAAAATCATGGATGTCTGGGCTCATTCCCATCGTTTCGCCTATATTTCATATGTAACGAGCTCTCGATGTCGTTGGGGTCAAATTATAAGCCGCTCTGCATCTGTCGAGGTAGATAGGTTGTGGGTCGGCAAAATGGAATGTTTATTGGGTCAATCGCTTTAATATCTAGATTAGCTTGTGTTTCTTGAGCCAAAGGTAAGTAAGTTTGACCAGGATCTGCTAAGGGATTCTGCCAATGGCAACTCGTAAATCGGGCAAATGGGGCGGTTCATCAAGTACTGGCGCAAAGGGCAAGTGAGTAACTTGGGCTTCGTTGAACATCTCAAAAAACAAATCGCTCTTTTTCCGGGTCATATTCCCCGGAGCAGCTTCTTCACAAGCCTGCCCTGCTCTTCCACTCCCAACCCCTCCCTATCCGTCTCCTGCAACGCCCTGCCTACAAGCAACGTCTCTTTCACCCCGCCACTCTTCACCCACACCTTCCCATTCCTCCCGACCGCAACCTCAAACGCCACCTTCTCCGCTATCTCCTCCAACACCACGAGACCCCCTTCTTCCCGCTGCCTCGCCAGCAACAACCGCCGCGCCATCCCCAAGCTGACATCGAACACCATCCCGCCTTTCAGCTCGCCCATACCTTCGGACTTGCCGGTCGAGGGGTTGCAGCATGCTAACTCCGGGTCGGTGTGTTTCGAGGCCGAGAGGACGCGCGCGTAGATCAAGCTGCCGGAATTGAGCTGGGGACGGGTCTTCTTGGTGGCGCCTTCGAAGGCCAATTGCGGGAGCTGAGCGAGGGTCGTGTGGGGCGTGATGGCGCAGTGGTACCAGTCGGTCGAGGAGTGGTGGACGATTGCTAGGACTAGGTCATTGGGTTGGGGTATGTACTGGTAGTAAAGGCGCGATATTTAGCATGCCGAATGATGAGTCGCCCAGGGAAGTGAGGAGGTTCCGTGAAGGGCAGGAGAAAGCAGTACCCTACCGCTGTTGTTTTCGACCCATATTGAGTTCTTCTTTTGGTCGATGCATAGCGAGCCAGCGAGGACGGAGGTTATGGTTGACGGAGGGACATGGCGGAGGCCAGGGCCCAGTTTGAGTGCAAGAGATGGATTTGAGGGAATAGGGAGGATGTCTGAAGGAATGGCTTCGCCGGGAAGTACGAGTGTTTGTGCGGCCATTGGCCGTAGAATCTATCGTTCAGAAAAGTACTTTAGCATCTTGCTTGGAGTGTAAGAGTGGAGACCGCCTGGAGTGGATGTTTCTGATGCCAAGGCCCGTTTTTGATAGTCGGATCTAACCGGGGCTAAAAAAGTTTGGGCATGGGCTCGAAAAAGTTCAGCTCTCGAACGTTGTAAGGCTCTGTTTATTTCTGAGAGCAACGTGATATGAGACGATCTCAGCACGAGTCCTTTGATAGTACTGCATAATGAGTTCCCAGGAGGAGGGCGAAACTTCGCCCGAAATAACCGCAATTGGAATATCGTTCGGCAATTCGAACAGTTCTATTGCCTACACATCTGGAGTATGATCCTGATCCTGGTTCCCTTTATTGCGCCAATTATGGAAGGAAGCATGGAAAGCTGTACTGATCAAGTCTCTTATATAGGAAGGCAAGGCAGAAGTCATTGCGAACGAAGAAGGTGACCGCCAAATACCTTCAGTGCTGTCGTATATTGAGGGAGAAGAATATCATGGCACACAAGCCAAGTCGCAATTAGTGAGAAACAGCAAGAATACAGTTGCGTACTTCAGAGATTACCTGGGGAAAGACTTCGACTCGATAGATCCCACACCATGCCACGCTTCCGCCCACCCCCAAAAGCACGAATCTACAGTAGCATTTTCGATACAAGACAAAGAGTCGGAAGCCCAGAATATCGTCACGGTTTCCGAGATCACAACTCGTCATCTTCGTCGATTAGCATCCTCTGCTTCTGACTTCCTGGGCAAGAAAGTCAATGCGGCAGTGATTACGGTCCCCACAAATGTCACAGAGGAGCAACGAGAAGCTTTGAGCAAAGCGGCGAAAGCAGCTGGAGTGGATGTATTACAGATGATCTCAGAACCAACGGCAGCTGTACTAGCATACGATGCACGGCCGGAAGCAAAATTGAAGGACAAGATCATTGTGGTCGCGGATTTGGGAGGGACGAGATCGGACATCGCCGTCATTGCTTCGAGAGGCGGTATTTACAGCATACTGTCCACATCCCATGACTACGAAACAGCGGGTGCACAGCTTGACCAGGTCCTGGTTGATCACTTCGCCAAGGAGTTCACCAAGAAGAACAAGACGGACCCTCGGCAAAACGACAGGAGTCTGGCTAAGCTAAAGCTCGAAGCTGAAGCAACGAAGAAGGCTCTGAGTTTGGGCGGTAATGCCAGCTGCAGTGTGGAATCTCTTGCGGATGGAATCGACTTCAGCTCTACGATCAATAGAACACGCTACGAGCTTTTGGCTGGCAAGGTCTTTGGGGCTTTTACTCGCCTGATTGAGGAAGCCGTGCGGAAAGCAGACCTTGATATCCTAGATGTAGATGAGGTAGGACATGCGGCTCGCTTCTTTTCACTCTTACGTACCAGAGGTCTCTCCGATGACTTGGCGTGCACTGTTGAAGTCTGCTTTGAACCTTGCGACTGACATCCCTCTCAGGTCATCCTTTCGGGAGGAACATCGCATACACCCAAGATCTCGCAAAACCTTCAACGACTTTTCCCACCCACCACTCGCATTCTTTCTCCCTCCACCCTCCCTACAGCCATTGACCCTTCATCCCTGTCAGCTCGCGGCGCCGCCATTCAAGCATCTCTAGTGCAAGAGTTTGAAAAAGACGATATCGAACAATCAACTCACCCTATGGTGACCGTGACCCCACATCTACGCAACGCTATTGGCGTTATGGTGGTCAGTGAAGATGTGAAGAAAGGTCTGTTCACTGCTTTAGTAGAAAAGGAAACGGCGGTTCCCTGCCGGAGAAGGGGTGTTTTTGCCGTTCCTAGAGAGGGCGGCGATGTCATGGTTAAGGTTTGTGAGGGGCTGAGAGATATCAAGGTGTCGAAAAAGGAGAAGCCGAAGGCAAATGGCAAGCCCGCGTCCGATGACTCGGACCTTGATAGCGACGACGATGAAGACGAGGAAGAGGAGATGCGAGAGAAAGTGTGGAATGTTGGTAGTGTGCTTGCTGAAGCTGCAGTCAAGGAGGTGAAGAAGGGTGGGAAAGTGGAGGTTACGATTAGAGTGGAAGCAGACTTGGGGGTGCATATTGAGGCGAGAGAGGCCGGTGGGAAAGGAGGCGTCAGGGGGATTTTGGGCACGGCAAGAGTGGTGGAAAATGGAAGTGCGTAAGGTGAAAAGAGTACGTTTATGGGAAGACAAGAGGCTTGCAATAGACGGATAAAAGGGTTTGCTTGGTAATTGAGCAAGGAGATTCACGTTTCGTATTCCAGTATGGAATGGATCACACGAGTTTTGACAGGCAAACAATGATCATTGATTCAAAGGGTTTCAGAGCGAAGAAACCCTTACCGCCATGCTCGAAAGAATGGGTTTCTTGTGTTTCTAATGGTCCATGAGGTGTCATTGGCACATGATGCAAGCGCCGAAAGACTCCTACCGTCCTGGTGTGTTGAGGCCCAGTTTCACAGTGGGTCCTGCACTGCCTCGAATCCTACCACCAGAGCACAGCCCATAGGTAGCCATCTACGGTCAGGCAGTTGAGAATCGGATAACCTCGCTGCCATGATGGGGATAATTCACGTCATCTCCCTCTGGCAGTTGGCCATCGATGATGCACTTCCCCAGATCAACGCCGGGATGGATGGCAATTTCATGGGAGATGAGAGGCCGATTCCGCCCCGGTCCAGTTCACCCAATTGATTTTTGATTGCTTCCATGGCGGCCAATGAAATGTAGAGCTGGAAGAGACTAAGAAAGGAAGCGACTGCAGGAACAGGGGAAGCGCCCGTCTCAGGGAGTGGGTAGCAGGGATTTGCCAAGGGTTTCAATTTGATCTAGTGGATTGCTTATTTCTTAGCTTCGCCGCACCAATTTCACTTCACCTCTTTGCCCTTCTCTTCTCTTCTCTTCACCACTTTTATTCCCACGGCGGCGCATTATTATTTCTCCTGCATGATGGGAAATTGCAACTTCAATTTCCCTAATCCTTGCATCTTGCGCCAGAACAATTGGCCCCCCAATTGCCACAGATATGCTCTCGCGTAAGATTACATTCACCACACTATATCAGGGCTCTCTGACTGGCTGTAACCCAACACTTGCGCTGGGGTGGGATTAGTCCGGTAAGGTACATGTAGTCCAAGGCGATATACTTGCGCCAATTATTGCTGTGGTGCGTCTCATATATGTCACACCACCGGATGTATTGCCCCTTCCCTTTTTCTCTCATCTTCATCTTCTTGTTCTTCACTCTTTCAACCTCTTCCAGTCACTCTCTCCAAAGTATCCTTTGTGCGATATCAGGCTATCATCGCACTATACACTCATTTCAAAGAAAACAAACCCAAACTATATTCGAGTTGATCTCATTCACTACTATCACCACTATCACTACAGCCTTTGTCGCAGAAAAGGAAAGCAGGACAATATAACACGCGCGCAGCATTATCTGTCGAACAATCAGCCGAGACAAGCACCACAGCCAAGCTTGACAAAGCAACTCCCTCATAAAGCCTCAAGCAGAGATCTCGCTCGCTCAAAGCTCACCATCCTTCGCTATCATCATCATCATCATCACTAAACATACAACTGAACATACACCGTCGCATCGCAAAACCACCGCTCTGCGCAAACCCACTCCCAGCGTGCGCGCATAAAACCCCAACCTCGAACCCACATCAACCACTGCGCACCACCAAAGCTTTCGCGCGCACAACCGACCATACACTCAAAATGCACCAACCAATCCTCCTCACCCTCCTCCTCGCCGCCTCCGCGCACGCAGCCACCAGATACGTAACCACGACCTGCACCTCCACCTCCACCACCACCATCACCCACATCTCCGCCTCCAGCACCCAGATCTTCACCTCGGCCATCCCCATCATCGAAACCCCCCTCCTCGTCTCCTCCGCTCCATCCGCATCCACCACCATCATCGTCCCCGTCGCCTCCAGCGCCCCCTCCGCCAGCTCATCGCTCGTCTACACCAGCGAAGTCGCCCCGTTCCCCACAGCGGCGGGAACCGGCGCCTCGGCCCCGGTGGGCACGGGCTCTGCCTCTGCCTCCGCGACCGGCACCGGCGCTCCCATCACCCCGGCCATTCCGTACAAGGGCGCCGCGGCGAGGAATACGGGCACTCTGTTCGGCGGCGTCGTGGCTCTCGGCGCCGTCGCGTTGGCCCTGTGTTAGTAACGTGGGAGCCGGGAAAGAAATCGAACCGTTGCGTTGCCGGGGGAATATAGATATAGGGGGTCGGGGCGGACCGCGGTCGGTCAATTCCGTTCGTTTCTCGAGTACATGTTGCGGTTGGATTCGTTCCCTGTAAAGCGCGCGCGCGCGCCCCGGGGGGGTCCGCTGCTTGCCTAGCTCTGCCTTTGTTTCCTTCTCTCTCTCTCTCTCTCTTGCCGATTGCTATATTCCCCTCCGAGCCGAGCCGAGCCGAGCGCTCGAATCTGTCGCTACTGCTGCTGCTGCTGCTGCTGCTGCTGCTTGCGATGAACGAATGGAAATAGATGAAGTCGGTTTTTAACGTGTCCATTGATCTGGCCTGGCGAGAGAGAATAAAGTACATTTGTGCTGTGTACATAATATATGTGATGTCAAGTGATGTCAAGTCAAGTGATCGGAGATTAAAACCAGTACTCCGCGGTGATGTGTGCGTATCCATCTTCGCTATTGTGACGCCACGTGTTCAGTTTCGAGGAATGAATGTATTCACTATGGAGTCTCGAATGCCTACCGTGACCTAACCTAGGACAGAAACCCGCCATGAATCAACCAGGCAAGGAAGGATCCCATCGCAAAGTTTCCCAAGAGCTTGAGAACGCGGGACTCGGACTTCGATAGCCCAGACCATCTCTCTCCCCCTCTCTCTCTCTCTCTCTCCGCAAACACTACTTAGTTAGTTAGGACAGCGTACGTACCGTCTGCAATCCGGGTTCGGAAACGGACGTGAGGATATGAGTAGGGTAGAATATCTCCGCGGTGAAACGGGGTCAAGGACTTGGATGCAAGGTGCAGCTCAGGGATATGGGCCTTTGTACAATCGGGGCCGCAGGGCGTGGACCAAAGGGGATTTCTAGGTGTGGATTGCAGGAATGCGAGGCTCCAGGAGACGTCGATCGGAGGAATCCATGGCGATTGGAAGCCGAAAAGCAGCCCGACCTCGTTCCTTCAATCGGCGGCGGATCTGCCGCGCTTGCTCGGTAACATCTCCGCGGTTTCTTCCCTCGCACGCTTTTCGTGACTTGGATGATGTTGTCGCTTCGACCTTGGCGGTGGATCCATAGGCCGTCTCCCCTGTGAGAGATCCGGTAGGGGACGCGGAGAGAAAAGATCCGCCGCTGACGGCGGTGGCAGACCCCGCCACTGGTTCATGAGCGAGCAGTAGTCTTCATCGGTGGAGATTCCCCGCGGGATTGATCCTGGCTTTGGCCCTGGATTACTGTTGCCGCTGTAGATGATGGCGCCGTCGGGGAGCTCGTCGAGGATCTCTTGTTTGGTATACTCGAAGAGGGTGGTGTCGTTCTCGTTGTCGTCATCGTCGTCGTCATCGTCAATCCCAAAACCTGATGCGGCGAAGCGGAGCTTCTGGAGGTTTCGCAAAGCGGGCTTCTCGTCATGTGTATAGTGTTCCAGGATATTGCTGCGGTGCTTGGCGCGACATTCGCGCTGGAAACGGCTTCGTCGTGCGAGTTTCCGATGCGTCTCTAGGAGATTGGGGGTGTCCTCTCCGGGGTCCAGGTGCCAGCCCAGACGTCGAGATAGAATGGCGTTGAAGACGTGCTCCTCCCCCAAGAGTTGGTCGAGCATGCCTTTCCAGTCCACCGAGATCTCTTCCTCCTCGTCATCTATGTGAAGGTTGGGAAGCCCAGTGTCGTTTACTACTTCGCGAACCTGGATCGAGAACACAGGAGATCCGACGAGCTGCTTTTCGTGGAGACGCCTGAACACCATTTCTTTTCGAACCTTTCCACACTTGAAGAAGGCTCTAGCCTGATCGTCGGAGAAGCGATCGAGAGTGAAAGACGGCGTTTTTGTCGTATATTCGCGCACACTCGACATGTCACCATAACATCCAGCGTATCCCACAGAGCGATCAGGCGTGAAGACGTCCCAACACAGGAGATGGAGGCCTGTGAAAATATCAGCGTCTTTCGGCTTTCCCCAGCATGCTAAATCGATACTTGAAGGCTGCAACGAAGAGGCTTACCCAAGTCACAACGCAGAATTGTCTCTGGTAAGAAAACCGTCCTGAACATCCTCTCAATCTCGCACCTGAAGTGCTTCGAAACGTGTCGTCCTCCTACCCAAAGCCACGTGAGATCTTCGGGGTCGTGAAGGTCTTGAAAAGTATCCAGAACCATGCTCTCAAGTTCGGCAAAGAGTCTGGGCTCGCCAGAGCGAGCACGCTTGCTGGGTTTCGCCCACACAGGTTTGGAAGGCGCGCTCGAAGACATGCTCATGGATGGTGTTGGGAGTATGAAAGTCGAAGAGAACCGATGCCGAAGCTCTTGCAATTCACTGTTAGCTTCACACTAGCGTTCAATGTGAATGAAGTCTGCCCTTTCTACTGCGTTCCGCGTCAGCACGTGATTGAACTTGCTTTGAAGTTGATTGACTGCCTTGAAAGATAAGGCAGAAGGGCATGGCATTTATCAGGCAGTTTGGGTTCGCCTGAGGGGTCCATCTACTTCCAGTGCAACCCAGAAACAGAATGTTTTGGTGGACAACCAGGCAAGGCAGCATCGGCACACGGATTTGAGCCTCTCCTCCAATTTACATTCTTTTCCCGCAGTGTAATTCTGTCAGGGACGAGCTTAATAGTCGCGACGCTTGATCACTTGTTCTTAATACCTCGGCACTTCTATTCTCCCCATCGCGGAGCCCCAGCAGTTCCCCAGCACTCCATCACAAAAGGTTCGATGACCCTTTTTCTTTCGTGTCCGCATCAGAAATAGTCTGCCTTCCAGATTCTACTGGCCATGAAGCTCAGAGCGTTCACTCTGCACGCTGCTGCGTGCTGCCCTGCCAGCAACCATAAACAGAGTTCGATACGGCCGCTGTCTGTTTGGTCCAATGAATTGCGGAGTACCACAAACTTCTCGCAAGGCTCCAAGTGTACGGACAGATGGCAATGGGACATTCCTCCCACGTCCTTAGCCTCCTCTTGCTCGCTCAACGTTGGCACCTTCCAGATCCCGTTGTGGTGTTGCAAATGCTGCTTAAGTTGCTGTATTGCTTGAAGGAGCGCAAGCTGTGCGCGCACTAGATTAAAAGTCAGGAGCTTACTCTAAACTTAAGTAGCGTGGCAGCACGAGTTGCTCCCTGCCTTTAAGTCGCGCCTGGGAGGTGGCACTTACACTCTAAGCTTCAAATACAGCCATCCACACACCATGAGCAATAGAGCATTCACGGTAATCGATCCGAGCAATGCCTTCTTGTAGAAACCTGGCCTCCGGTGTAGATTGACCTGGTGACTCCTGCTCTCCACGCTCTCTATGGGTTCCTCGTGCCACTCGTCTAATTCTGCTTGTAACTCTGCCGCGGCCACTTGATCATATGTTTGGGTTGGTTTGAACATGGTAGTTTGGGAATAAGCTTGAGGGTATGGCGGGTGGAGGAGTGGAGAGATGGAGAAATGGAGTGGGTCCTAGCTGGTAGGGGATGAATCTTGTGGCACCGAGAGTCCCTTAGATTAGCTTTAGGGCTGTCACTAGCGCTGTCCTGGACTTCGTTGCTCGCACCTGCTCACAGCTCTTTCTCTTTTACGTCCCAACTCGCACTACAATAGCCCAAAAGCTCTCTCCAGTCTGACATTGCTTATCCCCCAAAAATCTTTTATATAAAGATGCTTCGGCTTCCAGCAGCGTGGCCCAAGTCCTCGTATATTGCTGCGCCTCCGCTCAATTGCAGGTGAGACCACCACACCATTAAGATGTAAGCTGCACAGCCTGAACTGCGCTGCTTTCTGTCAAGTTCTGAAGCTGCAGAAGTATACTGTGGCTAGGTCTTCGAACGTAGCTTCGGTGATATTCTCATGTAGTGGGCCAGGCTCCCCTAACTCCTCTCATTAGAAACAATTTCAATCCTAAGTATACTGTGTCTATTTTCCACCCTGATCACTTTACCTCGCGGCTTACAACCAATCTTCCTTTCACACAACATGGCGCTATGTATACTATTTTTCACACTCTCGTCCCTCTACTGCAAAACCAATGCCATATCACAACAGGGCAATATGGGCCTCTGGAGCGACTCAGAATGCAATTCCAAATCAGGCGCAACCTCCAACTTCGGAGAACCAGACCTATCGCCCTTAACTTCACCCTCTTACCTGACGTCTGCGGCGTCCCTGGGGCTACAGTCCGCAGCTACCGATTCTTGCAGAACGCGACCTGCGCCAATGGCACCACAGCAGAATTCAACTACTATAACAGCAACAACAGCACAGCCGACCCCACAGCCGAAGACCCTAATCCTGGGCTGGCGAAGCGTATGAAGAATCGACGTCAAGTCGCGGGTAACTTAGATGGTGATTGCCTGGCGCTTATCGCCTTCAATTCCCTGGCATTTGTTTGGGAAGGCGTTGCTCCTGGAAATAAGAGATCTATCTCCCTCTCGACATCCGCTCTAGCGCCAACAACTGCATCTTCATCTACCACTCCTTCGATATCATTCTCTTCAAACCAGTCAAAGACAGCAATAAGCTCGTCTACAAAAAGCTCACCTGCCACAAGCTCACCCATAACAAGCAACCACGGCTCCAAATCTAGCCTCTCCGCTGGCACAAGCGCTGGTGCCGGCGTTGGATCTGCTGTCGGGGTATTAGCAATTGCTGCTCTGTGTTTTTTCTACTTCCAAAGGCAGACCGTTACCAACATTAAACGCGGTAACCGACGTTCAGAACCGTTGTCCGCGAACGCTGCGATGACGTCTGCATTCGACACAGGAGGTATCACCTATAAAGCTAGCATAGGTCAGCCGCATAAGATTAAACAAGGTGCTATTGATAACAGTCACGAAGCTGGCACAGACAACGAGATTCATGAATTGCTAATCAAAGGATGAACCTCGATTTATGAGTCTGGTGGCTAATATATCAGGCATTTTGCAGCAAAATCGTCCTCATTAGTAGTTAGTGCAATTCTATAGACATTTGCCTTTCAACGCCTCCAACATGGCACATACAGCCCAGCTCAATGTCTCCTGCGCCTCAACATCCATACCTTCCTGGACTACAATCCCTAATTGCTTACACCTCTCTGCATCCATCCGGCCCTCAACGTTTCCTTCTTCAAAGAACTGCATGCGCTGCTCCACATAGTTCCGCCAAACCATCTTCTCGAAGGAATCTTCCGTTTCCCAGAGTTCGCCCTGCTTAGCCTCAGCGCCGTAATTCGGCCTCGTCATCCTCCTATGCTTTGCTTTTCCATGGCTAAGTCTCACGAATAATCGAGCATCGAGCCTCTCCCTGATCTCGGGAACAGTGAAGGGGATAAATTCTTCAATGATCACCATTTTCATCGCCTACGGCGAGCCGCCAAGCACATCGCTGTCTTCAACCTTCTTCTTCGTCTCCTTCAACACCTCATCTCCTGTCAAATCCAACGCTCTCTCGTCCTACCCCGGGAACACATCTTCTTGCCAGGTCTGCATTCTAGCAGGCACTGACTCACTCTTTCCAAGCCTCTTCGAACGCCGTCGAACAGAATCGAAGCGGTCCGGTCTCCTGGACGGAGTCAGTGACTGAAGAGCCTAATCAGCTGGGGTTGTAAGGAAAATATGTGAGAGGTAGCCACTTACCCATGTTTCCGAGTTGCACCGACATCTTGCCTTGGATTCCGAACTTGATATTTCCTTCATATAAGGCGCTTACACGCTCTTATTTATAGAAAAAGATTATACTCATACATTAAACCGCGGGTAAGTTTACAGATGTCCCCGTTATCTTTAAGGCTCGCGCCCCCCCAAAGATGACGCTTCAGTCCGATGGCGAATATTTTGGGTCCGGAATTGAGAATTCCTTCAAGGAGGAAAGGGCGAGAGCGTCTCGAAGCGTACAGACCTAGGTCCAACCCGCCTTTCCGTTGGAGGAGCTTGATTTCGGTCGAGGTATTGATCCATAACTGCTTCATGAATGTGGAAAAGAATATAAAGCTGATACACGCATACATGTAGTAGAAGTCGAAGTTGACCTGCTTAGGAGGATGCTGAGCGACTAAACTAAAGTATGCTGTTCTTGTCAATAGGGGATTATCGGGTATTATAATCTATTCGCCTCGTCTTGCCATGATCATGTTCGTCGCCCGGGCTCTACGGTCGAAGCCGCAGGTACCACACGTACATTTGCGCCTTCGCTGCGAGCAGTAGATTGTGTTGGCAAGCAGTCATATGCTTGCAGGCCTACAACTAGTATAATTTGCTGTTTAGTGACGGACTACTAGTGATGACCCTTTTGGTCTAGTCGTAACGATTAGCAGAACCCGTCCCGCTTCTCGAGCAACCACGTCTCATGCCTCACCATCCACCACACCAAGCTTAAACCCACCTACACACCCCCTCTGAAACAACCCCTCCGGATCATACCTCCTACTCACCCCCTGCAAGAACCGCCAATTCTCCCCACCATAACCTTCAAACGGCCTCTGCCACTCCGCGCAATAATTCATGTACCGATATCGATGGCCCGTTCCATTAGCCGCTGCAACGGCATCAATCTGCTCAACGGCGCGGCGCGTCGTCGTCTTGACGAACTCGTCATCTCGGCGTTCGGCCCAGTTGACCGTGAAGCTCACGATAACGAGAGGCTCATGAGTGCAGTCGTGCAGGCCTAGCGGATTCGCATCGCCCTTGCGTACCCAGTCCGGTAGGAGCGGCTGCAGGACGAGTGTCCAGACCAAGCCCTTGACTTTGACACGGCGGAGCGAGGCGATAGCATCGCAGTAGGCGGCGTGCGCGGCCGCCAGGGTGGCACGGTCGTTCTTGATAGTCGTGGTGGCGAAGACCTGGCGCCTGCCGGGGGGGTTGAGCGCGTTCATTTCATCGGTCGCGCTAGTTAGGGTGCGGACCTTGCAGGTGCTCCAGAGGCGCCAAAGCGATCCGAAGGTTGAGGTCCTCCAGCAGGCGGGCCATTTCTTCTCGTTCTCGGGGAGCTTGGTATAGACGAGATTCACGGAGATGGCCTGAACGCCGAGTTTCTGGATATAGGAGAAGCAGGCTATGGGGCCGGCGGCGTGGTTGTCGTACGTGGTGCTGGAATCGCCCGAATCCTCTCTGTTGAGGCATTCGTGGAAACCCGCGAGGACCTTGGCGGCTTGAGAGGCGGGCATGTAGAGGAAGCCGCTCCAGATTTTGGTGGAGGGGAAGCTGCGGGCCGTGAAGCGCGTGACGAGGCCGAAGTTATTGGAGCCGCCTTTGAGGGCGCGCCAGAGGTCGGGGTTAGTTGATGCAGAGGCTGCGGTGATGGAGCCGGAGGCCAGGACGACTTCGTAGCTGAGGATGTTGGAGCAGACTAGGCCGAAGCGGGGGGAGAAGAAAGAGAGACCGCCTATTTGCGCCTTTGGTCAACTCTGGAATAGAGTAAGAATGGAGCTGCAGGTGGGAATCTTAGAGATCCGACTCGCAATCGAAGTGGGGGAGAGGGGCGAGTACAGACGTGAAAAGTAGAAGCTTACCTCCCAAAGTCAAGCCGCCCACCCCAACAGCAGAGTTCCTGCCTCCAACAACAGCGAGACTCTTCTCGTCCAGGATCTTGGAAACATCCATCCACTTGGCGCCAGCTCCGATGACCACGCTCGATCCACCCTCAGAGGGGGTCACCTCACACAAGAGGCCAAGGTCGATCATGACACCTCCATTGATGCTCGCAGCACCGGAAACCGGAGAATGGCCGCCGCTGCGGATAGCGAATAGTCCTTCGGCTTTTTGCTCGCCAGCTTGCTTCCCTCGCTCGTCGTACTCGCGCTTGAGGACAGTGACGGCCACGCAGAGCTGCTGAACGTCGCGGGGGCGGACCACGCATGCTGGGATCACTTCGCACTCCTGCTGGGCCCAGTAGGAATTTATCGACTCCTTGAAGGCGACGGCGTCGTGCGGAAAGATGACGCTGTCGGGCAGTGCCGATGCAAGGCTTTTGCTGAGCTTGGTAGGCTCTGGTGAGCTGATCGTGAGGTCTAGGTGGTTGGGCTTCTTCACAGCTTGTAGGGTCTGTGAGGTCCGTAGACGGCGCATGATGAAGATGGAGATGATGATGAGGAGCGTCGTTGCGGCAGATGCGGAAAGCAGCTGAAAGGACATGATGACTGTTTGCGCAGTGATCCACGAGAAGGCAGATCACTGAGAGAAGCGGGACGGCTGACGAACAGTATTATAATCCCTGCAAGTATTACGAGACATTGACTCAGAGCTTCGCGGCATATAGCCTTGTGAATCAGAGCTGTCGCACATACACGTTGGATGCAAACAAGGTTACAAGACCCATCTTGAAGCTTAGAGTACATCCAGATTAAAGGTTTAGCGTCGAGCGGATCCTCTAGTCTCCGTCATCATACCTTAGGTACATTTAACAAAGAGCCTTCGCTGGTGTTTACTTCAGCGCCGGCGAGCCAATAGCCTCCAGATGGCGCCTCAATACTCGCAGCACCGGAAACCGGAGGAATGCCGGGATCACTTTGTAGAGTGGAGTAAGCAATTGAGGATTGTCGTCTATAGCAATAGGTAGCACACAGGGTGCTTAAACCGTAGGGTATACGCTTATTAAAGGAAAGTAAAGGAAAGCAAAGGAAAGCAAAGGAAGCAAAGAGTAATAGTGCCCAGCTCACCAACCTGCTCATTTCCCCTTCCTACAGTCCTCGAGATGCTTCTCGACTAAAGCCGTATCCTAGAGCTCGAGATCGTGTTGACGAGCCAGGAGAGCTTTGATGTCCAGCTTCGTCTCCTTCGTGTCCAGCTTCACGTCCTGTATCTCGCGCTTCACTTTCTCCAGGCCACCTTTCACTCCATCGATACGGGCTCCGAGAAAACGTAGATTTCCGACAACGCCAATCACTAAGGTCGCTTGAAGAGGCTGTTAGACAGAGCTGAGTTGAGACTCGAGAATGTTACTTTATGTGCCTTAGGATCGGCAGCCAGGCGGGAGAACCCGTGCACTACTCTAGGTGCTCAAGCTAGCTTACCTCTCGGGGGCGCTTCGGGACCCCCATATAGGCCGAAATAGGGGTGGCAGCGGCTGTGAAGCGCAAACACCCCAGGCATGGCTTTTGAGCTTAGCGGTAGCCTTTCGGGTTGCTAATACTCTGATATACAACGCTTTTGAAGAGTACTAAGCTTAGAATAGCATTAATATGTAGACCTTATTATTAGACTTCGTGGCGATGTTTTTATAAGGGTCTACTTGTAGAAGTAGCTGACAGGTGTGTGCGCCATTTTCTCAATGCCAAGAAATTGTAACGTCTTCTGCACACGCCAATACCCGTATATCAACAATGGCGACTCTACGCGTCACAAACAACGACTTTCCAATAATCTCGTCTATATATATCTTATCCTTGAGATATTCGTATGTTAATACCTGGCAATTACGGTGCAGAACATATGCGTATGCAAATCTCCCATCCACAGACTGAATTATGGCCTCACCTACGAGGGAAGGGTTGGACCTTGGGAGTAGCAACAAGGGCGGTACACCCTCTGAATCGTTGGATAGCATAACCTCAGCTACGACCTTTGACCTCTTCAGCGACTTCCAAGAATCCACTCAGAGCTTCGGAGAACTCACCTTGCCAGAACTGCCAAGCTTCACTGCATCTACAGTGAATAAGAAACGCGATCGAAACGAATACCTCGCCAGCTCCAGTGACGCGCCCCTCTTCTCAAGTGACGACCTTCCTGCTTCTTCAGCTGAAAATTACTACGGGCCAAGGGTCAAGCGACAGCATCGGAGACCATGGTATGAAACAGACGAGTCTTGGAACACTGTCACGTTACCTTCCTCTACAAAGAAGCCCCGCATGAGGGGCCCTTTCAGGAGAACCCATGACAGTGGTGTCTGGCTGGGTAGTGACGCATCTACGGAGAATGAAGATAACGATCGGCAGGACGCTGTTCGAAGGGTATTGAGAGTCATGGAAAGCGGAGGGTCCATTGACGGTGATGAGGAGCTTTGGCATGAGGATGAAAGAGAGCTTGATCTTGGAGACAAGGTTCATGGCCCCTGTACTCAGACATTAGAGGAAAAATTGCAGCAAGCTTTGGTCAATAGAGCTCTGCAGATAACGGAAGATCCGGGGGGCTTCGAGGGACCGGTGTTTCCATACTGGCAGAAGCAGCCAGGTCATTTGATGGGCTTTCACTTGGTCCAACAACAAGCACAAAAGAAAGTCACGCTGTGTGTCGAACAAGGTGGAGAGGCTATCGACTTGTCGTATGTTGCTTCTTTAGAACCCAATCCCCTCGACATATGGCTTCCCATTGCAGTGCGAGCTTTTGCAACAAGTCCCGGCTGACCCGTAATCCAGAACGATGTACATGCAGCAGGTACGAACGCCGACGCTACGGCCGCTGCGCTACCATACAAGAATAGTACCGAAGCAGGGCAAGGGGAATCGCTATCAGTCATTGACGCCAGCACTACGGCTATATCTATCGAATAATCTTCTCGAGGAAGTACCTGGGGAGGTGTTTCATTTGAAGAATCTAGAGGTTTTGAGCTTACGCTCGAACAATCTGACGGAGATACTTCCGACAATTGGCGAGCTCAATAACCTCAAAGAACTCAATCTAGGCAGTAATCAGCTCAATTGGCTTCCTTGGGAGCTCCTTAGTCTTCTTCACGCCAACCTCCAAAAATGCATGATCTATCCAAACCCCTTCATTCGCCCCGTTCCATCAACCTGGAACCACGCATCCAGCCGAGAGCTCAAGTCCGGTGAGCCATGCCAACAATTAGCCTCGACACGTATCGCTTTCCTCGATATTACTGGCGCTTCACTGCGCCATTGGCCACCGGCTCCATCGTCTATCCCAGAGCACTGGCCTGAACCCCAAGCAGACGATGAGTTCCTCGGGCCGCCGCCAGAAGAACGTACCAAAACACCATCCCTTCTCGAACTCGCCTTACGCGCTTGCAAAAAGTCACCACAACTGAGCCAACTTCCTTTTCTCATCCCGCAAGACTGTCCAGAACATCTCACGCAGCTCCTCCAGACAACCTGGAAGCTCAAAGAAGCAGGCGGCAAAAACTGCTCTGTCTGCGGACATGAGTACATTATCCCACGCACAGAGTGGATCGAATGGTGGTACTGCATCCCGGATCAGGGTTTCAGAGGGCAGCTGGACCACATGCTTGCGTTGCACAAGATGCCAGTGCCATTGCTGAGGAGAGGCTGCAGTTGGGCTTGCTGGGAGGAAGATGCGAGCCCGTTGATCAGAGGGTGGAGCTCTGCAACGCTGCCTGGAGGGCTAAAAGAGGAAAGAGATGTTCATGGCGACGTTCGGACTTCGCCTACAAGGAGGACCATACCGCCTAGTGGGAGGATCCGACAATGACCTGCTGTCCATAGTCCCTAGGGTACTGGAAACGGATACGGCTTACGATCGTTACATGACTGATAGATTTGGAGCTCTTTGAAATTTCTACTGACCCGGAGATCGAGTGTTGCCTGATGACTGAGGACAGCTAGCTTTTTCGAATGGAGCATATACCCCAGAGCGATGTCTTATTTAAAGCATTCTCCATTGTCGTGGTGAGATATTGGGCTCCCCTATGTGATTCTGGGATTAAGCAACTCGAGTTGTTGGTATCGGAATTAGACATGGAAGAAAAGTGTTCATCTCAATGTCCGGCAATTCCCTTTCTGCTCAAGTCCTCACTTCGAACTCTCACTCTCCAATATCGATCGATGGCAAGAAGCAATCGCCTCCGTCATCTCCTCGTGCGGCTCATCGAATGCATCAACAATCCCCATCCCCTTCCCCTTCCCCCCTTGTTTTTAACATATCCAAACCAGTGAACCCCGACACACCATTTTTGGTTCATGAGCAACCCTACCGTGCCTCCATAATCCCTGCCTCTCTCTTCGTGCCCGTCCAGCGCACTCTTCCGTTGCGGATTCATCTCCGTAGCACACCAATTGCCGATTTCAGCTACCAGCACAGGCTTTCCGCACAGCTTCTGCCATCCATCGCACTCCTGCACCATCACTTTTCGATAGCCCTGAGCAGGTTCGCGGAAGTACTGCGCACTCAGCACGTCGACGAATTTCTCCATCGCCTCCAGCACTCCCTCTGGTATCCCCCTGTTCCCATCATACCGATCTCCAAAAATCAAATGACTCCCATCCACACTCCTCACCACCTTACAACCAACATTCTAACGCGTCTCAGCCAACTCCCCAATCTTCCCCTCCCACTCTTCATACCCCAACCCTTCCAGTCCCGGCCACTCCCCCCTCCCCAGATCCATGCCCAACCCAAACAGAGATATATATCAACAAAGAAACACCCAACGCCCAGCCCACTGTCTCCACGCACGGAACATACACCCCGAGCCGAGAACCCGCACCATTCTCTCAACACCCTGCCGCCCGGATCTCGGAACACGGCATCCGCGTCCCCAATCTTGCATCTCCAGCAACGGCAATTGTACCTTACCATATTACGGCATCCCGCACTCCCCATTGGCTCCACCCCAGCGTCGAGTGCCAAAAATTGACGCCGTGGTCAAATGCGGCGTCTAGAGTGTATTCCGCTCTGGGGTTGTCGGCAGGCTATTATGGCCTTTCGACGACGGGGTCGGGCGTCCGGCCTAGGGTGTTGTGGTTGGATGGTTGCGGGTGGGAGGGGGTGGTGGTCAGGAAGGAATGAGGAGCGGGGAGGATGGCGCGGGGAGTGGGGGTGGGGGTGGTGGAGGTTGGGTTCTTGGGGGTGGTTGGAGGGTGAAAGGAGGGTGTGGGTTGAGAGGGTGAAGGAGGGCATTTTTGGGTCTTCGCTGGGGATGAGAGTTTGGGTGGGGGGGCAGTTGGGGAGGTTGGTGGCGATGGGAGATTGGGTTCCGGTAGCGATTGCGTCGGATCTGCGTAGCTGTGTTGGCGGCTGGAAGTAAGTGGTTGTCAGAGTAGAGTGAGAGATGGGAGGGAGAGGGTAGAGATCGAGACGTCGCAGAGTTTCAAACATCACATAGGGCAGGCCCTGTGGACGGTGTTTTTGCATGCTTCGATTGCCCCTAGCATACATCCGTTGCATCAAAATCATCCACCGCCGCCACCAGCATTCTTCAGGCCATGTGTTCAAAGCAAGCAAGATATCCGGTATCACAATGCAAAACGCCCGTAGATGACCATCTTTTATCCTGCCTCGCTGTTTTCTGTTCGAGTACCACTTGCAAACTTCATCATCGTCGTCCCATCAACAACAACCATCACTCACTCTCCCCTTTTGGCTTCTTCCGCACCAGGACGCATCTACTTCCGCCTAAAGGAGCAGCCCTCCGTCAGTCTCGCCTTCCCACCGGTCGGCTGGCACAGCACGGTCGAGCAGCCGCCGCAGATGACGACGGTTTGGGCGTGCGAGAAGACGGTTGTGATGGTGAAGCAGCCGGGGCACTTGACGTCCATGAAGAAGGAGCGGGGGGCCGGTACGAGGGTCTAGCACGGTTTTTCACATGTCAGTTGGCTTATTTTGGTGTCGGGAGGGCGGTGAAGGGGGGACGCCACTGATCGCGGCGTGATGGGAGAGTCAGTAGAGGAAAGAGGTAGTGGCTCACCTTGAGCTTGTGCTTCCTCGACTCAGCAGCAGGCGTGGGGTTGAGGAGATCGATTGCGAGAACCTGTAGTGGAGATGTTAGCAGATGGCGGTTGGTGAAGTCATGCTCCCTATCTTCCGCTCGGGCGGCGTACCATCTTGGCGGTCGTGTATTGTGCTCTTTGAGATTTGTGTGCAGCTTCTTTGTCTGACTGAGTGTTTGAGGTCGAGGGTTCTGTGTAGCTGGAAGAGACTGTGGTTTGTGGCGAATGAGTCAATGTTTTGTGCGGTGTTGCAGTCACAAATTCAACTCGGCCTGTCGTGTGATTGCCAAGGCGCTAGAATCTAGCGATCGGCTAGTGGCCTTAACGAGAGTAGCAGCTCCCGATGTCCGATGTCTTTACTTTGCTTGGACTTACTACTTACTTCGTCAAGGTATGTTTGATATTCTGCCTGGATCATCTGGCTACAACAATGTACCGATCAGAACCACTGCCAGTGATTGCATAGAAAGTTTGTCCTCTATCAGGGGTTCTACCTCACCCTTCGACGTTCCGGAGCTATCGAAGCAGAAGAGAACAATCAGGTATACTAGAACCTGCTGCTTGCAGTCTGTCGGAGATGGTATATCTTCTTCGAACACAGTCAGGCTATCTGATTTAGAAATCTTCGCTCTATACCGAGTTTCTGCATCTGAAGCCTTCGTCCCCATCCATTATCATCATTAATCATCAACATTCCATCCCTCACATGAACGCACAAACCGACCTCTCCTTCCCGGCATCCCTCAACTTAGTATAGAGCGCTGTCCTCGCTCCCCTCTCGGCCTCATCCCTCAATGGCACAAAACAGTTATTGAATAGCGAATCTTCATTCCTTTTAACCGTGAACATCTGATCCAAGCTTCCCCACTCCAAGAAAACCAGACAAACTCTCGCAGTATCTGCACCGCGCTTCACCGGTCCTAGAGTCCAACCGTGGACCATTGATCGGATTTCATCGTGCGGAAGTCTTGCGGTATAATGTTGTAATTGTTCTTCGAAGAACTCTTGGTCCTCGTGCGTAAGGGCTGGGGGGAAGAAGAGAGTGACCAATTCTGTAAGGCCGTGTGGAGATAGATTGCTGTGGGTGGTAATGCAGTGGACTTTGAGTGGAGAGATATTGATGCCTTCGAGGACAACGTCAAAAGTAGGGCTTGTTTCGAATGATTCTGCTGCTTGGATGTCGGTCCAGACTGCAATCGAGAAATATAAAATCAATAATTTGCTTCAGTGCTCAGAGGCAGAAAGGTCACGGAATTAGAATTGAACTTTCTCTTTCATACCAATGAATATATCAACCTTATGGGAGGTATTCATGTCCCGACCCCAAAGCGTCCGTAGCCATCCTGTCTGCTTCCTGATCGTCCGCATAGCTTTCCTCCATCTTCTGCCTTCGTGCGAGAACCTGTGTTCAATGGTGCTGTCATTGAGTATAGTGAAGGAGATAGTTTGAAGGACTTGTTGCTCGTTTGAGATGGACGTAGACATGACTGGAATATGATCGGAGATGAACGAGGAGCATGGGAATTTCTCAGCATGACAGAGCAGAAGATAAAGAAAATGAGAAGTAGTCATGGCAAAGGATCCTCGGAATCCACTGCGAAGAGGCAGTGCTCTCCATACGAAACAGAAGTCAAAAAGCATACGGAACACATAGGCGCAAGCTGTAGGAGGGGGGGGGGGTTCATGGAGCTCGAAATAGTCTGCAATCAAGCATCAGGCGTTCAATCGCATCACTTTCGCCAAAGTCAGCAGTATAGGCATCCATAGATGCTTGAACTGAAAGATTTTATTCGCTAGTGATCTTCTTCAGATACGAGGTGGAAGGAAGCTGTGCTGGTCCATTTTTAGCAACCTCTGCGCGCGGGTCGTCTCGGCCGTCACCCCTCCCACCCCTCAGGCATCTTAGAGGCGCGCAAGAGCTGCTGCAGCGAGACAGACCTCGTGGTCATCGATCTCAGGTGGAAAGGAGACTGAGAAGCAAAGGTCACCAACTGAGGTACCAGGAATCGACCCGGGGTTCTCCCGGCCATCAACTGTTGAAAATGGCTAGGGACACACTTGATTGGTTAAATTTTGCATCCATTTAGCCTTGACCAGTTTAGCACCATTCGCTAGTTGGATCCCTAAGGTACACCATACCGGATTGGACTCTTCTATCAATTGAAAGAGGATTTGTTAAGTATATCAATCTCAAGGGCATCTTTGGACGTGATTTATTCAACTCCAGCCCTAGTCCACAAGATAGGGCTACTGCATCTCATCCCATAGAAGCCTTCCATCCAGCAAGTCCCTCTGCCCGTATAATTCGCCTATAATCGTGACAAGCATATCAAGCGTAGCATGTATCGTTGCCTTCTCATCTGTCTTCTCATCCAGACCTCCATCATCTGTTCCTAATTCTGTGACTGGGTAAGTCGGTGGGGGGATTTGTATATCATCTTTATTGCTGGCATTGGTCCCCAGGAAATCAGTTTGTGTTTGATTGGGCCCAAGAGAATTGGAAATATGTTGCTTCGCTTTCGGGAAATCAGCGTCAGACATGGTAGCTATTGGGGGAGCTTCGCTGTTGCCGTCATGGCTCAATGCCGCCGTAGTAATGTCATCCACTTCTAGTTCAGAAGCAGGGTAGGTGAGTGTCGGGCTTTGTCTATCATTTTTATTGCTGGTTTTGGTCTCCGTGGAATCGTTTTGTGCTTGATTGGGCCCAAGAGAGTCGAGGATATGCTGCTTCGCTTTCGCCAAATCAGCATCAGACATGGTGGCTACCGGATGAGCCTCGCTGTTGCCGTCATGGCCCTCCGCGGCCGTAGTAATGAAATCGATATACGGAGAATGGCCATCATCCGCATCCACAGCATCCAGGAAATCGGCCCCGTCTTCCGCTCTCTTCTCTTTACCTTCTCCCTCTTCGTCGTCTTCTTCTCCCGCGTCCATATCTGGCTCATCTACAGCCTCGCCAATGACCCCCCCCTCATTGATCCTCCTCAACAAGCAAACAGCCTGCTTCCCCAACTTCCTCAACACTCCAACCTCTTCACTACCCATCTGCCCTACCTCCCTGCATCTGCCCAGCAAGCCCCAAGTCCAAGCTCCAATGTTCTTGCCTTTTTTTCCTCTCCGATTTGCGAAGGTCAACAAAAATTCGAGTACCTCCAGTCCGCAGATCACGCTCTCTTGCGTAAGCTGCGCCAGCAGGACCATTGTAGGCGTTGTGTTAAGTATCTTTCCCCGCCATACTCGGTGGCTCCTCCAATCAAGATAGTAGACATCATTTTTGTCTGGCGCAGCGCGAGAGGGTGGTGATTGGAGCACTTCGGTAAGTTCTGTAAAGCGCGCGCAGAGTGAAGCGTAGTATGCTTCCTGGGGATCTTGATCTTCCTGTTGCCCACCATTCGTGTGTTTCTGATTGTGGTTGGAGAAAGGAACAGGAGTGGCAGTGTATGCGCCATTGGAGTAGTAGCCTTGAGGATAGTCCGCGTAGAGGTCATTCTTCCTGGATTGAACAGTAGGTGAAATTGGAGCGACGAGAAGGTTAGGAACAGTCTTCGCTTCTGATCTATAGGCACACAGAATGCGGTCAGCTCTTGCAGTTGTGGCTTACGCGCTGGATAAAGAGTCTCAGCATTTGTTGCTTGGGAGAAGCTGGGGGTCACGCGACTTACCTGACCATGCGTAGATACTCTAAACCATCGCTGGCAGGTCCGTAAAAGAGCCCACCGTCATCATGGGAATCCTCGAGGCCCGGGAAGGCGCCACGCTGGCCGTAGGTAGGGTCGATGCGGGACTGGGAAGATGCGGGCAAGTCGTCGCTGCCGTCCAGGTTGTTGAACCGGGTCCGTTTGCGGTTGAGGGCACTCTCCCCATCTTGATTATCGGGATGCTCGCGTTTATTGGTCATGGTGATATCGGACTGTGGATGGGGGCTAGAAGGCGGGGAGGTCAAATTTTTAAATGAAACCGTGGATTTCTAGCGTCCGCTGTAGAGTAGAGGATGATGCTGTCTGAGTCTCGTCGTTGCTCGATGACTCACATCTTTTGGGTTTCCCCTTTTTATTGGTCAAAGCAAATGTTGAGATTACTACACGAGCAGCTCTTTAATTGTTCAATTCCGAGTTGCGTTACTGGACATGGCTTGCCGCACTTCCTGAATCCGTCGGACTACCTGTACACACCCATCGCAGAACTTCGATCAAAAGCTACCAATGTGGGGATTGACCCAACTTGAACGTGGACGTTTGCTAAGTTCTCCCATCCTCAACGAATGTTTAAAAAGCTTTTTATGAAGCGTATCATACTACCATCGCATTTATCCGTCTTGCCTTACGTGAGGTTGATATATATCACAATATGTGTCTGGTAAGTAATTGTTCGGCGCTAACAAGCCGACAGCGTTGAGTTCTACTGAAGCTTGTTGAAGACTACTGACAGCTCTATCCATGTTGTTTACCCGCACAAGCTAACTACGAGTACCTTTGGTTATGCTCTGGAAGCTACCTAGCCAACGGTATCAAAGGGCCTATATGGTATTGAGTATAACAACCTGCATGATGCTCTGATAAGAGATAAGGAGGTAGGGACTCGTACTGGTACAAGATTATCTTGTTACCAAAGCGTCATGTTTGTATTGGAGTTCTCGGTGGGTGGAGGTGCTTGGGGTGTTGGACACGCAGTGAGGGCGAGAGCTAGAGCTTGGTGGTGATTTACGAATGCGCTGATCTTTCACTTAGGATTGAGGCCTGTATAAGCCGACTTCCTCAATTCAACGAAACTATTGACGAAGCCTTCGCGTACGGTGTTTGAAGCCCATCTAAGATGATGGCAATCTTGTAACGCTTAGGACTGTGGAACGTGGACGTAGACAATGAAAGGCTAAGTCATGATTGAGACGATGGGTTTCTTTTGCTCGTTGAACACAAAGGTGCGGTTTGAACCAAGATTCCGGGATCAGGCTCAGGATTTATTACTTCGCATGAGGCAGGCTCAGCCGCAATCAGTCCACCAAGCCTCGTCCCTCAAAGGACAAGACCTCTGCTGCAAAGATCCAGGCAACTGTTTTGAATTCATACGTTTTCAATCTCGGTCTTGATGGATCGAGCCATTAACGAATCTCACTCTACTTGTACCGTATGGCCTTCAAGCAATAATCTTTAAGCAGATGGACAGCCCGGTTTATCCCCTGCTTATTCCCGAAGAATTCGGTGACCTGCAGGGCTGCAGCCCAAAAGTACTTGCATATACCGCGCAATACAGCCTTGGAAAAGGGAATGAAATCCATTGCTCTCGACTGGATCAATGTTTCGACTTCCCCCCCTTAGCATGCACCAAGCGATACCTCGGGTCTAGGCCTGCATCCACCACCCCAAGCCCCACAGGAACACCCACGAATTATCTTTTTGCTCCGCCGGTCTGAAATAGCTACCAAAACCTTTTGATTGTTTGCAATTGGAGCAATATGCAGCCTTTGAATTGGCGAAGCGAAAGAATGCTCGATGACTTCATGACATTTTGAACAAGGCGCAGTGCAGATGCGAGTGACGAGCGTCGGCTCCCAGTGCCCTACGTGAGTCGACCAACGATGTTACGCTACATGCGGTGCATGCAATGCTGACAGCAGAAAGTAGGCATGGTAAAGAAGATGCCATCTTTGACCCAGGTCTGATCTCCTCCGTGGTTATAGTCGTTGATATCCGAGGTGGTAAGTTCCTTTTATTCCAAAGCAGCCAGAGACAAGAACTTGATGCCGCTCTTGCATATTCGCGTCTTCATTCCAAGCAACCGACAGGAATTTGCTATCTTACTTCTCTTCCCTCGTCCGCCATGTCCCATTCATTTTGCGACGAAAATCAAGGAACTATTGGTCTAGCCTTTACCTGGATACTCTTATCCTTCGGTATCCTTACCGTGAGCTTGCGAATCTACGTCCGCTCGGGTGTCAATGGTAAAATTGGGTGGGATGACTACACAGCAGTGGCAAGTCTGGTTAGTACACCGTCTTACCTGCGCTTTGCGTTTACCTCTGTCGTTGCACGATTTCCAACTCTAGAAACCGCATGAAGGATAAATGGCTCACACTAGCGCTCATCCAGGCCGTAGGAATCCTAGCCGGCGGTTTCTTCACCAAAATGATCACCTCGGGTATGGGTCGACATGTATCCTGCCTTCCCCCACAATCTGTCATTGCCATGCTCGAATTCAGTGCTATCTCTGAAGCCCTCAACGTCTTCGGCATTGGCGTCGTCAAGATCTCCGTCTGCTTAGCCCTTCTCCGAGTCGTGGAACGCGCTCGCCGCGGGATCACTTTGTTCCTCCGGTCCCTCCTCGTTTTCGTCGCCGTCACCCACCTAGCGCTAGCGATGCTCTTCTTCCTGCATTGTAGACCCCTGGCCGCGCTTTGGAACCCGAAGGTCCAAGGATCGTGCTTATCAACGCACACGACAGTTCTAGCGGGATATGTTGGCTTTGCTGTTGATGTTGTGACGGATTTGGTGTGTGCCGGTATACCTGTCTTGGTCATCCATCGGCTGCAGATGAGCTTTCGAACCAAGGTCGCGTTGTGTGTGCTTATGGGCTTGGGGGTCTTTACCGCAGGATGTGCGGTGGCTAAAGCTATCACATTAAGGGGCGTCTTTGCGGATGATTATACGTTCGGCTTCACGAAGCCTGCGACTTGGGCTGCTGTTGAGCAGTTTGTTGGGATCATCATTACTTCAATTCCCGCTCTACGTCCTTTGTTGAGAAGCTTCCTGGAGCAATCTCACAATCGCTCTGGTATTCGGAGGTACATATTCTGGGGGAACAAGACTGGTAGCTTTGGTTTCGGTAAGAAAGGCAGTCTACAACAACAACAACAACAATATCAACAACAGAAACAGCAACAGGTCTCTCGGTCCGAATCTAGTGTGCAAGAAAGCGTACGGACGAAGAACACATTCTTACCTTGGCATAGAGACAGTCGAGGATTGCCTTTCAGCAGTAGTGACTCGGATCAGGCGACTGCGGTTTATAAAGAATCCTCGAAAGGCGGCACGGGTCAGGTAGATCCAGAGAAGGTACTTCTTGGCGATAAGTTTGGCGATGTGGGAGGAAGGGACTATCTGAAGGGGTGGTCACTTCCTGATATTGCGGATCGAAGGTCGGCGATGATCGCTATACCGGTGTTCGACGTATGACAATTAGCATGCAAAGGGGCTAATTACTGATCCATACCCCAAAACTATGAATCCTTACCGAATCATACCCAGGAAATGGCCAATTACCAAATCACACCCCACTGGGGTGTGAATCAGTAACTAGCCCGCATGCAAACTTTGAAAATATCACTGTCTTATCTCATCGTGTATCATCGAAAAGAAAACTGCTCAGCCTTTGTGCGGCCCCATTCTTCCTTTCCTACTCATCGGCATCGGCAAGGTCGGACATTCCAATCCTCTCCGGAGATAGGTGACATCTTTGAATCTCTCAAAATGATAGAAAGCTTTCGCATCTCCCTCACTTCTGCATGCGAGGAGTTTCATCTGCTCCTGCTGTCTCTGAGAGACGACAGAGTGGAAACTCGACCAGATCTTGCCTCGCTTTGAAACGTCCGTGATAATGATGTTGCAATCTCGTGTTTCAACAACTCGGCAGTGGAAGCTTTCTATACAGATCTTTCAATATGCAGTGAGGAACCCTATATTGGCATTGGTACCAGCAGGTCAAGGTCGGGTGCGTATGGTGAATGGCAATAGTGGCCGGGATCGAAGACACTTTGAAGCGACTCAAAATAGTTGCAAAAAGAAAGAAAGCTCATCTTCTGCGGCTGAACCACATAGCTATGCAGCAGAGAAGTCCACACCCACCACACCCAATGTTCAAGTCCGATTCAAGCAATCCTACCTCCCCTACCCCTTTCTGCTCAACGACCCCAATCCAAAGGTCCCCGTCCTCCGCATTCCGAATCGTCCACTGAATTTGTCCCGCGCGATGGCTACGGTAGACTTAGCGGAGCCGTTGTCGTTTGGGGCTTCCAATCATGCTCGCTGGGCACGTATTACGCTTGCGCTATCTTCGAAGCAAAGAAGGCCACGGGGCGTGATGGCTAGACATCTTGATCGAGCTGTGCGCTGCCATATTCTGGCTTAATTATCATGAGGCACATGTGAAATGCGAGGCTTGCGGCGGTGGTGAACTCAAGGATCGAGCAGATGACTTTCTCAGGCAGCTTGCAAAAGGGATTGATGGATGCCATGAACTCTAGTGTTGTGCCTTCCGATGGTGGGAAAGTGTTTAGTAAGATATAAAATATAATTTAATTATCAATAATAAGATCGAGAAGATCTTCTAATCTATAGATCTTCTAAGTATTCCTTCAATCAGTATATATAAAAGAATAAGGTAGGGCTGAGCTAAAAAATCTTGAATTTGTATGTATAGCTAATTATAAATTCGAGTTTATTACGCTCTTTGATTAGACCAGCTAAATTAGCCCGATAGCCCTCCCGCGCCTTCTTATTAAAAATTAGATATACGTTATTTATAAATAAAATAACTTTTTTATTTTCTATTAAAATTTTAAGATTTCTTTTTTAAATTATAGAGCGTAGTTTACGCTATCGAATACTAAAAGAATTATAAAATTCGATCTTATAATTATTAAAAAGTAAGGTATTTAAATATCGCTTATTAAAGATCGCTTATTAAATTTACTCGATAGCTCTAATTAAAAAAAATGATTATAAATTTAATTTATAAGTCTTTACTCGTTAATATATATAATAGAATAAGATAGAGCTAAGTTTAAAAATCTTAAATTTATATATATAGTTAATTATAAATTTAGAATCGCTACGCTCTTTAATTAGATCGATTAAATTATCGTAAGTAAATAAATTAACGTTCGTAACTATTAAAATCTCGCTCTTTTATATCTCTCTTATTAAAAAAATAGATATACGTTATTAATATATAGAATAACTTTTTTATTTTCTATTAAAATTTTAAGATTTTTTTTTAAATTATCGAATAAAACTTACGCTTTTAAATAAAAAAAGAATTTTTAAATTTAGTCTTATAATTATTAAAGCGTAAGAAATTTAAATATCGCTTATTAAAGGTCGCTTACTAAAGATCGCTCGATAGTCGAATAGCTCTAATTAGATATACATTATTTAATTTTAAAATAACATTTTTATTCTCTATTAAAACTTTAAGATTTCTTTTTAATTTATAGTAAGAATAAAATATAGACTTTTAGTTAAAAAAAAATTCTTAAATTTAATCTTATAATTATTAAAGCGTAAGGAATTTAAATATTACTTATTAAAGTTCGCTTATCTATTTACTCGATAGCTCTAATTTAAAAAAAATTATAAATTTAATTTATAAACCTTTACTCGTAATTATATAATATTAGAATTTATCTATATATTTTTAACTTTAATTTTTAAATAGAGATAAGATATTATATTAAGAGAATATATAATTATATCTTACGAGTAAAGGTCTATAAATTAAATTCATAATTATTTTTTTTTTAATTAGGGCTGTCGAGCGAACTTTAATAAGCGATATTTGAGTTTCTTACGCTTTAATAATTATAAGACTAAATTTAAAAATTCTTTTTTTATCTGAAAGCTTATACTTCGTTCTATAATTTAAAAAAATTAATTAAAATTTAATTAAGAAAATAAAAAAGTTATTCTATATGTTAATAATATATATCTATTTTTTTTTAATAAGAGAGCTTAGAAAGATTATCGAGCTAACTTAGTCGATCTAATTAAAGAGCGTAGCGAATTTAAATTTATAATTAATTATATATATAAATTTAAGATTTTATAACTTAGCTTTATCTTATTCTTTTATATATACTAATAATCGCTTATAATACTTTTCTCGAGAATTTCTTTAGAGATTATTAAATTCTATAATATAATAATAATATTATTATTAAGATTATAGATATAAGAAGTATATATATACTTCGAAAAAGAAGTTTTACGAAGAAGAAAGATATTTCTTAATATAATTCTAATTAATTAATTACTTAAGCTAAAGCTATAAACGAAAGAGAAGAAAGAAAGCGATATACTAAGTTACGCTAGTAAGATAAGTTACGCTATATTAAGAATATAATACTTATTATTTAATAGTAATATTACTATTAATTAATATTACTTAAAAGAATATAATTAATAGAAATAAATCTTCTTATTTACTTAGATGAAAAGCGTAGAATTTAAATCGCTATTACGTTAAAATTTCTAATTTTTATAGATTATTTATCTAGATATTATCTTTTCTTATAGAATTTAAATTATTACTAGTCTAAAAGATATAAATTTTTTTAAACTTAGAATTTTTTAACTTTTACTTCTTTTCTTTAAAAATTTATATCTTTATAATCTATTTATAGAATCTTATAATTCTTAAAGCTCTATAACGAGACTAGTTTATTTTATACGAGACGATTTTAAAATACGATAATTTATATATAAAATATCGAGTAGAATTAGAAATATTCTATATCTTTTAAAATAATATCTCGAAAATTACTTAAATTTCATATTAGTATTATATCTTTTCGATCTTTATAAATTATAAATTAACTTATAATTTAAATATATTTAAATATTTATCTCTTAGAGCTAAAATCTTAATCTTAACGTTAAACTTATATAATATTTCTATATACGTATTAAAGATATAGGGCTAATAATTAACTAATAAAAAATTGAATATTATATTTTAAAAATATATAATTATCGATAAAGTCTTAAGTAAGAAATTTTCTAGAATTTAAAGATACTCTTAAGACCTCTATAAAATACATCTAATATGATATTATTTTATACTATAGCTACTTATACCCTATATCTTATTAATATAGGTCGAAATATTCTATATATATAATCCTGTTAAGACTCTTCAGATATGATTAGTAAAACCCCTTTGCCGATCTTAAAGTAGACGCTTCCCAACCTGACCGCGGAAACCCTTCGCTCCATACCCGATACGGTAGGCTCAGATGTTGCTGTCCGTTGATTTCGAGTGCCCTTTGTCTTCTATACATCCCAGCATATCTTATCCTCCCTTCAAACACCTATTTCGCTCCATGTTCGTCCAGCCTTGAGCAAGCTGACTTGCTTATCGACTTTATCTCCATTATCCTTTAAGCACGTCAGACCGTAAATTGGTGTATCACTTTGCGAGACTATTGTTTTCTGGTTGGACTCGTGGTATGATATCCCCACATTTACCCCTGTAAGCAGCCGTTTCTTCCTACATCTTCACGGCACTGACATTCCGTAAGCTTGGGCAGTGATCCTGCTGCCAACTCCATCAAAGCGTCCTCGTCACTAGATTCACGTAGATCACTGGTGCTACAAGCCGATGGACACCTCGGAGAGCTGGATGCGCCTGAAGTATCAGACTCTTTTTCCCCATCCGTCGTCGATGAAACCTTATCCAGCAGCAATCCTCGAGCCCAACCCAATGCTTCCTTGACATTCGTCAACGGCCTCGCTCTCGTCCTCGGCCTTCAGATCGGCTCCGGAATCTTCTCTGCTCCTTCCCAAGTGAGCAATCACGTACCATCTCCGGGCGCAGCCGTCTTGATTTGGCTTGTGGGAGGCATCATGGTCTGGACAGGCGCCGCCTCGTTCATCGAACTCGGACTAGCAATACCTAAGAATGGAGGTATCCAGGAATATCTCAAGGCCTGTTATGGTGATTATCTCGGATTTCTCTTTACATGGATATGGATCGCCATATCAAAGCCTTGTGCCATGGCAATGATTGCGATGATTTTTGCCGAAAACTTGAGCATTGCGGCCGGGTCCGTCGACGTACTTTCTGCGTGGGAAGTAAAGATTCTTGCAATACTAGGACTCTTCTTGATTACCTGCATCAACTGTCTTGGTACGATTGCCGGAGCACGGGCTGCGAACGCGTTTCTGATCTTGAAGCTACTCGCGGTTTTCTCAATTGCTGCCACTGGCATAGTCATGGGTGTAACAGGCCGTCGTTCCCATGAAACAGAGCCTGAGTGGTTCGCAAGTGATCCAGATCCGCATCGCCAGACCATGCTCAACTGGGCTAAGGCAGGTGAGTACATTACAGCTATTTACGGCGCACTTTTCTGCTACGGTGGATGGGAATCGGTGAGGACTATCTGATCTTCCCGTCACTCATCCTAACCATTAATGCTAACGCCTACATCTACGAGCTTCAGATCGGCTTCGTTGCTGGCGAGATGACTGACCCATCTCGTGATTTACCTCGAGTAATCAACACTGCCATGTTTGTGGCCGTTAGTGGCTTCGTTCTTATGAATATCGCACTTTTCATGGTAATTCCGTTTGAAACGATGAGAGAAAGAAGCGTTGTTGCAGTGGTCGGTGCTCCCGATAGACTTGCACACCCTTAGGAAGGCAGAGTCGATATTGACACACCAGCCAGGAGTTTGGTCTGCACGTTTTCGGAGCTACCGGCGGCACGGTCTATTCTTTAGTCGTTTCAGCATCTTGTTTGGGGGCTTTGAATGCGAATGTCTTTGCAACTGGGAGACTAATTGTCGCCGCGAGTAAGAACCATTACTTTCCCAAGTTTTTCGGCAACGATCATTGCTCTGCGAGAGAAGAAGAGTCGCTTTCTACAAGGAAGGCACTGCAAAGGTTCCCAGCTTTTGTGTCCGCTGGCATCTTGTGGTTCGCCGAGAGAACGGAGACTCTGCGCTGGGACAAGAAAGTACCCATGTAAGTCAATTCAGACCACCGAAATTGCTTCAAAATGGGCTGACCCCGTAGATATGCAATGATCATGAACGCATCTATTGCAACACTCTACGTCGTCGTAGGGACTTTTGACAGCTTGGTAACATTTGTAGGTATGATATCCACGTCAGCTTCTTAAACTATGATCATGATCGTTAAATGCTATGCAGGTATTTCAGAATATTCGTTCTTTCTACTGGCCGTCCTTGGAATCTTCATACTCCGTCGTCGCGGAAAAGCTCTTAATAAACGGGACAAAACATGGACCTTTAACCCTGTTATATTTTGCGCGTTCAGTGCCTTCCTCGTTATACGGGGCATTATTACAGATCCAATACAGGGACTCATAATCTTCAGCCTAGCCGTGATTGGATGGGCAATGTTTAGGAGAGTCTCTGCGGCCGGGCTGATCTGAGGTAAATGACTCGATACGAGCACTTTGAGTCATACCTCTATGCGTTCGGTGGTCTTTGGGGCGGGGCTTGCATGGAGAGGCTAATGCAAAGGGCGGGTGAAGTGGCCATCTAGGACATCGGAATTTGCGGGCCAAGAGCCCATCATGCATGTCGAGCCTTGTCTAGGCAACACAAAGCGCCACCAGAAGACGTCGAGAGATTTCCACCGTGTCACATGCTTGACTCGCCCAATTGAACTTGAGGGAAATCTGCGAGGCTGCAAGGCAGCGCGTAAGCCAAAAAACCCACAAATAAAGTGTGTGGACCCTGAATGATAAGGCATTGAATGATTTGAATATCGTTGTGTTAATGGATGCACCCCCACCTTGCTCGCGACAATGACTGGTCCCTTGAAGGCAAATCTATGGCCAATGAATCGCTGGCACAACCCCTCAAGGAATGAGGCTCAAGACCATGAGAGTAAGCTCGACCAATATCACGTATGATACACCCCTAGCTGATGTTGAGAATAACAAAGGTCGTTGTCTGTGAAACCATATCAAAGGGAACGATAATATTCTAATGTCCTACCTCCATGGCTCTATGCAAGGTTCGCAGCTATAAGGCACTTGCTAGAAGCTTTCCGGGACTGACAAGGTATACCGGCCGCTCTTATGCAACGGCGCCGCCGCTTGTTGTACCACATGAGAGGATTGAAGAGCATCCTCGAGCATTTCGCTTATACACCAAAAGTCATATCGCCACGCTTTTTGAACGTTATGCCCCCAGGTTGGATCCCACCTCTTACCTGGCTGCCGCTCAAGTCTTCCCCATGAGGGCCAACAACTATGTCGTAGAAGATCTCATCGATTGGTTGGTCTCCGAGTCTTCCTACTCCCTGTAAAAATCATAACAGTCTGAACAAGATTTGGAAGGGAGATAGTATTGTTTACCTTAAGTTTGGTTGACGTGCTCTCTGACCGTGAATCTTTGCTGCTCTAATGCTAAAGCCTTTGCCAATATAACAGGTCCAATGTGCCCGCCGATCCAATCTTTCAGCTCGTTTTTCCCCAACCAGCAATGCTTTCGCACCATGATCTCGATTCAATGGTCTCCGCCGTCTCCCAGGTCGGACTCTCCAAAGTATCTTTGCGCGAAAAGGCCGAGAAGATCCGTGCTACTCTCAACCCGCATCCTGCAGGCCAGAAGGAGGAGAATGTGCCTATTCTGCACGATCAAGAGATGCTTGGTACGCAGCACAAGTACCGTGAAACGATACTCTTTTTCCCCACAGAGGTCGGAGCCCAGTTGTTCAAGTTTTGCAGACCTTGCTCATTGACTGTAGGGTCAATACTGTCATTCTTTCTGTACTTATTGCTTCCGCTGGGCTCAATTTACCTCCGTCGGATCGGAACAACAATTCCAGTCCAAAGAGGTCAAGCACCTAAAACGCTACATCAGTCAGCATCCACGCGTGAAGGATCTTCTCTTTACTGGGGGTGATCCCTTGGTGATGTCGTCTCGAACCTTGCGAAGCTATATATCGCCTCTGCTGAACAGTTCAGATACTCAGCACTTGAACACCATCAGACTAGGGACAAAATCCCTAGCTTACTGGCCATACCGCTTTTCCTCCGACCCAGACTCCAGGTCCCTCTTACAGCTGTTCTCCGAAATCGTGGATTCAGGGAAACATATTACTATACAAGCGCATTTCACCCACCCCCGGGAACTTGAGCATCCGGCTGCACAGAAAGCAATGAGGCTGATCAATATGACGGGGGCACAGATCAGGTGCCAAGGTCCCCTTATACGAGGGATCAATGATGATCCTTCGACCTGGGCGAGGATGTGGGATCTGCAGACCAGACTGGGTGCTGTACCTTATTACATGTAGGTAACTATCGTATTTTCCAGGATTTACCGACTCTTGGACGAGGCTCTTCCATTTTTGGAGGCATGGAAAGATTGGCTTTAGTCGGCAAACATTGCTGATACGTACTCGCATCTGACGTAGGTTTGTGGAGCGTGATACCGGAGCCAAGGACTACTTTTCGGTTCCCCTCGCATCGGCCTACTCGATTTTCAGTTCCGCGGTTGCTAGCGTTCCTGGTACCGCGCGGACTGCTCGAGGACCCTCGATGTCAGCGTCTCCAGGCAAAATTGGTATAGTTGGCATTGAAGAAATCTCTGGAGAACGTGTTTTCGCACTGAAGTTCTTCCAAGCGCGAAATCCGGCCTGGACAGAGCGGCTATTTTTCGCAAAGTTCGATGCGAGGGCTACCTGGCTTGACGAGCTGAAGCCTGCATTTGGAGAGAGTAATTTTTTCTTTGAGCAAGAATATTGTGACATCAGTGCAAAGACTGGCAATAGGCAAGGCTCCTCTGGGCAATTTTTCAATTGAAGACACCAGAATGTCTTTACTGTTGGCGAAGTCGCAGCTGGTCTTGAGAACATCGGACTATACTAGAAAATATATGACAGGTATCAAGCTTTGGATGCTTGGTTCCTCATTCTACTTGCTCCAACAGGTAATAGAATGGGAATCTAGCTCTTGACTGACATCTTTCTAGCAGATTCAAGATATACTGAATTCCACACACAGCCCATTACATTTCATCCTGATCGCGGTGTCGGCGACAAATTACAAGATCCCAGAATTCCTTCAACTTGTCTAGATAGAGCATGGCACCCTTAACTATACAGGCCGCAAAGCCACTCAATCGACGCTTTGTTGAGAATTAGACTAGAACTTTCATGGACAATCTCAGACTCACCTCAAAGGTAATGTGCACGGTCAAACCTTCCGTGCGCTCCTGAAGAGGCTCCGAGTCGTATCCAAGGAAGTGAAGAATGTGTCGATCCCAGAGCCAGTACGCTGCACCTGCTGCGAAGCAAGCAGTCCCAACTGTCGGACCAACCCATGAAGCTACGACCCGTTCTTTGGTGTGTAATGTGTTCTGTAGGCTTGCGGGGAACCAATCCACCACGAAGACGAACAGATTGGCGACTATGTATATCCCTGTGAGAGGGAATAAGTACCATAGTCCTAAGCTGCTGCCCTTGGGCGACCACTTTTGGCCCTCGTATTCGAAGGTCTTCAAATGGGGTGCAGCCAGCAGTGCAATTCCAAGGACCACTATATACAGTGAGTCTGGAATTTAACAGACGGGGACCGACCACTCACTTGCAACGACCGTTCTATCATAGTAGAAGATGGTGCTGAAGACGAGATAACCGTTGGCATTCGAGAGTGGTGTTGCGATGATAAAAACGGTGGAAAAAATGAAGTGAAGTAATAACGCTGGCCCTGGCGTATCATATCTGGTGGACTTCGCAAAATATGCAGGGAAAGGAAGGATGCCAAGACGAGCTATCTCCTGTTTGACTGTTTCGAAATCCCCTCAGCATTACTAGCTCCTGGCATTTGGAGCATATCCATAGCACTCACCTCTTACTGCGGAATACGTGGCTGACATGATATTTCCGGCTGCAGAGATCGCCAGCAGTGTCCCCGATGCCGTGCGTGTCTTTGGAGATGGCCCGAACACCTTGGCAGATGGGTCGTGATCAGTATGGGTGAAATGGGTTTGAAAGTTGCTCACCTTCGAGAAGAATAAGGAAAGAACGTCCGATGAGTTGATCAGCTCTTCTGTGGAGCAAGCCGCGAACTTGAGATCCTATCAGCCATGACCCGTGATTGGGCTAATAGTCAAGACCCACCAGCGAAACGTTCACCATAATGTAGAAAAACCAGACTATCAAAATGGTGAACTTGGCTCCTCGACGAAATACTCTCGTTTCGTCTCCAGGCGGCCTCCGAACTTCCTCCAAGATCTTCCAAGTTTCAAACGAGGTCAGCTTCTCACAACGCATGCTCAACGATCAGAAAATGATGTCGCTCGTGTGCAACATAGGCCGACAAAATTTGAGTGCTGATTATGCCAATGTGGTAAATTGGCTTCTAATTCTTTAAAAGGTCAAGATAGGAAAATGTGGCTCACAAAATTTGCGTTCTCATAGCCGCTGTATACTCTGAAAATGTCCAGCATGGCAATCGAGACCGGGTACAGTTTGAGCGTCGTTCCAGCGAAAGCATCGCTCAGATTCTTGACCCCATAGGGATCATCCAGCACTGCTGCAACAGGCGTGCGTTCGTTCCGGAGAGCACACAGTCCAAGAATCGATACGATGGAGAGAAAGGTAATCTTATAGACGGCAAAGGCGTTGGCGAAGCGCACATAGTTGATCCGGGAGAAAGCCTGGAGTAGGCAGACGGCTGCAATGAGCAATATAGCGAATAATTTCTGCAGGCGTGGATCCAGAACGGTGCCCTCGACAGTGCTGGCCAGGAGAACAGATTGGCCGAAAACCAGACTGTTCGCTTGGCTTCCACTGAGGATGATATAGAAGATGGAATACGTGTAAGTCATTAGGAGCTTTGGTTTCGTCCAAACAAAGTCGATCTAATGTCACAATATCAGCAGAATTTGAGACGGTTGTGATCTTTTATCATGTGCACTACGGCTGTCCGGACACCAGATTCTCACATCGAATGAGGCATCCGGTCTCTAGAATGGTAAAAGGCGCAGGAGCCGTCCAAATTAGGAGAACTCGACTCACATAATGGAGCTCTCCTCCGCTAAGTGGAAACCTGATACCGTATTCCAAGTAAACTGCAAGTCTAGTGGGTGTTTGTTGGTCAGAATAAGGCCAGGATTATGGTTTTTGGGTCACGAAGAAGGTATCGCTCACCCTGCCCAGCTTACTACGCCGCCTAGAAGCCATAAAATAAGACTGATGCCTTTACTACCAGTAATTGCCAGTACTGTTGGCGGCGCAACGAATACTCCGGTTCCAACCATTTTGTTCAAGATCAGCGCACTACAATCACGTCAGCTTGTGAAAGAAAAATATTGTGTGAGGGGCCCCACCTGGTGGAAAAATATCCGAGATGATCCCTTGGCCTTACGAGCTTCAACTTCCCGTGGCTACCAAGGTCGAGATTATCAGGTCGACCAGTCTTTGCCTGGTCTGGGCGCAGCATTCTGCTTTCGTCATCTTGGTAGGCGTCAAGCTCGATCTCATGATTAGAGGTCGGCCGCCGTACGTTGTTTCGCTGCGAACGAACGACAGAGGGCGACGGATTTGTCGACATTCTCCGGTAGGAGACCTCTTTGCCGGCTTCTCAAGTTGTCTTCCGCGAGGGTTCGCTTGAAACCAGAGAAGACTGGCGCAGGTGCCGCTCAGAACAAGAAGCCAGCCGTCCTGCAAAAAATATGCAGCGGTGATTAATAACAGCATTCAACGATTCGAACCGCTGCAGGTTGCAGTGCATTTAAGATGAGGTCTCCCTGGTTGCAGTCGTGTGCCTCTTCTGACAGCGCTCTTAGAGCGGATCTTACGTTTGATGGGCATGCTTCTTGGTGCTTCCGTAAGCCGTGAGTGCAACGCACTCAACATAGCCCAGGCCCCAACGTCTGTATTATCAACGGTTGCGACACGGCAGCGATAAGCCTACGAGGCAAATCTATTACAAGATTACACATTGCCATGCGGCGTTTTATGCGCCAGACCCTGATTCGACTGTTTTCCATGTGGGTGATGTGGCTCCTGCAGTCAGCATGCAATGCTTCAAGGATCTTCAGTCTCAATTTCCTCATTTGTTACGTCTTGCCTTTTCATTGGAGGTTCGCTATCAAAAAACATACAGCAAGGCGATTTCAGGCAATTGACTATACCCAACTCACTCGAGCAGCTCGTCAGGCTTGTCTATCCTACCAATGTCCTCCCTTGTTTGCGTCGTCACTCCAGGGAGTGGATACGAAGGGCCCAACCCCAGATTTCAGTCGAGGCTCGGAACTATTTCCTCCCACTTAGTCGTTATTAATTGCTGTCCGAATCCGCAACCTGCACCTTGGCGCTACAAGGCTCTGCGCATCAACAAGCCACACGACACATTGGAATGAAGGAGTGCGTGTTGCAGAAGCTTGATGGCTGCTTCAGCTGAGAACGAGCCAAGGCGCGATTTGCGGCTCTTAAAAAATGCAAGGTACCTTTTTGGCCGGTATCTGAAGTTCTTCCTACCTGTATCTGCATCATGTGCCAAACTTGCCCATACACTGTCGAGCTTGCAGAATGGCATATATCGATTCAACAGCAGATACAACACGGGCAATGAGCCCCTATCAGTGTACTCTCAACTGACTGTTGGACTCTCTGACACTTTGGTCGCCCTCCGGCGTGATCTGATCTCCTGCGCTCGTCAGTATGAGTCAGACACGCTGGACACCGGTGACTGGTCGTTTGAGCTCGACGATGCGTCGATGGAGCGACTTCAGACACGGCTCAATCCTATTACAATGGGCGTAGAGATCATCAATGAAGCAATGGAAATGTTCGTCCATTACCAGGTCCATGACCTGTTCACAGATTGACATCAAACAGGGCACTGAACGAGAGTTCTGGGATAAGACCATCAGAAACGGTCGAAGAGATATACAAGCGTATCGACGAAGCCAAGAACAGTTCAGCGCGATTGCAAAAGCTTGTGAACAGCTTCCTTCATGGCATCACGGTACAAACCAAGCTGGAGACTACAGATGGCCGTGACTTGCATACCTTCACCTCCGCCAACATCTCTCACCGCGAGGTTGGGCAAAATGTTGCGGCGAGGCTGAGGCAAAAGACGCAAGAAGCAGTCAGTACCAAGGAGGAGGATGAAGGGCCAATGGCATGGAAGATCCGACACAGTATTTACTGGCTCTCGAAGAGTTCTGACGACTTGAGAGAGTGGAGGTCCGAGAATGGCCTTGCACTCAGCTATCATCCAACACCTGTATCTGACAAAGCATGGCATACGGTTGCGACAATATTCATCGACGCCCTCAAGGCTGCATGGCTGCTTGGCGACTTAGGTGACCTTCGAGCATACAAAGAGCCCAGCTTTGAGATCCAAGAGGTGGTCGCGTGTGCTAAGAATAAGGTCTTGGGCCTTCTCCAATCCTTCTTCACGGATATATTCACCGTGCCTAACTACGATCTCATCAACGAGCTGGGTGATTTCGACATGTGTACAGACGACGAGCGAGAGCAGAAATCTTCTCATCTCTCCGATTCATCCTCGATCCCCTCGTCGCCTGCTTCGGAGCCAGAAATCATGCGCAATCTCATCAGTGAGCTAGGAGATATCGGCAGATGTACAGACGACGAGCGAGAGCAGAAACCTTCTCAGGTCTCCGATTCGTCCTCAATCCTCTCGTCGCCTGTTTCGGAGCCGGGAGTGATGCGCAGGCATTTTACCAATTCGACTTTTCCTGTGGAGCTGGAAGGTAGCTGTCTGGTATCACTGACTGATTTGCACTCTCACCACGTCCCCTCGGAGCTCGGAGCGGTTCCATCGACGCAAAGGAAAAGCAACTTGTTTCTTTCGAACGCTGGAGGCGTCCATGCTACCAACATCTCACCCCTAGCAGATGGGCTTCATATCACAAATCTCGAGAACGCGTCTGCCGACTATGAAAGTATTGACCACATTTCGGCCCGGCTCCATGAGAACGAATTGTCCAACGCAGAGACGGAATCTCCAAAACCGGTGTGGACTGGATTCCAACACAACGTTTTCTCGATAGAATCCAACCCTCCACACAACACAGCCTTCATCCCAACCCGCGTCCGCATCTTCAAGTTCGACTCGCACGTCTCAAGCTATCTCCACCTCATCACCTACAGGGAAGCCCTCCCAACCAGCCGAAGCGTCATCCAACCCTCCACCGCCGCCCTGGTCCCCGTCTACGCCTTCGCCGCCGACCGCTCCGAAGGCTCAGAACTCTACATCAGCGACTCCGGTCTGCGGCCGAGTCTACGGTACAGATTCGACTGCAGGGATCCCGACGGGAACCATCACCCGTGGGAGCTGTACGGCTTCCAAGGAGCACTGATGGGTGCGTACTTCGAGGGTGACTACAGCGCTGCGAGCGTCTCTCTGCACCGGTGCGGATCACACACGACCGAGAGGGAGATCTTCCCATGCATACAAGTGTGGACCGACCTCCCGAGCGCCCACCCGGCTCTTGCAGATTCGTCGTCGCCCACGAGCCTATGGACAACGTCGGCATCGTCGTCACCACCCTCCTCGATCTCGAGTAAGACTTTCTCCGCACTGACGAGCCGTCTCACGGACAACGTCAACGACTCGAAGATGTTCATCTTCTCCCGCAACTTCATTTACGTCCTCTTCGGTCCGTTCGCCGACTCCCCTTCTCCCCTCCTTTCCTCACCACTCGAGGTTCATCCGGAAAAAGTATTTGCCGCATGCATCATCGCTGACCCATACCCTCCCTAGTCTCCGATCGCGTCACCTTGCTCCGCCCGAAACAGGGCGGTATACTCCAGCACGGCCGACACCAGAAGAAGCCCCTCGTGCGCTTCGTCCCCAACAAACACAGCGGGACCTCGGCAATCCGGGTGCGGACTTTGAAAGGCACGCGGAGCATGCCCGCGGGGATACCGTTGGATCGTCGGGGCATCAGATACGGAGATCAGGAACGGGCGGAGGCGGGATTCGAGGATTTCCAGAGCCTGGAGTTTGAGTTTGATTGTGAGGATGGTATGGGTCCTTCTTTTCTTTTCTTTCTTTCATTTTCTTTCTCCCATCTTTCCTCTCCCATCCTCCCCCCTCTACGCCCCAACCCTCAAACCCACCCCGCCCACATCGAACCGATGGCACTCACCCCACGTCCGGACGTCAAGTGTCGTCGAGGAAGGCTAAATCCGGGCGGAAACAGACGCCGCGACCTTCACCGCCCACTTCAAAGAGTACGTCGCGGATTGGCGGCGGCGCTGCGCGCCCGTTGAGGGTTTCCGCGAGCTCCAGCGGAGTCGCCGCATCACCGTCAGCTCGAGGACTACGTTCCAAGGCGGCGAGGGGCGGCAGACGGTTCCGTAGATTGTGTTTTTGCTGGGGAGGGGATTTGAAGGGAAAGGTGGTGTTTGGATATGGCTTTTGATTCTGTTGTTCTTCTTCCCCCTTTTTTTGTTTCCTCTTTTTTTTTGGGTTGATCTTGGACGCGAAACACTGCCAGCGTCGAGAGAGGGCGCTTTCCTGAGATATTCAAAATCCCTCAGATACGTGTGATGGGGCCGACGTGTCCGTCCGTCAGTAGCGGAGGATTCTCAGTGCTTGATACCAAAGTCCTCCAATTCACTTCACTTCTTTCTTGTATCTAGCTAGCATTTACAGAGAGAGACGCGCAATTCCCCGTAGATGTGTCGTCGCTCAGCCACCTTGGTTGCTCGAAACGATTTCCTCCACTTCACTTCACTTCACTTCACTTCTTTCTTGTATCTAGCTAGCTAGCATCTACAGAGAGAGAGAGAGACGCGCAGTGAATGATGAAATCCAAACGAGACGCGATGCGACATCGGTGTAGGAAACTCCTTAATGGATTGGATGGTATGCGTACCGTAGCGCAGAATTGAGCCCGCTTTGCATATGGAATATGTATGTGTGTATATATATACCCTAGTTTTCAAGCAGAGATGATGATGATGATGATGATGATGATGATGGTGATGGTGATGCAAAGAAGCAGCATCACACGTTACCAGCCGAGAGGACACGACGACGAAAGCGGCGCTTGAATCCTCTAATATGCGTACTTTACCTATACTATACTACACTACACTATACTATGCGGTATATAAATCCACGTATGTATATATATATACGTATAAAGTAAAGCAACAATGTCCCACGCACATAGTCAAGAGAACCAGGCAAAGCCGGCCCGCAAACAGAACAGAAAAGAACGTGGCTTTCTTTCTTCATTTTAGAACTCACATAATATACATACATACACACAAACTTAGCTAGAGCCGTTTACTCCCTAGAGTAGTTCAAGCGTGGGAGGAGGATGCGTACGTACGTACGTCAAGGAGGGAATATACTCGTGTGGCTAGGTAGCTAGGTAGAACGTGGGGGCTCTGCCGTTGGGGGTGAGGGCCCGTGCTGCGTTATTGCTGACGCTTGCGCAAGACTGCTGCTTCTTCTGATGGCTTGGCTGGAGAGGTGGGAGGGAGGTTGGAGGGGAATGGGAGGAGCGGCGTGGTCTTTTGGGTTCGTTTTTAGAAGAAATGTGTTTATGGTATGTCGGATTCCTTTTGCTTGCTGCATGGACGGCCGAGGAGGTATGACGTCTTTGAGGTAGTCTCGAGTCATTATTGTGCCCCCCCACCACCAGCCCCCCCCCATTTCTCTCCAACCGTCATCCCCTTCTAGCACGCAAGTATCATACCCCTGTACCTCTCCACGAATTCCCCCGTCGCCTCCACAAACATTTTCACGTCATTCATCCCCAGCTTGATGTTCAACGCCATAAATCCCCGCTCAGCTAGGTAGATGCTTTTGGAGAGCATGTGGTGGTAGAAGAGGGATTGGAGGTGGGGATATGATGGGGGGAAATGGATGGCGAGTATGGAGCCGATGCCTGATATGTACATTGGTGAATTTATTGTTGTTCCGTTTGAGAATTGATGGTCATGAGTATCCGAAAGGGTGCCATTGGTAGTACCGTTCGTGGTGTGGTGACCAGGGGCTAGAGGAAGGTCAGTTGTTTTTCGAATGTGAATCGAAGAGAATATGAGAAAAGGTTCAAGAATGAGTGAACATTTAGAAAGCATTGTCGCTGGGCCAAAGTGAGGTCGCATTACCTTTCAAGGATCCTTCATCGGCACCATCCGTATGAGGTACATCGCCATACAGATGCTTCTCAATGACATCCGTCACCATCTCCTTCAAACGTTCCCCCAGATCGTTCAGACGATTAGTAGTTTCCTCATCCAGGACTTTACATCCCGCACATCCAGCAGCCATGCTAATGACATTATTGTTGAAAGTCCCGGCATGCGCCAGACCTCCACTCTTCCTGGGATCATACATCTCCATGATATCCCGCCTTCCCCCAAACGCTCCGAAGCTCATCCCTCCCCCAACCCATTTGCCCAGGGTCATGAGGTCAGGCTGAATGCCTACTTTATGACCCAATCCGCGATAGGAAAGGCGACTAGTCATGACTTCGTCGAAGATGAGGAGAGCATCGTGGGAGGAAGCGTAGGACCTAAGGTATTGTAGGAAAGGAAGAGAGCCTGGGATCGCCCCTGCGTTACCTAGCATTGGTTCCACAAGGATGACAGCCAAGCTTTTGGGTGGGAGGGCCGAGAGGACCTCTTCGGTCCGAGCGATATCATTGTATGTACCAACCACCCACTCATGAGGTAGATTGACGCTCTTTGTCGCGGATCCTTTTGGCGGGTTGCGGAATGAAAGAGTAGCTCCATGGTACCCGCCTCGAAAGACTAGGATCTTTGTTCGACCCGTCCATGCCATTGCGGTAGCGACAGCCATCATGTTCGCTTCGGTGCCAGAATTGGTAAACCTTACGAGCTCCATTGTAGGCGTGAATCGCTCGCAGACCAATTTGGCAAGCCTCTTCTCATACATATTATTCCCACCAAGGCTCCATCCTCGAGTAAGAGCCTCGTCGATTGCTGCACGGATGGTAGCATCGTTGTGTCCGAAGATCCCGGCAGTATATTCGCCAAGGAAGTCGGTGTAGGTGTGACCGTCAAGGGAGTTGAGGGTACATCCATTGCCCCAAGCGAAGTTTAGAGGGAAAGGGTTGGCATGGAGGACAGTCCTTGTGTTACCACCTGGCTGGCATTGGCAGGCTAATTGGTGGGCGTGGAGAGAGGCTGGATTGCGGTGGGTGTATGAGGAGTGTGCTTTTGCCAGGGCATCTTTGGAGACTTGCGTCAGCTTGAGATGCTCTAACTCTGAGGAAGGCAATTGGATTGGAGACATTGAAGAAGGCGTGGCAGACAAGCTGGAAGCAAGATGGAGAGAGATTCAGAGGATTGGGAATTTGTACTCTGAGAGAGGCAATTGGGTGGAGGAGTATGGAAGTGAAGGAAAAGACAGAAGATTCGGAAGGTGTCGGGCAGGGGTGATTGTCCATTCTTAAGGATAATCTGAGGAAATAATTAAGTGAAGTTGGCGTGGAAGCCGTCCTTTCTCCTTCTTTCTTCTTCTTCCTCCGAAAAGCGGTGCCAGCTTTTGAGCAACACTCACCGACTTCGCTGTCTAGCCTCCACCTCTTCAAACATGCCGAATGGAGACTTCTTTACACCGCAACTCGTACCCGCTTACAATGGAGTAGTTTTGGCTACTCCTCCTGTCGGCTTTAAAAGGAATATCATTACTGATGTGTGGCATTGTTCCTCCGTATACTTATACTCATTGTGGGCCGCACCAATCATATCTCGGTGTACTGTACATACGGTACATGTACCTTATGTAAGGTACCTACTCTAGCGTGCCGAAACCGCCCGTCCCCTCCTTTCGGGTAAAGTAGACTAAGGTATCAACGTGTAACACTAACCCGTATAAGGTACCTTATCCAACCGACGTGACAGGGATCTTTCAATCTGTACAGCACCACCATCAGCCGCATCAGCAGCTCGCATTGTTATCTTCTTATGGGGAGTTTAGCCTTTTTTTATCTATGTTTTTTTCTTTCTTTTTTTTTCTTCAATTCAAATAGGTTGGCCCTACGCGGAAAACCCCTACCTATCTATTCCGCGTGTAGTACGGTACCAAGCATATCAGGCGTACAGCTTCTCTAATCGGTTAACCTCGAACCGGAGCTAAGGTCGATCGAGTACCTAAAGTCGCGCGCACAGTCGCCCTCGGTAGTTGATCTCGCTCGTCTTGACAGTCAGGCGTACTTTGGGACTACAACTTCACGAGGAAAGGCTATACGAGGAGGGTTTGCACGAGACGGGCAACGAGGGGCTAGGGGGGGTAAGGGTGTTTATACAAGGAAGGTAACGAGGCAGCATACGACCCCAACAACGAGATGGACAAGGACGTACATCGGCATACATCCAGAGTGACGAGGTGATGTCTAACGAGTTCTAGCCGTAGCAGATCTAATTAATCACGTGAAACGAACGATAGAAGAACGATATAAAACCCCTGTTTTTGAATTCGTCTGATGTGATCAAATTAACAAAGAGAGGTCAGGGAGCCTTCGCTCCTAGCTGCATCCTAGTCTCGTGGTTGCAAACACGTACGGTAGAAACAAGCAATATTGATAGGTTAGACTAGATACCGAGTGAATGCGTGTTTACTTCGCTTGGCATCTCTCCTGGTGCGAAGAGGCTGCTGGGACCTCGTGAGTGGGCAAGGTGTCATTGGAGCTTATGCTATACTTACGCTTTGCATCTTGCGCCATGCGTGGCCCATATTCCGCGCCGGACCTCTCGGTATAAACTTCGTTTCATCAACGACCTCTATTTCAATCAAAAGAGAAGGCATGAACTTGCAAGTCCTTTGGAGGACGCCAACGAAACATCCTTGAGCTCTCACCGAGTAAAATTTCGCGTGCCATTAGATCATTGTTTTACGGTGACTGGTAGATGTGAAGACTGAAGCGAAAGCCTCTCCCAGTGTTGCTCACCGTTACAGTGAGGCTGGGTTTACCTGATAAACTTAGAGCCCTTTGCGGATTGCATTCATAGGCTTATCGATAAAAAGGCGAGATGTGTGGCAAGGACGTATTCATTAAAAATACTTCACAGACAGTAAGGTTTGGATTTCTGACTACCTACATCTATGCATTAGTGTCCGTGCAGAAGAAACATAATGTCTAAGACACGCTTCCAACAAGCAAAGCAGCAACGCCCTCCTCCTCGCTTCTTAATGTTATCTTTGTCGTTACGCCACTCTTCGCCGAAAAAGCCATCTTCACCAGAGCCGCAACTTTGCCTCCACCGAGGGTCTTGCCGTACAGCTTGAGGGTGTGCGTGCTGGTCGAGAGAGTGACGTCCGTACCATCGAGCGGCTGGAGAGAGAGCGCTTTCGTGAGCTGTTCTGTGGCATCTGCGAAAGGGAAAGTCAGTCTTTGCATGTTGGCTGAGATTGCAATAGCAATACTCACCTGCTATGCTCTTAGCACTACTCAATTGTAGCGTTTCGGAGGCCTCCTCGCCATTCGCGCCGGTTTGCTCCCATGCATGGTCGAAGCTACCAGCGAATGCGGGCGTGACGTAGTCGCTGCCTAAGAGCTCCAAATCTTCGACTTGGTACTCATCCTCGTAGCCGCTCTCGTCTGGCTCCCCAGTGGTAGGATCAATCTCCTTGCTTGTGAATTTAAGGACGTTGGTGAAAGATGTGACGGGATACGCGACGTCGCTGGATTTCTTGAAGCTCACGAAAACCGTGCCAGGCTGGTCCGTGGCCAGCTTGGCGACGGGGATGGTGAAGTCTTCCTCCAATGATTCTTCATCTTCGGCCGGTGTGGCAACGACGGAGACCTCTTCTAACACGGTATCGGTCATGGTGTTTTTGATCTCATACTGCAGGACAAGATGCTCTTTGTATATGTGCTTAATAACGCTGACAACGTATTCTGTCTCCGTTTCCGTAAGCTCGACAGGAGGCGACGACCTGAGCAGGGCGCCATGCGCTTTGAGCTCTGGTATCTGCATCAGTTGCTGCGAATGTTTCTGTGCATTGGCGAGGGCGGCAGCGGCACTGTCGGATGTGCCATTGACTTGCGCTTTCTTTGGACCTGTGCTTGGGGCTTTTAGTGTTGGTGTTGCTGATGTCAACTTTTTCGTCCGTTCTTCAGCCAGTGCTTGTTCGTGACTGACAACGGGAATGGTGGACATGTCGAACGCCGTGGCAAAAGTAGCCTTATCATCCGCAGTCACATACATGACGAGTTGGTGCTCGAAAGTTGACAAGGAAAACATCGAGTCTGCGAGTACTGTCAGCACGGTCGACAGCTTTATCGATAAGTCTCAAAGTACCATTCTTGATGAATCGGTTCGCCATCTCATCTTCCTCGGTCATCAATCTCAGGTTTAGAGCCGCACGATCACGAACTTCGTCATCAATGTCGTCAAGGCACCTAGTGAGTAGAACAGTGACGCTGCGCTTGACCTCAGGATCCTTCTGGCCAACACCAAACTTTGCGAGCGCTGTGACTGCTGCGGCCCTGACCAAGGCATTCTCTAAGACGACGCGGTTGTAGATGTACCGGATGTACTTCGTCGGATGCGGAGTTTTAGGGCCTTCCACACCTAGCAGATGCAATATTCGAACTGCCAGCTTAGTAAATTCGCAATCCTCGATGAACTCGCACAGATGAGCCAAGGCTATGTTTGTTAGCCGTGGAAAACTCCGTGGAATTTTTGAGGGACCTACCATCTTCCTTGCTACCTGGTACAAACTTGATCAGGTCAAACATGCTCTCCACAACACTCCTCTTGAAGTCATAGCCTCCCTCGTCCCGCAGTATACCACTCAGGAAGGTCAGCATGCCAGCCTGCTTGCTGGGGAACTTCAAACATAGGGTCCTTATGGCTTCAACGATCGTAATTTTGAATTCGTCCGTGATATCTGCCATAAAGCTAGATATCTGTTTCATTAGTCGATCCACGCTGCCTTCGTTTCCCGTCTTGAGGAGAGTCGTGATAGCGAAGGTAGCAATTGACCGGTTTGTGTTAGAGATTAAAGTCTCGATGTCAGGATTGCATGATTGAACGGCTTGCGGCTTGAATGAGGCGACATTGTGTAGAATTCTTATGGCAGCAAACTTGGTGACAGCTCGAGGAGAAGTTAGGAAAAGTTGGAGAGTATGGATGGCTTGGGTCATTTCTGCATCAGTGACATCCCGAAGATTACAGATGGCTTTGGCGGCCTCGAAGTTGACCATCTCAGCCTTGTGTCGAAGCCAGCCATCAAGGAGTTGCATCATGGGTCTCCTCAAGCTTGAGTCGTCTTCTATTAATTTGGCAGCCAATCTGACCAGCAAGATTGTGCCAGCGGGACTTTTTACAACGCCAGGGGTGCCAAATTGTTGGACCATTTTCACCAAGGCCATGCGGTCGTGTGATCTCATCTGGTACAACAGCCCAATAGCATGATACTGGTTCATAAAGTGCGTACTCGGTTGTAGTGCTTGCGGGCTTCCAGATGTCGAGAAGCCAAGAGAAAAGCCGCTTGATGACTTCGACGAGGATGCTGCTTCTTGTGTCTCACTCTGCCACCTTCTGACCAGGTCCCGAGCGATTGGAAGCAGATGGTACGAGGAAACCAGGGCAGCGGAGGATACAGAAGGACTCTTATCGACGATAGCGTTCTTGATCGACCGTTCAATTGCTTGTACGGTGGTTGCCTGCGGAGCTTTAGTAGGTCTACGCATACTACGTGGGCCATGCATACGTCTATAACTCTGCACAATGCTCGGATCGCGTTTGCCTTGTAGAGAACGTCGCTCTTTTCTGCCGTGTCTTTCATAATACTCTGCGTCACCATGATAACATCCGACGCAGAACTTGCCAGCTCTTTGAATATGAGGTACATCATCTGGCGAAGAGAGGGATCCTTGTTCTGAAAGAGCTTCGAGATACCGAAGAAAAGGTCTGTAGCTTCGTTCGACGGAAACGTCTCCCCGGTAAATAGGAGCAAGGCGATCTTGGTAAGAAGTATTCGACATTTCCTAGGAGATATAGGGGAGTAGTTGAACAGGCGAGCTGGAGCTTTGCGTCAGTGAAGACTTCGCCAGAAGAGCTGATGTGGTCCGTACCCTCTTGAAAGACAGCGGTCCTGTCGACCTTGACGATTGCTTGGTCGGCATCTTCATCCTTCTTGCTGTAACTCATGATGATGATGCGCTGAGCTCGAAACTAAGGTTTTGAATTCCAAGCCCACAAACCTCTTCACAGTTGTTGGTGACTGGCGTCTTGGGTTTTGGCACTGGGCTCACAGCGCATCTGATTCCTATCGCATACGTCTCTTCCACATCTTCCAATTGATATTGCCTTGGTCAGTCTACGGAGCGAGTGGAAGTGATTGAGTAGAAACGAATGCCCAGGCACATGTAAAGATGGGAGCTCCCAGCGCCAGATCTCTTGTCCACAGGGCTGATGCTACGGTGGCCCAACCGAACTTTAGAAACATTTCAGGCACTTCCCTCACTTCAATCCTACGAGGTGCCTTCATGGATTTTCTCCGCTGCCACACTAAGGCTAAATATGGATATGCCAATGAATGTACCGGTGGATGATCCTAATGCCGATACGGAGTGGTACGAAGCTGAACGTACTCTTCTACGTAACTGGCAAGAGCTGATATCGACGTTTGCAGGAACGACATCCTCCGCAAGCACGGTGTTATCCCAGAGAAGCCTCCCTCTCCAACACCACTCATCCAAGAAGCTCTGGCCGAAGCCCGAAAGCAAGCCTATGGAAATCGGCTTGAGGAAAAAGACCTTGACGAGCTGAATGATTTGGAAGATGAAGAAGACGAAGCATTCCTTGCGAAGTACCGGTGGGTGTTTACCCCAGCTGTTGAAAACTAGGGTCTAATTACCATGCCTCAAGGAATCAGCGAATGGCAGAATTGTCTACAATAGCGACTGCGAGCGTCTTCAATCAGGTCTATCCTTTACAAAAGCCGGACTACCCTAAGGACGTTACGGAAGCCTCCAACAAGGCGTTTGTCCTGGTTCATCTAACTTCATCACTTGGCACCAACATTGAATCTCGGCTGCTGACTGAACTGTGGCGGGAAATGGCACGGAAATTTGGAGACATTAAATTCTGTGAAATAAGGGCGGACATGTGCATCGAAGGCTATCCAGAGCGGAACACCCCAACGATCCTAGTGTATCGAAATGGAGATATTAAAAAGCAAGTGGTAACATTAAATGAGCTTGGTGGAGACCACACGACAATCAAAGGTACGTCTTGTCTATTCTCAATGCCGCAATGGATTGGATGACAGTGATTGACTTAAAATAGATCTGCAAAATCTGCTGGTCGGCGTTGGTGCTTTGAAGGCAACAGACCATCGCGTGGTCAATTCTACACAAGGGGATGGAGAAGTCCCATATAGCAGCATTCGCACAGGGAACCTCAATGCAGCTACGGCTGAGGACGATGATGATGACTGGGACTGAAATTCATTTGCAGCAAACAGATGGCGGTATCTCGATGCTCCGCATATCTGCCATGACAAATGAATGAGAACGCCAAACTGAGCCGTAGCTGTTCTATCATGCTAGCATCCGTTCCAATGGTGAGGGATGACCTCGAATGGCGAAAGTCTGCAGGGACTCAAGGCGCCCTATCCAAGCCTATCGAGGCGATACTGGGTATATCCCGAAAAAAGTCGACCGAATACGTGGGGTGAGGGAACAAGCATGCCGATAGGTACGTGGATGCACATGTCTTGTTATGAGATATGAGAATGGTTTTTGAGGATGCAAGCCTATCAGGCCCATATTGAAAATTGAATGTAAAGCATGAATCAGAGACTTACAGGATTCTCCAAATTTGTCGAGTTCGCACAGACTTGAGATGATGAGTCCATAACTCGTTGGACTTCGCTGCGCCTTTGTCGCCAATTCCTAGCTTAGTCTAGCTGTACCCTCATCGACTAATAACGATAAAGCTACGTCTGTGGGGACGGCCCTTCTATGGAGATTGTGCCAACTTACTCTCAAGCTCGTGGCCATCGCTCTGGTTGGATATTTGGACTTGACCGCCTTTATCATGTGTGGTTTAAGGTTATCCAGCGCTCGCAAAGGCCAATGGCAGTTGATCGAGGCTCGCGTGTTTCATGCATGACCGGCAGCTCTGCATGATCGAGACCGCCTGCCTGTGGATTTCTATCAATGAAGCTCCGTCCGAGAGTCCGAGGTACGTACTTGGGTATGTGTACGCATTGAACCCTGTCCCCGAGTCCGAGGTACGTAGCTGGTATGTGTACGCGTTGGGACCTGTAAGCCAAAGGCAAGGCTGGGGATAGCTAACTAAATGTGTGGACTACCTTAGGCTCCCAATGATCTGACATTCTCAAGCTTTGAATCTGGAAGTTGTCCTTAAGTGGATACTGTATCCACCTTCGACAGGGGATGATAGGCAGGTTCTAAACAGCAGACCAATGACTGGCAATCGGTTTAAGTTGGGGTGATACTTTAGGTAAGTAATCTCATGAATGAAACCAACGCCGCGGCTGAAGGTTGGCTGAAGGCTGAAGGGTTCGGGTACTGCCGAGTCTATCAATTTACCCCTCCTAATCTACTCTAGAGCCAAGGCCGCTTCGTTTAAATCGTCTTCACCGCTGCTGCTGCTACTGCTGTTGCAGTCCATTTCCCTTTCCTTCCATTCTCTCTTGTTCCACTCTGTCTTCCTCTTTCGTCTACTTGTCAAAGTCAAACATGGACTATTCATACTTTGCTCAACCGGCCCAACCTTACCAGTTCTTCGGCATTGCACCTGCAAAGCCAGAGCTCTCATATACCCCGCAGGAAGAGCCACACAACGACCCTCTAGTAAGCACCAAGCATCTTATTCGCCCATTCGTATACCACTCGAACGTTAGGCTGCCTGCTTATCTCTCATAGGATATCTATGATCCCAACACTTTCCAGTTCTTCGACCAAAATGCCCACTTCAACCCTCCAGCCATCATTCCCTCAACGCAGTCACCCCCTCTCTCAATTCCCCAATCGGATTCGCTCCCAAACCCTCTGCCACTGCCTTATGACCGCTCGTTATCGCAGGACTTGACTGGGGATGTAGACCTGGATCAGGCCCCCGGAAGGGGGAGTAGTGACGACGACAAGGACAATCTCACACCTGCACAGAGTCGGCGAAAGGCGCAGAATAGAGCAGCGTACCACAGCCCGAAAGAAGAGCGATCCTGAGAAACTCTGCCCGCTAACGCGTCTGCAGACAGCGAGCTTTTCGCGAACGAAAAGAGCGGCACGTCAAAGACCTTGAAATCAAGCTCAAGTCCATGGACGCACACTCTACAGATCTCATGACGGAAAATGAGCGTCTGAAGCGAGAACTGGATCGGATAGCCACCCAAAACGAGATATTACGCGCGACCACGACTCCGAGGAGAGCACCACAACATGAACACTCTCATAACGCACATCATGAAGGACCATCCAGTCCAGAAGGTCTCACCTCGGGACCAATGATATACTCTCCCTCCACCTTCAACGCTGCTTTTGCGGAACACCATACTTCCGATTCTGAAGAGCCTATTTCACACCGCATTGAGATCTCCGAGACGACCGGCGAACGTTTGCTTGCAACGGGTGCGGCGTGGGACTTCATACAACATCATGAGCTATATAGGAGGGGCTTGGTGGATATAGCGGACGTATCCGAGAAGTTGAAGGAGAAGGTGGTATGTAATGGCGCTGGACCTACCTTTTCGGAGCGAGATGTCATACAGGCGGTTGAGGATAGTGTGGGAGCGGCGGGAGACGAGTTGATTTGATTATTATATGAGCGTAGGCTACCGAGGAAATGATTATGTAGATTTTTGTCACAACAAATAAATCAAGAGTTCCTCATGACTCATCGCCTAACTTCTGTTTATACTTCCCCAGACTATCCTCACTTAACCCACCTCTCTCCATCGCATGACCACGAAAGGGGTACATATCACCGCTGCAAGTGCACATCCCCAATCTACTTTACCGGGTTCCTCCCAAGCCAGTGTCTCCGCAAACGACGAATCAGCAGGTGCCAAGACCAAGCGCGCCATTGACCGAGGGGCAGAAGCCCAATACCACTGCTCGTGTCTACCAGATTCAGTAGGTGACAAGGCCAAACATGCCATTGACCGAGGGGCAGAAGCCCAGCGAAGCTGCTCCTCCCGAAGGAGAGAAGCCTAGCAAAAACGCCCTGAAAAAAGCTGCAAAAGAAAAAGAAAAAGCAGAGAAAGCAGCGAAAAGAGAACAGCAAGAACGAGAAGAGAAAGAGAAAGCTGCCGCCAACGACACAGCCAGTCATCTCTACGGCCACCTCAACTACGAAGCGCCCCCTCCTTTTGCGGAAAAATTCGTCGACCTAGAAGACCTCGAAAGTATTGAAGAAGACAGCAGGGTCACGTTTGAAGCAAGAGTCGGCAATGCGAGGGTGCAGTCTGCGAAGCTGGGCTTTCTTGTGTTGAAGGCTGGCTTCGACAGCATCCAGGTTGTCATTGCTGAAGGGGGAGGGCAGAGTATTTCGAGGCAGATGATCAAGTGGTGTGGGGCTCTCCATACGGAGTCCATTGTACGAGTTACGGGTCTTATTAAGGCGCCGAAGGAAGAGGTCAAATCGACCACCATATCCCACCATGAGCTCCATCTCGAGAGTATCTACATCGTCGCTGAAGCTCCGGAGCAGCTCCCTATCCAAGTAAAAGACTGCAATCAACCTCCGCCCGGTGAAGAGGAGGGAGAAGCTGAGAAGGAGGGAATGCCAAACGTGGGGCTCAAAGCGCGACTTGACAACAAAGTTCTATCGCTGCGAGCACCTGCGAGTAAAGCTATCAGGAGATTGGAAAGCGAAGTCTCAAGGTTGTTCTTCGAGTACATGATCCAGCACAAGTTTACAGATATACAACCCTCATACCTAGCCGGCGCAGCGACAGAAGGAGGGGCTGAAGTCTTTGAGGTCAAGTATTTCGAGGAAAGGGCGTTCTTGACCCAGAGCCCGCAATTTTTCAAGCAGATGGCAATAGCTGGGGGCATGAAGAGGGTGTTCTCGAAAGGGCCCGTCTTCAGGGCCGAGAATTCCAATACGAAAAGACATCTGACAGAAGTACGTTACTCTGCCCAGTGGCATCTCCGCTTCCTAACCTTACAGTCTAATCAACGTCGCAGTTCACTGGCCTCGACTTCGAAATGACCATCCGACACCATTACCACGAAGTCCTCTCTTTTGGCGAAAGTCTCATGATCTACATCATCCGCGGTCTACAAACACAAGAGTACCCCAAGAAGCTCACCAACATCATCAAGGAAGCCGGTTACCCCGAGGCTGGCACTTTCCAATTACCACCTGGCGACCAAGCTATTCGCATTACATTTGCGGAAGCGAAAGCGCTTCTGTCCGAAGCTGGGGTTGAGGCCGGGGAGCCGGATTCGGACATAGAGTAAGTGCCCCATTGCCCTATCCCCCACCTGTCCGTGCGTCCATCTGTTCGCCCTTTTGCGCCGAGACTGTGGGAGCATCCTACTCACACGGGCCTCAGCACCGCACAGGAGAAGGCCCTCGGCAAGATCATGCTCGAAAAGTACAAAACCGACTTCTACACCGTCGACCAGTACCCGCGCTCCCTCCGCCCCTTCTACACGCACCCCTCCCCGCACGACCCCGCCCTCACAAACTCCTACGACTTCTTCATGCGCGGACAGGAGATCATGTCCGGCGCGCAACGCATCCACATCCACGGCGAGCTCCTCGAAAGCATGCGCATGAAGGGGGTGTCGCCCGAGGACGAGGGGTACAGGCACTACACGGAAGCGTTCAAGTGGGGCTGCAGTCCGCATGGCGGGGGCGGGTTGGGCATGAACCGCATCGTGCAGTATTTCCTGGGGTTGAACAACATCAGGGAGGCGGCGCTGTTTCCGAGGGACCCGGGGCGGTTGGCGCCGTAAGGGGAGGTGGTAGGGAGGGTTGGGTGAGGTGGAGGGAGGGAGGGTGGGATTGATGGGGATGGGGGTTGAGACCTAGGAGGGGGATGAGATGCTACTTGAGCGGAAAGGGTTGGCGGATTGCTGTTTGAGCCAGCCAGCTTTGCGTGAAACCTGACGGACATCGGGTAGACGATTGGCCGCTTGAATTGCTGTACGCCTGGACGAATTACAACCAGCGTCGATCTGTACATAGAAGCACGATAGCGCAAGTCTCGCAGCCGTGCTCGGGCGCCGTTACCATGATCCGAGCCTGTCCAACGCCTCGCTAAACAAAATCTGACAACCATCGCTCGTGTCGTATGCACCGTCGGAACAACCTCAAGAGAACGCCGATTACACCAAGCCTTCTCCTCTTGAGAATCCAGTTCTGCTCCTGTGTTTCAAGGTCGATCATGTCCAGCGGCCTTCCCAACGCAAGTGTATATGTTGACGTGTCCGTGTCCAAGACTACCCACCGCGAGCATCATACGGTGGGGGTGGAACGATGTACAAGCGATTGGGCTGGTCTTTGCCGATGTGAGGAAGGGAGTGTATGGTTGGATGGTATTGATGCTTGCGCCGTTGACGTTGAAGAGGGTGAGTGCGTGGGTGTCTGAGCCACTGTTTGATGGATCCTAGATTAGCAAAGGTAGGATTGTGGAGCAGAGCGAGACTCACGTAGCAAAAACCGGTGCATGCTCATGGACACTCAACGTCCTCATTGTGTCACTTGTGGCCGTAATCTCGCTAATCGGGTCATCCTTCCGAATATCCCACAGCTTCACCTCTCCATTCCTCGATCCGCTGATCAGCTCCCTAAAACCACCACGTTGCATATGCACGTTGGTGATCCACTGCTTGTGCTTTCGCCAACATCGGACCATGGCTAGAGCAGGCTTTTGGCGGGTATCGAAGATGCGGATAGCGCCGTCGCCGTAGCCGGCGCAGAAAACATTGCCAGCGACTTGGTCCGACGTTAGGGAGGTTATGCAGGAACCGGAGCGGGCAGGGATGTCCTATTGTCGTTGTTAGTGTACTTCATGAGCGATCTCTGTAAAGGCGGCCATACATTGGTGCAGATCTCTGTTGCAGCGTTCCACACTCTGATGACTTTAACGTCTCCTGCCACTAATAGCTTGCCTTGGCCTTGTTGCCAGTCCAGAACAAGTCCGGCATTCTTGTTACTTGGAAGAAGGTCCGTGAGTGCACGGAAGGCAGAGACCAATTCGACGTCCTCTGATTCGTAGTTTCGGAAGACTTTGATGACGCCGTCTGAAGAGCCAGTCATCATTAGAGCTTGATCATCTTCATTGATGAAGCGAGCTTCATTAATGCGTGATCCCTTTGGATTGCCATTCGAAAATCGATTCAATCGGCTACTCTGCTGCCAATTCCAGATACTGCCCGTTCAATTAACGTTTGCGTCATTGGCGGAAAACAGTAGGACATACCATATGCTATCACGGTCGTCGGCGATGGCAAGATGGTCCTCAAATTGATGGAAACACATCTTCGTAGGCTGACTTCCATTGTTGAAAAAACCATTGGGCGTATCCCAAGGGCTGCTACTCGCGACTCCTTTTAGCGGTTGGGTCATTGCAAGTGTCTTCTCGTTGCGGACTCTCCTCCATAATCGAGAATTGTAATCATCGCTGCCTGGCTCATCAGGCTCGTTGGGCTTCATTTGCGGTTCACGGAAGTACTATCAGGTCAATGGGGTGACAATAAGAGGTGATGTCGCAGAGAAAAGACTTACCTCGATGGACCACTCGAAGAAGACACTTTCCAGTGGTAACGTCGCCGGCTCGTTAGGATCATGTTTCTTAAAGCCTTTTGGTAATGGGACCTTCGCTCGCTGATACTTCGCCGATGTCGATGTGGCATCGTTTTGATTGGGCGGAGTGCTCCACTCTGCAGGTATACCTGGACGCACAGGACCTACCATTCGTTTCTGTTGGGCAGTCTGATGAGCAGTCTCCGAAGAAGATGGCAGGTTGTCCGTCGAGCCTGAGCCAGCGAGACCGAGGTACTTCAAGGCAGCCGCCACACTCGCATTGCGCCTGAGTCCTGTAGATAGGTAGCCTTCACTCTTGTGCGGGTTCTGGGGCCCTGCCGGGGCCGTTGGATGCGATGCTTGACTAGTCGGTGCTGCTGAGGACTGCCGAGAGTGACCAGCTGATCGTTGCATGAGTCCAAGGATGTTGTCGATAACACGCAGAGCGTGAGGTGCGAGAGGTGAATTTACCAGCGTCTCGTGGACATGATCAACGATGATGCTCGCCGCCTGGGCGACTTCTGGGTGGCCATCAACGGACAGTACGAGTACATGTAGCCACATCGAGTTTTGAACACTGTTACGTGAGATCATCGAACTTTGAGCATTCTCCAGATCATCCTGACCTGTGCCGTTGGCTTTGGTTCCGTTGTCGTATCCAGAGTACATGAGTTTATCTCTCTCCTCCACCAGATTCTCATAGGCTGCAACGAGGAACTTATTCTGGTATCTCTTGACAAATGTAGAAAAGAACACAAGCAGTTCTTTCCGTACCATAGCGTTACCATCTGTAGTCATGGACATCAAAGCCGAAGCTATGGTCTCTTCATTTTGCGCTACCTGCTCAGTGAGATCAGGAATTCCAAGAAAGTTCGTCAGCGCGTGCACAGCTGCTGCCCTCACTTCTGGTACCGGATCGATCACGAGCGCACAAAGACGATGGTGTGCGAAGCATCGGATGCCAACCCATTTTGCCTCGGGGAAATCCTTCCAAAGCATACTAATACATAGACAAGACCATTGACGAAGCAAAGGGTTCTCCGGGTCTTGGAGATAACCAATGCAGGCATCAATCAGATCTGGGGACAGGCACACTTGTTGACCTTGAGGAAATGCCCGGCAGAACATCGCGATGACGAAGGCAGACATAGCCTTATGTTCAGTCGCGTTGGCCACTGGGATTCCTGTCTCCGGGAGGAGGATTTTGGTGAAGTACTGGTACCCACTGTCTTTGAGTAGGTCTGCCTGAACAGCTTTTGCATCTACGGCAACTATGCGCGCCCAGATGAAGATCATGATGGCTTTAAGCTCGTGTGCTGGAGATTGAAGGAGTTTGACCACGTAAGGGAAGATTCCAATCGTAAGTGCGAGGTTGACGGCCCAAGGGCCGAGGTCCAGAAACTTACTTAGAAGAATCAAGGCTCTAAGCCGATGGACCTGGCTAAGTAGCACTTGGAGCACAATAGGTAGTTGGGTTGGAGCTTGCTGTTTGGGAGCCCCTTGCTGAAGGTAAACGTCGAAGGCCGTTAGTTGCTCGGTGAAGAAAGAAGAGTGTTGATACTCATATGGTTCACCACCTGTCTCAGCTTTCAACATTGGGTCGAGTTGGGATAAGACCATCTCGATCGCCAAGTCCCATGCTTCCCACAAAGGATGGTCGTGCGTCGAAGGTATCTCAGGCATGGACATCGGATGACATCCGTAAGACCTCATTATCCGTTGAGCAACAAGGAAATTTCGGAAGAGTGCTGCCACCATGAGATCCTGACGGAAAAGTTGCCTGAAGAGAGGCCTTGGGAGCACATTCCATGCAATTGTGTCAGTAATGGCAGTTAATATCCAGTTGAGCTCCCCTATTGGACTCCTTCGCTCCGCCGCGCGTCCGGGAACCCTCCGCACGTCTTTGACATTGAGTCCAATAGGCAGTGGATTCTCCAGAACATGATAAGTCATGGACATGATGATAGGGTTAGTGAGACAAGCAGTGAAGAGATCATTAGGAAGATCGGGGTTTGTCGGCAGCGTCTCTGTTTTCTGACAGGCTGCCAGCTGGATGTTGTTCGAGTAATTCTGCAGTTGTGCGTTTGGATCTCGTGCTCTGGCTTCCGCATTTTCTGCTTCATGCTTTTCGACGAAGCGGTCGAAGTTCGCAATGATATTACCGGCATGCGAACAGTCATAAATGTAGATGACGGGCCCCCCGAGCCACGCTTGCAAGTCATACATTGATACTGGGATATATTGGGTGTAGTCCTTGTTGAAAACCCAGAACTCGCCAGATGGTGTGGGCAAAGGGACTCCATGGCCGTTGTAGTGGAACAGAACCCGTTCCTCTTTTGCGTTACGTCGTAGCGAAGTGCAAAACTTTTTGGTCTCTTCAACGGATGGATCCAGGTACTGCTTGTATCTGGTTTTCATACTCATACCTTCGTACTGATCTTGAAGCTTCTTCCCAATGATCTCCATCATCTTGCTTGCAGGCTGCGTCTGTGATATAGGATTTGTCCAGCACTCCTCGACAGCTGTGGGTTGCGTTTTGTAAACATCTGGAGGGTCCACCCCAATGTTGAGACATAAAATCAGAGCAGCGGACACTGTTTTTGAACGCTCTCTATGACGCCAGTCCTCTAGGGGTTTGATCCTCTCGTTGTCTTTCGGCTTTCCACCACTCTCATGTCGTTTATCGGTGAAGTACATGTAGAAAGTCTACTGAAAGTGTCAGCCAACCAAAATCTGGAGGCGTAGCAGAGGGCATCAGGAATAATACCGAATTGAGATGCCCAAGGAATTCGCTGGAGTTGTATTCATCTTCCCAACCGTGTCGGAGTTCGCCATGCTCTTCCACGCTTGTTTCCCTCGTTGGGGAAGTATTTTCTGACTCATAGTTGGTCTTTGACCTTGTCATCGATACCTTTGGTCGGTGAGCGAAGGTTTGGTGGTTCTCTGTCCGAGCTCGAGAGTTGTTCTGGGGTTCAAATGATTCATTATTGGCCTCGGACGAGGCTATAACCCCTGCTGCATGACCGTTCACCAGCATATTTCCTGGTCCATTGTTGTCCTGAAGACTTGCCCGACCATTCTCGAGGTTAACAAGGGGCCGGCCAGTAGATTGCCCATTCGTTAATCCTCGTGGAGGCCCGCTAGCAGACTGGCTAAGTTGAGTTCCCGACAGTAAGGTGGTGTGGGTGGGAGCGTTGCTTTGGTGAAACATTGTCGACGCAGGTGCTGGAGAACTTAACAAAGCCATAATTTCCCCTACATTCAACCGTCAACGACACTCTCCTCGCACAGCTCGGGAATATCATATCCTGACACCGGCTGATTAAGACTTACTCTAAGTGGTCGTCCAATACCGTCATACTAGGCAGTGATCCAACAAATCTGGTGATCGGCATGCCAGTGCCCGTGCGATCAGCTCTGCCGAAGGCAAGAAAGAGTCTTTGGACCTGTAAAGGAGATGTGAGGCTTCTCTCCGGTCCTGGGCAGCGAGTATAAGACTAAAGTAAGGTAGTTGTAGCAAGGTAGCGCAGCCGTATGATGACATGAGAGTCCCCTCGGTCGGCTAACTCATGCAGCCCCGCAGTAGCTCCGGGTACCCCCGTAGCTCAAGCCGTATGTGGAGTAGCACTACAAGTAAAGTAATAGAAAAGGTGGCATTTGATGTCTTTGGTTGGTGCATACTTTAGAGTATGTGAGCAAAACCAGTGAGCGGGACTGCCACTTCTTCCGACTATCCTTGCCTAGCATCTCAACCTCAATATTAATACAGGGTGTGATCCTGAGCACTTGTGGATGTATTTCTGTTGCTCTAGACACATACAACGTAGAGAGATCAAAGCTGTTTCCATTTCTACACATTTCTTTTGGTCTTATAAGAAGTCAAAGCTACGCGCTGGTCTCAGATCCGCGTACACTTAGTAGCAATTGATAGGTCGCAAAAAGCAAGGCACGCAAAGTGAACAGATACACTGCGTCAAAGCATACAGAACTGCTTGACCTGCCTTCCTAACCTTCCTGGTCACATTTTACGCACTCTCAATATTTTGTAGAAGTTCGACAGTGTCTGATAGATTGATCATACCGCCTGTTCAGCTGCCGCTGGTCCTGTTTCTTGGTGATCTTTCCCGACTGAAACATAACCTGGGGAAAGGCTGCGATTATTAGATCTCTCAGTGTCTCTTACATGGCGAATATACACAACACAAATGACGGCTCTTTAATACGTTCAGACATACGGCAGATGATCAGCGAGGTACGACAGAAGTATCGGGTGGGGAGATAAGGCGTATATACAGCCATCCTAGGCATTGGCAGAGGGGCCAAGTCCCTCAGTCTTTACTTGTATGGCGAGGATATCGAAACAGGAAGGATTGAAGATGGCAGGCAAGGCAAGGGAGAAAGTGAGAAGAAGAGGTTGATGTCCATTATGCCTGTCTGCCATGCGACACTAAGCCCCTGGAAGGATCTAAATTTGAAACAGCCACCAAAGAAATCCCAGCCCCACCTCTCCCTGAGACCCTCACACAGTCTCAATGGCCTACCTTGGAGTGAAAAATATACTACTGACACTCTGCTTGTCAAGACGCTGAGAACATGTCGTCGCTCTTAAAATAGAAATGATTCGTCGTTCTATGGCCCACAAATAGAAAATACGGTAGTTCACATTTGCCGTCAGTAGTTAAAGAAAATACTGCTTTCAGGAATCAGGAACGATCAACGATTTAGCGGAGGTCTTGGCGCCACCAGCGCAAAAGGACGCTAAGTCGCCAGGAACCCCAGGATCGCTTACAATCTTCCAAGGCATTGGAAGCCCAATAATTGTCCGTCCAAGTTCATAGTCATATCTTCTGCATCTCCCAGCACATTGACGACTGCATGAGTGGCCAGCGCATTGATTGTCGCATTGCATTTTCAACCTTTTTTCCTCGCAATGTCTCGTCGGTAGACTTGGGGCGCCGACTTTCTCTACAGCCGGATCCTCGCCGCCGCTCCCTGAACCCACCCCCTGCTTCAGCTTGATTTTCAAGTCTACAACGGGGCAGAGAGCCGTCACTCGCTCCATATTCTTCGACCATCTGATCTCGCGCAAACGCTTGTTCGAGTCCTATTCTTGTTGGGAGTGATTGCGGTCGGACTGCGAGTACATTGGTACATCGGCATCAAAGCCGCGCAATCATGTCATTTCTATTCGGCAAAAAGAGCAAGGAGGGGAAAGGTCAGACTGCGCCTATTCAGAGACCCCAGGATATACAGACCGCGCCAGGATCAGGCACCTCGATACCCACAGTCAATGGTTTGAGGCCAAAAGAACGAGGGGCTGGGATACAGTCTCCAACGCCAGGTGCAGGTGCTGGTGCAGGCGCCAACATCTCCGCCAATCCGATCGAAAATGGAAATACTTCAAGTCCGGAGCATGGACAAGGTCAACGCGGACGACAAGATTCAGATTTATCGGTATGTCATTGTTCATTAATCACCGTCTGGGCCAGCCAGCCGCTATGATTCGTGGCAGTCGCTTTGGGGCTTTCGTTAATACGATGGAAATGATGCTGATTCTGTGCCCACGTAGCGTGGCCCACGGCCTGTCCCCAATGGGCCCCCTCCAGGTGTCAGCCCAGCAGCGCTATACCCCTGGTCTCAACGACAACTCACCTTCCCATCGTCTCAGCCAAATCCATTCCCTAGATATGGTGCGGCGGTCAATGCTACCTCGTCCAAGGAAGGAGACATATATCTGATGGGTGGACTTGTCAATGGGACGACTGTCAAGGGCGATCTATGGATGATTGAGTCTGGGGGCAGTAATCTTGCATGTTATCTGGTCGGAACCACCTTCGAAGGTCCGGGTCCACGTGTTGGCCATGCAAGTTTGCTAGTCGGAAATGCATTTATTGTTTTCGGTGGCGACACCAAAATGGATGAGCGGGACAAGCTAGATGACACACTCTACTTGCTGAATACCTGTAAGTGAAGTTCCAGCTAGGGACTGAGTATATCTCTGACATATCCAGCAACCCGCCATTGGTCAAGATCTATGCCTCCAGGACAAAGACCAGCGGGTCGATATGGGCATACACTGAACATCCTGGGTTCGAAGATCTACATCTTCGGTGGACAAGTCGAGGGTTACTTCTTCAATGACCTTCTTTGCTTCGATTTGAACGCCTTGCAAAACGCCAATAGTAAATGGGAAATGCTCATTCAGACTAGCAACGAGGGTGGTCCTCCAGAAGGACAAATACCCCCAGCTAGGACGAATCACACTATCGTGAGCTGGAACGATAAGCTCTACTTGTAAGGGACTCTAGTGATCTTATCTGATGAACGGTACTGACCCTCTCTAGATTTGGTGGCACCAATGGGACACAATGGTTCAACGATGTATGGTCATACGATCCGAAAGTTGTTGCGTGGACTCAACTTGACTGCATTGGCTATATACCCGCTCCACGTGAAGGGCATTCAGCCGCGTTGGTCGACGATGTCATGTACATATTTGGAGGGCGTACTGAAGAAGGCACCGACTTGGGCGATTTGGCGGCGTTCAGGATCACTTCGCGGCGCTGGTACACCTTCCAGAATATGGGTCCATCGCCGTCGCCACGATCCGGCCACAGTATGACTGCCTTTGGCAAAAATATTGTCGTCCTTGCCGGAGAACCAAGTTCTGCAGCCCGAGATCCGAGCGAGTTGAGCATGGTCTACGTGCTGAATACAGCGAAAATCAGGTATCCGAATGATCAGCAAATTCAGAACACACCAGCCGGCGAGCGCGTACCGGGAAATCGCAGGCCTAGTCAGGAGAGAGGAACGGGCCTTCCCAATCGGGGGATCAACGCTCCGAATGGCGCTCCAGAAGGTCTTAACAGAAAATTCAGCGGCTCGCGAGAAAGTATGGCTGGCGGATCCCGTGGACCAGCAATAGGACCGGGACCGGGACCCGGACCAGGGGGGCGGGGCCAAGATATGAGCATGGCAAATGGTCCCTCTCCGCCTGGTGGGGGATCTCGACTTCCTCGCGCTTCAATAGCACAAGCGCCTTCGGGGCCGCCTCCGCAGCAGCAACCTCCACCACCACGAGCAAATGGAATCATGTCGCCCAACAATGGAGCTAGAAGCAGAACCCCTACCAGAGAAAACCGTGGCTTCGGTCCACCTGTCGATACTGGCCGAGGACCGTCCTTCGAGAAAGAGAATGTGACCCCACCGATAGTATCACCGGTAGGACGAGAGGGGCCGAGACAAGGCCCAACCGCTCGTTCTATGAGTCCTGTGATCAACGGACGCCGCACGCCGACACAACAGTCTGGACAGCAATCAATGCAGCAGCCTCCACGATTTGCAGACCAGGCAGCCGACTATGATGAGCCCCAGAAGTATGATCCGTCATTTGGGATATTAGGATCGCGCCAAGCTGTTCAAGAACCTTCTCTAGATGAAAGCGATCGATTCCCGTCTGCTGGCCCACACCAGCAGCGATCCTTCAACGATCCATACGATGAGCCTAACGACGTTTCTATGAGGAACAACAGAGTTCAACGAGATGATTCGATTCCACGTCAGCAGCTGGAGCAGCTCGAGAACCAGCATCAAGGTCTACAGAGCCAGTTCGAGGGTCTTGAGAATCAGCATCAAGGTCTCCGAAGCGAGTATCAGGGCCTCCGAAGCGAGCATCAGGATCTTCAAAACGAGCATCAGGATCTTCAAAGCGAGCATCAAGGCCTTCAAAGCGAACATCAAGGCCTCCAAAGCGAACATCAAGGCCTCCAAAGCGAACATCAAGGCCTCCAAAGCGAACATCAAGGCCTCCAAAGCGAACATCAAGGCCTCCAAAGCGAGCATCAAGGTCTGCAAACTCAACAACAAGATCTGATGCAAGCATTGGAAGCAGCAAAGAGCCGCAACGCCTGGTATGCGTCCGAAATGGCTCTAGCGCGCCAGGCCGGATACCAGCCGAATAACTCCGGGAGCCCACTTGACGAAAAGGCTGCTCAATCATTTGGCGACGATGATAAACCGCTCTTGGAGGCGTTGATAGCTGTGCGCGCGCAGCTCGCTGAAGTGCAAAGCAATTTAGAGTCCCGTGAGGATGCCGCAGCGCAAGAGGTTGCGGCAGCAGAGCAGCAACGAGACACTGCAATTCGCGAAGCCGCCTACGCCAAAGCCAGGCTTGCAGCCCATGGTGGTAGTCATGTTGGAACGCCGCAATCCGACGCAGCGTCTCGAGACCTAGGCCCCGATGATCGATCGAGTGACATTGCTCGAAAGTTGGCTGTGGCATTGGCAGCTCAGAACGAGCTACGTGTCACAGTTGCTGCTATGACCAATGCAATTCATAGTGAGAGACAGGCAAGAGAAGCAGCCGAAGGTACTGCTGATGCTGCGCAGAAACGCGCAGCAGAATTCGACCGAGCTCGCAACCCTGGAGAGCTTGAGAGCTTGAGAAGCGAGCTTCATCAGGTCGGAAAGACTGCTCGAGAGGAATCAGCGGCGAAGTTCGAGGCACACTCTAAAGTGCAGCTGCTTGCGGTCGATAAGGAGGACCTGGAGCGAAAGCTAGGTGAAGCCTTGGAAAACACCAAGCAGCACAGCATTACTGTTGTATCGCTTCGAGAAGCCGTCACAGCTTCAACGGACAAGGCTTCCCTGCTTGAGAAGAAGCTTAACGACGAACGGAGACAAAGAGAGCTTGTGGATCAAAAGCTGCTACAGCTACGCGCGGAGCACGAAGAGCGGACCGCGGAACTCGACGATACCACACGCAAGCTTCGTGACGCTGAAGAAATGGCCAGTGCTAATGCTGCTGAGGCAAAGACTCATCGCCAAGCTATGGTCGCCGGTCTTGACAAATTGAATAGCCGGAGTGTGGCGGGTCAAAACATGCCAATTGAGGATGAGCGCGTACCGATACTGAAGGAACAGGTTGAGAATGCTCATGCTCTGGTTAGGAAGAACCAAGCAGCGGCCGACGACGCAGCAGAAAAGCTCCGACGAGCAGAGGAGAGAATCGCAGGTTTGGAAGCCTATCAAGAGCAATCCAGCCGCGACAGTCTTGCTGTGCGCAAGCAGCTGCAAGATACTGTTCGAGAATTAATAGCATCGCAATCTCAGTATGGCGCCGTGCAGCGGCAATTGGAGTCCCACCAGCGAGATGCAAGCGCGTTGTCCGTACAGCACAGCGCCCTCAAGGAGCTATTGGATGAAAGAGGCATCTCCTCAGAAAATGGCAGATCTAGATCAAGGAATCTGGATAGTCCAGCATACCGTCTCGATACGCCAGACAACACCCGCCTTAGAGAGCTTGAGCAGGAACTGGAGGTCAGCAGACAAGCCCACCAAGAGACCAAGTCATTAGTAGAATCGAGAGAGCTACAAGCCGATAAGACGTACCGTGAGAAGCTAGAGCTTCTTGAGAACGACTACCAGTCTGCGGTGCATTACGTCAAGGGCACCGAGAAGATGCTTAAGCGTATGAAGGATGAGCTCACCAAATACAAGAAGCAAAACGAGCGTCTGCAGAGCGAACTCGATGTGGCTCAACGTTCCCAATCAGAGCGATCAATGGGCCCAGAGGCAGCTGCCGAATGGGAGCAAGAACGCCACTCCCTCCAGAAAGAGATCGAAGAGATACAGAGAAGTGTCAAGGATTCGCACTCTCAGCTCGAGGCCCAGATGGCGCAAGTCCGGTCCGAGCTCTACGCTGCTCAGCAGGAACGTGACCATTACCGCCAGAACAACGAACAAGCCCAAGAACAACTTGCACACACTACACAACAAGCGCGCTCCGAGCTCGACCAACTCAAGAACGAGAACTCCATGCTCGAAACGCGCGCCCTAGACGCCGAACAGAAAGTCACCCTCCTCCTCGACCAGGTCGGCACCTCCGTTGGTAACTACAGACGCCAGTCCCAACAACTCAACGGCCATGGCCACGCCCGCGGCCTCAGCAACGTCAGCACCACCTCCACCAATCCTCCCACCAACTTCAGAGGCGGCCACTCCTACACGAACAGCGCGGACCCCAGCATCATTTCTGCCAGCGGCAATACCGAAAACAACCGCAACTCCGTCGCCCTCGACAGCCTAGCCTCTGAACTCGAAACCCTCCGCTCCCACTGGGCAGATACGCATCGCACCTACCGTCTCAGCAACCAATTCGACTTTGAGCGCTCGACGCCTAACAGTGCGGTAGGCCAGGGAAACATGAGCGATAGTCTGGCGAATTGGCGCAAGAGGCTGGATGCCGAAGAGGCGCAGAAGGGGCGTGGTCTAAGGGATAGCTCGGAGTCTGAGCCGGATCATCTCAGAGAGAGCGGTGTCATTCGACCACATGAGAAGATGCCTGGGGGCTTGGCTGGCATCAGCAGTAGTGAGGATGAAGAGGAAGAAGAACGACGAGAGGGCCGTAGCAAAAGCTACGTTATCTGATGAGGAAGGGAGCGAACGGGTAGTGATGATACAGTACACGAGGGGACTGACCTGTTTCTTTTATATAGTGGGCCATGGCGTTGGATGATGATTGTAATCCTTTTGTGGCGAGACACGTTTCATAGTGTCCGTTCCCGGTCGAGACGTTGGCTACACGCCGTGGACCGTTTCGATACGCACGCTCTGAGCTTTGCAGATAGGAGCCGTTTTGCTACATAGTTGCTCGAGCCGGCCGGCTTTTCTTGCTTGCTCGCCCTGTAAAATTAACCCCGGCGATTCACACGATAGAATAGAAGTACACACACACACACACACCCTTTTTTGGGGCGGGGGCATCTTTCCACCTCCACCCCCGTCACCCTTTGGTTGGTTGGCTTGAAGTTGACCCAATTTGATGTTAACCACTACCATTGAGCTACCAGCTGCTATGGGTCCCACCTTTGGCCTTTGAAACCCTCGCCTTCCCATATTTGGCACAGATGCTGTCATATCATCTTATCTCGGCTTTTGGGCCTGTGTATCTATGTGTCTATTTATCTATCCATCTATCTATCTATCCTACCATCTATCCATCTATCCATCTATCCATCTATCCATCTATCCATCTAACCGTCCATCCATCCATCCATCCATCCATCCATCCATCCATCCATCAATCATCATCATCATCATCATCATCAATCATCCATCATCATCAATCATCATCATCAAGCATCATTATCAATCATCAATCATCAACCATCATCATCAATCATCATCATCATCATCAACATTATCAATGTAATTGCCAGATTATCGCCCTTACTTTAACCGGACCGCCTCCGTCGCGAGGGAGCCACATGCCGGGACGACGAAGCGGTACGGTATCCATACGGTATCTATCGCTGCTCCCTTCCTTCTTTCCTCCCTTCCTTCCTTCCTTCCTTCCTTCTCGCACAGATTTCCAAAGTCTGCATACGGTTGTTCCTTCCCACTCAATCAGATCGATATAGATTATTTTCTTCTTTCCGAGTGGGGGGGTGATCGACCCGCTCCGTCGAGCGGGACGAGAGGTTTTTCTTTTCTTTCCTTTCCGTCTGCTTGCTTCTACTTCCCTTTCTCAGATGACCTAAAGTATACAAGTCACGCGTGCACGCCATCCCCTGCTCCGAAAAAAAAAAGCAAAAACACCATGGCACGACCACGGCCCCTGCTGCTCCTCCTCGACTGGGACGGCACCCTCACCACCGCCTCCACCCTCCCCCTCCTCGCCTCCGTCGCCGCCCCGCGCGCCCCTCACCCCGCCCTGCCCGCGCTGTCCCGCGCCTACGCCCGGCACCTGGCCGCGCACGACGGCGCCTACCGCCCCGCGCGGCCGGAGCGGACGACGGTCGCGCAGGAGCTGGCCTACCTGGACGCGCTGCGGCCCGTCGAGGGGGCCAGCGTCGGCCGGGTCGAGGCCGCGGGCCTCTTCGGCGGGGTCCGGACGGGGGACGTGGACGCGGCGGCGGCGGACGCGGTCGCGGGGCGCGCGGTGGGGGTGAGGGCCGGGGCGGCGGGGCTGCTCGGGCGGGTGCAGCGGGGTGGGGGGAGGGTGGTCGTCGTGTCGGTCGCGTGGTCCCGGCGCTTCATCCACGGTGTGCTTTCCGGATGCGTGCGCCGCGAGGCCGGGGGGGAGGAGGAGGTGGTGATGGGGGATGTGGAGGTCAGGGCCAATGAGATCTTGGCCGACGGGTCGGGACGCTTGGATCGGGTCTTTGGCGGTGCGGACGGGGGGATCTGGACGGCGGGGGACAAGGGGCGGGTGATGGAGGGCGAGATCGCGGCCGCGGTTGTTGCTGGGGACCCGTCCGTGCCGAGGACGGTCTACGTCGGGGATTCGCCGACCGATCTCGCCTGTTTGCTCAAGGCGGACGTGGGCATCTGCATCCGGGACGAGGTCATGGGCGAGGAGCAGACGGGGTTGCGGGAGACGTTGGAGAGGGTCGGGGTGGAGTGTTTGCACGTCGGCGCGTTCGTGGATGACGGAGCGGAGGACGACGGTGGGAGGCTGTGGTGGGCTAGGGATTTCGAGGAGGTGTGGCGGAGTGGAGTGATGGGCGCGCTGCCGGAAGAGAGATCCGAGCACCGGGACCTACCAGCCCAGGAAAGCGTGCTGTGGTAGAGTGGAGAGCCGTGGCGAAAGGATCGGAGACGAGAGATTGCCGGATGATTTTCTGGAAAAATATGGTGAAATGGAAGACGTGTAGGCCAGGTCCACCAACGCTGTTGGTGGTCAAGGATTGTGGAAGAAGCGTCGTCTGCGGGTTTTCAAGATAGTACATAAAGTTGAAGCCGTGGACGAGACCATGAAATTGGGACCGTGGGTCGGAAGTATGGACTGGGACTACGAGCTGAAGCAGAAGGGGACACCAGAAGAGTATGGCTGATATCTACTGTTCACGCATGTTGGGGACTCATATCATGGCTCGTGATCTTTCTCGATTGAATAGAGTATCTAGATGAGCTCCGGGACAATCGATCAACCCGCCTGTGAGTTGAGAGGCTCATCCTCATAAGTGGGAAAGAAATTAGCAAAGCAAGCATAGCAGCAGCATTACAACCCCGGAAGCGGCTCTTTACCCATAACCCTAATTAAGCCATTCTGAAACCCTCCCGGGCGAGCCCAAGGCAAATGTCGCTACCAGCCAGTGAATGTACCAGTAGAGCCGTGAGATTTTCACCATATGAAAACATGCTTCCCCCAGTCGCTGCATCTCACAATCCCCCACTGCTATGCCGGCCGCTGAAACTCAATGATCCGTGTATGTTGACTCATATGAAAAGGTGCTGGTGCTGGTGATGGGGCTGGGTGCGTGTGGTGGTGTAAAAGGATCATTAGTGTAAGGTTAGGAAATTAAGCCACAGGTCGGTATTGCTGAGATCGACATTCCCTAGGGGAACTTCGAGGCAATTGCGTCCAGTACCGGTAAGCTCTGTCTATGCTTAAGCTTTGCCTGTAATTGATGCTGCAAGAGCCATCGCTAGCCAGCGGCGTGCCGTTCGTGCCCATCCATCCGGGAATTCGATGATCAAGCGTTCGAGAGTGTTTGGCGTGTTCGAACGGTCTGATCGACCAAAAATCCAGTGAAAGTGATGAAGGCCGAGACAAGGAAAGCCGAGCTAATAGAATGATATGAAACCGGTAATGGAAGAGTGCAAGCCCGATGGAGATATCCATGTGTGTCGTTGCAGATACCTAGAGGCTAATGGTGGAGACCCTCCGGTTATGGTGATGGTTGAAGCTGATCGGTAACGATGTCCACTGGCAGTGAAAGGAGAACCAACTTAGTCGTTACCTAAAGAGAGATATGATCAGTACCATCCACCGTCCCCTTTCTGTCCTCCCTGCTTCACACGGTAGACACCGTTGCTAGGTCTCGAGAACCCAGCACCAGTGACTCCCTTGGAGGCAGAGCGCAGCCTAACGTCGAAGACTATAGTATTAGTCAGAATTCGGTCTTCTAATCCTCCATGCCCAGCGTGATTCATCGATCAAACGTCAAAGGCAAAGGAGGTGGATTCCCTACCCAGGAACCAATGATTGGCAGAAACTCACATCCTGTCACTTCCTCCTACTGCACGGTTCGTATCAGGGGTGTCGACGCCCGGAGGACGCTCAATGACTTTACGTCTCTGGCTGGCAATGGCACCTGGTTTGCTAGCTGAGGATGTGTTCTGAGGGGGGTTAATGCCTGCAGTTGCGGCGTTCGTACCTCCGGCGTGACGACGAGCTGGCTTCTCTTCTTCTTCTTGCACAGCAGTCTGATTGTTGCTTGCCGCAATAGCTTGAGCATTCTTCTGATACTTGTAGACGGTCCAGTCAAACACGTAATCATACTGGAATCCTTCACGGACAAACAGGTCACGGAAGATCTTGCGGAGGTAAGAGTAGTCCGGCTTGTCATCGAAACGGAGGGAACGAGTGTAGTTCAGGTAGATGGCAAACTCGTTGGGAAATCCACGGCAAAGAACCTCGGTTGGAGTCGTCATCTTCTTTTCCATGATGCGGTCATACTTCTGCTTCTTGGTGGCAGCCTTCAGTCCCTGCCAGGGCAGAGAGCCGCGGCAGAAGTAGAGCATGACATATCCAAGGGACTCCATGTCATCACGACGAGATTGTTCTGGGAAACTGTTAGCCCCGATTTCCTGAGTGTGGGATGCTACTCTACTTACCAACTCCTAGATGAGTGTTGATGGATGCATAACGGGCAGTCCCCGTCAAGTTCTTGTTCTCACGGTATGGAATGTGAAAGTGCGTCTTTGGGTCACGGTATTTCTTTGCCAATCCGAAGTCGATGACATTGACCTGATTTCCACGCTTCCCAATCCCCATCAAGAAGTTGTCCGGCTTGATATCACGATGGATGAAAGATTTGGCGTGAATGTATTCGATACGGGAAATGAGCTGATCGGCGAGTAGAAGGACCGTCTTGAGGGAGAATTTGCGGTTGCAAAAGTTGAAGAGATCCTCCAAGCTGGGTCCGAGAAGGTCAAGTACCATAGCATTGTAATCGCACTCGGTTCCGAACCAACGAACGAACGGGATCCCGACTCCTCCGGCCAAGGACTTGTAAACCCGAGCTTCATATTCAAGTTGAGGATGCTTGGCCTTCACACTTTCCAACTTGATGGCAATTTCCTCTCCGGAAATGATGTTGGTGCCTAGGTGGGTCAGGTCAGTATCGACTCGGTACTACGGAAAAGGGCAGTCTGACCGAGATAAATATCACCGAAGCTTCCACTGCCAATCTTGCGGCCAATACGGTACTTGTTCCCCACGCGAAGATCCTAGAGACGCAAAAGTCAGTCACAGTCTCCAGTTTTGTCAGCTCATGAGGCAATATGGAGGTCCGCGAGGTGTTACATTTGCCTTTTGGGGGGCAACGGCTTGCAAGAATTGTTTGGGTAGAGCTGCAAGCCCAGAGACAGCGACACTGTAGACCATCTATCTCGAAGATATACAAGGGATGATGAGGAAACCCAGACGAAGTAGCCTCGACCAGACAACACCCTCAATAACAGAAGAAGTATACACACCATTGTAGTCATCTTGATGTTGCGTGACTGGTACAGTCACTGGATCCGATATGGTCAGAATCGTCCTGGTGAAGGGCTAGATGTCCAGGTGACGGAGGGTTCTGAAAGGCCGGGTCTTCGGGTTGACGAACGATCGTGTGGGGAGAGGTGAGGTGTAGAAATGGAAATTGCAAAAGTTCTTGGCCTAGGAAAGTGAGGTTGGTTAGTGATGGTGTTGAGATTTTGGTGCAGTCAGCAGGGCGGTGAGAGGGTGGAACGCGCCAACGAGGGATGAGTGGAGGCGGAGAGCCGTGTGGAGGGTGATGGTAAGGTAAGAAGATTGCTTGTAGATTAATGCAGGGGAAATGGATTGAGAGGTGGATCACGCACCTTCAGGGTCTGATGTGACAGGGAAGAGGAGGAGGAGGAGGAGGAGTTGAAGTTGAGGTCAAACGATCAAAGCCAAAGGCAGCCTTGTTGTGCTGTGCCGATCGGGGCTAGGCCACGCGTGTTATCCTTGACTGCACGAGGTGAAGAAGAGAAGAAGAGGGAAAAGTGAAGGAACGAGGTCCTGTATTCAACAGGGGAATGTGTCCCAAGAGCAGCTGAATGGCTTATGCAGTGGAGAAAGTGGGAGGTGTATAAAGTTAGTAAGTAGAATGGTGTTGGTACTTAGTCTGCATTATGGAAGGTTCAAGGCCTTCTAAGCCGGAAGGAAAAGTGCGCTAACGCCGCTTGCGGAATCACTGAGGGGACACGGGGGACAAAACCCTCACCAAAAGTACCTTAATTAACAAATGAATTCTACGGTAGCCTGAAATCAATGTAATAGGTGACTGCAAAAATAGATTTTCCAGTTTCTCTCTTCTCCATCAAATGGCCAGTACTATTGTTTACCAGCTGGCTGAGCCGTCGAGATGGGCTCGGTTTTACAAAGGCAGATTGCTACGTAAGATACAGTAGGTAGGTATGACGCCTCAATAGCACAGGCGGCAAACACGTATGTTTCCCAGGCACTGCCTCCAGAAGAGCGTCCAACCATGCATCTTCTGCCATGTCGAGCTGTTGATACCATACCTTCTCCCGCAGTCCTGACGCGTTAGGGGAAGGTCCGTGCCGAATCAAATAGAGGCACATCAGCCAGCTGCATGCAGCATTGCCCCTAGGGGGATTTACCCCGACCTCGGTTATGGCTCGCTAGGCATTGACACGTAGATACTATCTCCCTCAACGAGGCTTTTATTGAGCAACGGTATCCTCTTCTCTGTGGCCTTGGGGTTTGTACTGGAATGTGGTGGCACAATGGTAACAATGGTAGCCTGAAGTGCCCCTGAGATAAGAAAACAATGGCCCAACAAAGATCAGTGATCGGATCCGTAAGCACGGAGGAAGGCAAACTTCGGGGCTGAAGCACTGGTCGTCAGAATCAAAGTCTTGGAAGTTGAAGTGAAAAACAATGGCACAACGAGGCTCCGTGATCGGATTGGCGTGCTTGGAGAAAGGCGGAGCTCTCGGACGTTCTACTCATGATGCCAAGATGTGCTAAGCTGCGAGGCTACGGAGTGATGCATGCCCAAGTGCTAGCGAGGTCTGGGTAAATGCTGTCACTGACGGCCTTATATTCACGCAAAACGCTCACGTCAAACATATCAAGTCCTCCCTCTCCTTGCATCTCTGCATCTCATAGAATTGTAGCCGTTGGTGAGCCCATCACTGGCCTCATGGGTCACCGTTTGCCAAACAACACGACCCCAGCATCAGCTTCTTGAATCTCTGCATTTGCTCCATCTTCCCTCGCAAGAGCTTTCAGCAAATCATCTAGATCCTTCACCTGTTCCTTGCCCTCTGTCGTAGCTGCCCATCCTAGTCTTCGATGGACGCGGACCTTTCTGACCCTGCCGAACCCACTGTCATAGGCAATAGCTGCCCAAACATCGTAGGCCGTGAAAGTATCACAGTCCGCAGGATCAAAGCAATCGAGATCGAGTTGCCTCAGAGGGTATTGCTCACCCTTGTCGTTTTCTGAAAGCAAGAACGAGCGGCTGACAAAGTCGAGCGAGATTTTGAGGTAGAGAAGGTTCGGAACATGCTCCATGTAGCCACTAAGCGGCTTGTGGTCGTAGGTCAATGCTGGTATGGGGGCGACAATTTCAAGGTGATGTAATTGTGACCCTTTGTTTCTCAGTATGCTGCCAATGGAGACCATTGATAAATGGGGACAGTTCTCAATGCTGAGGCGGGAGAGGGACGGAGGTAGGGTGGTTAAAGACATCAATGGTCCGTCATGGATGCCTCCAGATATGTGAAGCTCGCGGAGTGTGGCTGGCCAGTTGCATATCAAGAGATCCCTAGCTGCGTCATGTGCCGATGATCGAGCTGTTAAATGTTGCGGAGTCAGCAGGGCCAATGCAAAAATGACTTTCGAGCCTTGCAACATGTCCGCAGAATTGAAATTCCCAAGACGGGCCTCAAGACCTAAATTCCGGTCCGGAAGAGAAGATCTGGTCTCTGAAAATACGTACGCAGATGTAGGCTTTCCAGCTTCGAAAGCAGGCTGGTTGAGCGCAAGAGATCGGTGATTGATATAGATTCGGACACGAAGGAGAGATCTAGGTGACGGAGGTTGGAGCATTTGGAGAGAGCTGCGAGGCAGTTCACCCTGCAGCAAGTCAGCGAAAGGAAATAGACTTCGCACAACAGGCCTTTCGCATTCAGACCAACAAGCGCCTCAGATGAAGTGCAACACATACGCAAATGATGCTTGCGGCGCCACAAACTCCTCTAACCTCGTCTTGACTCTCCCAAGCAGCCTAGCTGTCAGACTCTTGCTCCCATTGTGTACCAGACTGCTCATATCCAACCTCCGCACTAACTCTGCCAGCCCGTTGCGCCGTATATGAGCATTGACCGAAGGGCATATTGCTCGAACGAAGGCGTTGAAATTGTTTCCGGTAATCATCGGATTCTCATAGAGGTAGACTATTGAGGCCGAATACCATGATCGTGAGGTTAAGGAGCAGGCGTGGAGTGTTTTCTGGTTTCCGGCGAGGTAAGAGAAGATCTGCTGGAGCACCTCTTGGGGGAGTTGGTCCTTCATATCAAAAGTGTCAATGTTCTATGACCCTTCATGCACAGCGCTGTTGCAGGCAAGTCAAACAGCTACGGTTTGGAGGCTAACAAAGAACGCCAACATATAAAGTGTTTATCGATAAGAGCCTTGGCATCCCTCGATGTTTTGAGACATTCCTCCAAGCTTCGGTTTTTTACCACAAATACCACGAATTATTCTAGATTCCAAGTCTCGAGATGAGCAGTGCAGGCCTCAATGGCAAAATTCTGCCTAGGCCGGAGGCCTGCCACCATTACCCCTTGTCTTTGTCCCTCTCCAAACCTACTACGCCTCCGATATCTCAAGCAATTCCCTCGCTTCTTACAGACATCCATCGCAAACGATCAGCCCAAAATCCCCAGTTTTGCATTCGCATTTGAGTATAGAATCCCTCGAACCAGACTGTTGAGGACTGCTTACATCTTTGCAGCATCGACGGTGTCCTCCTCCGCTCCTCTCAACCCCTTCCTCGCGCCCACCGCGCCCTCTCCTATCTCCAAACCCACCGCATCCCCTTTGTTCTCCTCACCAATGGCGGCGGCAAGTCAGAACAGGAGCGCGTGCAACAGATAAGCCAGCTCCTCGAAGTGCCCCTCGATACGTCAATGTTCGTGCAGTCTCATACGCCTTTCGCGGAACTGGCGAATGGCCACGGCAAGGAGAACTTGAAGGATAAATGTATACTTGTTGTAGGAGGAGAGGGCGATAAATGTAGGAGAGTTGCTGAAGGGTGAGTACGTCAACCCCTCCATTCCCTTGCATTCTCAATTTTAATTGTCTCATAGATACGGCTTCAACAATGTCATTATCCCTTCCGACATCATTACGGCTTATCCCACCCTCTGGCCATTCGTCTCGCTCGACAGCCACAGACCTTTTGCGAGGCCATTGGCCCAGAGTGCCTACTCCAATCAGCAGTCTTCAGGCCATCCCACAGTCAAAGTCGACGCCATAATGGTGTTCAACGACCCTCGCGACTGGGCTCTCGATACCCAGCTAGTCCTCGACCTCCTCTTATCCATAGGTGGCCACTTGGGCACTCTCTCGACCAAAAACGGTGATTCGAATTTACCAAACCGAGGCTACCAGCAAGACGGACAGCCCGAGCTGTACTTCTCCAACCCGGATCTTTTTTGGGCAGCCTCATACCATCTCCCGCGTCTCGGCCAAGGCGGCTTCCAGGCTGCTTTGGAGGGCGTCTTCAACGCTGTTACCGGCGGCCCCGAGAACGGTGTGCAGTTGCACAAAAACTTATTCGGGAAGCCCACGCAAGGGACGTTCGCATTCGCGGAGAATAGACTCCGACAGCACAGGACTGCCTTACAAGGAGGCGACGCAGGCAAGTTGAGGAGCGTGTACATGGTGGGAGACAACCCCGAGAGCGACATCAGAGGGGCCAACGATTACAAAAGCCCCACGGGGAGCAAGTGGGACAGCATCCTCGTCCGCAGCGGCGTCTACCGGGGCGGAAAGCCCGCACACGAACCCAAAGTCGTTGTGCAGGACGTGTGGGATGCGGTCCGCTATGGGCTGCGAAAGGAGGGTGTAGATACCGATGAAATGGGCTGATTGATTGGATAGCAGTATAGTACTGTATATGTCTATTTTTTGGGAGATGGGGGAAGAGAGACTCCGACTGAATTAACACTCAGGTTCGACGAGCATGTATACCGCCTAGAAGACACTGCCTGTAAGGAGTAGAGCCATCTGTATCTACATACTCTGCCCATTATCATATATCCAAATGCCCTATAGAAGGATCAAGCTACTTGAATCCGGAATCCGCATGATTCGCAGCAAGATGGCAGACAGAATCTGCTCGAGGACGCCGCTGAAAAAGGGAAAACTACGCGTTATCATATCAGGTCATGCTTCCCGTCGAAAGTCACTGCACAAGGGGCACAGGTGAATAGTAATACAGGTTGAATTATCTACAAGAAGGGAAAACCTTTCCGATGTTTTAGGAAGAATAAAAAAAAATCGCACGCTGAAGACGAAGGGAAGAGATATTAGATCGGCATTATGCCACGCCTTTCCCACCCGGCAAGGGATTTATGAGTATCGGTCTGTGTAATGAGGTCAGCGGGTATCCAGGATGTGACTATGGGTGGTTCAAAAAGGGGATCAGATTCATACCATAAAAACGTTTCGTAAAAGCTCTCCGCCGTAGAAAAAAGAAAAGATTCGACATTGCGGTATCGAGACCTTGAAAGTTGAGCTACATCTATCGTACTGTTTACGTCAGTATGTCTTGAATGGCTGGGAAAGACAGGGAACATACCATAAAAACGAACCACATTTCAATTCCTCCCCCAAGCACGACCTCCACTACCACCACGTCCACCGCTGTCACGTCCACTGACTTCACCACGAGCGTGATCTCCGCGACGGCTAGCACTTCCTTGGGTCGGGTCCTCGTACTCGCCTTGCTCGCGACGTGGATCTCTGCCAACCCTCGCTGGAGGGGCAGTAGCGAACCACTGGGGGTCGAAGAACGTGTGGTCGTTCTTGGCGTTATGGTCGATCGCGTAGGCTGGAGGAGGAGCGTAGTGGTTCATGTAGTCATATGGGCCATTCATGCCGGCCATGAGGTTGCTGTAGACTCCACCGAACATCGCTTCTATCGCTCGTGCGTCATCGTCAAGGAACTCGCGGGCTGAGCGCACCATCCCCTCTGTGTCATTGACTGAAGTAACGCCGGCAAGGGTGGAGAAGGGAGCTTGAGTTGCAGCTCGCGTCGGACCATGATTGCTAGGTGGCGTGGTGAATCCAGGTGGACGACCGTGACCAATAGGTCTTGGGGTCGCGGCTTGACGAGCTCGATCGCTGGGGTCGTCATCCTCGGAATTGTCTGCAAGTTGACTGACGGTACGAGGAGCTGCGTCTTCGAGAGGGAAACGTTCCGGATTCATTCTATTCATTGTCTGACGAGGAAGAATCGCCGCCGCGTATGAGAGATCGCGAGGATCAGTGCGGAACCATGTGGCTGCCTCTTCCAAGCGTTGCTGAGGGTTTCGTTTGGGCGGGGCCCCTTTGGCGATCTCATTCATGAACGCGTTGCCAGCGCCAATGGCCGCAGCCGGGAGTCCCGCATTCTTGGTGTAGGCAGCGGCATCGTGGCCAAAACCGGGGGGAGCCGCAGGAGCTCGATAGGGCTCACGAAGACCAGTAATCTCAGTAGCTGCAGTGGCGCGCTCAGGGCTTTTGAGCATGTCACCCGCATAATATTGCAAGGGTAGATGGTCGCTCTCACCGAGCGCTGCTCTCCCTTGGCGACGACTTGTATCTGGTCTTGGCTTCATGAAAGCCGGATTCGTTGTGACCGGACGCTGTGTGGTAATGGACTCGTAGCTAGGAGCTTGAGCCCGAAGCGTAGATCCAGTGACAGTAGTATCTGTGACCGTAGACGAAGGCCTACTTGAAGGCTGGCGATCTCGGTGAGGATCATTCATCACAGTCCTAGCAGATCCTGTAGGCCCTTGGGAAGATGCAACGACCGTGTCGAGGTTTTGCCTCAACGCTTCTTGATTTCGTCTCATAGTCAGGCCTGAGCCGGTATAGGCGGCAGGATCTCGAATGGGGACTGCGTGAGATAATCTGCCAGAAGGCGGCTGGACACCGCCTTGTGTGGGACGACGGCGTTGGTCTTGAGCAATCTTGCCAGTGTAGTCTTCCAGCGACAAGCTTTCAAGTTTTGGTTCTTGTAGAAATTCCTTTTGCTGATCAATGGTGCCTCTCACAGCTGGCAGTCGTACGGACGCACGAGGTTTACTTACAAGTTGTTGTTCGAATGCTGCGCGGAGCTCATGCGGACCTGCTCCAGGGTTCTGGTCACGATTATTGACGAAAGCTTGTTGCTCGTAGGCCGACTGCTGGCCACGATAGGGGGACATTCCAGCATTCGGAGCATGTGTAACTTGCTGAGCGTTTGAGAGGAACGACGACGCACTAGGATCTGAGGCATAAGTAGTGAGTGTTGGCTGATGTCCGTAATCCGGCGATTGACCATAGACCGCTTGTTGTGCTGCATATTCGGCGTATTTAGATGGCTGATTACGCCCATAGTGCTGAATGTGTGTGGGTTGGTCCTGGAAAGGATCATCGAGGTATTCTTCGGATTGCTCTTGCTTAGCTAGTTCTAGAGCTCGGTATCGAGCTTCTTCTTGATCCATGTATCGCATCTTGCGTTGGCGCTGCACCATGTCTGGATCATCGTATTGAGTGTCCAGATTGATGTTTCCAGATGGGGACTCCCTCGTAATCTGACGAGCTGTAGACGGCGGTGGATCAGTTGGCATGTATGGGTTGGTGTAAGGGCGACCACTCTTTGTGGTGGTGACAATAGCATGAGGATTGTGAACATCCTGGCTCGCGTGTGAATTTCGTGAAGAGGACTGACGAGATGATTGCTGGCCAGAGTGGCCACCGCGAGTGGACTTGTTTGTTGGGGTCTGAGTGGCCATGTTGGCTTCGGGTAAATCAGGATCCCACTGATTAGTCTCAAGGTTGAAGGTGGCTGTTGGCAGGGTGTCTGAAAGTGGCAAAGATCGGGGTGCGGAGTAAGCTTTGGGCGATGCTGGACGATGAACTTGACTGCTTGCTTGCGAGCTTTGTCTGTGCGCGGCAAGCGAACCGTTGGCCTTGCTCTCGATCTCACGGTACGGGTCAAGAATACGTTGCTGAAAATCTTGAGGTGTAAAAGGAAAAGCCGCTTGTCCGGAATTTTTCGACCCTCGTCTATCAGTGTTGATCAAGGCGGTTAAGCTCTTCGCAAACTGGCCGTACTGTTGAGAAGCATCTAAATGGCGAGCCGGGAGCGGAAAGGAAGGTTGAGTCTGTCCAGACACTTGTGAGCTTCGTCTGTCGGTGTTGACGGGGGTGTAGGAGTTATGATTCAAGCTATGACCTTGGAGCTGGAATGAATTATGAGCTTGTCTAGACGCTGGTAGTGAGCTTTGACTATGTGGGTTGATCGTGGCGCTAAAATGTTGAGTCGAACCGTAATACTTGGGGGGAAATGAAGAATGGACTTGTCCAGAGGGTTGCGAGCTTAGCGTGTCTTGTTGGATCAAGGCGCTGAAGTCTTGACTTGAGCGGTGATCTTGTGCGGGCGGAAAAGAGGAGTTAGCTTGGCCAGACGCTTGAGAGCTCCGTCTGTCAGCGTAGCTGGAGCGGATGGGGCTCGGAAGTTTCGTGGCGTAATGAGATGGGCCAAGCTCGTCGCAGTGAGGTAGATCAGGCTCGTGGGAGCCACGTCTGTCAGGGCTTGGGTTGTCCAAGTGGTTGAGGATCCTGTCGTCAAGCTCGGCCTCGATATGATGAGGGCGTTCGGGAAGTTGAGAGGATGAAAGTGTGGTGGGTGATGGAGGACTGAAGAGTGGGTGAACGGATGAAGTTGACGCGGGTTCCGTCACTTTGTTTTCGCCTTCCTTTTCCTGGATTTCTTGGAGCTCGCTTAGCTTATGTGTCTCATACTTCTTGCCTCGACCACGCCGCGTGAATTTATACGTTCCAAGGCTGACAGCCCCTGACAGATCAGGAATTTCATCGTCAATGGACTGCATTTGGGCGGCTCGTCGTGCTCTGGCAGCGTTCAATTCGGCAGCGCGTGCTTTCTGATAGCAACAAGGAATCAGCGTTTCCTCTCCATGTCGGTATCCGAGCCCTTAAACATTTTGCAGTGGACCACTCTTTCAATATGCAACAAGACTGCAAATCTGAGACGGAATGGGAAATTTGGGCTCTGAAGACACATACCTGTGCAAACGACGCTCCGTCAGATGCGTTGGCTAGGTTAACTTGCCAATTGTACGGGTTGGGGTGAGAAGACACGTTGGCTTCTGCTTCCTCTGAAAATGACGGCTTCTTAAAGGTGAACGGGTTGGTCCGTTGCATTCTTTGTTCTGGGGTCTCTTCCACAGGGGGCTTAGGAATGATCCGAATGTGTGAGAATGGGCCATTTCTTGCAGCCAAGTTCGAAAGGTCGGGAGCGGGTAGTGGGATACCGGAGGAAACACTGTTTGTAAAATTGGCGTCGCGTGAGTTGTGTTCTTGTGTTTCTCAAGAACGTCAGCAATCTCTTCTTTGGTCACGATGCACGCCTTGATGTCTCACTGATAATACCTTCGAGAAGGGCTCGAGACTCACGACGAGGTCGTCTACCACCGTGGCCTTCTCCTAGCGGAGGAGGAGTCATAGGAGGTTCTTTCTCCCGAGCAGCTAGCTTGTTAATCGGTCTTACTAGATGAAGAGCTTCAGCTCCAGTTCATTCCCGATCAACCGCCCAACTTCGTAGGCCTGGACCAACGAGGCAAGAGCTTGCAAAGTAGGGAAGGAGCGACGCAGATGTGCTAGGATGGTGTTCGATCCAACTGAATGAAGGAGATCGAGCCCGAGCTCACTCAGAGCCAAGCCCTCAGCTCAGCCTGCGTGGAAGGAGGACGCTGGGACCGTCAAGAAAGGAACGAGCGATGCAAGAGCGATGGTGGACTTGATGCTATACAGCAGTAGGTACAAGCCAACGGCTTACAGCATGAGGAACAGGGCTGGAAGCATGGTTATTGGGTTGGGTGCTTGGTAGGGGGTCGGTGGGAAAGGTGAGCTCAGACACACTTTGAGAACAACAATTCCTTTTCGGTTAGTGGTGCCGTTCATCACAACTTCACGTTGAGTGCGCCGAGGTCCGAAGTACTAGCGGATGATCAACACTGTACTGGGAGAGGAGGTTTATTAAGTCCGGGGAGGTGGAACTAGGCCTAGGGCTCTCACGACATGAGCCTGTCTTTGTCAGTCGCATCCACTACTACAAGCCATACTTGTTCAGTCATTGTGAGCATATTCATGGTGCCTGTCAGCTGCATGTGGATTGAGATTGACGTTCCAAGCTTCTCTGGAGGAGATTAGAAGGTTCCATGCATACGCTGAACAAACGAGCTTAAGAACAAGGGTATGCAGCATGGCAGTCCGCATCCTTCCAGAAGGGTATCAAAGAGAGCACTGGATATACCAATGGCTGCAGCCCCTGCAGTGGACGTCCAGCAAACTGTTTCCCACAGCATCTGGCCATCCTTCCTCACATCAGAATCACGAACCCGCGTGGCAAATCCCAGCCATAGGCTCATCGGTCCATCCTCCCTCAGCCAACAAGGGTGTCCAATTTTGAGATTGGCCCACAGATAGAATATATCTCCTCTTTCGTTCCGTAGGCTCGTTCAGGCTTCAGAAGCTTGGCTACCGAAAAGGCATCAAAAATAAGCGGGGCGGTACGCTTGACGATACAGAAAGTTTCGGTGCCATGACTCCAGCTATCCACACTTCAGCCGCATCCTACTGTCCCCTCATGATTCTTATGCTGATTGCATACCGACTAGTCGTTCGGGTTCGGAAGCCATGTCCCGCTTTCGCTCACACTTTTCCTTCAAGGCGCAGCTTCTCTAGCACGTTCCAAGTGATCCCTACGCCTCTCCGGAGCTGAGAGCTAGAATTTCAGGCCAGCGAGCCTGGAGTTCTCAAAGCCTGCAGCAGTAGAGCGGAATCTCGTTGCAGTCCAGCTCCATCTCGAGTGTTGCGTTGCCGAGATGAAACTCTCTCCTCAACACATGCAACGCAGCCCAGACAGGCACAAAGAGCTTCTCGGCATGTCAGGGTACTTGGCAAACAAGTCCTGTATTGTTGTCTCGGGGTTCCACAGAAGGAGAAGTGCGGTCAAGTCGGAGAGCAAGAAGCCTCGGCAGAATGCTCGCTGTTTCGTTGCGGTCACGGACCCTTGACTGACGGAGTCAATCTACTGTATAGAAAATGTCGTTAGCAATGATCATCGAGGCGGAAGACAGGCGCACTCTTCGTTCTCCAGTGTCAAATCTTAGTGTGACTGCTGGTTTGAAGCATCTCTTCTCCGCCTATGGTGCGCTGACAGCACCTTTTAAGACGCATGAAAAGGGCCCAGGCCAGCAAAATGGGATTCTCTGAACAACGACTCGCCTAAATCATATGAGTCAGACAACAGATGATGATCGGGGAAGCATGAATGAAGGGAGTGGAAGAATCTGCAATGGAATGAGGTCGGAGATGGCGAGTCAAGCATTGCGCCAAGCCGGATGAGCCCGAATCATGAATCTACTGGCCACGGCGACAGCATATTAATATTTTCGATGATTGATGGACATGTCATGGACAACGTCCAAGGTTCAAGAGCACGACAGAGGATAGCTGGCCCGGAGAGTACTCTCTTGTTTTGGTCTTGATTTACAATTATGAGACGATCAGAGGGAAGAGAATGGCTTCCGAACCTGGTATTCACAACTGCACAAGGATTTTGCCTGATGCAATCATGCATTTTGACCGTATTTCTCTTCCAACATGACATAAAGAGCATCATTTCTGCCATGAAATTGTTAATCTCGAAGCCTCAAAGGCAAAGATAGCCCTCAGAAAGGCTTCGGGGTCCTGTACTGTAGATCTGTGGCTGTGCATGTACGCCTCTACGCCACACCTTTCGCACGTGAGAGTGACATCAGTGAAATGGTGGGGCGAGATTGCCCCGCTCATGCCAAGTTATCAGAAAGCTGAGCTTGTAATTTATTGTTCTAACTTGATTCCTTGATAGTAAACCGGTAGTGTAGGCATGTGACGTCTGAATCGAATGAGAAAAAGTCCCTGCCAACTTTTCACTTTTCACTACTTTACCTTGTACCAGCTCAGGGAGTACCTACCTTAGACCCTCAATTCGTAGTTAGTTCGTACGGCAAGCAAAGCGCACATCTTTATTTACCCACCTATTTCTACAACTACTTAAGACCCCGCCTTCATCCTGCTTCACCAAATCTTTTTCATTTCAACAACTCTCAAACCTCGAACCTCGTACTCAATCTATCACCTCTCAACCAACTCACACGTCCAACTTCATTTACAATTAACTCTTCAATAAACACTTCACACCGCCAACATGTCTGGACTCATGCACAAGGTCAAGGATGCCCTTCAAGGCGGCCACAAAGATGGTGAGTTCCCTCTCTTGAAAGCGTCACCATCGGCTACTAATCTCATCACTCCAGAGAACGCAAAGCTCGAGCATGACGGGCTCCAGGGAGACCACGGCAGCCAGTCCGGCGTTCATGACACTCCCGTCTCAGGTTCCGTTGCTCACGGTGACTCCATGTCGCCTACAAACCCTGGCGTCCTCAACTCCACCAAGCGTGGTATCCACGGTGACCGTGACACCGGCACATCTGGTACTGGCCTTTCGAACCAAGAACTCACTGGACAGACCGGGATCGAGGGTGAGTCCGGCTCTGTTGCCCACGGCAGTTCCATGTCTCCTACCAATCCTGGTGTCCTCCATTCCACTAAGCCTGGCATCCATGGAGCGAGAGATGCCGGGACTGGGAGTACAGGCCTTTCCAATGCTGAGCTAATGCAAGACTCAGGTGCAGGCTCTGGAATCGGCTCTGGTACTGGCTCAGGTTATGATAGCACTTTCCGGGATACTGGCCTCGGTAGCGGCAACAACGCTGGGCCTCAGTACACCGGGACAAGCGAGCGTGACACCGGCCTTGTTGGCTCTGGCGTCGACACTACGGGCCGTGGCACCACTATGGATGAGTCCTCAATGAACGCGGGATCCGGATCAAGCTACAACCCCAACGACCGTAGCAGCACTGGTCTCGACGGTCAGGATGTCTTGACCGGCTCCGGCTCAAACACCCGCGACACTGGTATAGTGGGAGGTACGGGCTCCGGCTACGACTCAAGCTCTCGCATGGACCGTGATAACACGGTTACTGGCTCCGGCCTCGGTGGTGACGAGGGCATGATTGCTGGGGGCTCAGTTCCTCAAACAGGCTCTGGATACGACACGAACACCGGCGGTGCTGACTTGACTAGCGGAGGAACAGGGTCCGGCTTGACTGGCAATGACTCCGGCTTGGGCTCTGGCTACGACTCAAACACTCGCGATACCGGTATCACCGGCGAGGGATATTCTGGAGCGGGCTCAGGCTTGACAGGTGGTAGCTCCGGCTACGACTCAAATACTCGCGATACCGGTATCACCGGCGAGGGATTGTCTGGAGCGGGCTCAGGCTTGACAGGTGGTAGCTCCGGCTACGACTCTAATACTCGCGATACCGGTCTCACCGGCGAGGGATTGTCTGGAGCGGGCTCAGGCTTGACAGGTGGTAGCTCCGGCTACGACTCTAACACTCGCGATACCGGTCTCACTGGTGAGGGGATAACCGGCACAGGCTCAGGAATGACCGGTGGTGATTCCGGCTTCGGTTCCGGCACCGGCTCAAGCGGCCGCACGGGCCTCGTTGGTGAGGGCGAGCGATACGTCGAGGGTTCCGAGAAGCACCACCATGGAGACGGGCACCCAGAGGACATCGTTCACCCCGGTCACCACTACACCGAGACCGCCAACGCTCTCGACCCTCACTTGAACTAGGCCGGGGAAAGCGGTCTGATTGATACTCGCCATGTCAGCACATTTGCGGGTGCGAAGTCAGGATACTTGCTTGCTTGCTTGCTCGAGCTGGATATCGAAAAGGGATGGAAGGAGCTTGATGGAAAAGCAGTCGCATTGCGGTATGCAATAGCCCGCCTGTAAATAGAAATGCGAAACGAGCATGAGCATATCAATGATTCCCCTTCTCGAAGAGTCTTACCGTCCCGATTGGATTGAACACTCTACATACTTCTGACCCGCTCGTGATGGAGCAAGTAGAGTCGTGATTAATAATAGGCTTCTCCGGCTTTGCGATTTGCTTGTTCTTGTTCATGTCATGACTGAACGAAGCTACTGCTAATATACTTGATGTGCTGGCGGAAAGGGAGTGTGAATCCATGTATTCCAAGCCATACAGACCTGCTTCTCTCCCCTTCTCTAGCCTCAAATCCCCAGACGAAAGCCAAAGCAAGCCATGCGATCCTCCCCAAGCGACCCAACCTCTGTCATCCTGCCTGCTCCACACCTCGGCCTTTTAACGGATCCCGTCAAGTTCGCGCACCGTTTGACACGTTACCCAACTCCGCCCCAGGGGCAGCGTCGTAGACGTCGGTGAGGTCCTCGGTCTCCTTCTGCGATACCTCTGCGGGTGAGAAGCCGGGCTCTTTCCGTCCGCCTTTCAACGCGGACATCCTCCGATGGCGCCCTTGTCCAGCCGTGTGGTTTCCCGGACTGGCCTTGACGCCGTCCGGGTCGTAGTGATCGGCTTCTGCGCCGGTTACGGTTCTGGCCGCGCCGTGAGTCTGTTGATCGCTTGGTTGCAGGTGGACGGTGGTTGGAGGCCGACTGCCGTGGATCTCCGGGTCGAAATGTTCCTTCTCGTGCTCGTCGAAATCGGCACCGGGATTCGCGGTTTCGTATTCGAGCATCTTCATGAACCGGTAGAAGCCCGAGGCTAGAAGCGAGCCGAGGATGGGCCCGAGCCAGTAGATCTGAGTGTCCCGCGGGTCAGTGTCCGTTGTCAATTGCAGGGACAAGGGCGGCATACCCAATGATAGTGGTGAAACGTATGTAAGACCACCTCAGGGCCGAATGATCGAGCCGGGTTTACTGACCCGCCGGTGTAGAAGACACCTGAAGCAGTCAGCAGACACAGAGGTTGGGTCCATTATTGGGACCGGACCAGTAAGTTCAGCAATGAACAACGACAAGCCAATGCCAACGGGCGCTATGAAGGTTGCCTTGTGCTTCTCGGCCGCAAGCATGAAAATGGTGAAGACTAGTTGAGCGGTAAGGAACATCTCGATGAAGAGACCCTGGGTAATCGAGGTGCCTATCCTGAGCGCGGTCCGGACGTCCAGTGGTCCTGGAAATAGCACGCTGACGACCGCGGCCGCAGAAATGGCACCGAGGATCTGTGACACCGCGAGAAGCACGCCGCGTATATATGGCAATGCCCCGACGAGACACATTCCGAGTGTGACGGCAGGATTGAAGAGCCCTCCAGAGATGCGAAAGAAAACCCAGGCGTTGACGGCCAGAGAGAAGCCGAAGCACAAGCTGATGTACAGGAGTTGGGCTGGATTGGAAGCCTGAGCAACAGTAGTGGACGTCTGAGGTTTCGCTTGGGTGTTTGCGACTTGGGTGCCGGAGAAAGCGAAGAAGAGGAATAAAAAGGTGCCGATGAACTCTCCGCACATGGCAACGAAATGAGAGCGAAAGTGTCTGGGTAGGTATCTCAGGATTGGAAGCCGATTGACGATTGTGGAGTCAGTCCCCTGCCTGTGTAGCTTCCTGGCCCTTCCCGGAAGCACGAAGCCTGCGGCTAGAGGTTCGTCAATGTTCATGATTGTAGGATGTAGGTTTGCGTAATGCGGTAGGATGTAGGATCAATGAAGTTATCCAGGACACTGGAAGAAGAGACTGGGAAAGTTGATTGAGCTTCAAACATAAAGAAGCCGTTGGCAGGAGGCGATGAGACACACTGCCCGCAGAAAGGAAAGCGGTACCTGTCGCTCATGCCGCGCCTTCCTTATGCTCCAGCACAGTTGCTGGGCTGGTACACTGGCGCTCATATTCAACCAAATTCCATCTTCTACGAGCTACCGTTTAGTAGCAGCGAAGGGTGCGAAGACAATGAACAGCTCTTCGCAACGCTGCCTTCTGCTTTCTGACACATCCCACCGTTTTCATACTTGACCATTTGTATGGTGATGGAGTGATTAGCGCACGTCAGCGGTTGAAGTTTCTCAGCAACGGGTATTTGAGAGTTAAAGGTTAGATGTCTAAGGTAGCTACATCCATCCGAGTAAAGTCTCTTGTACACAGGATGCCCTAGGCTTTTGATCATAGATGTTGGCAGGACATGTTGTTTGTCTGGACTCTTGTGGTCGGAGACCTACTCGTAAAGCATGTTGCCTAAGGACCATTGCTACTTGAGTTATGCAGCTTTGCTAATGTAAGGTATAAAGCACCGAAGACGCTAAGATATGTAAACAAAGGACATCTTTGACCATGACGTGATTGATCCTAGATTTCTGAAAAAAAGCTTAACCAGCTTAACCAGCTTGGACAAAAGCAATATTGGCTAGCCTCATTAGAGTTAAGTACCCGAGCCGCCATCGTAGCCTTGGCACTGGCAGCATGATCACACTCACTCCGACATCACAGTCTCCTAAGCACTCCTGACCATTATCACTGAAAATTCTACTGCATGAAGAGGCCTGCTTTACGTAAAATTTCCCTATCTCTATGGACGCTGTATTCCGCCATCCTTGTTTGGCGGCAGTCTGAGCGTTTATCCAACTTTTGAGTAGGCACGCCTTCGCTCCAAGATGCCTCCCCACCATCTGATTTTGGTATTCTTGTGCATTGTCGGCCTACCGACTGTCTTGACATTCTTTTCCCTCCTACATTCAAATCCAAGGGGCCAGATAGCAACAGAATCAACCTCCGACACGCCAAAAAGTGGCCTCCGCGCTCTGTTCTCCTTCCACACGCCGTCTACTCTCTTCCCGCCTTCAGCCATCATCAGCCTCACAGACGACAACTCAACATTCTTCCTTGCTCGACCTGCCGATTTTGGCCCTTCTCTTTCAGGAAATGGCCTGAGTGGGCAGCTTTGGATCGGCAGCGGTTTTGGTGATGATAATTTAGGAAGAGGAGGCCCTGGCGCAGGCGCAGAAGGCGAGCTTGGGTGCAGCGATGTACCCGGCTGGGAAGGCGGCATTCAGCAGCATCGTAGAGATACCAGCGCCGACCAGACCTCTGTTGCTCACAGTGGCGACGAGGCCAATGCTGCTCAGCAGAAGAATGGTGGGGGTTCACCACTCGAAGTAGTATCCGACGATGCCGAAGAGCCTTCTGAGGCTGACGGCACTGACGACCACCTACACCACCCTCTCCCTTCATCACCCGTCTCGAAGCCTTCGGGGCCCGGACGACCTGCTCAGCACCAGGCGGCTCAAGTGGGGCAACCTTCTACACATGCAGATATACAGTCGCTGCAGGAAAGTGCTGAGATATCCGGAAAGATTGTATTGCTGAGTCGCGGCGGCTGTGGTTTTTTGGAAAAAGTCAAATGGGCACAGCGGCGAGGTGGCAGCGCTCTCATTGTGGGTGACCATACCCGCGGTGGCGCACTTGTCACAATGTACGCACGAGGAGACACATCCAATGTCACGATTCCGTCGCTGTTCACGTCACATACTACTGCTCATCTGCTTTCATCCCTCATTCCTCCTGAGAGCCCTGTGGATGAGTCTGAATCAGAGGACACAATAACTGGACCAGGATCCAGTGCTGGTGCTAAGAAGGAGGGTTCAAAGACTAGAGCTGACGTTGACGGACCTACCTTCACACCTGCGTCCGGTCCAAAGTCGACCTCAACACCGTCGAGATCTTCTAAGGGAAAGAATGCGAAGTCTTCGGGAAAAAACGGAAAATTGCAGCCAAAGGAAAAGCCGAGCTGGCTAAGATCCCTCGCGTCTAGTCTGGGAATGGGTAGGGAGAATTATGCTCCTGGAACGCTGGAGGACAGTCGGCGACCGCCAAGCAGTGGCCGCCTCGACTGGTTTAGTGAGAAACTGACTGACGAATCACCCAAAGAAAAAGCGACGAACTCAAAAGAAAAGAATGGGAAAGCTAAAGGCCAAAGCAAAAGCGAGCCATTCGGAAAAGTCACCAAAGATACCAAGAAGTATTCTTCACATCCCGGTTCTAGCGATGATTTTGTTATTGGCGTTCAGGATTGGCGCGACCCAGATCTTGTAGCAGCGAAGCCTTCCGCCAAAACGAAGAGCACTACGACCACTCGAGCTTCTGCAGCAACTCCCGTGCCATCGAAAGGATCTGGGAAGGCGGGTGATTCAGCCGATGAGAAGCCAGGAAGCGCCCTAACAGGTGGCAGCATCACGCCAGGTAGTGGACAATACAACAAGCCAGGAAACAAGGCCGGAACTAGTGATCAATCCCAGAAAGCTGCAGCGAAAGACGAGAGCAAGAAAATTGCCACCGGTTTGAAGAACCAAGCTGCAGCACAGGAAGCCAGTGTCAGCCAGCTTGACGCCGAGTCGGATGAGGAACATGAAGGACTGTGGGTCACTCTAACCCCAACGACTATGTCTACAAGCCCTTTTTTCGATACGCTGCTCGTTCTAGTAGTAAGCCCACTAGTCACTTTGACAGTTGTCTACGCTCTCCTGCTATTGCGTTCAAGGATCCGTCGACGGAGATGGCGAGCGCCGAAATCTGTGGTCGATCGTCTTCCAATACGGACATACCATACCATGTCCTGCACTTCTACCACTTCGTCGACGCGGTTTGCTTCGCCTCAAAGCTCTTCGCCGACCTCTCCTCTCCTCCAGACGTGTCCTCGGACTGTCACAGCTCGTTCGAGACCACGTTCAGCGACGGCATCGGGTATTGGGGACGCTGTCTCTGCGTCTCTGGAACGAGCTAGTGCAAAGGTATCCACAGCGCAGCTGGAGAAAGGCGCCAGTCTGATTAAGCCTCACAAGAAATACAATGGCAAGCAAGTCGAGTGTGTGGTCTGTCTTGAGGAATATGTGGATGGTGAAAGCAGAGTGATGAGCCTACCGTGTGGCCATGAGTTTCACGCCGAGTGCATGTAAGCAACCTACGCCTTTTCATTTACCTAACTGTGTACTGACTGATTGCTAGAACGCCTTGGCTTGTCACTCGCCGCCGAACGTGCCCTATCTGCAAAGGGGACGTCGTTCGCTCGATGACCAATCCACCCTCGAGCACTACCACATCTGCCGCTCACACACCATACCACGACAATGTCGAAGACGTCCAGGCACAGGCTGCTGAGACTACCAACGAATCGCCTTCAGCCGCAATTCCAATCCCTCGTGATACTGACCTGGAGCGCGGTGATGATATGGCAGCTACTCTCGTCAACGACCAACCCGAAGCCTCGACCTCGAGGAGCAGCTGGAGGGGTCTCACATCGCTTAGTCTATCTGCGTTCAGCGGAGAGGCAGGGAGGAGACAACCGCAAGCCAACCGAGATAGATGAGATGATATCTTGAGTGATCATTGAATCTTTCCATAGCCAAGGAGCATGGGCGTTCGGGGCGTTGGACAGCATGGATACGGAGTGTGGAGGTTGGCAACGAACAGTGCAAGCGTTACGTACCACCATTGTACCTAGGGGTCTACTTGTTCAAACGGGATCATCCAATTTTAGATATCAAGCTTCTATCGAGATTATTACTTCAGTCATTCATGCCCCTCACGACGGAGTATGCAAGCGTAAAAGAGAGTCGTAGGGCTGATACTGATCACGTGCCTTGTTTTCATGGCACTCCAACGAGGCTCGCAAGACTCGTACAATCGACATCACCTCCGCCCTCACTACTCTATTCTGCATATAACCACTCTCCTACCATGGCAGACAAAGTCAGGGACGTCGCTGTCGGCGAGGCCGACCGCATCAAGACCCTAACCGTTCAAGCGGCGCGTTCTGCGGCATACCTATACCCTGTCAAGGCAAGCTGTCAGATTCTACCAGTTGTTTACCGCAACACTCGGAGGTCTGTCTGCTAATGAATTCGAGTGTCTAGGGTATCTACTATTTCCTATCCCATCGCTCTCTATGGTATGGCCCCGTTCGCGACCGCAATGCTAGCACAGCAGACAGCAGACGCTAAACACTTACCTTCCCAGGAAGCCTCTCACAACCAAGCTTGCCCCGACAATGACTCTAGGCCTCGGCGTAACCACCTTTATGTTCCTCTTCACCTACGTACCCCAGGTGGCCGTCATGGCGTTTACCTCTGGCCCTTTGGCTGCCGTCAGCGCCGCCCTGCTCGTCCTGTCTGAGTCTTCAACCCTCTTCACAATTCTCAGCAAGACCTTCCTCATCGAAGACGCTCTCACCGACACATTTGATGGCGTGCTGGTGTCTAAGAATACTACAAATCTTGTCAGCGAGGGAAGGCAGATCAAAGGAGGCAGCGATATCATGGGCAAGCTGGGGAAGTTGACGAAGAAGCCGTTTCAGAAGTTTACGCCTACGGCAATTATTAGGTACTTCATGTATCTACCGCTGAACTTCATACCAGTGGTTGGAACGGTTCTGTTTGTGGTATTGCAGGGGAGGCGTGCTGGCCCGGCGGCTCATTCGCGGTATTTTCAGTTGAAGCAGTGGAATAGTACTCAGAAGCAGAAGCACATTGAGGAGTATAAAGCGGCGTACACGAGGTAAGTCACCACCAGGCGGCACCAGTGCAGGGGCTTTGGGATTCGGAACATGTGCTGATAGGTATGGGTTAGCTTCGGTGTTGCAGCTGTCCTGCTAGAATTGGTGCCTATTGCGAGTATCCTGTTTGCATTTACAAATACGGTGGGAGCAGCTCTGTGGGCAGCGGATATTGAGAAGGGGAATGTGACGACGGAGGGTACGGCGCCGGGGTTGAATGAGCAGGCCGGGAAGGCGGAGTGACATAGGAGGGTGGGAGTGTGGTGCGAGAGTAGACGGCAGCTTGCAGGGCTGTCAGTCTCATTGCGAGGATCTCTCCGCCGTTTTCGTCTGCAAACTGCTTACGCTACTGGCAAGAAGATATCCTTTAACCACCGGAACATGCGAACCGAAGCGTCTCGAAACGCCAGATTCACTATGCGAGGTGAGAAACAATGCATGCATTCCACGTGTCATATTTCGTGGCATGAACATGGCCATCACTCGGGCCTGAGTATCCTACCAGCTGCTCTTCGTGGGTGTCCATTCAAATTTCCCTTTCTCTGACACATAAATCATCACGTTCAACACCATAAGCACATATCTGATAGAAACGCGCAAGCAATAATTAGCCAATTCCCTAGCCATCTGCACCGAGTCCTCCTTGAAAGAACTCCTGCAAATACCAAGACAGGTACCGCTTCATCCGCTTCCAGGGGAATAGCAGAATCCGTTGCAACCTCGCCGGCGCTTCGGAGATGCGCGAGCGGGGTCTCGACCCAATTAAATCTGCTTTGTATCACTGTGAAAAAATCCATAAGAAGAAAGGGGCAGATTTATCGGCGTCGTGATTACCGTAAGCGCGGTCGAATCCCATAATCGTCACTCGGTGATCTGAAATTTCCCTCCATTTCCTTCCTCCTTTGTTGACACTCCTATCCTAATACAACAACAGAACTCGGCAGCAGCCACCACGTTCATTTGATCTCAGTATCTTCCTGGCGCTTTCAAACCCTTCCCTCATTCTTTTACACTTCACTACACCACATTCCTTCACCTCTTGAACATCAACACCGTCACTCTTTTGGTGCGTAAGTCACTCTTGCCTCCACGAGACTCAGCACGCGATGGCCCGCAAGCTTCCCCAGATTTGCTGACCACATCTCGCGTTAGGCCGATCATGAAGAACAAGCTCTTCTCAAACGGCTTGACCGTGGTCTCGCTCATCACAGCTGGACTGGCACTGACCACTAACGCGAAGCTCCGAGCTCATGGTCACCAGCATGGCGATGTCTTTGGTCGTATAATGCACAAGTCAACAGCTAGCTCTGGTAGCAGCTTGGGTATCGCCACCCCCGGGTTAGCGGACAGTAAGCCCCACCACGCTGCCAGACCTAGCTACGCGTACTAACTTGCCCTCCAGACTCCATTGCCGTACTTCCTACGGCTACTGGCGTTGCTCATTGCGTTGGCGGGGACTGTGGTCCTATCAATGCAACTCATCATTCGAATCATTTCACTTATCCAACACCCGTCCCGCAGTTACAGCTCCAAGCTCTAGAAGTCCAAGGTGGCAAGTTGGCTAGTCTTCCCACCCGTCGTCGAAACCGCTATCATACCTCGCAAACTTTCGGCAAACACGAAGCAGCTCCAACCACCGAGCTGGGCCCATCTTCTACAGGCAATATATTGGTAAAGACAAGTGGTACGTACTGGCTAACCTAGCGCTGAGTGCAAAGCTGACCTGTTACTTTTACAGACGCTGAACCTGCCGGGATCACTCTCTGGAAAGCTGGTCTCGAAGTTCAAGGTGACTTGAAGAACGCTTCAGACAAGGAAGATGAAGGCCACTCCCTCTCAGCCTTCGATGCCTCTAGACCTCATCCAGACCACCCAGTTATTGCTCCTAGGCAGGAAGACGGCTATCAATCCTTCGTCCTTGGAGGCTTCTCGAATCCAACCCCTACCGCGTCGTCAGTAGCTCCAAGCGCCACAGGTATCTCAGTGTGCCCAGCTGACAACGGTACAACCTACACATCGGACGCTGGTATTGTGTACCAAATCGTCTGCAACACCGATTTTCCAGACGATGATTACCCTTTCCAGCTGGTCGATAGCTTTGCCGGTTGTGTTCAGAAGTGCGATGCATACAATTACAATGCTCATCACGTCCAATGCGTGGCCGCGTTGTTCATTGCCAGCCGAGACGAAGGTGCCAATGATTGCTACTTGAAGTCTTCGATCGACAACCCGACCCCATCAACCCTGAGGATCCAGGGTGCAGTCCGCATAGGTTACGCTTCATCCTCAGCTACAACCAGCGCAACTTCAACGGATACCCCTTCTTCATCATCCGCAGCTGCCACGAGTTCAGCATCAAGTATTTCCAGCCCTGGGGTCACGTACGCCTCGGGTGACTCTATCATACCGCCCAAGGTTGCAGGATCCCACTTACAAGGTCCGAGTCAAAACGTGCCCTCATCGCAATACCTTGACATCGAAGCTCCTGCAGGCATAGCGCTTGCTAAGACCCTACTCACCACTGGAGTCAACAGCGGTCTTTCCACCGGCTACCCCATGTCGCCAGAAACTGGCGTTCTCGAAGTTAACCTCTCAACACAGTCCCATCTCAGTCCCTTGACTGATACCCCTCATCTATCTCGAGACGGCGGTAAAGGAGGTATGCTCAATGGTGAGCACCTGTTCGTCTTCTGCGATACAGGCTCATACTCGCCTCCCACCTCCACAATAGATGGCAATTTCCTTGGGTTTGTGTCGAGCTCTGTGGCCATTGACGTTGGCATGAATGGCTTAAGTGGGAAGGCCCTAGAGTTACAGGACGGCATTGGAGAATGGAGTGACAACGTTGGCCGGATGCGCGGCTTTGCACCTTTGACAACAGGTGAAATAGCGTACAACGAAGCCTTGCAAGGTAACGGTCAGCGATATGCAATCTGGCCTGAATCATCTATCATTCCTCTTGATGCAACCACAGCCATTATCTATGCGCCAATCGTTTACGACAACGTCAACATGGCCACTAAAGCTGCAGTATTTACCTACAGTGGTTCAACACTCCTGACAATCACCGCCGGCGGCAAGGGTGGTCCAATCGCCGAGCGTACCGTGAACAAGATCTTTGATCAAGATGAGGTAGAATGGGGCTGTGCGGGAGGTCTCCGCTCTTGGGGTGCTTCTGGTATAGGAGGGGACGATGGGAACGTCTATCTCTTTGGCAACGTTGCTGGTGGCCTTCTCATGGCGCGAACATCGGCTGCCACCGTGGGTGATCGTGACTCGGTAGGTTCTCTCAGTGCTGACGATCCAGATAACATGCTGACCTGGGGAAAAGTTCGAATACTGGGATGGCAGCTCTTGGAGCGGTGATATGCCTTCTTCATCATCTAAGGCCTACTTCATCGAAGGCGCTTTCATGGACATCGATGTCTTCTATTCACCCCGACATTTGACGTTCATCATCGTGTACATGACTGCCTACGCCGACAGCACCTTCTACTATCGCTACCTTCTTGCAGACCAAGGCATACTTCCACCATTTGCGCCCGGAGGAGACTCATCCTCCGATTACGCTGAGAACATCCTCAAGTACAAATGGTCAGAGCAGCAGCTTCTTTTCAAAGCAAGTCCTGGTCTGAGTGGGAAGTACATCTATTCTGGCGGAACTCACCTGGGTTACTACGGGTCCAACGACATCATCAATGGTGGCACGAAGATGCTGCTAAGCTGGACTTCTCCCACTGGTCTAGATCCCTCGACGCTTACTGGCGAGTACCAGATCGTCACCGCTGAGGTCGACTTTGTTTGAGCTACTTGAACGGCGTCCTCTATCCTTATGGCCTGCATGCGCTACTTACATGCCTCAAAGGTAGCGGTCAATATTCTGGAAATGTTCTGGGGATATGGATTTCTTCCGTGTGAATGTTTGGCGCCTTCTTTCACTTCTAACAATGTCATGATGGAACGAGATAGATCACGACCAAGCGAACACTTGAGCTCTGACGAATCTGGCGATGCTTATCGAGGAGACGGTTAATGCTTTACTGCTGGCAGACTCTGGGCTTCAACTTTTAGTTACGTAGGAAAGGCTGGCCTCGATGAGGAGTTGTATACCATAAGCCTGAGATAGGTCCAATCAATTGCGTGCAATCTGACGGTCGGAGCTTGCAGTTCGCGTAGTTTCAGTATCTCTGAAGGCAGTGTGACTCTGGTCGTGATGCCTGCCCTTTAAGCAATTTATAAATGCCCATAGTCGTCGACGCAATTTCTGACGGAAAGCCTACGAACACATGTCTCGTAGGGACCTGGATCCATGATCACAGATCCGGAACAACGAGGCAGACAAAAATGCAGATGTCCACTTCCCTTCACCCCCGGCTTGAACACCGGCGGAGCGGGTACTTGCGGTATCGCGACGACGGCCTAACGCAATTGATTCGTCGATATGATATGATACGATACGATATGGACCGAGTGGTCCACTAGACACGTGCATGGGGCTTCCCCTCCTCCTCTCGGGCGGAGGGCCTCGCTGAACGTTTGCTGGCCCCGGCCCTGGAACTATGTAGGCTGGTGCTGTGGAATTGCCACTCGGGAAGCTAGCTGTACAATACCGGCAAAAAGTCATCCCTGACTGAAATTCGTGTTTGTGGGGCTGTGTTTTGTGGTTTGTGGTTTGGGGTTTGGGGTTTGGGGTTTGGGGTTTGGGGTTTGGGGTTTGGGGTTTGGGGTTTGGGGTTTGGGGTTTGGGGTTTTGGGGTTTGGGGTTTGGGGTTTGGGACGGGGAAAGCGGGGGATAGAGAGAGTAGGTGTGTTTTTCACGGTTGTTTGGTTTGTGAGGGTTTTTTGGTAGCTGGCTAGCTGTCTTTCTGTCTGTCTATTTATCTATTTATCTATTTATCTATCTATCTATCTATTTATCTATCTATCTATCTATCTATCTATCTATCTATCTATCTATCTATCTGTCTGTCTATCTATCTATCTATCTGTCTATCTATACTTCACTGATCGGATCGGATCATTATGTTTTCGCCACGTGTGAGTGAGTGAGTGAGTGAGTGCGCGGGAAAGTGGCTTGGGGATGGTTTCGTCACCCGCGACTCCTCGACGACGATGATGCCAGACTGCGACACGTGCCGGTGCGTACAGGTCAGGTCTTGTCAGAGGCTGCTCTCTCTCTCTCTCTCTCTCTCTTTCCGGCGCTGGGCCGAGGACACGAGGGGGGGTAACCGTTTTTGGAGTGGGATGTGTGGGGTGTAAAAGAGCCGGAGTGCGGTGGAGTCTGCATTTCCTCGCCGGGGGGGGATTTTTTTACCGGGGACCTGTGGAGATGGGGTGGGAGGTTATCGAATTTGCCACTTTAAACCCCCAAAAAAGCTCGGCTGAGGAACACGTTGATGTCAAAAAAATATACCCTCGCCTCTGCCAGAGCGATGGGATATTCTGCACGTGCAGACTTCTATCCAAGATCCCGTGATAAATTCATGCCGCTGCGACGGGGTTAAGGGGAAAAAAAGCATATAACCGCAGCTGGCAAGCCGCCTGGCCAAAAAAATAGGGTGCCTGAAAACTCCAGAACGTGAATAGCCGACTCGAAGCGTCCGGGCGCTTGCCAATGATGTTTGGGTGAAGCATCGATGCGTCGGTCCATCACGGACCTTGTGATGCCGGGAATTGAATTGGCTGTGATGTATATCAAAGGGACCGTAGACGGCTCTGTTCGATATGGCTGCTCGCTTTCTCGAGGAGATGAGGGACTTGGAGCGGTCGGGTGAGAGGCCTGCAGCCGTGTTACTGGGCGTTGTGGGCGAAGAAATCTCGACGCACGTACGGCTGGGTATCGAGGACCTTCTGATTGTGTGGGTACCAGTTCTTGATATGCCTCATTCTGGGAGGGATGTGGGAAAAGGAGCTGAGGCTCCTGATGTTAGTGCCGAAGGCGATGTCGTGCTTGATTTGATTCGTTGTTGAGGGCGACATCATTTCGATCACGCGCGGCCTTCAAACCAGGTTCTATTGGTGGTGGAGCACCATGTCTTCCGTTCTTTGGTCGACGACGGTCAGAAGCCGTTGGATCCTGGTCGATGTCGGAGCGCCGGCGTAGGACTGAGACTGCAGAGCTGAGGTCATATTCTCGATCGCGTCCCAAAGCGGCGTCCTTCCTTGAATTATCTTTCAGATCAGGCTTGATGTTTTTACGCTTCGACACGGCTTCGATCGTCTGTGGCGTATCCTCGAAGAGTACGTGGTGCAAGACCGATTTCCCATCGTTATCGACCGCGTTGACGAGTTCCTCGTCTTGTGCGAAGACATACGCAACCACTTTCAAGCGGTCGTACTTTGCGGCCATATGGATGGGCAAACGACCGAACTTCTGATTTGAACGTTCATGGCCAGAGATCTCGGGTCGTTGCCTGAGCAATTTGACGACGGAAAGATTGCCGTATCTGGCTGCCTTGTGCAATGGTGTCATGCCAGCACCATCTGACACAGTAGTATCGATGTCTTTCCTTGTTAGCAGTACTTTGGTGACATCATCATAGCCAGACTTTGCATTGTCATGTAGAGGTGTGCGGCCAGTAGCCATGCTCAAGGATGAAAGGCTTGCTTCGATTTTTTATTGTCTTCGGCGAAGATTGGACTGTCGCTTGGCCTTTCCGTATTACCGCATGATCCAAGGTATTGCTAGGAAGGGATTTCTTTAGCGCGCCATTTCCAGCATTCTCTGTTGAGTTTTCACCCACTGAATTTTCTTGTGGCGTCCCAGCAACACTCGAGGATTCGATTCGATCTTCCACAGTCCTAGCAGTCTGTTGTTGCTCAGCAAGACGGTTTAAGAGACAAAAGGCTAGGTATTGATGGGAATCCGTCGGACCGCGGAGAAAGCAAACAGGAACTGAGCCAACAGGCTGTACTGTGTCCACTTAAATAAAGATATCCGTTGTGCAGCATGTAGCAACGCGCAAAGGAGTGAATCCATCTTCGTCCTTTAGGTCTGCGTCGACATCAGGACCTGCCAAAAGGATCCTGGAGACATCCTTTTGCTCTGCCAGAGCAGCCATCTGTAACGGCGCTCGGCCTCTTCCATCCCGTGCGTTGATCGAGTCTCCACGAGCCAAGAGCTTTGGCACCAAAGTTTGGGATCCAAAGAGGGGCAGCCAAGTGAAGACCGGTCTACTTTCTCCCGGCAATCTGGTGGTTAAAAAAAGGCACATCAACGGACGTGGACCGGCTAGCATTTTTCACGGGCACCTCATCTTCGAGGAAAATTTAGAGCTAAGTGTTCAAGTTCGCCCCCGTCTTGCTGCATCATGTCACGAGAGATAGGTACCCGGTTGAAACGATGTGCCCAGTGACTCGCTGCGTAGTTGAAAAATGTGGTCTTCGTTGTTCTCGACGTTCTCGCTTGGTTAGAGATGGGGGTTTCGGTCATTGGTGTGTTCGTTAACGACATCGAAGCGTTCGATGGACGGGTATTCCAAGCCAACCATAGCCATTCGCAAATGTGTTTCGGATACCGAGTCCTGGTGCCGTCGTGGAATGTATCCTTGTAACGTAGAGTGGACCAGCCGTACAGTCTGGGAGCTTTCATCAACCTCGATCAGGCCAATGCAAAGTGTCTTGAGCTTCTTCATCGATATCATGTCGTTTTCATCGAAGTGCCTCGCTTCGCGCTTCGGGGTGTTCCACCGCAAGACTTTTCTCGCAGCTCTGAGACGGACAAAACCCTTTCGCAGATTGCAACCCGTGCTAGCGTGGTCAATGCAATGTCCCGCACATCTTGGGAACCACAAGTCATACATCCCATCAATAAGATCCGACGAAGCCTTGTCGATGGGACCGGATGAGTCCACCTCGAGTCGTCGCAGGGTACGTTTGACCTCTAAGATTGAAGGCTGCCCGAGCAGCATTTTGATACCCCATTTCGCGACGAGAAATCAGATGATTGGATCAGTTCATCACCATTGGCGTAGGGTGCACCTGATACTCACGATCCAGATGGTGATTTGATCAAAGCTTTCAGAATCCTCTCTTGAAGGTCGCGGCCTTCACTTTCGGATCCCTTCAACGGGATCTTCAGTCGGATTGGATATCTGGCCGTCGATATAGGTCCGAGGTCATCGTCTCGGGCCCGGATTTCGAAGAAGGTTGTCTTTTCGGACCGTTTGAAGATGTTTCTTAAGTTACAAGAATGGATGCGCCGGTTTCTCGTTGGATCTTTCGAAGAGTTGATGCCAGATTCTCTCGCTCGTCACGGCTATTCGAGAAATCATCCAGGACATCCAGCACCAAATAGGCTTTAGAAAACCTTGTGACCACAACTTGGAGCACTGATACCATCTGGTCGACGCTTGGCGGATATTCAGACCTACATTCCTTGAAAAGCTGCTCTAGCCCTTCGGGCAGCGTTTGGTCCGGCAGCGTTTGGAATGATTTCAACGACCGGAGGAGGAATAGTCGCAGGACATCTTGAAGCTTTGCTTTTCTCCTGGAAGAAAACAGATGCAACAGAGGCATATCCCTGCTTGGCCTTGCTCTGCAGATAGCTAAATGTTGGGGTTACCGAAGTTGTTTTCCCAGCACCAGGTCTCCCATCGCATATGAACGTCTGTTCCGGCTCATCCAAAAACTCTTGGAACGCGGCGGTACTTTGAAACCACGAGACGATCTTTTTCTTGAACTTGCCAGGCCTTCTACAACGGGAAGACTCGGGCAGTTCTCCACGACCGAGCCATGTCAGAGGAGCTTCATAATGCTGGTCTCGGTCTTGTCTTTTTGTTAAATCCCGGGTGGTAGCCGTCGTGAGCGATGTCCATGTTTGAAAAAGAAAATGGTGAGCGTCTAAAAGCCAGTATCAAATGGCGGCATGATGATATCTGGTGTTGTAGGCTGGCGTCACCCCACATCACCACTACTCTTCTCGTGTTCAACGAGAAGTCCGTTTCCGTCCAATACCTGGCTCATCGCCATCGTCGTATCCAGCCTTGTGCCGCTGCGATCGGGATCTACTCGCTACAGTGGGATTTTGAACGAATGGGTCTCATAGTGCTGCATTCGGGTATTTACAACCCGGACATCTGCTCCCGGGCATCGGTTTCCGGGGACAGTCGTCAGCAGCGAGTATGATAAGTCTATGCCGCACAGGCGTGGGAGTTTTCTTAGCGCTGGGGTACGATATGTGCCCGTTCAGGGCTTGCTAGGCGGGACGTTGTGACCGCCCAATGGCGGATATTGACAACGTATAACTGTGCACACCCGTGCACTTTTTCGAATTCAAGGCTCGACTTCCTAGGATGCGGCGACATTTTATTGAAATTTGTGGCTGACTGAGCGAAGACCAGCTCCGCTGTCAGAGAGACACCGACGGGGCCGGAGTGGGAGAAATCTGTTCTTCAGGGTGAGCATCCCGGCAAAGGGTTGCAACACGTTTCGACCAGAGCACATGGCCGTTAATACGACAGGTATACTTCGTTACAGTGCTGGTAATCCAATGCACGGTCGCTCATTCAAGGCTATATTCTATTGTTTCTATTGGGGTGCCGATATCGACGGCCTCGGCAAACCTCTTCCAAGCCTGGAAATTGTTTCAAATCCCTTTCGATCGAAATCTTTCATGAAACCGAAACGGACGGTAAAGAAAGCCCAGACGCCGTTGTGTGTGCGTGTTTGGGATTGCCGTTTTGGCAGCAGCGGAGTTCGAGATGATCATGTCCCTGCTGGCGAGGTATCGTGATGAGAAGATGCGTGGGGGAAGTGGGAAGTCGTGATCGCTGTCCGTTGCCACAACGACCGAATGTACATAGTTAAAGGCTACTACGAGTCGCTATGACCTCTCATGTCGCAGCGGAGCATGCGATAACCTCGTGCCCTGTTGCCAGAAAGCCTAGTGAGAGCTTTCTCATCTGATGCGGAAATGATTGCAGGTCAGGCTTCGTGCAATATTCGCTGTACCGGATGCAAGGTACTCGACGCGGATGTATATCCCGAAGAGCATCTCATGCGACCGTGATGGTCTCTTATGCAGTAACGGAGCAAAAGGACGAAAAGGGGTAAGCGCCATTTCTCACTCGTATGTCAAATGCGTCAACGCCGTGCTGTCTTGTATTTGCTTTGCTCGATCTATCGCTGCGCTGTTCGCGGTTTGCGTCGTCACATCTCTTAGCTTCCAAGACTTGAAAGGCTGCTTGTGGACCCTGGTTTTGGTCGACGGTTTCGACTTTTTGGTGTACCTATAACGACTTTTACAGTTCGCCGCTTGATGCTGTCTTTTATTCCTCTAACGTATAGTTTGTCTGTATCCCTCTGTTATGTACCAGCACTGCTACCGCATCAGCATGTCTTCTCCCCACAAACCCGCCGATAAATCAGGATACAACGACTTCGTAAGGAACCACTGGGCATGCTGATGCCTTCGTTAGGAAATAACCCTGCTTGGATTGAAAGATCCCAGGACGCCGTTCAAATGCCTCCCGGAACCAAACCGAGTAGTATGTCCAAAAAAACAAACATCTCAGGCCTAGAACGGGGCTTGCTAAACTCCACCACAGCGACAGACCCTCAGATGCTGCTGCAACACACAGGTAAGTGGGAGTCTCAGCGACAGCTGCTACCCCAATCGGACGTAAACGCTCCGGCTCACAACACACCTGTTCCATCGTCTAGCGATCTTCAAAACTCCCAGATACCAATACTATCCAGAGAATCAAAAGGTGGTCGACTTCCACTCACACTCGGTCCGTCTCCCCCGTGCTCTTTCGCTGTCGGAATATCCCTTGACCCCTGGCAGTTTGCAACATCATGAAAGAAAGAGGCGCTGCCACAGGAGGCGAAGATCTCGAGAGAAGCGAGCGATAGGGTCGAGGCTTGTGCGGTGGAATATATTCAACTCGTGACCATCGAAGGTCTTCTGGATTCCGTCCACCCGTACCGTATACCAGTCATTGAATTTTGGTCTTCTTTTTGAAAAGCTTGTTCGCTGACTCATAAACGGGCCCTTTAGCTGCAGGCAGCATGGCATCTACCAGCCGTAACTTGATGATTGACGACGACGTCCTCCAAGCGATGGAACGGAGTGGGTTCGAAAATCCCACTCGAGCGTTGAGACTTTATCTGCAGCGGTACAGGGCAGCGATGGGGGGAGAGCTTGCCATGGCGCTAGGAGGGATCGATGAAATTTACAAAAAGGAAGCCTAAGGGATTGGTATCATGCCGGAGACGAGGAGTGCGGGGGGGGGGCCCATGAGGATGCGTAGACCGCTTCTCGTCTAGGCGTAAATACCTTGAAAAGAAACCCTGCACCTCTCATATGTCCAAGCTCTATTCAAATCACCCTACCTTCAGCTTCCCTTCCTGTCTTGACGGTCAGATATATTGCTTTGCCCTCGCTCCATTGTTGCGTCATCATAACATGTCAACCCAAAGCAAGCTCTACGCCTCTTCTCTTCCCCGGCCCGTCCATCGTATCAATCTTTCGTAAAATTGCGGCAAGGATAGCTGGTCACGAAAGCCTGGAAGCGTAGCGTGATAAGTTCTCGGATTGAATCCTGATCTATAGAATACCCTCTTTTCTCTCTCTCTGTCTCTCGTTTCTTCTTCCAGTGCGAGCATCAGCCATCCGTAGCGGTGTCACTTACTCATGACGGCGCCGTAATCAATTTCTTCCTTGGTTAACCACTCCGTCCGCATTGTCTGCCCCTGCGCCTCGTTATGGTGACAGCAGGTGCAATCCATATACCCTGGCAGGGCGTTGGTAACACTCAGCAGGGATATTTACCAAGGCGCCCCAGAGTTTTCACACGTGGTTGGCCAGGACACACCGGGCATGTCCTCTCTCTTTGTCCCTCGAGGAACCACCTCCGACCTTGATATCCTTCAAATCCGTCTCTGCATCCCTCACAGCGCCCATTATGCGAGAGCAAAAGCACGCCATGTGTCAGGCTGTTCGGCCTGGGTGCTCGACCGATCCGTAAGCTACGTACTAATACATTCCCTCCTGCTCTTCTCGCGACGACCCAGTCCAGGGCGCAAAGGCTCGGGACCGGATGCTCCACCTTCTTCCGGATTTACAATCTTTGTCAGACTTTCCTGAGAGGACGCGGCGTGGGAGAGAAAGTTGGACCGAGCGCAATGTGCTTGGTTTTGACCTCGAGCAGTGTCAGTCAGTCTCTTTTCCTGCAGGCTGCAGTCGGACGAATGTAATCGTCTGGTTTTCAATGAATGGAGTGATGGCGTGATGGTGCTGCTGATACTTTCGTTGCAGGAGATCGGCCCATGGCATTTGTAAGCCAGAGTGGGGATGCTCGGAACGTAGCCTGACCGACTTCCGTGGTGCCAAGATTTTTGTGTATATAAGTACCATTGACGGTCCTGTTCATGTATGCAGTAATCATTCCTTTCGCATTCTACACTTTACGTCTACACCTGCCTATATACCTAGTCCAACATCCACTGACCCCTACAGCTTCACCCCCCTGACGCAGAATGGCACCCATCGGCGTGGGCATCATCGGTCTCTCCGCAGACCAGTCCGCCTGGGCCACGAGCGCTCATTCTTCCCCTCTCAAATCGGCTCCATTGAACGAGAAGTTCAAGCTGGTGGCCGTCAGCACGTCTTCGCCTGAGACGGCGAGGAAGGCCGCCGAGGCCCATGGCCTTTCGACGGACAAGGCGTATAGCAGCCCCGAGGCTATTGCGGACGATAAGGATGTTGATTTGGTTGTTGTGAGCGTTAAGGTATGTTGGTTGTTTGGATGCTCACCTTCACGGGACGTGGGGTGAGGGTAGTGAGCAAAGCAGGCTGACTTCAAATTCGCAGACACCTTACCACAAACAACTCGCCCTCCCAGCTCTTCATGCTAAGAAATCCGTCTTCGTCGAATGGCCCCTCGGCAACGGCCTTCAAGAAGCAGAAGAGCTCGCTGCGTTAGCCAGAACGCAAGGCGTCAAAACTGCAGTCGGTCTGCAAGCGCGGCTCCTTCCCAGCGTCCAGAAAGCCAAATCGATCATCGACTCTGGTGCTCTCGGCCGCATCATTGGAACCACTTTGGTCGCTTCGAATAGCTTGGTGGTGAACATTCCTGTCAAGAATAGTTATCTCAACGACCCCAAGAGCGGAGCGAACTTGGTAACGATTCCAACCATCCATGCGCTGGATCCGCTTTGCTACCTCCTCGGCGAATTCAAGTCTCTCAACGCGACCACTGCAACCACTATGCCGGAGCTTCGATTCACTCAAGCCGATGGTTCCAAGAGTGAGCCGGTCAAAAGCAACATTGCGGATTTTGTCTCAATCCAAGGCGTGCTCGAGAGCGGTGCTACGGTCAGCTATGTGTCCTCATCTACCACCGAAGCCACGCCAGGACATTTTGAGTGGATCGTCTCTGGCGAGGAGGGATCGCTCAAGTTCGAAAGTGGGAACCAATTTATTGCGATGGCCCCGCCTACTTTGTATCAGTTTGCGCTGCCTAAGCAGGACGGCAAAGACGACGGAGATAAAGGACCATATGCGACCAAGGAAGGGGGAAAGTGGGAGGAAGTCGAGGTTGAGAAAGGGCCATTTGGGGGCATTGGAGGGGTGTACGCTGCGTTTGCTGAAGGGAACAAAGATCTGGTGGATTTTGATGAGGCGGTCAAGAGGCATCAGATGGTGGAGGCTATATTCCGCAGTGCGAAGAATGGGACGAGGGAGAGTTATTAGGTGTTTGTATTGCTATGTTAGAACTCGTCGTCGGTCTGAGGTTGAATAACGATGGTGGTGATAGTTGATTAAATGTGAGCTTTAAAGCATGCGATGATTTGTATAGTGATGACGTGCATCATACTGTGCAGTAGTATCCTGGGATAGCCGAAGGATGCAGACAACGTCATTGATCCTACCTCGCTTAGAGACAAAGTGCATAAGCGAGCCAGGTACTATTGGTGCGGGTATATCTCACAGCTACGAGCTACCGGAAAAAGTTATTTTATACTTTTAACCACTCGGACCCCTTTTTTCATGCGCCTTCATCTGTCTTTTTTCGGAGAATAAACCTTGATGAATTGCGGGGATGCGGCGATTCAAGCAGACCCTCTCGTTCTCGCACCCAATCACGAACCAGTCCCCACTTTTCCCACCTCTGCTTGCTGTGACTTATTTTGGTGCAAACCATCAAGCTCGATTCTAATTGGACCAGACACTCCCCGCATTTTTGGCCGGTGATCTGCTGAAGCTATCCAGAACGCCAAGACCCAGCCGGTTGCTGCGGATCTTTACTATTTGTGTAATAGCAAGTGAAGGGCGGACTCGTTCGGTGGATGAACTAGCGACAAATGGAAGGGTTATGGAAGCCACGAAGAAGCTCCGGTGCAGAAAAGATGATCGACGATGGACATGACGCTTGTTTAGCTCATCAAATCCTCCCAAGTCCCAATCCCAAGTCACCTACTTTACTCTACTAGTAGTACCTAACCTACTTTAACCTACCTCCCAATCCATCGAGTCCAACCGAGGAAAGTCCAACTTCACTCCATTGCATCTGCACATTGCCCACTTTCTTGACCCCCACCGGAGTCATTACCTACACCTCACCGCTGCCATCCTCACGCTGTCGACACCGTTGCCACAGGCCGACATCAATTCTCAAGCGATGATTGTACGGTGGCTGCTCTCACAGGTCCCAGCGTCGGTTCAGTGTCCCCTGTCGCTGCAATGGACAAAGCAGAGATAATCCCTTCGGTCGGCGACAGGAATCTCGGTCCCATGCTCATCGCCGTCAACTGGGCCGTCTTTGGACCAGCGACTATACTGGTGTGTTTGAGGTTGATGACGAGGATATGGATCACGCGCAATTTCGGCTGGGACGATGCGGTCATTGCTCTTACGCAGGTGAGCTGTGCCCGACCTACAACACCGCTCTGCCGTGTGGGACAGAGAAGGGAAACACTGGAATATGAACAGTAATGGCTAATGCACGACGGGTGTCTGAGCAGATGATCAACGCAGTAGGCATGGGCTTCGTCATGCTCGAAGTCGACTACGGCCTCGGCCGCCACGTCCAATACCTCACCCCAGACCACTACGAAGGTTTCCTCAAATACAATTTCCTGGACTGGATTCAGGTCTTCATCACGCTCGCCCTCTCCAAAATATCAATTTGCCTCTTTCTACTGCGAATATCGAAATTCGAGCGATGGCGGTGGTTCCTTTTCGGATTGATTGGATTCTTGGTGGTCACGCATGTGCCGTTGACACTACTGTTCTTGTTCCAGTGTATACCGTTGCAGAAGAATTGGGAGACGGTGGAGGGGGCGGTGCCGGGCCATTGCATGAGTAAGAAGGCCGTGGAGAAGATTATCATCGTTCAGGGTGGTGAGTCTACCCCTGGTCCCGACACTCCCGAGCTACACAGGGTGTCTGTCAAGAGAAGATGAACGGGAGCAATCACTGATTGGCTACAGTCTTCTCAATCATAACGGACTTCATCGGCGCCGCCTTCCCCATCCTCCTCCTCTGGAACGCCCGCCTCAAACTCCGCACCAAAATCGCACTCAATCTCCTCATGGGCCTCGGCGTCATCACCGGCACCGTCTGCATCGTCCGCACCTCATACTCCTGGGAAGTCCTCTCCGGCGACTACACCTGGGTCGGGGTCGGTAACGCCCTCACGCGCATTTTGGAAGTCAATTTCGCAATCATCGGCGCCTGTGCCCCGATAATGCGCCCACTGGTCTTGTACCTGAGGGCGAGGCTCGTCAAGGCGAGACAAAGTCATGATAGCGAGAGCTTGGATAGTGTGCAAACGCCGGCGAGCCAGTTGACCTGGTTCTCCCCTCCCTCTCAGACCCCGTGGTACAAACGGCCATGGCGAAAGACAAAACCACAAGACAAGCTAGACGGGCAACCGCGAGGTCCTGATATAGGCGAGAAAGTGCCCGCCGATAGACACCATGAAGACACTGGCGCCGGCGGTGACGGCGACGGTGGCGGTGGAAGATTAGCCGTCCCACAACGACCGACCCAAGGCCCACGGCAACGCTCCCGGCCCGGGTTGGGCCTCGGCCGGAAATCAGACCGCCGGCACGAGGTGGAGAAACCGGAGAACGTGACGTGGGCGAAAGACGAAGAGCCGGACCACAGCGACAGTTTCGACCTACCGCTGCAAGGGACGCGGAGGGAAGACTATGGCGGTGAAGAAGGGGATGCGGAGTCCGGGACTTATAGGTATCACAGGGGATGGGTGTGAGCGGTGGTGGGGGAAGAAGTAATCATCAGGAGTCCGGGCTGGGACACCCGGATTGCAGCAAGGGAGTCGATGCGGAAAGTGCATGATGTGTGTATATAATGATACCATTCACTTACTCACTTACTTACTCACTTACTTACTCACTTTGCTGAAATACATCGAATGATACTATATGGCGAATGATCTACTACTACTGCTACTGCTGCTGCTGCTGATGCCGCTGATGCTGATGACTGATGCTGCTGATGCTGATGCTGATGCTGATAATAACGACGATGATGAAACGATAAAGATGATGAAAACCCTCTCCACCCCATCCACATAACGATACATAACGACGATGATAATGACGATACACGACGATGAAATACCCTCCTCCTATTCTATCCACACAGTCCACACACACACACACACACACACACACACACACACACACACACACACACACACAAACGAACAAATAAAAACCTCGACAAGCACCAATTAAACCGCCCTTCATCCACACTCATCCACACAACCAAGCCGTCCTCCCTCATCCACACAACTCATCCACACAATCAACCAACCAACCAACCAACCAGGCCCTCCTCCCTCGTCCCCCATCCCTCCGATGCTAGAAACACCGCACGCCATCCCTCCAATGCTAGAACACCCCCACCCAGCCCATCCCGCCTCGTGCAGCGCAGCGCAGTACCGAGCCTACCCTTGCTGAAGACGCTGCCGTCTGTCCGTTTTTTTCTTCTTCTTCTTTTTTTTTTTTATTTTTTATATCTTTTTTTTTATCTTTCTTTATCTCTTTTTTTATCTCTCTTTTTTATCTCCTTACCCTCTCTTTTTTTTTCTCTTCTCTCTTACTCTTTTTTTTTATCTCTTCTCGTCTCATCTTCTCTTCTCATCTCTCTCTTCTCATCTCTTCTCATTTCTCTCTTCTTCTCTCTCTTTTTTATCTCTTTTTTTTACTCTTTTTTATCTCTTTTTTATCTCTTTTTTTTTCTCTTCTCTCTTTTTGCTTATCTTTTTTTATCTCATCTTTTCTTCTCATCTCTCTCTCCTTCTCTCTCTCTCCTTACCCTCTTTTTTTAATCTCTTCTCTCTCTCTCTCTTTTATATCTCTTTTCTCTCTTTTTTCTTCTTCTCTCTTTTTTCTGGTTGATTATCATTATTTTTCTCCTAAGGGGCTGAGATGCAGTATGGCATTTTCTTTTATTTCTTTTTGGTAGCCGGTTGGTTGGTTGGTTGATGGTGATGGTGATGGTGATGGTGATGGTGATGGTGGAGAGAGGAGGGGGGGGTGTAGTGGTTTTTTGGGGCTGGATGGAGGGATAGAGGGTCTAGATGGCTAGGTGGCTGGAGGGTCGAGAGGATGATGGGGTGGCGATGGAGGTTGGTAGGTTGGTGGGTAGGTATGGGTGAAGGAAGGTATGGGTGAAGGAAGGAAGCGGGAAGGAAGGAAGGGGGGGGAAGAGGGGGAAAGGTGAGTGAGTTGATGCATATATATATACATACACTTTCTCTCTCTCTCATATTGGGTCGGGGCAGGGTTTGCGGCGTTTGTTTGCGGCGTTTGCTTGCTGGTTATTTGATGGATGGGTGTAATAGGTAGGTGGATGGGTGGATGGATGGATGAGTGGGTGGGTGGGTGGGTGGATAGATATAGATAGGTGGATAGAAATAGATGGATAGATGGATGGATGGATAGATGGATAGATTGATAAATAAATGAATGGATAGATGGATAGATGGATAGATGAATAGATGGATAGATGGATAGATAAATAAATGAATAGATTGATAAATAGATGAATGAATGGATAAATAGATGGATGGATAGATGGATAGATAAATGAATGAATGGATGGATGGATGGATAAATAAATAAATAGATAAATAACTAAATAGATAAATAAATAAATGGATGGATGGATAGATGAATAAGTATATGATGGATGGATAGATGAATCAGTGGATGGATGGATGGATGGCATAATGGATCCGAGTCTGTGGGCATGGGATCGGGATATTGGGATAGGGATTGGGATTGGGATATCGGGATTAGGGTTGATATTAGTATTCAGGGTCAGAATGTTGGGCTGAAGAGAAAGTGGTAGCCTGTGATTGGGGTGAAGGGTTTGTTGAGTCGTTGGCTTCGGCTTGGTATTGGTGTCACACGGATGGGGAGTGTTGAGCGAAAAGGTGTTTGACGTGTAGTTCCAAGTCTTGAATTGTCGTTGGTGCTTTCCAAGAGTCATGTTTTTAAACATAGCTCGGGGACGGCGGTATGAGGGGAACTTTATTAGGAAGTGACTGTTGAGGAAGTAAGGAAACGACGGCGTTCTATGGTCTATATGAGTCGCAATGACATTATGAGTTATTTTCCGCACAAACAGGGAACATAGGAAAGTCTATGGGGCACCCAGAGTCCGAAAGCGAAAACGCGCGCTCGCCGTGCTGGGAAACGAAATGGACTTTTTATCAACATTCAATTTGGTAGAGGCAGCGTTCATCCATCATCCTTCTCTCAACCGAGTGCGCTAGTCACGCATCTTCACAATGATGACATTCTTCCCGTCTTTGACCTGCGGCAGCTCGTACCTCTTTGACAGGATGGACTTGATGTACGGATCTTCAAGGTTTCTGTCGCTATGTCGCTTTTTGATGTGGCTGCACGCACGCCAGTGTTAGCATGCTGCATTCATCATCAGCAACGGGAGAAACCTACCTTTTAAGACTATCCGGCCGGCGAAACCGGGCATCGCCGTTCGTATGAGACAACGGGCAGACGTACGGTTTCTCAGGTGAATGAGTTCCCCCATGCCGCACTGCGTTGTGTTCCGAGGGAAATCCTTCGGAACCGTGTTCTAGAGAGTATTTGCACTCTGGACGGGTGCAGAAGTAGCGGAATTTTGGGTCGAATCTGCGTCTCTTTGAGCTGGGCTTTCTCTGAACGCCGTTAGGATTTGCCTTCTTTCTCTGTTGATTGTTCTGCCGCGGTTCCGGCCCTGCCGGCAGACCTTTGGATCTTCTTCGTTGACGACCTTCGTTCCGCGGCTGAGATATTTCAACTGAGCCGGTGTCTCTGACGGGGTGACCTGTACTATACGGTCCAGCGACGGACTCTAAAGCGTCTGGAACATGTAGGTTGTTGACGTCTGGTGCGTCGAGAGCAATGGAACCACCTATCTCGCAATTTTCTGAAAGAAATTGGGAACCATCATTAAAGGTCGTGAAAAGAGACCATATATCCTCTGTCACAATCTCGTCCCTCACGGAGATGTTCGAAGGTTCGAACCCATCGATGTTGGTTGCGTCTGGAACGAAAGGGCGTGGGAGCGAAATTTCGGAGGGCTCGGGGCCTTGGAGATTGGTCGTGTTTCTAAACAGATGGCATGAAGTGGAGGTGTCGAAAGGGTCGACACCGCCGGCATTGTTCACATTCGGAGCGAGATAACGGTGACGGGAAGTAGAAGAGTGCTCAAAGTTGTAGGATTCGCTGATCTCAGGAATGAATGAAGTTGAAGAGGAAGTGCCTGAAGGTCCAAGGCTGGTGAGATATGTCATGTTCCGAGTCGGACAGTGTGCGGTGGAGCTGTGTGAAAGATCGGGGATGCCTGGACTCTCAAGGGATGTGGAAAAGCTCGTATTGGGAGCGATATGCCATTGACTGAAGCTGTCTGTAGGAGTGGGGATGTCTGAAGACCCAGGACCTATGAAGTTGCCCATGCTTTGGTCGAAGTAGACAGGAGTGTGGGTGTAAGAAGGAGCGAAGGTCGAAGATTCGAAGCTGTTGAAATTGGTCGTGTTAAACGAGGTTGGGTATGGATAAGACGTGCAGCAAAGACTCCCGCTGTTGAAGTCTGCTGTGCCTGCAGTGAAGTCTTCCAGATTGCCCGTTCCTCGAGAATCAAGACCGCTATACGGTGTTGCATCTGCAAGAAGATTGTTCCCATAGGCCATTCCTTGAGCATTGGGGAAGTCTCCGTATATCTCTGCGTCGGGCGCCAACAGCCAAGAAGCATCTTCTTGAACTTCGACATCGTTGGAGACTGTCGCGTTTAATGCCGATTCACATGTGTTGGTGGAACGGTGGAGGTCCGCACCACTGTATACCGTTGGACCTGGTAGAGGGTGGTCTGGAATAGGGAGGTTTGTTATGGCTGGAACTTCATAGACGGTTAGGTGTGAAGGGTCAGGACCGCATAGGTTCCGGATTTTCGAGAGATAAGCAGTTAAATCGTCGTTGAGGCCCAGTCTGCCAGGAGGTTGGGAGTTCCCAAGACCAGAAGGAACTGAAAGGAGCCGGTCGCCTTGCAGGTGGCGACGTGAAGGTATCCTTGGAACAGGGTCGCTCGCTGATTTTCTGTGGCGTCTCTTGGAGGACGAGTACATTTGGAAACGATATCCCATTTTCTTGCAGAATATGTTTTTGATTGACGAAGATTGTATGAACTTTTCGTCTGTCAGTGGTCTGCCAGTGATATATTTCAGTAGAATGTAACTTAGGAGAATATAGAATGAGCCCTCCATCAGCATGACAGCCTTGCTGGGTCCTGTATATGCAGCACGCATTGCTGCAGAGGAATGTCTCCACTCTACTTCGAAAAACTTTCGATGATAGGCTCATGTCTCGAGTACCGAACGGATGGAACCTTTGTGACGAGGAAGAAACAGGGCTGATGTAAGTGTTGTTGAGAGTGTCGCCGCCTCGGCTGGAGCAGTAACTCTTTGTCTGATAGGTCAACATGTAACAGATATGTAGCAGCCGTAGGCACATTCCCAGTACAGCCGTGATCTGCACCAGAAGGAGAGCAAGGCTGACTGCCCTGAAGAAATGCAAAGGCTATTTCCGCTAGGAATACGAAGAGGGTGGGCCAAGGAAAAAGTTTTCTGGCAGTCAGATCGGAAGGCGATGACAGCGTCCGTGTTTTGTATTTGCAATGTGTTTGAGTAGCCAGCTCAATGCTTACGCATATTTGACGTGAGCAGACAGAGGAAGGTCCAATTGACCGAGTCCGTGTTTTCAGAGCCGAGGAATCGGACGCAACGTGTAACAGGCATTGTGATACATAGACACAAGTTTGAGGGCTCGTTTGACCCTTCTTAGGGTTTCGATAACATCTATGAGGTGGGTCCTATTTCCAGCACACGGAAGGGGAACATAGCAACAATTGCCCGTTTCAACCTTCTGAATCATCGTGCACTGTGTGTGCGGCTCTGCGGCCGCTCACTAGGATGTACTTCGTAATACTATGTTCTTTTGGTGTTCGCAACGTTGCGGTCACTGTTGTAGCATCGAGAGGTAAGTCTCTACTGTTGACTGAAACGGCAGCAGAGCAGCGCGTTCGTATCTCGCACAATCCGTCGAGCCCTTTGCTTGTGGCTTCATGTCAACTTACCAAGAGCATCGAGTGCGTCGGGCACATAGTGGAGTAAATCCGTCATGTACGAGAACGCTCCTCGACTGCAGGGAGAATATGCAGGGAGAATATGAGGGGCAGACGCAACTGTTTGGTGGGTGGCAGGCACGACGCTGTAGCCGCCTGCGAAGACGGCACCTAGTTGGATGATGGGGGTAGCTTTGCCCCTCAGGGTCCTCGCCGAGACTCAAATCATGCACCAAATAGGTACGGCGACCCTCCCGCAGCTGCTGGGAAGCGTGAGGGTATTTTCGGGTTTCTTAGCTCCGAAAGAGTCTTCCCGTGTTCCCATAGCTCTGGACGGTGGTGAAACCATTTCGGTTCGGCCCAGACGATCCGTGCGTTTGTGTTATGGCAAGAAGGCTGGGACTGTCTGGTCCCGATTGGGTTGAATTCTACAGAGTCGATGGGCTAATGTTGTTGTGGAAACTTTCCAGAGGACACTCCCGATCCTTGTCACGGATCGGATTTACCCTCTTGGCAAAAGCAAGGAATTCCATGTCTTAATTTATCTCTTGCCGTATGCAAGCCTAGCTCTTTACATCTGGGACCCACTGGACATTGTATGCTTGGAACCCAGATCATCGTGTCAAGTGGTACTCGTCACGCTGAGAAGTATTTGCTGACCCTGTGTCCCGGCAATCTCTGTCTCTTGGAACACGCTGGTTGCAAATCGCGGTCCTTAGCGAGTATCACTTTCCCAATCTTTTCGCAAAGCTCGCCAAACAATATGCTTGGACTCATAGACTATATTAGAAACAGTAAGCTCCGTTGTCTTTAGAAAGATGGAATCCACCAGCCAAACTCTTCTCCTACATCCGCCATCTAGGTCATAGTGCTCGAAACAGTGAGGCCATACAGAAACAACGACACAAGTAGATATGTAGATAGTGTTTGGGCATATCCAACACTGGGGCAGCTAAGAGCTTTTAGACATCTGGACTGAGTAGATAGCCCGAAAAAGGCCCTCAGCGCTAGAAAAACCCCATATCTAAGCGATATACCCTAAAGTGAAATGAGGCTATATATAGGTGTAGGTGGGTGAGAGAAAAATAATATGGCTCGACAGAGACGAAATCGAATGAAGAGCCGTTAATAGATAAAAACAGGTGGCTATATAGCTCGTACTAGACACCTATCCCTAACCCCTTGCCGGGGTACTAATAGGGGTATCAATAAGGGTACCAACACGAACGGCTAATCAAATAGCCACCAACGCTATAGCCTTATAATAGACCCACTAACCCACAACTCACTATTGCGATTAATACTCGCAAACAGTGAGACTATATAGAAAACAACGCATATAAAGTAGATATATAGATATATATTTAGGTATATCCAACACTAAGGTAGCTAAGAGCTTTTTAGACATTTAAACTAAGTAGATAGCCCGAAAAAGACTCCTTAGCGCTAGAAAAACCTTAAACCCAAGACGTCGTTTAAGAGAGTAAAGGTCTCGAGAAGAACTCTTAACAATATTTATCGCAGTAAGTAGTAAAGATCGATAATACTAGCGCGAACGGGCTAAAAGATGCTAGTACCGTAGTAATACTCTAAATATATAGGCTAGATAAGTGACGATGTATAGGCGATAAAAATCTAACTTCTAACGACCTAGCAATTAGATCTCGTTATTGCTAAAGCCGGCGTTATATACTAATGTTATAGCCTTCCTACGAAAGGAATAGCCTAAATAATAGCCCTTAATATTAAGTAACGTTAGCACCTCGCGAAGATTACTAATAACGACGTTTCTAGTAAAGAAGAAGTCTCTTAACTAAAATAGCGGCGTATTAAATAAAGCCTTCTATCTAAAGAGGTAATATAAGGCTTTAACTACGCATACGTCATCGCCTAATACAGCTATCGTAAGTATAATTTTACGGCGAAATAGGTCCATTTTGAATATTGAAAGTATAAGTTTCAAGTAATTATCGAATAGCCTCACCGAGCGATATATAAGAAATCATTCGCCGAAGTCCTTTTATTAAAGGTCTCGCTTACTATAAGTAAACTTACCTATACATAGAAATATCGCGAAGATAAGATAAAAGAAGATATATAGAGTTATCTTAATATAGATTAACTTATTAAAATAAGAAAGAATTTAAAGTAATAGATTCTTAATAATTAAACGCCTTTTCTTTATATTAGCTTCGTCACGAAGACGTTAACTATCTATAATAATACGTTATAATTAAAAGTAATAAAAAACTAAGAGATTATCAAACCCTATATTCACATAAGCTGATTTAAAACCGATAAGGTATATCTTTATAGACTTCGACTTAACGCGACGAGTGCTTAGATTAACAATTTAGTTCGTAAGAATATTTATAGTTACTAGAAAGGGAGATTGAATCTTTATAAATGCGCAATAGGTCGTATAGAATCTTATTAGAGTCGTATATATCTTCCTAATTTTAATAGCAAGCCCCCATCAGAGAAGTCGCGCGGTCTCTCGAGGTAGGCGGTCTAATTATATCAATATTCTAATAAGTCCCGCCCTATTTCAGCGGAGATATAAGACCTTTCAGCTGTGAATATACGTTAGCAATTTTTAGTACTAAAAACGTAATAGATTATCGACTAGCTAGTTAGCCTTCGTAGATATTTAAATAAATATTATTATAATATCGTAAATAGCTACTAGTATAGCTATATCGCGTAATAAAGCTATAACTAACTCGTATATAGAGAATTTATATAATCTATTAACGTATACGTCGTTATCGTAGTAGAGAATTAAGCGAGATCCTCGTAACTATTATAGCCACAATTTCATCGCGTAATAAATAGCCTTCATTTCTTTAAATTATATATCTTTAGAACGATAACGTATAGATATTTTAATGCTAAAAACGTTTTTAAGTTAAATTAATTGGATATGATCGAGATAATCGAGAATATAACTTCCCATACCGAATTTTCCAGATATATCGGTTCATATATGCTACATAACTCGACTATCGACGTGGCGTATTAAGGCGACGCCATTCCAGTACTTTAGAAAGGTGTCTCACCATAGTAAGTCTGCCCTTATGTCGCCTATAATTCATACAATCATCGCAGGCCTTCGAAGGGCATCAAAAAGTCGCCTTAAGAATACTCTTCCTGGAATCACGACTTTGGCAGCGAAAGAGAGAAAGTCGATTATTAACTTAAGCTTTTGATATAAGATAGTTGCCCTTTTTAGAAGGTTTTTAACCGTAGTTCTTACTTTAGTTAGCTTATCCGAGAGGAGTCTCGCCTATATACAAATGCTATCGAATTCGATTCCTAAGAACTCGGCTATAAAACCCATTATATTCTTTATATAATTAATCCGAAGGCTTAATTCGCTATATAGCTGATCGAACTACTACGCGTATACAGCTACGTTATCACTTAATAAAAAGAATTACGAAGAAATCGTTTAAGTAATAAAGCACTACTTCTTATAGAAGAATAGCGATTAAGATTTAAATAAGGGCCTTTACGAAGAGATCGAATAGAAATAGTGATATACGTAGTTCGAATAATAGGTATCGTTCTTTCCAATAGCGTTTATCGCAGTTGAAATCAAGTAGCTATTAATTCGATATAGCGACGAGTATATATCTAAAGACGTCTCTAAGATCTCTTTTAACGAATTAGGCCCTTAGGCCTTTCTATAGTAATATTACTACTACGTTATCGTATATAATATATTCTAATACGCCCTACTCCGCCTAAATATCGTTATTAATTAAGTAGCTATATAGGAATAAGAGGTTATAAATCCGTCTCCAACCTTTATCGTATTTCGATATTAATTCGAGTGGCGAATAGACGTAATAGGGCTCGTTTTAAGAGTTAACCTCGGTTAAGCGATACTATTAAAGCTATTTTTAAAGGTTCGCTAATAGTATTTAGAGTGCTTAACGTGCTGATAAATGATTTTAATTATAATAGATTAAGATAGGGCCTCGAAAACCTATCTTAGCGCCCTTTCGAAGAATAGCCGAAATAGTTTTAGCAAATATTAAATCCGGGTAATCGTTTAACCATTTAAATCAATTATCAATTATTAACAATTCTTAGTAGGGCAAATCCGGGTCTAGTAGGTTGTATAGCGCGTACAAGAACCCCTTAGATATGCACTATAGCGACCATAGTACCTACGAGTACCTTAGGAGTTATTCTAGCCTGATAATACGATTACCCAGTAGCAATTAATTGAAGGTACTCACCGCTGAGTTATAGACTTTAAAGTACTTATCTAACGAGTAATTTTATTAATAGATCGAATAGATATATAAGTAGAGGTAGCGCTCGCGAAAACAGCTACCTCTATTAAAATTTCTGCAAATTATAGGTTCTCTAACTGCAACGAGCTTATTGAGGCTAGGCGCACCGGCATTTGGCTTGCTATTACCTGTATAAGTCCCTCTGGGCACGAGAAGGTCCTTATAGCTCTAATCGTTCGCTTTCTAGACCTTAAGATCGTCTTAATCACCCTAAATGCGTATAGTAATAAAGACGAGATGGTAAGCGAGGATAAAGTTAAATTTATAGGTAAGGGGCAGCCGTAATAGGCGAATAGTATACATATAAAGAATCTTATTTAAGTCTTTCTTTACGCTTATATAAATAAAGCGACCGACGGCTATCGAGTATATAAGAAAGTAATATATTATATAATTATAGCTATTAATATTCTTATCCTCTTTAATCGAGATAGTATATATATAAGCCAGCTTAGCGAAGTTTTTAGTCTTAAAAGTTCCGAAGAAGATTTACTTAAAGTACTTAACGTTTATACTTCGAAATCTTTTAGTAATACTAAGAAAGGGCTTCTTACCTTTTAAATAACGAAATAAAATCTCTCTTCTTTCCTTCTAATCCGACTTAGAGTTAAACGAGTTTAAATCCAATATATCCGAGTGACGATAACGATAATTACGGCTGTGGCGGTAGTAATAACAACGTGACTTATAAACCCGACCCTTATAACGATAGCGGTAATTTCGCTCCTCTTAGATCTTAAATAGCTAGACTATTAATTCCGTAAGATCTACTTTAGGCCCTCTAATAGGCGAAGGCGTTTTATCGATCTCGTCCGAAGTAATAATCCTCGATAGCGTTCCAGGTATAACGATCTCGTCGCGGAGGAAAATATTTTAGCCTTAATAGCCTTTTTAGCCTTAAGGGCCTTAAAGGCTTTATTAGCGGCGTTAAAGATCTTTTTAGTAATCTTAAAGACGGGTGTAACTCGTATAGCCGCTTTTTGGACCTGGTAGTAGTAGCGGGAGCTATTATAAAGTATATAAGAGTATAGAGTATATTTATAATAGTTGAATAAAGACTAATATATATAGACTCAACTACGAAAAGAAGAAGAAAAATAATATAGCTCTGACAGAGACGAAATCGAATAAAGAGCCGTTGACAAATGCAAAACAGGTGGCTATATAGCTCGTACTGGACACCTGTCCCCAACCCCTTGCCGGGGTACCAACAGGGGTACCAACAAGGGTACCAATAGCCACCAACGCTATGGCCTCATAATGGACCCACTAACCCACAGTCCCACTGTTGCGAATACATTCAGAGTTTTTTTGATTGACCACCAGGTTCTATTGTCTCCTGTGCTTGGTTCATAATCCAGAACCCTCCCACCAACCCTGACGCCATTACCATGACCATAACCATGGACATCGCTCTCTAGATTCTCTCACCAAACTCATGTTCACGCCGTCCAGTTCACTCCGGCCAAAGAGTGACTCCCCACCACCATATCAGCAGGCGCTACAAACGCTATCCCAGCGGATACATTCAGCAGAACCCTTCCATCCTAAGCATCTATGACGTTCGCTTCGTGAAAGAGCTGGATGCACTTGAGGACGAGAGGTGACCGAGGTTCAATGAGAGCTATATGGAAATCAGTATGGTCGGCGATCGTGTCGGAGGTCCAAGTGAAGAGATAGGATAGGCGAGTTGTCAGATCTAGTTGGTGGTAGAGTGCTGGAATGTGCGTAAATTGGCCAAAACCAGGTGGACATAAAGACTAAATCCAAATCGACCACTGCCCGATGACTTCAACCCTTGGATAAGAAATTGCGTCTTTCGCAAGCTTGAAATGGTACATGGTTGAGGTCTCAGGCCTTGCTAGCCGTGTACCTCCGTCTGTTCTTCCGCATGACATGCTTAAAATAAATCCACGTATTGAAGAATTTTCCTCGATCCTGCAGATCCAAGCCCTTCACTGATTCCCAAATCTGACATCCTGCTGTTGTAGCAGCTCAATTTATCTCACCTGCGTCTCCAAGTGTCTCATGCTCACCATGCGAGTTGAACGAGAGACCTGGTATCGTCCTGGCGCTCCAAATGTTGTATTCTCTCATGCGTCTCTAGCGTCCCAATGCGAATTTGCAAGTGCCAACACATTTATGCGTGGTGCATGGTGGAGAAATCTCTCTATAGCCATAGCTGCTGAAAGGCCTTCTTCGGTAGGCTTGAGCGCTAGGAACTCAAGCTGCGGAAAAAGCACAGGACCATTACTTTCAAGTAGCCGCAGGTTGAAAGACTTCCCTTCAAAACGACATTCTTTCAAATTGGCGCAACCATTTCCAAGGATTTCTAATGCTCGGTACGTAAGACTTGTTTTGGGTGTGAGGTTGAGGCAGCTCAATCCGGGAAGCAAGGTTACGAAGTCTTGAATTACGTCGTCGGTGATATTGGTGGTATCACCACCATCCACTTCGCAAAGCCGACTGTGCATCACTTTGAGATCTTGCAATTGTGGGCAGCTTTTGGCAAGTGCGAGGAGACATTCTGGGGGAAAGTTAGACTTCGCATCAAAGTGAGGGTAATCAAAGTCAAGCGAAAGATTGACGAGACTGGTACATGAGCAGATGTCGAATACTGTCTTGCTAGCGGCGTCAACCAAGCGCAGGTCCAAATCCGTGAGGCTGGTTAGATAATGGCTGAGTTGACTGAAGGCTTTGCTCTCCGACCAGCATCGCAGGTAGACAAGCTCGGGCAACGGCTGGTCTACCATATCTTGCATCCCGTTGATGAAGCTCAGCTTCAGAACTGGGTATAAGCAGAGTGCGGCCAGATTTGGTCGTGAAGCGAGGTGAACAAACACCTCGTCAGATATGATCTCTTCCCTGCTGTCAATAAGACAAATACTTGTCAGAGAAGGCATACCATTCAAGAATTGCAGAAGGTCATCTGTGGTACACCGGCCGTGCTGGTTGTCTATCCACAGACTTCGAAGAGCAGGACATCGTTCTTGTATCTGCTCCATTAAGAACTTTGACATGGGCAATCCGCATGGTTCAAACGTCCGTAAGTTGGGCTGTAGGTATTTCAAGAATACTTGCTCGTCCTTGCCGCCCGGTTGTTCCGTCCGTAATCGGTTCAAGCGTGGAAACCGTAGGGACCGTAACTTCATTTGATTTTTGTATGCATCATCCTCATTCTCAAAGTACCGAAGATACAGGGACGATATCTTGTCTGCGTAGTATTGGAGCCTTTCGGCGTCTTCGATGCGGGCGAGAGCCAGAATTGGAGGGTCCACACGCCATAGCAGTGTCGTGGCTTCATCTGCCCACAGCTTATTGACCTGCAGAGCTGCGAACAGAGCTTTGGCATTGTCCAGCTGCTCCAGAATAGCAGCCACAATTTCAGGCAGCCCCACGGCATGAGAGCATGCTGGTGACATCGTTATGTGGAGGCCTATCACTTCTGGGGTCTTCCGCCGTGGGTACCGAAAGAGGGAATTTGAGAGAAAGTTGGTAATGGTCTCCATAGAGTTGGTTCAGGAAGGGGTTTGTCGATTTTTTAATCAGGGTGAACTCTTCGGCGATTTTTTGCGGATCCGAGGGTATTGGCGGCAAATTTGGAAAGTGACTGAGATTGGGCGTGAAGGACTGAGGCCGAATGAGAGGAGCCGCGAGGATCAAATGTGGTGGTCTTTGATTGCGGATGGCTTCATCTAAATCATCTGAGTAGAAGGAGCATAAGCATCATTCTTGGTAGGTGCAGTGTGAATTTGGCTGTTTGAAGTTTGGGAAGGAGGCAGAGTGAGCGTCTCACGTTGAACCGCCCAAGCCTAATACAACGCTAGTCTACGTTTGGACTCGCGCTATTTACGCGCTTGAAAGAGATTTGGTGCCACGATGGATTACTATAAGAGGAACTACTAAGGAAGGACTCGGCGGTGCTCTCGCATGTATATACGTTTGGACCTTCGACCCATTTTCCCATCATCATGCTTGATCGCCCCTTCTACACAGATAGGCGTGTTGCAACTACCATATCAAAAAGAGCTGTGCCGAGCGCCCACCGCCGGCAAAGACGTGTCAGTTGTCTCTATACGAACGATTGAAGATGGCGACTCTGCAATGCCAACATTATCAAAGAGTATACAGCGTACACTTTACTTCTACAGTCTCAGCCAGATCGTGCTTTAGCGCTTGTAAGACTTTGCTGCCAGAGCGAACAGTATCTCAGGCATGATAATGACAAAGGTGTTAGCATACCTACGTGTTACGAGTGGTATGTGTAGTATATCAAGTATAGAAACATGAAAGCGCGTTTGTTTACCCGTGAGAAGAGAATTCGAGAGGTGCAGCGACTTGAACGCTGTTTGGTAAGCATAGAAGATGAAAGAGGTGCGTTTGTGCAGAAAAAACTTATGAGGAAAGAGAGACAAATTGTTCCCTTTATCCTTGGGCGTAATGACATCTATGATGTCGAATGTGGGGGCACTACTCCAGAAAATTATAGAGCGCGGAGGTTACTACGCAAAATGTAGTAGAGTGGAGGGGGGTTTTTCTGCAGAAGAAGAGACGTACAAACAGACGTAGAGCATCTGAGTGAGTGAGCAGCGCCAAATGGTGCAAGAAGAACAAGTGGAGTTGATTCTCTTCATAGAGATAGTAATTACTCAACACGCAATGATGGATGAAGAAGATTGCATCTCTTGATCTTCGAAAAATCCTTGAATATCATAAAGTCATCTCCATCGCCGGAAATTGAACGTCTCTCCAAGACTTCCCAAGGGACGCACGGATCGCCAAGAAAGTGCATTGTGCCTTTGCATCGCGGCATAGACACCGTCACTTGCTGGCCATCTCGTGCCCATGTCCGCTTTCGACATCGATCAAACACGCTGAGAGACGAAATCGAAGACAAGAAAGCGCAATTGCAACGATACCAGGTGAGACGAGTGAGCCTAGGAGTCCTCCACGACTAACTAGTAAGTCCAAATATCAATTCAAGTTTTGCCTCGCACTTTCCGAAACTTCTTCAACTCTTGCAATCCACTCCTCGTCGCCTGTAGGCTCTTCAAGTGTGGATTTTATACCTCATCGAGTAGGTCTACGTTCTCGGCAGTATTTCCCGGTTGCCGACACTAAGAAGGCAACTCAGGGCGCTTCTTCCTCAGCTCTCCCCTCGTCTTTTTTAGCGGCGGAGACGTCTGCTCTAGCTCTGTGCATCTGTACTCTTGTTAGCTGGCGTCATTCGTAATGGGCTGAGTACCCAAAGATTTGTCTGACCTTCCCGGACTAAATAGCCATTCCGTCAATGTTTTGTCCTTGACTGTACTGCCTCTCTCCAAGTCTTCCCTGATCTTGACCAGGTATCCGATAGCTTCTCTCACCTCCGATGTGGGCTTAACGCATTGCTTGAAAGCTCTTAGCATGACTTTGCAGTCAACGAGAGAGCTCAGACTCGAGCAGATGTGGGCTTTGTCATCAGAGCGTCCACAGAATGCGCAAAACCCTCGTTTGCTGTTCTCCCAGAAGCATTCCACCAACCGGATATCGTACTCCGCAAGTGCGTGGAAAGCTTCGTATGAGAGGATACCACCGAGCGAAGTGATAGCCTTGCTGATTTCGCTGCGTATATTGTTTGTAACCAGCAGTTGCCGCTTCTTTTCTTTCATGCATGGAGGATTGTGCGTACACTTCACAGGAAAGTTGAAGCATCCATTGCGGCCGCAGTTAATAGGCCCGCTCTCCACCGTAAAATGCCTCCAGTTGCAGCAAGTCCAATTGCCGCAGAGGTGGCTTAGGTGCCAGGATTTGTTGATAAACCCGTCCATCTGGTCATCTGTCAGCTGTTGGCGAACGACCAGAGCTACAATCCCCCAATCGACGGTTAGCCTGTGGAACCCATGATCGTCACTCCAATTGAAACCGAAGGGGATCGCCCTTACAGGCTTCCCATTGCACTGTGGTGGCGTAGGATGCAGTCGACAGTCGTCATTCGATCCAGACATGTCCAGGAGCTGGTAGATATCAGAGAGATACTTCTTCGTCGCTGCTTTCATGCCTTCAGTTGGAGTATGGATGAAGAAATGCTTCCGCTCCACGACGGTCATAGAGTCTGTTTTGAGGTTTCGTGTAGTCTTTCGCGTAGCGCTGTCCGAATCTTCATCGGCGGTGTGATGTGCAGGAGGATCATGCCACATGCGCCGTAGGTCGAGTTGGGATTTCTTGTAGCAGCCATTGGCTTCTTGATCGGACGGCAAGACACCGAATTTCCCGCTATCGCTCAGTGCCTGTGTCTCATGACCTGAAACGTAGACTGCCGTAGTAGCTGGCCATACTGGATCCTCTAGCACTCGGACTTCAAGTAAGTTTTCCGATTTACTGTACTGCGTGGATGGAAGGTGAGGAACTTCATTGTATTTTGAGCGCTTTCGTTTTCCGATAGTCGAATTGAAAGTGGTCGCTGATCCGAAGTCCTCCCCAACGAGCTTCCTTTTCAAGATTCCACTGGAGCCGTCGAAGCTCCCTGGGATTGACACAAAAGGTTGCCTGAACATGTTGGCCTTCGTGCCAGAGTAAGAAGCCACAGCGTAGGTCAGTAACACATATAGGGGTGGAAATTGTAGAGGCGTGTCTGGGAGCAAGTGTGAGGACGTAAGATGAGCGCGAGCTAACTGTGAGAGGTTGTTGGATAATTCTAGGAATGCAAACGGCAGAAGAAAGAATCTGATTCGAGTAGTATCCGAAAGTAGAAATCTGATCTATTCGTGAGCTTTCATACAATACTTTGACGGGGTTTAATGGGTGCAGGGAGACTCACCTGCGTGCTGGCACCAATCAACCGTACGCTAAAGGCAGCGCTGCACCAAAGTGGCGCCGGAGAGAGGAGAGGTGAACTGAATCTAGAATGTCCCAAAGGATAGCTCAGAGACAGATGAGCTATACCAAAGATAGCAAACAGGGACTGTCAATGACAAAGAGAAGTCGAATCGAGCTAAAGAAACGAGTAGCAAGGGCAGATGGACCTCTGAAGGTCTCTGAAGGCCAACCCAATCAGAGAATGAGACGAAGAATAGCCTCAGTTCTGCATGATGGGAAATGAGAAGTGTCCAAGAAGCAGGAACTAATGGAAATGTCACGAGTAGAAGTAAGGACATTTGCCAAGGTGAAGAAATGTCCAACAGCAGGAAGCATTCCGCGCACCGTAACATTTAGACGGGAGACCGTCACATTAGATCCTTTTCGTTCAAGCAACGGCCGGGGCCCCAGACGATAATCCGCAGAGACCTGCTTCCAGCGAAGTAATTAGTGTGTCTCCATGACAGAAGCTGGCATCGGAGCCGAACAGTCCGTATTGAGTGCCCCAAGAGAAGCTCATCATCTTGCATCCATAGACCCAGAGAAGCCAACGTGGTCACGCCCAAGAGATTGCCCGTAGCAATGACGTGGACCCTTCAATATATGGCCCTTCACGCTCATTGTAATACGGCACGACACTGGACGTCTTTGGCGCGAGCCTCGTGGCCGCCTGCTTTGCTTTGGGCTGATTCTTAAATCATCGAGGCATAGCTGCAGGCTGTTTGAAACACAGAAAGTCGTACCGGAACCCCCACGCCTTCGATCGACCGCACCTTTCGATATCACCACAGACGCTAGCATCTCCGGACAATGTCGGCATAACAATATCACTCCTCCCCAATCCCAAATCTTCCACCATTCCTCGTCTTCAATCACCCCAGCGCACCGCGAACACATCCCTCAAACCCGTCAACACACTTCCTTCTGAATCGAATACATCTCCCCTTACCGGTGACGCCGCCGTTCCCTCTCACGTATACGCTTTGCAGCACACACGCCATGTCCAAGGCGAAAAGGATTCCCCGCGCGCACGGCACGAAGCTACCCTCGATACCCAGCCTACTCACTCGTCCAGGCAAGGAGACAGGGCTCACTCTTCCGCAATCTCAATTCCAGTCCAGCGATGCTATACGCCTTAAAGAGCAGGGGTAGGTAAACCCGGACCCTTTCCCTCTTTTGCCCGCCCGTTCGCTCGTTCGCGAACTCCCTTCCTTCCTTCCTCCCAACTACCCAACTACCCAACTGCAAACCCCGTCGCCCGCACCACCGATGATGGAAACACTCAATACGGGACAGGACGGGAGTAACAGCGTCCCGGATTTGATGTTTACGACTCGACGGTACCTCCGACTCGATCCCTGACAAAGTTACCGCAGCCATGCACCGTTCATGCATCCGTGTTGCACGGGAAAGAAAGTGGTCTCGTTGTGTGGATGAGCTGGGTGGTGATGAGCAATACCAAGTGGGGCGCTTGAAAGAGAGAGGGAGGGAGGGAGGGAGGTTACAACGTGACGTGTTGGCGTCGAGTAGCCGGGCAAAAGAGAGCGAGGGATATAGATAGACCACGGGCAGGTCCACCTACGCACGGCTGTGTAGTACATATGCATCGAAAGAGGGCACTGGCGAACCATCGCTGCGATCGGATTGGAGCGGCGAAGTTTGGATATCTATCGTGTTTGAAGAACCACCTGGGCGCGGCGACGGAGAGCTGTCGTTGTCGAGTAAAGTGGAGTATGCACGCTGCTATCCCAAGTTTAGAAGCATGCACTGATTCATCCATTTAAGTCGTTTGGCCATTACTATTATCATTACTATTACCATCACCATCACTACACGGGACCGTACCCCTCGCTCGCATCCCTCTACCTGCGTCTCCATCCCGCTAACACCCCAGTCCTCTCCCCCCACGAATCCCCACACCCTCCAACCCCCCAAAACACCGCCCCCTCAACCAACCAATCAATCATACTCCCAAACCCCCACCCCCCCATACTCCACCCCCCCGGCCTCAAACGCCAAACACCCCGTCTTCCCCCCCCGCTTGAGATCCGCATACACCAACCACGGCCCCTTCCCGTCGCCGCCCCCGCTCTCCGCCGCGACCGGACAGGCGAGCCAGCCCTTCGACGGCGTCCCCGCGAAGGTGAAGGATCGGGCGTCGCGGTCGTAGGCGAAGCCGGCCGGGTAGGCGGTCGAGGCGGCGACGTCTTTTTCTTCTTCGTGGGCGGCGGTGAAGGAGAGGGTGCCGTCTTTGGCGACGTAGATGGATTGGCCGAAGGGGACGTGGGTGTCCTGGATGGGTTGGGGTTAGAAGAGGGATGGTGGGGAGGTCAGTGGGGTAGGGGGGGCTAAGGTGGGTGGGCTTGCCAGAGTGGCGTATCCGTCGCCTGATACCACCACGGCTGTCTCGGTCTCTGTTGGGCAGTCCATTTTCGGCTCTGCGGGACAGGATGAGGAGGTTGCTTTGCCGAGCCAGAAGTGGCCGTCGTTGGCGTTCAAAGTGGACAGGTGGATTGGGAAACCGAGTCTCAGGGCGCGGAGGACGAAGGGAGTGCTTGAGTTGGACTGGAGGGGGGAAACGAGGATGGCGGAGGAGAGGAAGGGAAGGAGAGCGAGGACAACGATGGGGTACATGATTGTGGGGATGGAGTGGCTAGCTGCTGTTGTAGGTGAATGGTAAGAGAAGGCAGCAAGATGTTGGCGAACATGATGGCAGTTTATATATCTCGCTGGCGGGTGGCAAATCACTCTTGTACGTAGCACGGCCACAACAACGCACGTGGGAGCTTGGGAACTGTATCTAGATTTACATGTCTCGGCAACGGCCTCACGGCAAATGTCGATATAGGACGTCGGGAAGCATGGGTGGGAAGGTGAAGAATGTTAATCGGTGCCTTGCGGGCCTAGATGCTTCCTGAATCCCCTGGAAAGACTGATGCGAATCTGAATTGCCATGTCTCGGCAGCGGCCTCAACACAAATGTCGACATAGGACGTCATTCCAGCCGTTCAGTGGGGTAGATGCTTCGGCCTCATGGTCCGTGGAGAAACGACGGTTAAGATGGTGTAAGGGATATCTTCTCGGGGTCTGTTTGGAATGTGGGTCACACAACAGCGAAGTCTGAGCGCTGCCGGATCGAAACAGTCCTCTCTTCGCCATTACTTTTCGTCACGGAACCTGCGTCGAATCTTCCAAAACGAGTACTGTCGAATAGCTTAGGATATCTCCTTATATCTTTGAGTATACGGAGTATCGAGTTCGAGCGGCGCCAAATCGGTTGCTAAAAGGTCACGTATGACGGGTAAACCGACGAATGCTATTGGATGTCGATGTCCAAGGATGCGATTAATTCCTCATTTCTATATGGGAAAGTCCAAGTGTGATATAACGTCAAATCGGATGTTTGGCGACGTGGACAGTGAGAGACCAAGTACGTTCGAAGATCTCTCGTTCCCAATTCACAAAGAATCGTGACCACACAACGTAGATAGATTGCGCCCAGGAAACTTTAGCTTACGACATGTTGACTCTTCACACCATCATTCGACTTTTGTAAACCATATCTTATCATCGCCCATCTCTGGCTGCAGCCCCAAACCTAGCTCTTTCACCGCCCCATTCTCCCCAAGCCGAAACTCGGCTTTTGAGACCATATCGCGCATAGGTTCGTAGTCGCCCGGCTGCCTTGTCTCTTCGAGGATTCGGATGTAAATCACAAAATATTCGCCGCTGGCGTGTGTAAAATCGATTGAGACGGGTCCACTCAACATATATGAGTCAGTGTGGAGTATCTCTTTATGGTTCGCCCCTGCCATATGCAGGCTCGGATCAAGGTTGGTTTTGGTGATGAGTGTAAAATTGGGATAACCAAGGTGCGTGTATCTCTGATGATAAGTTAGCTTCTACCACGGTGTACTCTTGGGACGTGCATAGAGTCGTACCCCGGTATAATGACTCAAAGACAAAGTCAGTGGAATAGCATTATCTCCCAGGGGTGCATCCGCATATAGGTGTTTTGTAGGATCCCTAAGAACCTCTGTTGCATTCCGAAGGTCCCAGTCGATGGTAGCACTCCAGGAGAGCCGCTCACTCTGCGGTGTCCCAAGCAGATCGTCAAGCAATTGGTAGGACAGGATCTGGTGAGTGATCTTGCCACCTTCCATATCGTTGGCCATAATAGTAAACCCCCAATTTCTTCGTGGTAGGTAAGCCATCATGGTTGCGAAACCGCCGAGGCTACCAGTATGCCATAACATAACCTCTCCACGATAGTTGCTAATGAACCAGCCCAGCGCATATCCGTGGACGACTCTGAGTCCTGTGTTTTGGATGCCAAAGGCAGGTATATTGATCCGCGGAAAGCGCAGGGAGTTATGTGCAGCCTGGGAGAGTGGAGCAGCCATAGTCATCATACACCGGAGCCACTTGGCGTAGTCTAGTACATTGGATATTATTGCACCAGCTCCAGAGACAGCATCCGAATCCATGTAAGATACGCTGCGATATTCCTGGGTTCGATTAAGCCATACGTATCCTCGAGCTAGGGTAGCGTTGCCGGTATACGTAGCTGCTTTAGAATCCGATAGCGAAAAGAAGGTATCCTTCATGCCCAAAGGCTCCCATATGCGATCCCGGAGGATGTTACTCAGCCAGTTGCTTGTATAAGTCTCAATGAAGTGTGTGATAGTGATGTACATCAGGTTGCAGTATTGCCATTTTGTGCGTGGCTCAGCCGTCATCCGCAGATGACGAAGCTTCCGTACTGCATCGCGAACTGTAGTATTAAGGGTCCCCCAACTCAGGTCATGGTCAGGCATGCCGGTTCGATGGGAGAGAGCATCCTCGAGGGTAACGTGTGAAGTGGCCCACTCGTCGGGCAACACGAAGTCTTCGCGAATGAGGGAGGAAAGAGGAGTCTGCCATGTCAGAGGATTGCTGGAATTGGCAGTGTCGTCGATGAGAAGGGAGACAGCTGCGGCGGTGAAGGACTTTGTCGTCGAGCCTGTGTAGAAGAGGGTGGAAGGTGTGACCTTCTCGTCAGGGAAGGTCGCGATGCCGTAGCCCTGTGACTTTTAGTGGGCCTGTTGCCTGAGCCGTTGAGAGCATACTTTGCTGAACGTCTTATCGCCAGCTACCACAGCAGCGGAGATGCCTGGAGTATGCCAGTAGTCCAGAGTATCTGTGACGAGCTTATCGAAGTCTGGGGTGAACGGGGAAGCGTCGGGAGCAGTCAATGGGATCTGGTCGGCACCAGACAAGGCGGAGAGGCTGAAAAAGAAGGCTCTTTTGGGGAGCAACATTTTCAAAGTGGGTTCCCAAATAGGCGAGCAAAACCGTGGGCCAGGTGGTTCAGATAACAGGGTCAACAATTGTAACTTTGTGCAGACATGGAAGACGGAGCGATGGCCACACTTTTTGTAAGTGGTAATGGACTCTGGGTCGTCAGCCTATTTGGCTCCTATTTGGCCAGTGAGCGAGCCATTGAGCGATCTTTGCTCGAAAAGTCCACCCAAAGTAACCAAGCTCAATGCGAGGTTGATCCTGCCGTTGCTCGCTGGGTATGGAGATTGGAGATTGGAGATAACTGGGTATGGAGATTGGAGATTGGAGATACATAGCAATAGAATACCAGGCTAGCAGCGGGATCTCCGTTACAACACTAGTGGTGAAATACGATTAGCGTCTCTTGGCAAAGTATGCATGAAGAAGAGATGGGATACGACGAGAACAACTATCCATAAGTACGCCTTATTAAATACCGTTCAGATCGCAGCCGAGCAAATTCGTTAGAGAAGGTCTCCACATGGCATTTGAGGTACCAAACAATCAAACCAATTTTCCATCCTCAAGCCATGACCCATCACTCAAACAAAGCCTCATGTCGCAAACCATTCCATCACGACCCGCGAGCTCTCACGTCCACCATCACAGTCTCGCTCTCCCCGTGGTCTCGTACGTCCCCTGATGCCACACCGGCACCTCCATCTTCAGCGCGTCGCCACTGTACCCGAGGTCCTCCGCGATCAGCATAGCCGCCTTCTCGCCAATCAGCAGCGCCGTGCTGTAAGTGTTGCAGCCGACGTTGTCGGGGCAGATGGACAGGTCGGCGCATTTGAGGCCTTTGACGCCGTGCACGTTGAGGCGTTCGTCCAGGACGCCGTGTTTGACGATGGAGTTGCCTTCGCGGGGGGCCATGGAGCACGTGCCGAGACCTGGTGAAGGGGTGATCAGCTTACGTATTTGGATTGTGGGACTGTGAATAGGTCAGGCATGGAGAGGAAAGGGAGGCTCACTGTGCCAAGTAGTCTCCACGTGGCGTTTGACCCACTCTTCAACCGCCGCAATGTCCTCTTTGGTGTACTTGAGATCTTCTCTGATATTGGCCGTCTGGCTGCTCGTGACGAAGCTGTCCGTGGGCGCTTTGCCAGGCTTGGTGTGGATGGACCAGCTACCGTGCTGGATGCCTGCTGAGAGGTGGTTGGGGCCGCCGTAAGCCTTGGTGTCTTGAAGGTTCAGGTCTTCGGAGCGGGCTGGGGAGTCGTAGCCGAAGAATCTGTGGTGCGGATCAGGTCTTAGCAAGAGCATGAACGAAAAGGAGAAAAGACGAGCGATGACTTACGGATGCTTATCAGTGACCTCTCCAGCATACGCGTCCATACGGCGAGCTGTCTCTCGGGACTTAATGTAGCCCCAGACCATGGGTGCCATATCACGCTCGTCGTTCATGAAGCCGGCGTCGAAGTCTGGAGCATCGTATGGATCAGGCGAGAGGATGTGCGTGCTGCCGCGCGAGAATGGATATTCCAAGAAGTGGAACATGGAGAAGAATTTGCCCTGCGGCATGAGCATGTGATCTCCGAAGAAGCTGCGTCGCATTAGCTTGAGACTGTCCGGCTGTTGGGAAGATAGACTGACCCAGAGATGACGGAGTAATGCATGACAGGCTTGTCAGGCTTGTGCTTGAAGTAGCTGTCCCAGCCGGGACGGAATTCCTTCATGTAGTCCTGAGACAGCTCCTCCTCGGTAGGTCTGACCTTGACGCCGGCTTCGATGCCATTAGTGGCAAGCGGACCCGTGCCATTAAGTTGCCACTGGTCATAGACCTTCTTTTGCGTCTCGGGATCACCTCTGATAAAGTCATCGAAGCTCTCAGTGTCAGGCTTGGCACGGTAGGCCGAGAAGGTAAGGTAGTGGTCTTGGAAGTTGAGACCAACGCCGGGCAAGTCAACTTGGCATTTCACGCCGGCTTTCTGGAGTTTCTGGGGGTCTCCAATGCCAGATCGCTGGAGCACCAACGGTGTGCTGAGAGTGCCGCAGGAGATGACGATCTGCTTGCGGGCTTTGATGACTTTTTCCTGTACCTGGTTTGCATCAAGCTGCTTCATGGGCACCGTGCGGATCGCTGTGGCACGGCCATTTTCGATAATGACTCTGTCGATCTTGGTGTTGCACATCAAGTAGAGGTTGTCATGGTTCCTATTCTTCACAGTCAGCGAACTGTTTGGCATGAGCAGGGCCTGGTTCACCTCATGTTCGAATGGATGTATCCATGGGCTGAGTCCGAACGACGGCCCGTGTCCCTATTGATCCATTTGAGCCAATGTTCACCACCGTGCCCGGTCGTCAGGTCCTCCAGATCGTCGGTGGTGGGGATGCCCTGTGATTCAGTGGCACGTAGAAAGTCCCATGCAATTGGGTACGTATAGTTGCCAAATGAGACCTTGATAGGACCCTCAAAACCATGAATGTCACGATTATTACAGGAACGCTGGTACGTCTCATGCTTTTTCATCAGTGGAATGAGTTCCTTGGTCTTCCATCCCTCGGCCTGGAAGTCATCATAGTCGGAGGCACTAGCTCGTGTGTACATCATCTGTGCGCAAGTTAGCATCGGCCGCTCCGCTAATGTTCTGGGGCAGCCCACGAAATTGATACTAGATCCGCCGCCGAGGATGTTGGCACATGGCACAATAGCCCTACGTCCACCCAACCATTTGGAAGGTCTCGAGTGGTAGAAAGAAGCGGTCTTTGAGTCGAGCTTCATGTTTTTGGGGTATATGCCAGGCCTATGTGGATCAGTCACGCATCCCATGCGAATGCTAAGAAAAAGCGTACATTGGAACCCATGGATTGTTGAGGTTGTTCTCTCCTCCCTCGATCAACAAGACCTTGAGGTTCCTGTCGAGGGCCGCCAGTCGACCAGCGACGACACACCCGCACGAGCCTCCTATAGAAGTTGTCAGCCTCTATCCAAGTCCTGCCACTGACTACGTCGATCTTACCTCCGGCCACGATAATGTCAACCTCATCTGGGATCGTCATGTTGAGTAATGGTATTCAGTGATACCGGTGTAAGAGTCTAATGGATCGGTTCGTCCTCGTTGGTTATTCAGGAAAAGGAGCAGGCTTCGAAAGGAGTGAGAGGAGTATCATATATGACACTCTCGGACGTGGAGAAGCCCCACCTTCGGCCATATGGATTTGCGGAGAGATGAGCACCTTGCATAAGCTCTGACCAACCCCGCGAAGCCTCGTCAGCCTGGATTGGCATCTCACATTTCAATGCAGTGCATTTGGCAAAGTTAGATTGTGGGGTTCTCCGCGTCCAAACCGACAGTGTCCGATTATAGTAAGAAGCGTGCGAGTGCTGCAAGACTAGCATGGTTCCAAACCCATCTAGGCAGGCCCGACTCGAAGATGCTGGGAATGTTCAAAGAAGCACGATTGGAGGGGTTTGTAACTCTGTCAGGCATTGGCCAATGAGGGAAGAGCTTGGTATTGGTAGTGGATGGAGGAAAGGACGCGTCGATCATATTAGCAACGTGGAGAGGGTTAACAAGTTACAAGCAGAATAAAGTCGGCAAAACAGGAGCATATGCATGGCATCAAAGACGGAGGAGGATGCCGCACGAATAATAATAGGTGAAGAACACTTCCCCGCATTGAATCCAACGTCTCGAATCCTGGGGAAGTGGGGTAGGGTTGAAGGAAGTTCTAGGACTTTGGCGAAGATCTTCTTGTTGCATGGCAAAATATCCGAAAAGTAAGAGAGCATTGACTTTCAAGGCAACTGGTACCAACCTCCGCTTCTCCACCAGGTCAATCGGCTCAGGGTAAGAATAGAGGCTGGCTCCTTGAGAAAAGGCCCTCATCTTCGACAACCAAAGGTACGAGCTGCCGCCACGATTCCTTCGTCTGCTTCGCGGAAACGCCAATCCAACCCGGAGGATGCTAGACCACTACGGTCATTTCAAGTCCTTTTGAGGAGCGTATCCCGGAGCCCGACTCGAGTACTTCGGAGGAGAAAGGCGTTTCGTCAAGTGTCAGAAAGCGGGGCAAGGGGGAAATACGGCACGGCAGCTAGCGAAGCGGTTTTTGCGGGGAAAATCATCTACCTTACAGTACCTTCTTACCCCCAACCCCTTTCTTTGTGAATTTGGTGATCCCACGCCTCGGAAAGAATCGTCCGAGTGGGGCCGACGTGACGGTGCTGGCTGCGTACGTAGAGTATGAATTATTATCATCATCATTATTGTAGAAAATCACAAAAGTGCACTCAGAGAATCCCGCTCAGGCCGACTCGATGCGAAGAGCCAGCCAGCCAGCCATCTAATTAGCCGGCTTAGACCCCAGCTTCCCCCCTATCTCGCAAGAATGTCATGTCCCCACCATGGCAACTGGGCCCGTCTTCGACCCGCTCGAGTCGCTGCGACGGGCCTCGCCCACGAACCGGCACCTCTTCGCCGTTACGTGCTCGCACCTGCGAATACTTCCGGACCGGAGTGAGGGTTTTCGTATTCGTACTGTGAGAGAGGATGAGTGTGTATTCGTACTGTGGAGAGAGGATGAGGGTATTCGAAAGAGCTGGATGGATTTGAGGGGAGTAGGCTTTGATGCTGTTGCGCGCGGATAGGGTGGGATGGGTCGGTAGGTAGGTAGGTAGGTTTTTTGGTTAAGTCCCTCGGCGAGAGGCTACGGATGACGCATGCGGCTCGCTCGTGTTCTTCAGAGTCTGGTATGATATAAATTGAGGTGTGTCTAATGACTTTTCAAGTACAAGGGTGGGTATGTGATGATGGGACGCACGGAGCGTGTGTGATAGATATTGATAAGTGGCAGGGAAATCTACCCATTGAACCCGCTTCACTCCCCCCTCTTCACGTATACAGGCCAACCACTCGGCGAAGTGACAAACAGCCCCCCGGCCCCCCCGTTTTTTTCTTCCCGTTCGTCGTAGCCGAGACCGAACTGGGACGATCCCGTCCGATTCGATCGCGGCCTTGAGTGGAAAGGGAACAAGTCAGAGGCACACGGGAATCGGGAATCTCTCCGTTCGCTTCACGGTCGCGGCGTCACCGAGCCAGCGCTTTGGGTTGTAATTGTTGCTTGAAATTGGAGAGGGTACGCCAGGTGTATGGGACTGGGGGGGGGGGGGGGAAAAAAAAAAAAGAGGGGGGGGGGGGGGGGGGGGTTTTGGGGGGGGGGGGGGGGGGGGGGGGGGGGGGGGGGCCCCCCCCCCGCCGGGGGGGGGGGGAGAGGGGGGGGCTTTTTTTTTTTTTTTTTTTTTTTTTTCCCCGGGGGGGGGGGCCCCTTTTTTTCCCCCCTCCCCATTGAAAGGGGGGCGCCTGGGTAGAGACGAAGAGACTCTTTAATCTACTGGAAATCAGCCCACCGTTTAGAACCTCCGGACTCAGATATTAATGGCCCATACGCAAGCTTGAAGATACGGCAACTACAGCGCCCCGGCGTTCGAGACCACCGGAGACAGTAGCCCTGCCGCTTGAGCGGTGTCGACTTCTTCGCGCAGGCGTCGCAGATGGACGGGGTTTTCTTTCAGCAAGTAGTAAAAGGAAGCCTGCGGGACCGATCCCACCGTGTCGCCACCGGCGCCCAGATTGCTCATAGCGCCGCACAGGACATCTTTCTCGGTCATGCGATGGGGATATCGCGCCTGCTGGCCCATCCATTGCTCCGTCATGTCAGCTCTGGCTTCGGTGTTCTTCTCGCGTGCAGCTATGGCGTTCAGGGTCGTGTTGAAGGTGTGCTCTTTGGGTTGGAAAATCAAGCCAGCGGAGAATGGGATTGCCGAGGAGGAGGGTGTGTAGCCAGTGCGCGTACGCGGTCGACGTGACGTAGAGGGCCAGGCCGGAGTTGTTCTCGATTGAGTTTCCGATGTCGCGGCCTCGGTCGAGGAAGCCGACGCGCGTGGAGAACGTGACTTCGCCCATGATGTCCCACGTGAGAAAGTGGAGCTAGAGGCCGAGTTCAAAAGGCTTCTTCTGCTGGCTGAGCTCGTCGAGGCGCTGTTCCAGCAGCTGGATTGTCTTGTCCATGAACGGTTCGCTTTTCATCACGCTTGAGCCCGAAAAAGCCAGATGCCAGGTTGCTGCGCATTATTGCGTATCTCTTCGGATCGCACTCGGACATGAGGCTATTGTCGGTACTGTTGGGTACTGCGAAGAGTTTGTACCAGTTTGATTTCCACAGTGGGGCCGCAAGCATCTGTAGAGCTTCTGGGTGGTCGATACTGACTTCGTTGTAGCTGACGCGCACAAAGGGTCCTGACGACATCAGCAGCGAGTGCGATGAATGACGATAGGTATCATGCCGTGTTCTCTGTGGAGGCGAGCCAGTTTCTCATTGAAACGGCCCCTACAAATCTCCCAGAGCTGGAAGCAGGTGCCCAAAACAGGACCGGGTATATCGCTGATGACGGAGAAATAGCGCTGTCGGATGAGAATGAACAAGACAAGTAAAGCCAGCCTGTAGATCACAAGCTGCACGAAGCTCATATCGCCCAGCACCGGTATAACGACCGTAGTGGCCATACGAGAGATGGTTCAGAATCACAATCAGGCGGTCCAGTGTAGACCTTTACGTATTTGCCCCCCATCTCGATCAGGTATCTGGGAAGAGCTGCCCTTTTATCGTGTTCGCATTTCATTACCAACGATTGATGAGCGATATACGATCGTCGTTATATATCTAATCAAGACAGAAGAGAATAGTAACACAAAAATAAACCTGTCAAGAAGAAATCCAAGCTTATTTTTCCTCGGCGTAAGGTAATCTTCAACCATCGAATTTCGACATGGCGAATAACATTCGATATCTATCACCATTGATGTACTTTAGACAACCCACCTATAGGATTCAAACTCTGTACAGTAATCCCATAGCATATACGCCAATTATCTCCGCATCCCCCTCCCCCCTCCCCCTCCCCCCTCCCCTTCTCCCACTCGATACATTCAAATTTCCACCCAACAATCGCACTCGGAACCCCAAAAAACTCTCACCTGTAATATGCAAAGCGCTTGATATCGCGAACCCGGGTATCCTCTGACAGTCGGAATCGATGGAAGTATTGTAGTGAATAGATCGACTGGGACGAAAGACCCGGGACGTCAATGCCAAGAGAGAGTCTTTCTCTTCTCTTCTGTTTTCCTTTCCGTTTTCTCTCTCTTTTCTTTTCTTTTCTTTTCTTTTCTTTTCTTTTCTTCTGTCCGTTTTCCTTTTCCGTTTTCTCTTTTCTTTTCTCTTCTCTTCTCTTCTTTTCTTTTTTTCTTTTCCTTTTCTCTTTCTTTTCCTTTTCTCTCTCTTTTCTCTTTCTTTTCCTTTTTCTCTCTCTTCTCTCTTTTCATTTTTCTCTCTCTTTCCTCTCTCTTTTCTCTTTTCTCTTCTTTCTCTCTCTTTCCTTTTCTCTCCCTCTTTCCTTTCCCCCCCTAACCCCAAACCCCTCAAACAACACCGACCTCCCAAACAACACTGACCGGTACCCAAGCCACGGATCGACCCCCAGGCCCCCAATCCGGCCGACCACTCCACCCAAATGGTGGAAAAATATATTTCAAATGTAGAACCCATCCTTACCTATGATCTTATGTGGCAAGGGAATATCAATATCGACATGATATCCATAGAACTGAATCAGCGACGGATAATCCCTCGTGACATCGTTCCGTCAATATTTTCTTAATGCTCGCAAACAGTGAGGCCATACAGAAACGACGCATGCACAAGTAGATATGTAGATATATAGATATATGATTAAAATTAAACATATCCAACACTAAGGGCAGCCAAGACCTTTCTAAACATGCAAACAAATAGCCCAGAAAGATCCCCTAGCGCACAGAAATCCCATGTCTAAGCGATATGCCCTGGAGTGAAAAAACAAGCGTGTGGGTGGGAGGGAGAACAATGATACCTATGGCTCTGAAAGAGAATAATTCGAATAAAGAGCTCTACTAACTACGAATATTTATAAATTTGTCTAGCTATACTGTTTAAAAGCGTATATTAACTCTATACTCTACGTATCTAGTTAATAATTTATAAAAAAACAAAAAGAGATTAATATTGATGTTCTTTTTTAGAACGACCGCACCCGCGTTAGATCGAAAATAAGAAATAAGGTGAGTTTAACTGAAATGGCAACTCCGATGATCTATTGGCACAGCCACTTAGCGTAGCACCATTGTAAGTCTTGAGATTGAAACACCAAAATGATATGTATGGCTCTGAAAGAGAACGATTCGAATGAAGAGCCCATTACTGGTGCAGTGGCTATACAAATAGTACTCGCTATGGCCACCTGTCGCATATTGATGGAACGGTTGATCAAACAACCACCAACGCTATGGCCTTATAATGGACCCACTAACCTATAGTCCCACGTTGCGACTATCATATAATTTGGCAAGGGAATATCGATATCGACATGACATCCATGGAACTACATCGGCGACGGATGATATCGTCGTGACATCGTTCCGTCAATATTGTCATACTGAGATCGGAACACCCCTCCAAATCAACGCCACGAGGCTGGAGACGTGGGTACCGTACGTCAAATTACGCTCAGCGGGCTTCGAGTGCTGGAACTGCCTCGGCTGCTTGTTCTCTATGGCCGGTGTGTACCTACAGTGTGAAGGATTCGGAGGAGATGATTACGGGTAGGGAATTGGATCTGAGTGAGATTTCCGTTCGGTGATATATAGATATTGTAATAGTACACCTCGCAGGGTATCGATTTCCCGCCAAGACAACACCATCCTACCGTACATTCGCCTGATAATATCGCGACAATTGTACGCCAATGGTCGCTTTCGCTAGATACGCTGATGCAAGATAGATTCCGGAGGGTCTGGTGGGCTGGTTAGCGTCGACCGGGGGTGTGGATGGAAGATGATGAGACGGGGGCGTACCCCTCGGGACGGTGGACAGGACGTCGTGGCGGTAGTGGCGCCGGGTCTACCCGGAAACGCCGGGGGGGGGAGGCTCGGCCGTTTTATACGTAACGGCCTACTGGTCGAAAGCTCATCGTAGGTTGCCAGAAAGAATTCGTGGATAAGGTTATACTGGTGAGCATTAGGCAAAGAGCAGCGAATGTTGGAAAGAAGATTTATGCCGCTGCAGCGAAGTTCCCGCATCGATCTCACGTACCTCTCGGCCAATTTTTTATGGTTCGATTTGACCCATTTCTGCTCCGGACTCGGGTTGCTCCTCAACATACCAAGCGCTGTGCGCAATGCGAAGAAGGCCCTTTGCGGTCCTAGCAAGCCCATGTTGAAGTTTAAACAATAAGGCATCGATCGCACGATAAGCGTCGCAAAATCTTTACGTTGAACGAAGTTGTACTGATGCGATAGCCGTTGCGCCTTGGCGGTTACTTCATCGGGAGTCGAAGCCGGATCGGAGTTGTCCGGTACCTGATCGAGACCGGTAGAAATCGAGTCGACAGTATCGAGGGATACGACACTTTGTCTGCGGGAGTTGGATGAGAGGATGGTGGAGCATGTCGTCGCTATGGTGTTGCTAATTGTGATCTTGAGAGCCCAGAATGTGACTGTCGTGCTGGCGATGGACAGATTTGTAAAAGAGAGCCGGGTTTGTCCCTTTGGGCCAAGGTTTGAGCTGGGGGAGTCGGAACGAATTATCGTTGGCGTCGGCCAGTGTGATGATGATGGGGTCCGGATGAGGAACTCTTCGTACCAGATGTCAAGATCAGTGTCCATGCCGAGGCATCGTTGGAGGAAGTAGAACTGGGTTGAGTCGTTGGCGGATGAGAGATCCGCCTTATCTATTTCCTCCAGGAGAGAGGCTAGGACGAGGCCTTTGTCGTAAATTGATGGGTGGAGGCTGTTCGATGTTTCGTCCCAGTCTTGTGCTAGCCACTTCGGGGTCGCTAGGACGGATGCTCTACGGTCTTGTAGACATGTTATCATCTAAGGAGAATTATTATTTTTAGACATGTGAATAGGCGTTGAAGTAGACTTGCCAATGAAGCACGGAACTCCTCCAGGAGTGCTCGGCCCAACGGAGAGCGATGCTTTTGAGGGCCCCGCAACGACACCAGTGCTTCTAAACCAGTCATGTGCTTTCTCCATGCTTCCATGGACGTCACGAGCGACTCGGATTCGAACAGCTTTGCCATGTCAGCACTTGGCCACATCGAATCAGGCCAGCTCTCACTCACCTCATGAAGTGCCAGGACGTAACCCGCCGCAAATGTTTCATCTTGCCCCACAGCATGATCGGACCTCAGAGCCTTTTGCAGCTGGTGCAAGGCACGAACATAGCACGATTGCCCTTGCAGAGCCAGCCTATCGTCCTGATTCATCCGACCCAGCCTAGTAATGGTCAACGCCTTGAGCGACAGCTGCAAGGCGTCTGTGTCTGGCGGGCTGGGGGAAGATATGACTTGTTGAAGCCAGCCGCAGGGGGAGCCATCAGAAACGCTCTCGTCGGTGGAGGGGATGTACCTCTCCCAGAAGAGAGATATGATCTGATTGTCAAAGGCATTGGCGCCGTTGGGCTGGAAGACGATACGGGTATCGGCGGTCTGTTTGACAGACGTCTCGGCGATTCTTTGCCGCCAGTCTCTGACGTATCCCTCACACTTCCTTCCAGTATTGGTGCAGCGGGCGCAACATGGGGTCTTGAGATCGCACTAGGGTACTCTTCTTTTCAGCGCGTTGGATCTCGGAGACAGAAAGTCAAAGGAGGTTGGGAAGTGGGAATTAGATTGCTTACGCGGACTTTCCGTCTTCTGCAAGTGGTGCAGCCTTTGGAAGTGCCGGGGATTCCAACCATGTTGGGTAGGCGCGCTTGGCCTCGCACTCTCGAATTTCGATACGAACGTAATAATTAATATTCGAGAAATATTAAAGTAGCTTTGAGGGAGTTGGTAACTCTTTAGACGCGTCCTCTACCGTCGCTACCAAACCAACAGGGGAAAAGCGCCCAGGGTCGGACCGACTTTCTTCTTGGGTTCCCGTTCTATGGTTGGAAGTAAGTTGAAAGTAAGATGGATAAGAAGCTTCAATGGATAAGGAGCACGATAGATATCAAAAGCTTCTGAACTTCTTCGTGATGACAATGTCGAGTATGAGCTTCAGATGGAACATATAAAATTTCGCACGCATCATAGATTTCATCCATCAGGTTTAATAATAAAGGGAATTCTGGTGGGGGCGGGAAGCTGTGCCACATGCCCACATTTTGCCCCCATTTCCACCATTCGCAACCTCTCCGAATGTCGGTATTCGCCAGGTGTATGGCTCGAGAGGTCCTCTGCTGGTCGCTCCTTCCGTGCTTCATTGCTTCAAGCCACCGCCCGTTTGCTCCTGCGCTACTCCCCTCGAGCTCCCTGCCCGGTCCTGCTCCCTCACGCTCAGGACCGGCCTGTGAGTCTTCCTCTCCGCGCACAGCTGGCCTTGCCCCAGATGAGACCATATTTACATAGATCTCTCATCGTCCTCTTCCCTTTGACCGTCTTTCTACTTCTTCACCCCCACAAGCCCTTGTTGGTCGCTCCACCCGCGATTCTTCCTCTCTTCGCACGCTCTCTCTCGTACTTCCATTGCGCAACCAGCACCGACACCATGGCAAGTCGCAAGAAAAGTACAACAAAGGTATGGGTAGAAGTTGAAGTATAAGCGGTAGGCGCAGACATAGAAATCAGTGGGATAGATGGTGCCAAAGAAGGAGGGTACCGGAAGGCCCCCAATAACGGTGGCCGTTAGTCACAGTAGTATAATTCATGAGCCTTGAGAGGGTGTCTGGCCATGAAAATGATGAAACACCACTGAATCTTGGCGGGACGCCTTACCTCGATCCGACCACATTTGAGAACCTGGGATTTGTGTTTTGTGGTCTAGCTGTTTACAGTTTAGCGTCAAAAGGCCTGACTCTAGAGACATTGTGAACAGTTGGTCGCTATGGCTACGGTAGCTCTACGTTGTATAGCTTACTTGGCTTGGTGGGCTACATAAGGTAGCCTGCAGCTGCTCCCATAGAAATCAATATCCTTCCTCCACACTACGAATGCTCTTCTTGTTCCACCATATTTCTAGCACTCACCCTACCTTACAGAACCGGAGTCGCTTTGGCTGAGATGTTTTGGTCCTCGGATCCGACAGTCTTGGAAACTTTTCCTATTCTAGAGCAGATGTTATGGGTACGCGTTTTTGAATGGAAACGTATTGAAGTTTCATCTGAGACGCTCATTTCGTTAATACATATCATCGGATCATGATCCCACATCCACATCCGTCTGAGTTGACAACTTAAACACTGGTCTCCGTTCCGAGGTACTGCAGATTGCAACTCTGATCATCCTCCAGAGCTGAGAATTATGGGGTTATTTCCTCACGAGAGTTGAAGTTTGTGTCTTTTTCGAGCTGAGGAGTTTTCCGACCCCAAACTAAGAAATGAAAGAAAGGTGTGGCTAGTAAGCAGCCATCAAGGGCTGGCTATGTGATTTTCTCTATTCATAGCTTACTCTCTACAATCTTCGCTACACCATCATACAACGGCCCTGACTCCGACTTTGTTGCCGTCTTCGCCACCACGGATACCTGGTCACTACCAACATTGTAATCCTTGAGCCTACTCTCCAGGCCCAAATCCTTAACGAGCTTCTCGATGGCATCGGCCACCTTGAGGGCATCTTTTTTATCGTCTCCACTTTTGCTCTGTCCAATGTATGGTAATGCTCTGGCAACCTGAGCTGCATCTTCTGGGTTCTCCGCCTTCAGCCGTACAACGCCGGCCAGTGAAATACAAGACGTAATACCGTGGGGTATGCCGTAAGGCGACCCAAGAGCATAACCCATCGCGTGACTGAGCCCTAGACCACCCCCCATATCCAGTCCTATGGGAAAGAGCGAGTTGAAGGATGCCAGTTGTAGCCTTGTGATGTAGTCCTCATTCTTTGGCTCCGCCTTGGACTTGGGAAGGTAGGTGAAAAGTCCCTCGATCGCGCTCAGAACCAACGATTTCGCAGGGGCCTCTGCAGCTTTTGGGTGATATAAAAGTTCTACCGCGTGGTCCAGCGATCGTATACCCGTAGATAGCCAGAGCCTTTGCGGGGTCTCCAACGCGAATTTTGCATCGTAGATGATGACGTTCGGTACCAGCTCCGGACCTCCAACGCCAGTCTTTTTGCCATCCGCCGCCGTGTATCCTGCACCCATCGTACACTCGGCCGCGCTCAGCGTCGTAGGTATGGCGATGTGATAGAGATATTTGTTCGATTTCTCATGAGTCCTGTAGGAGATGGCTTTGGCTGAGTCAATGGGGCTGCCGCCTCCAATGCTAATGATGGTATCGATGGAAGAGTCTTTCTGCACCGCATCTGTTGCCTCATCCAGCTGTGCCACTGGAGCATGCTGCTTGATATTGGAGAAGGTGCCTGCATGGTGCTTCGAGGTCAGGAGCTTCTCGACTTGCTGGATGAGGGGTGTTTTGGTGGCGAGTGAGGAGCCGGTGATGATAAACGCTTTGGAGGATGATGAGGGTAGGCAGGAGACTAGATTGTCGTGAACTGAGGAAGGGCCATAGTACAGGCGTTCAAGGTGGGTTGGCTTCCAGAGGCCTGAGGGAGGGTTTGACCGGGTCATGGTGGATATGGAGTGCTGAGGAATGGGTTTGAATAGATTGTTCCAGTAGTACCCTGCAAGACATGCTCGTCTTCGGAACATAAAAGAGTATTCATGACGGAAAGGCACAGTTAGTCAGATCTGCATAATCCTGACACTGACAGTGACGTATTTGGGTGTGCCCACTCTCGGTACTCTATCCTTAGCCGGAGAAACGGGTTGCCAAGCCCGACGCTAAGCATGAAGCTCCCCATTGTCACCAAACCCTCGCGTACACACTCTTACTTAAGACGCTCACATCTATATCAAATACAAAACACTCATATGCGTTGGTCCAGTGGAACTGATGCAGGCATCTGTGTAGCTTGGTAGGTAAGGCGCACTCCATCTCACTCTGTCGCTCCTCGTGATACTCTGAGATATATAAAAAGTGGTGGGAACCTTGAGCACAGAACACAAATCGTGATTTCTTAGCCAACCTCGCACCGGAGCTCGGTATGCAGATATGGAGTTATATGACCTTACCTGCCGATATCGAGAGGTGTAGTCTAGCCTGCTCGCGGATCCGATCCCTTGCCATCAACATCCTTCCAGAACACCAGCGGCTCGAGAGACAGCTCACTTCAGTCGGTGACTCACAATCGGCTCTGGCAGGCGGATCCTGACGGACCCGCTACCTCAAAAAATTAATTGCTCGCGCTCATCACCGTCAATCAATGTCTTGCCTGCTATGTCAAGAATTTAGCCATTCAAAGTTGGCACGATAGCTTCGAGAGCGAGCGAGGGTTCATGGCTCGCCTGAGCGTGTACGAAACCCATCGCCATACGGGTTGGTATAAACGGCCTCAGTTCAAGCGATACTCGAAAAGACACTGGGTCGTCTTCAGCAAGCGGTTAGAGATTCAAAGCGTCTGTATCCCCATTCAGTCCTAATCTGGACACAGTTTGTGAAGAGTGGTCGCCAAGCTCCACTTCTTGGCAGTCTCCTAACAAAGCATTCAGACCTTGCCAGCTTCAAGATTCATGGGGTAGCGGTCGATCAGCCGACTTTCCTTCTATTCATTCAAGCAGTTGAGAGATCTCCGAGCCCAGCAATACTTTCAAACCTTACATCAATAGAGCTGTCGGAGCCGCTCCTGCACAAGAGACCGCACCAATGGGAACTCTTCAATATACTCTTCAGTCTACCGTCCATAAGGAGTCTCAAAGCTTATGGACTCAAAGACGGCGAAAAACTCGAATAGCGGGAAACATGCAAATTCTCTGGAGAACGGGACTCGAATATCACCGAGTTGGACCTCCAGGACTGCGCTCTGGATGAAGAGAAAGTCTCGAGCTGAATCGATTCAACTCGCTTTGACTCATTTACCTAGTCCTGGCAGGGCAACTTGCACAACACGGACCAGATCGTTCCGATTGCTCTCCGATGTGCTCTCCTTGAACGCAACCGAATCATTTTCACTCGACTCGATCGAAGATCGAATGAAGGCAACTCGGCCGGCATCGGAATATCTACGCAAATTATTGTCTTGAAGTACTTGAGGATAGAATATCCGCTCGTGAGGAGGGGCTTTCCGCTTGCAGATAAACTTCCGTCCTCGCTCGAGGAGTTTCATTTGCACAATGAGTCCTACAGGTGGAGTTCGAATAGAAGCCTTGAATTGGACAAATCACGAACGAGATGTTCAGATTCGGGGTGCTTCTGCTGCGAAGTGGCAATAAGCGTCATCCGAAGCTCAAGACCATGACGATGGAAGGGAATCGGAGTAGGGGAAAAAAGAGACTGGCTGTTATGGCATTGAATCAGAGGCCTGATGCTTCACTAACCGTTTGTTGGTGGCTGACGCTGGGCTGGAAAGGTAGCGGAGGAAGGTACGGAGCTTTTCGATGGTAGACGCCCCTTCCATTGCGCTGCTCTTATTCGAAGTTCCCCATTTTTGCATGTGGGTATTTGGCTTGGCCGGAAAGCTCGTGGAACAGGGTACAGAATTCCAGAATCGTAGAGGTCCTCCCAATTGCATGCCGAGACTGTGCTGGAGACCTTGTGGACAGGGGACGTCGTGGACAAAAACTCCGATCGATGTGGTGGTAGAGGTCCTCTCCTTTGTGCCACTGCTCTTCAAGATGCTCTCTCCTTGCATTTGGTCTCAAACACCCAGGATCAACCCCGCGACTCGGTACTGTTGACCTGTCGCGCTTCCTCGTATTGACGGTGATGCCAAAAGAGGTATGAAGCCAAAGGAACAGCACTTTTGAGGGCTGACAGCGTTTTGTCTGTGACACTTCCATAGAACATCTGTATCCTCCCCGTCGCAGCTGTCCTGAGCCTGGATACTGAGACGCTAATGACGGTACTGGCAGACTGCTTCTTCGTTGCGCTGCTGCTTCGCACGGTATGTCCTCGTCGCATGCCTTCTGGAGCTTGAGCATATCCATACCGACAATTACACTGTTAGAAGGCCTTTCATTCGCGCCGCTGTTGCTCGAGAGACCCACTCTATGCACACACCCGAAAGCCTCCACTTCTTCTAGCTGGTTGGCGCTTCGCGTTTCTCGCTTGGATTGTGAGGACGACAGTTATTTCGTTGACCATGAAGTGATGGAAGTGGCCATATTGAGAGGCCGAAGGCAGATCCGGGTAAACCAAGGAGGTGTCCGATGGATCTCGAAAACGTCCCTCTTGTCTGGTACCTCCCTTTCTCTGCTATGTAATCTCGAGGTTGGGTACTGCAGAATTGATCCTGCTCTGGCTGTTGATTTGCTGCTCTCGCTGGGATCTTGCTAGAGGACTGGTATTCTTTCGCGTATCAGTTCACTGGGGTGGACTCTCGCAGAGGGCTGAAGCCAACAAGCGATATACTGTGTAGGTACTCATCCATCACCACTGTATTGCCGTCAGGAGCACCGTCATTGCTCTCGCTCACAATCATCGCGATCTCCTTTCTCAGGCCAAAGAACCTTCTGATAACCTCGTTCTTTGTCTTGAACACCTTCTGCATCCTACTGGCTCTGATCATAATGATTGGAAGTGCTGTATACGTCTTGCCGAAATTGCGTGTTATGCTGTGGTCGAGCTGGACGTTGTCAAAGGTTGGTAGGCAGTCGATGTAGGCATGCTGACTCTTCTTTAAGCTCTTGCTGCCAGAAGCATCCATGCTTTTCCGACAATTCTGAGCAGGAGCAGTCTCTAAGTGGTGTTTCAGTTGCTCCTACGGTCGCACGCATGTTGAGCAGCGCTTGATCGAGATGGTCGTTCGCGAGAATAAGGAAACTGAATAGGCTACAGTTTGCCTGTGTATGCAACCTCTTGTTTATGCTGCTGGTATAGGATGAAACTACTCGCTTCGCGCGATTTAAATCCAAGTTCTAAAGTTCCGATTCTGTTGACCTTTGATCTGCCTCCCTGGCCCGGACCGACGTTGATCCGGGAAACTAGCGCAATTTGGTGCTTGTTTCGGTCTCAGTATGCAAGTATCTCCTGTCAGCTGAGCACTTCTAGTCGTTAGCAACATCACCAAGACTAACCTCTCCTAGTGTTCTGTGGATAGCCAAGGTAGCGCATTCCCCCTTGACAGCAAAGCAGCAGGACTGAGCGCCGATAGCGAGGTGTCAGTCGAACGATCTTTCCTCCAAATTCGCACACAGCAAATCCATCAAAATTTCGGGACCCGCATGTACGTGACCTCTCGAGGATTGAGACGGTACTTTTGCATCATTTACTGACAATGTTCTTCAAGCCTAGCTGCACCGCGCCGTCAACGAGCTGGTTGTGACCTCCGACGCGAGGAACGGCCTCCTTAGACACATCCTATTATTCTGTCGCACACCACTATGCCTAGCCTCGTGGACCTCCCTAACGAGCTTCTGGAACGAGTTCTGGACTGCGTCGAGCCGAACGACCTCGATAATTTCACGCGGTCGTGCAAAATCTTGCACACATTAGCAGACGATAGTCGCGTGGAAGGCAGTAGTCGTCTGCTCGACCACATGTACCGCAAGGTACACTTGAAGAGAATCGAGAATGGTTGGGGAGATTTCACGATCTTTGAATTCCCAGAATTGCTAGGAGGTTTCTTGATCGCGCCTAGAATGGCAGATTATGTCAAGGAAATGGCCGTCAACCCCTGGAAAGTATGTTGGGATGGCCCCATTGTCCCAGATCCCTTCAATGCATGGGAAGAAGAAGAAGATGATGACTTGCATCGTCCATATCCTGATCTCTTTGTCCCATATCCCATCCGACCATGGGGAGGAGAAGAAGAAGAAGAAGAAGAAGAAGACTTGTATCGTCCATATCCTGGTCTCATGAGGGTATTTCAGGCGGCTGTCAAGGATTCCGAGTCTATACCAGCCGAAGAGAAAGAACACTGGATATCCAAGATCAAAGCCGGCGATCAGAACCCAGTCATCGCTCTACTGTTCCCGAGACTTCACTACCTGACCAGTCTCGTAATAATACTGGATGATCGAGAAGATCTCTTCATGCTCAAGGCACTGCGAAGTATTGCCAAGAACCCGCATTCGCCATCCCTGTCTCGACTGCGTGAAGTTGAGATCCACGGCACGAATGCGCCCACTCACAGACTGGAACTGGCAACCGCTTGTGCCGCACTGCCTTCGGTCATCTCTCTGGAAGCTCACCGGCTTGTCGAAGGACCCCTCGACTCCCCAGACTCTACATATGAACCGGCACCGCAATCTTCGAACGTTCGGGATCTGAAGATCATTGGCTGCCGTTTCTCGCCTAATACGCTATTCAAGTTGATCAGGAGCGCTAAGTCACTGCGATCTCTCACGTACACCTACTGGACCCCCTACGACGGTACCCATCTTTCCTTCGCTTGGGTACGCGCAGCCCTTCTTCAATTTGCATCGACATCGCTCGAGGAGCTTACACTACGCCGTTCTCATTCCTCTCCTGAAGGGGAAAGAATGGAGTGCAGTTTCAAGAGCTACCGCAATCTGCGGGTGTTGAACATCGACTACGGGCTCTTGATGGGCGACAAGTTCCGCATGACGAACAAGATCGTGACCGGACTACCGGCATCGCTTGAGATTCTCAACCTCTACGGGTGTGATGCCAATGGCTATCGCCCCAGGTCTATGTGGATTCCAGAGCTCGTCAATTGGATTATTAGGGTGAAAGAGAGGAAGGTACCATGCCTGAAGGAACTGAATTTCCAGGACACGTGGCACCTGTCCTGCTTCGATCCGGCCCAGATCAAAGAATTGTGTTTGGCAGCGGAGAGGGCTGGGTTTGAGATGACTGTCACCTCTGGTGACTCCATGATATTCGGGACTCTGAGAAGCCGCGGAAGGGGGGCGAGGTGGTAGGATACGAGGATGTGGATATTGTCGGAGGGTTAGAGGCTGTCAAAAGCATTCGATATTGCACATCGAAATCGTTTGGGTACATCAGCAGTACTGGATCATTGGTCTCCAAGACACGCAGTCCCTAGAAGACTCAAGGCCTCTCATCAGTTCCTTAGTGTTTGTTGCACCTCTGGGGGTATGTCATCCATGAATAATCATTCTGTCCAGGGGCAACAGATACCGATCAGTAAGGTGCAACATATTCGTTCTTCCATTGACCCCTTGTAACTCGCTCACATAGCTAGTTGTTTCCATACTTGATAGACAGAGACCTTCAAAAGCAAAAGTATTGAGAAGTTTTACCCCTTGAATGACTCGAAGCTGCAAACCGCCAGCCTTTAACAACCTCAGTAATATCGACTTAACCCGGCTCTTCCGCCGAACCTTCGATACTTTTTTTAGTCGCTCAGTCGAAAGTGCACCGTGAATATACCAACGTCCACTGCTCGTAAGCAGCAAGTGAGCCGTATCCCTTCATCATTCCGATTGAGTAATGGTCAGAGCTTTAACACTTTACCTATCGGAGGTCGTTGACACCAAACACATCCAGCAACCACATTCCAGCAACCACACCGGTCAACCTCAACCCTCACTCACTGAGCGCACAGTATAGGTGTAGTGTTGATTTCATTACAATAACCACGCCAGTCGGCCTCCAGCCTCTTTCATTGAGCGTACACCAACCTCATTACAGCAACAACGGCATCAGTCAACCTCCACCTTCTGCTCTTTCTCATTGAAGGCATAGTACAGAGGTAACACCAACCTCATTACAGCAAAAACATCGGTTGACGTCCGCCCCGCTTTGCTGAAGCCATAGTATGGAGATGACAACATCCTCACCATAAAAACAACGCCAGTCAAATCTTACCCTCCACCTCACCTCACTGAGGACGTGGCACAGAGGCAACACCAACCTCGTGGCAGCAACAACATTGTCAACCTTCAACCTCCCCCACTAAGCGCACAGTACAGAGGTAAGAGATCCACTGACCATCAGATGTCTCAAATCCACTAAATATGTTTCTAAGACTTCCACCATGGCACGCTTTCCAGATCTACCAAACGAACTAGTTCGTGAGGTCATGACATATGTCATGCCAGAGGACATCGAGAACTTTTCCCTAATTTCTAAGAGGTTTTACGCCGTGGCTTTGCCGCTTCTGAAGGAGCACCGGGAGCTGAGGGTACGCTATAGCGACTTTGACGATATTGGAAAGGCGGCGTTCTTTGGGTGCCGGTTTGAATTCGACTATTTGGACTACCTAATCCGAACAAACTGTACCCTAGGCGACAGTTTCTCAAATTTGCTGATCGATGTCCTGGCCAACCGTCGGATGGCGCTTTACATAAAGGAACTTCGCTTAGACGGCTGGTTTCTTGAATGGGAATCTATGATTCCCGACCCTTCGCGTGAGCGGCATGAGCACCGCCCGTATACTCAAGAGCAATTCGTCCTGTTCAAGCAGGCTTTGTCGAGATACGTGCTTCCAGGGAAGCTGGAAACATGGATCGAAGAGCTCGAATCAGGGCACGAGGGTCCTATCATACGCCTTCTGCTCATTCTCCTTCCAAGGATCAAATCGATCAAGTTTCAATGGTGGAGCGAGGTGGTGCATCAACTTCGAGAGGTGATCGAGCGAATCAGAACAGATTGCATAGAGGACACTCCGATACTCAGTTGTCTCGAGCAAATCAACATACAGTTTGAGGAGTACTTTATCAATCCCGAATTGCGTCCGCTCGACTTGTTGGCATTCCTGGCTACAATACCGTCGCTCAAGTCGCTCTACGGTGTATACATCACTGCTTATGGTCATTCCCATGACTTCAGCTGTCTCTTGCCACACTCCTCGAATATCACCGATCTGGGCTTCAAATGGTGCTACATCAGCCTTGAACAACTGGGAGAGTTTCTGCACGGTCTGAAGGCATTGCAAACCTTCAGCTACAGTCACGACAAACATGATGAAGGACGTGGTGACGAGGTATGGTGGGACCCGGCAGGGATATGCAAAGTGTTGTCGGCACACGCCCAACGATCCCTCAATGTGTTGGGCCTCCGTAGCGTTAATGAGCCTAAAGGACCCATTGAGAATCTCCAAGACTTCAAGGTTCTGAAAGAGCTGACCCTGAGCTTTTCGCTCTTCTGGAGGGGAACGGGTTATTCTATGGAGACTTTTGCATGTGCGCTACCAGAATCTATCCAAAAGCTCAGTATCCATGACATTGAGGTCGAGCACGTTTCACAAATTGAGAGTACGATCCAAGAGTTGGTGCTTTTCAGACCGGATCGTTTGCCCAACCTTGAGAAGGTCTGCTATTGTGTGTCTCGGGATGTACACTGGCCCCACTGGTTCAGCCAAAACACGGACAAGCTGCGAAAGTCTTGTGAGGATGCAGGATTCGAGCTGCGCTTCCGAAATGAAGAATAGAAAGGGAAGGGCCAGTTCCGTCCTATCGCATGGCATTAGAGGAATTTGCTGTCGCTCACGTGGTTTTGTGCCATGGTCTTTATCCGGAGGCAAATGCTGCACTGGGGCTGAATCCGTTGATGAGAATCCAGCGTTGGAGCAAGAAAGTCGTAGCGACTTAGCGCGGTCATACGCTTCGATACATTCATAGACCCTAGGAGCGCCTAGATACTTCGATCAATAAAGCAATTGTCTATGACTTGGATACAGCTTAGCATTGACCTATGCGTGGTTGCTACTTAATGAATCCTTGCTCAAAGCCGGATCCGACTGCTCGTTCTCTGCTTGCTTCTTGCAGAGCCCACGACAGTACCTCGCAAGCTTATCTGTAGTAGAATTATTTATCTCAAGAAGAGCGAATGGAAAGGTGATATGTACGTGGAGTAGCACAAAGGGGTGCAGTGATCTCTCAACATGTCTTGTAAAAGGGGACATGCCCAGGCCAACAGCAACAGTGACAAGTCCTTACAACTTAACGCTCCAATCTTGCCGAGGTAACCATAGCCTCTTCGACTGATCGTGACTCCTTCTTGACTCTGGTGCAGGAGTCTCGAATTTGATCCTCGAGATCGATCCCTAAGTTCTCCCAACACTCCTTGAGCCGTGATGTTATTCACGAACTTTAAAGCGGCGGTTGCCCGTGCTCGTATCCCCTGGGAGCTGGGAAATACAATGTCTTGATAGCTGATGAGTCCGGGGTGAAGGATTTATAGGGGATACCACCCCAGGAAACTCACCCCAAACAGACCCACCCCAATCTAAGCCGAAACCCCGGCGGCGAATCCCCCACACCTCGTTGCGCGCTCGTGGGTTCCCCCGCGTACCACAGCCGGCCGTTGTTATTCGCGCGGAGGGTTTGATGCCCTTCCCGTGTGAGTCCCGCGGGGGTGGGGGGGGGGGCTAATTCAATCAGGAGCCGCAGGCCCGTGGGAATGTGCCCCAGCGGGGATACATGCATGTCTGGGGGTTCGGGGACTTTGTCCCCGCCGAGCATTTCTCGGAGCGTGGCTAGGACTTGTCGCGTCGTGGTGTCGTCGTCTTGCGCGTCGATGGCGTAGGATTGATTGGGGACGACGGTGACGTAGAGGATGCCGCGGCCTGGGAGGAAGGAGTCGTGGTCGAGGGATTGCCACACTGCGTAGGGGCCCTTGGTCGAGGGAAGCGTGGTGGAAGAGTTCGGTCGATTCGTCCCGGAAGGTTTGGTCCGATGAGAACTGGAGGAATATCTTGGTGTGTATGCCCATTTCGACGGTTTGGATGGCACTTTTCTTCCAGGCTGGTAGCTCGGGGCTGAATCGGATATCTTCTGACTGGAGAATGCCGACCGAGAAGGTCAAGATGGCGTAGGCCGCGTCGATACAACTCCCGTCTGCATTGAGTATGTTTTCCCCTCGATCGGACCATGTGATGTTCTTGACAATAGTGTTCAGACCTAGACGCTTGTCATTTGTCTTCATGAATCCTGATGCCTGGCTATGGATGAAGGAATTGAATCCCCATTGATCGACGACGAAGTTGTTGTCTTCGGAGAAGCCGTAAAAGGTTGCATTCCAACGGGTCAGCGCGCACACATTGTGAAATCGATGAGGGCCTCACATATTTGGCGACGGTAAATTTATCGGATGAAACGTCCTTCGAATTGAACCTGCGCCAGCTGCAAAGCCCACGTGTGTGGTAGGGAGCCAAGGTATGGAAACCTTAAGGAGAAAAGAGGGTCAGGCGTATACTAACAGGTGTTCGTGCATATTCGAAGTCCAGCTGATACCATTCTACAGCTTGGGCCCGGGCATCACCCATTGGCCTCCATCCAGCAAGGTTCAACGCAGCACGAAAGCTTCTATCTTGTAAATTCTCGAGAAGTATGTTTCCCGCATCTTGCTCGACGATCGAGTAAGCATCTCTAGAGCTTGTCAAGGTAATCCACTGGACCATTCGTATCATAGGTTAAGAGCGACGAGAAGTTCGAGAAGTAGTTTCTCATATTGTACCTCTGGACCTGAGAAAGATAATGATCAGAATTACGCTCGTAGAAGTTGGCTGGTAACTCATTACCAAGGTCCAGATCGGGTTTGTAGGGCACCCAGGAGAAACAATCCCTTCAATCTACAAACACTGTCAGCTGTATATTTAGCAAAATTGCCAACTGGACATAAGATAGCCAGTTAGCTCCCAGCTCGATGGTATAAGATTTACCCTGCTCGTCTTTTCCGAAAGGCGTATGTCTGCAGCGACCTCCGATCTCGCTGTTGTATTCGACGATGAGAAAATCGGTGACGGAGTTGTTGGCTAATGCTTGCTGACATCATAGGAGTAGAAGTGAAGGATTTTTGAACAGGAACAAAAGCTTACAGCAGTGGTAATTCCAGCAACGCCGGCGCCGAGTATGGCCACTTGCGTCTTCTCGCACGTGGACGAGGCTCTGGGCACAGGAGATGAAAGAGCCGTCAGGACGGAAGACCCAAGCAGCAAGATGTTTACAAGGTGCGATGTCATGACTAGACGTTTTGGCATCGACGCACGGACTAAATTGTGGCTCCGCGAAACTCGCGATGCAATGGTCGATCAAAATTAACCCTTGATCTTTCCTGTCGAATCAACACCCCTCTTGGGGAATTGTACCCAGCATTTCAATCTCGTGAAGCCGGGATCGAATTCGCGCTTCCTCGGGGTTGCAATACCCCTTTTAGGAAGGCAACCACGCACTGCAGAGTCGGCATCTCACCCGGCAGCCAGATCATGCGAGGAAATCGGACTGCAGCTCCATGAGAGAGTCTCGTGATTCGGCAAAATTCATACTGTTGTAGGCTTCTATCCAAGAAGCACGCTCGGTTCGAGCCGCCGATCAATGCATGACCCTTCGGAGAGAGTCTTTGTGGAGCAGTCTTCAAAACGTTGACGAAAGATGCTTCACAAGCGACTATTGGGCTGCCAAAGCGACTATTAAGGGCGATCCAATTCCTATGCTGCTCTCTTCCAAGATGCTGTTCTACCACCGTTCACGCCACAACACCGTCTGATTCTTGCTGTTCGCTTGTAGCAGAGATGGAAGTCAAGTGGCATAAAGGTGGCCAAAAAGGTGTGGTAGCCTGTTGAAATGGGTAAACCTCGGTCATCTGGCTCTAGCGTCAAGAGTTCCGATTGGCAGATCAAGTCTTCCAGGCACCAGCAGGCGTTGACGGGCATTTCCAGAGTATCTCAACTGGTCCACGTGAGATGATAGTTGCTTGTTGATTTGCACATAAGAATTCCATTGACTGAAGAATCCTCTGCGTACGGCGTATTCGCTTTCCTATGCTCAAATGTTGCCACTTCCCACTGTCTCAATTTCAGGCATGAAAAGACTGACTTCAGTTTCTGTAGCCTTCGAGTGCTCCTTTGTGGTGCCAAACACGCCTCCAGAGCAGATACGGTCTGGTCTTGAACCGCCAGCGAAAGGATTCCTGCGATTAGGAATAAATCATTTGAACGCAGGAGCAACAAGCCTGACCTCGACGCAGTGGGTGGACCACCTACGAGGAGTTTCTGTTCTTGTGGAACTATGTCAAGATACTTCGAGGTAGCAAGGTGACTCGTTGGGACCTGGCAGTTGGAGGGTACTGGCCATCAATCACCCATATATTTCTTACCCTTTTAAGAGGCGACTCCAAGGATTAGCTTGAATAATTCTTCCCACGATTAATTTCCAGGGCCTTATCACGGTGGCAACGAAGCCCGCGATATATAAGGAACGGGTTCCCGCATCTTTCAACACATTCTTTAATACAAAAGTACCCCTCAATTTAAATGGTTGGCTGGCAACACTTTCGTTCGAACTTTATCAAATGCGCTGAGTCATTACAGTGGCAACCCTGCTAGATAGGAGCGTGGTCCGACCGCTTCTCTGCCACCCAACATTCGCTCACAACGCTCGACAGTTTTGAGCCCGCTCTTCCATACTCCGATCAAGATCAAGTCCTGCAAGTGTCTCTCTGCTTTTTTGGTAGGCTTAGACGTACATTGATGTACATTTTGCTGACATTCTTTTAGTTCACATTTCGCTCTAAGGCTTTCTGAAGAAGTTGCCGTCTTCGTGGGTTCATCCTTTCGAAGTAGTCACCTGTCCTCTCGCCTTTCCAGACATGAATCGTTTCGTGGATTTCTCGGATGGTTTTGTGCTTAGCAGTGGAACTGTGCCTATCGACATCCCCAAGGGCTTGGTCCTCCTACTGTACTATCGGCCAAAGGGAGAGTACATGTTACCGAAAGGGAGGAAGGATGTCGGAGAGACCTTGGAAGCTGCAGCGATTCGGGAGACCATGGAAGAGTCAGGATACGAGTGTCATCTATTCAAACACCAGCTTCCCACCAAAGCGCAGGGACTCAGTGACCCAAAACATACCGAACCGATTGCTGTTCAACAGCGAATGAACCAAGGCGTCCGCAAGATCATTTTCTGGTACATCTCCGAGGTCGATTCATGCAGCCATCAGATGGCCGACACACAAGAAGAGGGAGAAGAGTTTGATGTAGAATGGGTGCCCATGGAAGACGCACCTTCAAGATGCTCCTTTGCCGATGACAGAAAGATTGTTGAGAAAGCTTTGGAGGCCGTCCCTCGTCCGCATCTACCGTTAGCTCTACCAGTCCCTGAATTGCGCGATGCATACCTCGATGGATCCGTTGATAGGCAAGCCTTGGGTTTCCTCTCCATATCGCTCGGTGGTAGTATTGTCTAACAGCAAACAGGGACAACCCTACATAGAGTCGAAAACGATACAGATTGGGATGGCTTCGGGTTCTTGGAGACAAAGGAAAGCATAGTGAGACTGATCAGAGACTTCCGAGCCGAGCTGTGCGCCATGTTGCGAATCGAGAAAGAGGAGTGCCCATCGATGAAGGTAATGGATTTCCTTTCCATCTTGGCAAATCGCTCTGTCCTCATCCATATCTAGGTGCCTGAAGATCCAATGTTGCGGAAACAATGGGAGATCCTGCGATTTTCAGGATGGACGGCGGAAGGATCGAAGCGAACTATCAAGCTATGGTCCAAGGAATCTCTCGAGCGAGCAGTATCCGCGTCGATCTCATCGCACCTTGGACTGTTGATCGCACAAAGTCCGGCGCTTCACAGTACTTTCTGACCCTGAACATGGTCCTCGACTTCACATCTATCAACCGATTCGCGCAACCGAAGATTTGCACATCCTTTGCGATTTTGATTTCTTACAAAAAACAGCATTGGGGTCTCCAAAATCTTCAAATACCGCAACGATCAAGACCGTTAGCCCAGGTGTTTCCTGCGACTTGTTTCTGACATCTCTATGCCTTTTTGAACACGAGCCAGGCTTTACAACAACTCTCAAAGCCATGATCATTCGGAAATGGCAGCTGCTTTCAAGAACCCCCGAGTCGCTAAGCATAGTACCGTTCTTCTACCGAGTCCATGCTATCAGCTCTGCTTACAAGAGCAAGCTTCAAGCTGAGATGGTGAAAATGAATCTGGAAGCATCAGATGCTGTGGGTGCGACCGGGATGATAGCCCATCAATCTAATGACATTTCTTTGGCACAGGGGTCTTCCTACATGTCCAGTCCCGTCGGCGCGAGACGAGCGGCCGAGAACACGAAAGGGTACCGGGATGTGATCCTCGGCCCATTATGTCCACAAAAATGTACAACCTCAGCGAAGGACGACCTGCGTTGGCCTGCAAGTCCTTCCTACGCTAAAGCAAACATGATTTGAGGTGATCCAACAGAATTACGCCGCACAGCTTTCTCATCAAACTCCAACGGCCGCTACGCAGACACAATGAGAAATACGGATCAGACCTGGCAGCAGGTCTACATAAAGAATTCAATTTCTGCGCTGCTCGAGGTAGAAGCACTTCAAAGCCTCAGGCAGTATTTCCCTGTCGAGACTATACAGATCGTTCTTGCTGTCGATGAACATAAAAGGGATATATTCTTCAAGCGCTTCCAAGGCGAGACATTGAACGAAGTTCGCCTTCGGTACTATCATAGGCAAAGCCCTGTCTCTGACCATCTGGAAGAGCTGTATTACCGTTCAGATGAATGGTTCATTGATCTCGACCTTCGCCGAGCCAGTGATGTTTTGGCAGCTTACCAAAGATCCTTCGGGCATAAAATGTCACCTATCAATTGCTCTGAGCAATAAATCCACACTCTTTATCATAAACGCCTTCAACATCATCGCCGGTTTCTGGAATTTTATGGCACCTGCAGTCCCAGCTTTCTTGAGGGTGCTTCCAACAGTCGTGTGTCTTTGGAGAACTTTCTAGACATACCTATCAGCATCAATGGCCAAAGCCATGGAACTTTGCGGTACCACCTTGACCGTGCCACTCACATTCTCGACCCGGAAAGACCTGCCGGACTTCAGTCTCTCCCGTGCGCCTTCGGCTTTGGGGACGGACACGGAGGAAATGTTCTAGTTTCTTTGGACATGAGTCCACCATCTTTGCTCTATATTGATTACGAAGTGACTGGTTTTCACACACCTTTCTTGGATCTGGCAAAATCTATCTATCTGGACGGCTTCTTCGATGCAATGTACGCTGATCTCTTGTACGACGATATTCTCCACAAGGACGACAGTGGCAGTATCTGGGTAGATTGGAAAACTGGAAAAGATTGTATATCCATCGACTACGGTTTGGCTTTGGAACCCTTGTGGAAGACCCTCGCCGGCATCAAGCTCGAGTACGTCCTCAGACCCATACTCAAGATGCTCGAGCAAATGGCTCCATCGCAAAGAGATACCGCCGAGGAGACACTTGCGTGTGGCCTTTTCTGTTGTGCACTGCTCTCGAGGGACTACTCGACAAGGTCAGACGTTTTCTACCTCAATCTAGCTATCGGGGTTCGACTCGCAACGGAAATGAGGGCCGTACTCTCTGAATGTTTTGGCTGGAGCAACTGGCCCCAGAGTGTTTTACAGGAGGAAGTATCTCTTCCACGTGCAGCACCAGAACCAGGGAACCAGCAACTGATCTCCTTCAGTGGAAAGAGACGCATTTTGCACGGGTCGAGAGCGGAGCCCATCCGTGATACTGCTCACAGGCCATTTCCTAGGGCCAGTGGGATCCTCGTGGCCAGTCTACTCTCTGATGCTATGGAAGAGCGTAATAAAGGTATCCCTTTCTACTGGAAAATTCACAGATCCCTTGATTTCGAGACTGTTGTTTTAAAACGGGAAGACGATACCATTGCTTTACACAACAGATTCTCTACCAGGGCGGGAGAGGGCGCGGCGATGATAAGTCAGCGGATCCACCACGTCCGCAAAGAAGCTATGAGGGTGAGATTGTAAATCCTTCAGAGATGTTTGCCATTATGCTGACAAGTGGTTGACAGATTGCACCCTTCACGTGTATCACCCAGTACTTATTTGCAGAGTCTCGGATTGACCGACATTTCAAGTATCGCCAGATACTTGCTGAAGTTGCCGATACGGCGAAGAAGACCTTGATCGACGTCGGGTGTTGCATGGGAACTGATATCCGAACATTGATAGCAGATGGCTACCCTGCTCACGTAAGTCATTAGCATGCTCAAGTACCGAACATTGGGATTCAAAGACTGACCTTAGTATGGGTAGAGCATCACAGGACTTGATCGTGAGATTCGTAGGTGATGAAGCGTTTCAAGACACGTGATATGCTAATCCGGCTAGGCTCCATCAACCTCGGGTATACTCTCTACAACCATCGCCCACAAGATCTTGGGGTCCAGTTTCACGAGGCCGATGTGCTAGACCCGAGCAACTTCACAAAGCGCAAGGACCTAGCCGGCCAGTTTGACTTCGTCCACTCTGCCAACGTTATCCATCTATTCGACGAAACCCAGCAGGAAGCCTTCATCCAAGCGCTGACATTCCTCGTGAAGCCGGGCGGAACGGTATGGGGTCGCCAAGTGGGTCTCGAAGATGATGAGGAGGAGGCGACAAATCGCTTTCGACAGCCCGAGGGCAAGGGTATGCGCCATACGATCGCGCAATTTCGGCGTCTGTGGTTGAGGGCTACCGGGTGGGATGCGAAAATGCTGGAGTTTGAGGCAGAGCTCGTTCCTTATGATGAGTTGAGGGATCAACGGGCGGATAAACGCTTTGTTCTACAGTGGAGTATTCGTGCTCCAACCGATGATCGTACGGCCAGAATAGTGGACGAAAGTTAAGTGGCTGTGATCTGTAGGGGAGATTAACCCAGAGGAGGATCACACAGGAATCATTTTGCCTCGGGCCAATTGGCAGTCTAGCACTCTGAGCATGCAATATGCTTCATAGCAAGGCAAGGACTGAACATAACTTCACACGTTGTGGGTTGGAGTTGTTGAAGGCCTAATGCCAAGCAAGACGTCCTTTTGAACGCTGTGCGAGCACTTATTTGCGCTTCCCCCCCGCCGCTTAAGCCCCCCGGGTCACTCTCTGCAGCTCGACAGGGGGTGGGAGTCGGATATAAGGTATCAGCGTGTGCAAGCGTATTTACAACCCTTGGCACGGAGAAGAATACGCACACACCATCAAGAATAGTAGTTAAAAGGCGATTCTTCTTATACGTAACTATAACTCAACTCATAGAAAGTAGCTGAAGTCTATCTAGTCCTCAAAATCCTATATACCCTCCTCATCAAGCCACCGTTTTAATATATCCTTTTTAAGTACTATACTCCCTCGTAAACTCATCACAGCGACTCCTTCTTACTGTATATCGTAGAAAGGGACCCAAATCAAGAACCAAATCGCTCTAGAACTGAGGCCATATCTTATAAACGTGAGATACATAGACTTGTAGTATTACCTACACATACAAATGCGATGTAAAGTAGAAGCAAGAATAGACGTTTTTGCTGATATTTTGGTGATGCGCGCGCATTTTCTCCCTGCCAGTGATTGCAAATACTTACACTTACACACGCTGATACTCTCTAACCCGGCTTCCAACAAGATTACATCCGCGCCGAGTCTAAGCGCTCAACCCACCACCCTCGCATCCTATCCCTCGCACTCACCACCTCCACATCCTCCACCCCCAATAAGACTCTAGCCTCTAATCTACAGCTTCCCCCTCCCACCCCCCACCACCAACCACGCCGCGATCCACGCACCTACCGACTGAAATCGTTGCTACGATTGCAGAAAGAGTCTTTTCCAGGCGACATCGTCGAATCCTCCACCATATGTTAGAAAACCAAAAACCTGTCCGAACCCTCTTTACGCCATCATCACGCAATGAAACCGATTGTTGTTCCTGGCATGGGCGCCTCTATGTCATTCATTCATTCATTTTTTGCTGCTGTATGTACGATCTCGGCTTATAACCCACCGCCGCCGCCGCTTTTTTAGGTGGAGTGTCTCGCTGTTGGCTGGTGGGGCTGGGGAGTGGAGTTGTTGTAGACGAGATGTTTCTAAGAGAGAATGCTTGGATTCATAGAGGCGTTGGCCTGTTCGGTGTCCTTGGATGCTACGGGGTTATGTGTGGGTGGTTCCGTTGCGGAAGGGGGGGAAGGAGAAGGGGGCGGGGGGGAGGGGATCGGAACGGGGATGGATGGTCAAGGGGGGGTTGGTCAGTTGCTGTCGTTTCCTGTCATTGGCGTTGAGGCGGCTGGGGAATCACTTTTGGGGTGGGGCGGTGGGTGTGTGTAAGGATTGAGACGGCGAGGTTGGAGTTGGGTGGATGGATGGATCGGGTGTGAATAAGCGTGGTAGAGTGACGTGTTGGATACCTTGTCTTTTGAGGATGATGAGGCGATGGGGTTTCGTGCGTGTTTTTACATGTTTACTTACACGCACATTGCTTGCTGTGCTACCATAAATCTTGTCGATGCTAAGTACAACAGCAACCCCGCATCCTTCTCTGATCCTTCCATCCATCCACAACCTACCCCAAGCCCACCGCCAGCCTTCCATCCCCAAGTTCTATTCCCGACCCCAATTTTTATCCTAACAACCACGTCCTCTCCCTCGCCGCACCCATCTACCCATTACCGTTCGACCGCGGCACCTCTTTTATCGTCGAATTCATCATTGTCGGCGGCGTGAACGACTTGGTCTTCTTCTCCTTCGCCGACGAGTTCGACGACGGGACCCTTGTAGTTTTTGCGGCCGTCGACGAACCATTGCACGACGCTGATGACGATGACGATGAAGAAGGCGACGATGCAGTAGTCTGGAAATGGGTGTTGTCAGTGGATGCGTTGCATGGCTTGTGAGGGAGTATGAGGGGGCGGGAAGCGGGGGTTGGGGGGTGTGGGGATGAGGTGGGCTGAAATAAAAAGAGGAGAATGGCACGGGAGGATTGTGGTGGGTAGGGAATGATGGGTGGTCGTGGTTGTTTAGGATAGGGCGCCAAGGAGAGGGGGAAGATGGATGACGTACTCATGTTGCTCCCTGTGACGGGTAAGGTGGGCGGGAAGAGGAAGAGCACCGTCGTCACGATCACGTAGGCTATGCCGAGCAGATTGCACATCCAGCCAAGCGGACCCGGCAGGACGAATGGTCGTGGTGGAAGCATCTTGCGGCCTCGGAGGCAGTTGATGGCCGGAGGGATGGCGTAGGACACGCCGAGTGCTACGACGGAAGCTGAGATGATGGCGTTGAAGGCGCTATGAATGTTGGTCAGACAGAGAATGTACAAAATCAAGGAGCCTTACCTGGACGAGCCTAGGAAGATGCAACCGAAGATGACTACCAAGATCGTGGTCAGGATGAGCGCGTTGAGTGGCATCTCGTGTTTCGAGTGGACTTTTGCGAAGAACCGACTCGCTGGGAGTCCACCGTCTCTGCAGTCCCATCAGTACATGCAGCAAGTCTCCTCCAAATTGTAGTAGGCTGACGTACCTGGCGAAAGCGTAAGTCATGCGACTGCTTGTAGTCATGATACTTATAGTGGCGAAGAGCAGGCAGACGAGAGGGAACCTTTGGCCCAGAGTCAGCAAATGAACCAGGACCTGGTGTAAGGGCAGCTACTAACATGAGCAGGCAGATCGACCCAGCTTTACTTCCAGTAGCATTGTAGAAGATGGCCAGTAGAGGACCAGCAGCGGATCCAATTATATTCTGTACATTGGCTGACCCGCCGCTCACTAAGAGTAGGCATGTGAGGAAGATGAAACCTGTAAATATTCCTATCATGACCGTTGCGATCATGATTCGAGGTCCCTCTACGTGTGGATTGGGAATCTCTTCTGCCATGATCTGTTAGTGGCGTTACGGTGGCGTGTCGTGATACTGACCAATCATGTGGGCTACTGCGTCGAAGCCAGTCAGTCCGAGACCTGCTTGCAGCAGCCCGAGAAGCCAGCCAATTCCTCCTGGCCAGCCGGAGTCTGTGCACATGTTGAAATCAGTATTGTTTCGTAGGGGCCAGAAATTGACGATGAGACAGATTTGGCAAAACCAACAACATTCAGGCACCGACAGGGTTCTTGAGATTCAGATCTTGGGACAAACAGAGAAGAGTCACTCGACCATTCGCGTACCGTTTATAAATTCGGTGAAGACGAACTTGCCGCTAGCGTAATCGGGAGATGCGCATGCGAGTACCGTGATAGAGATGATGACGAATCCGGTAATCGACCATGCAAAAGCTCCTTTCGTAACGTATGGAAGCAGCGAGTTGCCGAAGGCGTTGAGCAAGAACGCAACTAGATTATAGCCAATGTATATCAAGAATTGATGCCAGCGTTGCGGCACGTAATTTTGATTCGTAAAAGAGATGACTCCAACGATGAGTTGACTTCCTAGCAGACCTCCGGATGCAACGAGGGCGATCCATCCGGACACGTTGATCCAACCAGTAATCCAAGACAGTAGTGGACGCCATTTTGGCCAGGCGATAACTCTGGGTCAAGATTTCTATGTCAGTACTGCCTATTCAAGAGAGAATCTCCAGGCTCGAAACATATCCAGAGAACAAATGCCCTACAGACATGTCTCAATACTTCGCAACAACCTAGTTTGAAAGAGGAGTTATGGATTGCGAAGATACATACGCGACCCAGTGGTATTGGCCACCAGCGGTTGGATAGGCAGACAAGAACTCAGCCATTGAAGCTGCTAGTGATAAGTTACCTGCGTACTTTTAGTATTCACTAATCATCGGCCGTATGATGGCGGGCGCCAGAGCAAGCTTTACATATTCCAGCTGTGATCAATCCCCATATGACTGACGTTGGTCCTCCGCTGGGAAGCGCCAGAGACAGAGATGCCGATAGAGCTGTCCACGAATTCAGGATCGCAAAGGCAAGCCCGAGCATTGCCAGCGGACTGAAGTGGCGGTTGAGCTCGGCCTTGTGGCCCATTGATGCCTGCAAGACGAGTCAGTATTTATCTTTGGTGGAGGCAAAACCCTGAAGAGTCCGACGAGATTGAGAAAGCTTCTAATTCCGGCAATACAACCCCGGTGGTATCGGGTGGAATGAAATATCCTGGAAGGACACCCACCAGATGAGCCGCATCGTCAAAAACGCGACTCTGCTGTCTTTCCCTTGCCATTGTAGCTTACGTCACGTGCTCCTAAGAGCTTTAAGAGCTGAGGTTTCACGAAGGCGTAGGAAAGAGGAAGGTAAGTGAGTAGACGAGGGAGGGGAAGCCTCTCTTTCACTACTCGTAGTATTGTATGAGATGTGATTAAGCATCAGCACCGCGCCGCGCCGATGCCAACAAGTGAAGGTTTGACACGAGATGAGCGGGAGCCTGTTCTCTGAGTTTTCCCCGAATTTTGCTAGTCCTGTTCAAGCTCTAGAGGCTAGATCTAAGACGCCGTCAGCTTAGCACCGATAAGACTGACGCGGCAAGTCTGCCGATGTCGTTTCTCTGTGTCATCTCCGCCGAAATATTGTCGGTGACTCCGTACAAGTACAGTAGAGGTTGGCAACAAAAAGCGAAGAAACTTCTTGTGAAGGAGAGAAGAATATGAGGTGAAGTTTATAAAAACTTTCCACATAGCAGATGTAACTAGCTTTTGGTGGCCGGCTTGGTCGTCTTGGCTGCGTTACGATTCCCTCAGAGATAGCGTAATTTTGGTGCTAGTGATATAATACTTGACTAGTCCATTTATATAAAACAGAGCTAACGTAACATTTGGTAGACTTCATATGGCAGGATCGAGGGTCTGCTGAGGTGCGTAACAGCTCTAAAAGCTGGCGAGTCTGCTGAATAGATGAAGTGAATCTCTTCCGCCGGCGCTGTAACTGCTCTGTGAACCGTTAGATACTGGGAGTGGGAAAGACCAGCGCCCCCTTATTTTGGTTGTAAGCTAGTGAAAAATACCAAATAGCTTCAGATCGTTAGCATAGGGCCGAAATCCCCGGACTTCAGATGACGAACACAGAATTGAGGGACTTCTGACGTGTATCTCAACGCTAAAAGCTGAAATTCTAGCTGAGTAGATGAATTGACTACGAGGGTGTTCCGTAGGCGCTCACTGCAACTGGCCTCTGAATCATTAGATCCTGGAACTATAGAGGAGGACTACCACTCTCTAATTGTTCATCAGCGCCTACCCATTAGCGAATGGATCAGGCTGCATAGCAAAGAGGATTGGAGTACTCCTATGACTTTTTTCGATGTTCGTCTTCGGTCAAGTGGTCCTCTGAGGCCCGGAGAGAGCCGCCCCATTCAAGCACGCCCTCTGGTCAGAAGCAGGCGAGGCCTAGGAAAGAGACAATCTGGATTGGTCAGCTTCAATATGGATTCCAGCCACGCGATAAGTCAACACTGGAGAAGGTTTGTCTATCTGAGCACCAGTCGTCGACAGCAGCTTCCCGAGATGGGGGAAGCAGGGAGGACCGGACAGACTGCCACCTCTTACCAGAGCTGAGGACACACGGGTGATAACACCCATCCTTAGCCAGGAAATCTTAAGATAGACTGCCTTCAAACACAAGGGTTAGCGACAAGCCCCAGAAAAAAGTACGCACCGGAGAGCCTCTCTCACCATCTGATACACCTCACCAAATCGGGAAAAGCAGCAGAGCACAATCGCACCTTCCACACAAGGAAAATGAGTAGCAGTAAACCAAATTCGGTCATATCACTGTCCAGTCCGAAGTCCATTGACGTCTCCCCTTGTATGCATATGGCGCACGACAAGAAGCTAAGAGCCAGCAACACGCTTGTTGAAAGCTGAAGCTACCCTCAATCGCACAGTAGGTAACCCAATATACTCCTATCTAAAGTATCATGTTCCTATCCAAAGTAGGGAGGCGCGGGTCGAAGTTTTTTCTTCTCAGAAATAACGAGGCCCGCAACAACCTCTAGAAGAACACGTTCATGCTGCAACTACCTTCCACTTGCCACCTGTCGCGCAATCCACGATGACGGGGGAAAGAAGTATCGACAAGAACGAGATTAACTGTGGAAACGTGACCACTTCAGTTGAAGGCTCAAACGTAAAAATATGATGACGTAGGTACGACTTTCTTAGTATACTGGACCATCAAAGGGAAAGCACCCTTCGTGGCTGCTACCCAACAACATTCTTCCGGACGATTGGCCGTGACGGAAGACAACATGACAGAACCAAACTGACTTCAAGTATATACATAAATCGCAATGAGCTTTTGTTTTGTCCTGAATATGTCCCCGCGCAGCAACATTGAATGAGGTTTGTTTGGCATAGCCTTCATCCCATTGGAAAGCTTGGGTTCTCCATCTACGGCCAGTCCAGAAGCATCAGCACATGGGCCGTCAAGGCGTGTTGAAGCTCCTTGTCGTCGACTGGCCGATGTAAAGTGGGGATAAGCACGCTCAGGTGGTCTTAAGTAGGAAATGGAGAATGAGATGACAAAGCTGCAACGCTTCAGGACAGGCAGGGGAACACATTGTATCTCGGTTCTTCGGCCACAAGGAGACCAGTGGACCTTCCCTCTGAATGGAAGACTACGCAAAGGACTGCACTACACTCAGTGACCAACTCATGCTACCTATCTCAGAACAGGCTGGAAGGGCACAAACTTCTTGTTGTCTATCCATTCGTTCCTTGGGGATGAAAAGTGGCACAGTGAACAGGCGAGCGAAAAGAATCTGATACGCCCGGGTAAGCGGACGCCTGTGTAGTATTGACCGATTCCATTGTTGCTCCGTAATCACATGCTTTCTTTCAGCACTGCACCACGTCCTGCCATGTTCCACGATGAAGTCCGTTGCCCTTTTGCCTTTCTCTGCCCACATCACTCGTGCTTTCCGTTTTGTTGAGGCGGCGAGACCCGGGATGTTGCCATTGGATAAAGAGCGCAGCATTGCATATGTTGTGCTGATTCAGGAGATGGGATTCTATCGGCCATTGGAGGGACCCACAGTGGAGCTGACTGGATCAAGCGGCTCTCGACGGACAATGAAGTCAACACCCGGCCTGCTACTCTGGCCGCTCCTGATCCTGCGTGGACCCCGATGAGGAGCACGGTAGTATGCTGGAATTGTCGAATCTGGGTATGCATCATTGTCTCCGGCAGGCTGATGGCTGGTTTGTATCCAAGTCCATGCCTGAGTGCCAATGGGTTGCAGCTGTGGACGCGGACCACAAGTGACGGTCGTTGAAGGTATTGTCTCAGGGGCTCTTGTCCCTCCAGAGACCGTATTTTGGGGTTCGCTGCTGGCAGCTGCTCGATTCTCGTCAGGTAGGACAGGTCCATGGCTTATGAATGGTGACTCATTATCCCCTGTCGATCATGTCAGCGCGGGCTTGGTTCTCTTGGACAGAGCAGCACTGAAGGAAGTACCCTTCTCTGCTTGTTCAGTTTTATGGCTTGGACTATTTTCTGAAGATCTACTCCCAGGTGGCGGCGAAGGGCTTGGTGACCGCTTGGTTTTGCCAGCACGCAATCCATCAGCACGCTGTGAGGGCAACATGGTATCCTTGAAGGCGAGGAGATTGCTAGTATTGCTGCGAATCGTTGTATGCTCGTGCAAAAACACGCCGAGGTGGCCTGAAAATCTCTAGTGAGTGGAGGTTTTCTGGTGGAGGAAGGACCGGTGCCTTTGGATTAGGAGACGCAGCGTTTCCACAGCGTCGAAGATTCCCAAATACGGAGCTGGTCTGGAGGTTTTGAACGAGCAGTAAGACCGCGAAGTTTTTTCGTGTAGATATGGTCAGTTGTTTGTTGCTGTGACAGCGTGCATAAGCTCTACTGCCTTCGGCTGGGCGCTTCCGTATCAAAGCAAGGTTTCTTTTGCCACAGCGCGGGTCACCGCTCATTCATTCTACATCTGTTACACAAAAATTTAGAGCATCAGGATACACTGCCACACCATCACCTTACGCTTTCACAATCTCTATCCTTCCCATTCTTCAACATAAGCCAATCTTCGAACGAGACGAGTCCTTCCACGTCTGCAAGTCTCCTTCAACAGACCCTCATTCGGCTACAGTGATACGAAACAAGACCCCTTAGCTCCGCCATCTACGCTGCAACAGAGCCACTGCTCTAAAAGAACAATTTCCTTTGAACAGCAATCTATCTGTGCTCCCAAAGGGTATTTCCCTTTTATCAACGTCCGTGCTGCGGTATAGGCCTTGCTAACAGCTCGTAGGTTGTATCCTGCTCCTTTTTCCTGCTCCCTTTTCCATACCAGACAACCCTCTCCCACACGGATCTACCTCCTATCATCATAACGATCCAACGCCATTTGGGATACCCCGCCCCCGGGCTACTATTCAAACCCTCAGCACTCTTACACTCGTCCGTACCGTTGAGATCATTGACAACCCACCGCGCCAAGTATCGAACAGAGTATGCTGCACCAACGGTCTGATCCCGGTCATATCTAACACTAGCCAGGCAACAGCTCGACCTTTTCCTACAATGTCGACAGCTCACAGCTACGAGGGTCGCTTCTCAAGTTCCTGTGCATTCAATGAACTTGAGTCGCACCTCGGAAACCCGGAGGACGTGGCATTACTCTTCAATTCGATTCCCAAAACCCCTAAAAGTTCCGACGAACCTGCGTCCGAAGCCATCTTGGGGTTTGCGATCGCAAAGGGGATAAAGTCCACGATGGAATGGCGTGCACAGGAGGCATCCCGAAAACGTGAAGTCGAGCTGGCAGAAGAGGCCTTGCCGTTTCGCAAGAGAGTGCTGGCGAGGTTGCGCAAAATGTACGAAGGCTTGGTGTCGCGCTTGAAGCACTAGGACCGGGCTTGCTATCCCACTCGACCATCCCTACATCCTTCACGAGCCTGTCCTCTCGCTTCGTTTGCATCACCGGACCATCAAAGATCTTCTATTCTAGGCGCAACGAGCCCGCGAGTCACAACACCTTGGTACGATTTGGGGGAACCCGTGGCAAGTCGGATGGACATACAATGGGCATTTCTAGCATGAAAGGGAGCAAGATTGTGGGCAGCGGTCTATGGAGGGATGATTGCTGTTGGCTTTCTACCAAAATACATCGGAGGAGGAAACGTGCATGCGTGGTACTGTTTGTTCTTTATCTATGGTGGATCCTAGATGCTTGCTTTGTTCTTCTTGCATGCGATATCAATCATGGTATTCTAGACCTGTTCTAACTTCATAACTTCCACTACCAAGTTCCTCGACACATCTCTTATAGCGTCCTGTCAGCCCTTGGGGGCCGGCTCTTGACAATCACAGCTGATTCCTCCTATCACTCGCTCGTAGTATAGCCTGTGAAGCTTGGGACTAACCAGCATCGAATTCATCGCTCGCCAGTCCTGGCAACAGCGGACTTTCGATAGTTTAGACCTTCTGTATCCCTAAGGCCAACGCACTAACGCTCCACCAACCACTCTAGACTAGACTGTCTCGGCTTAGAAGCTCGGTGTAATGACACTCCATCTTTCCTACCATCTACGCCGACCGGCGTTCTTCCAAAACAACAAATGGAGACACCCTAGGAGATGAGACTTAGACTCGACGTTTTGCGGCAGGTGGGGTTTAAGGATCAGTTGAGGAGGGCCGGAGAATAGGGGAGCAGATTGATACATTGCTGGATCACCCATCAGCTGTGTCGGAAGGTCGGGCATCGGTTCTAAACCGTGTGTCTTGGTTGTCCGCTACATGTCTGGTCTCTCACCACCACAATCCTTTGGCGCTCAATGCTCAAACTTGGTTCGGAGCCTGGTTTTGTGCCGTCGGCTCGCCCTTCTGTACTTGGCGGCTGACGGGTTTTTTAGACTCTGGGCCTTATGCGTGCTCGCCGAGATCAGGTTCCTCTGCTGCTCTTGCTCCTCTGGCTCCTCTCGCCGGTTTGGGTCTCCTTCCTGCTGCTCCTCCTCCTCCTCCCTCCTCTGGCATACCCTGGCATACCCTGAGCCCTAATCTACTTCGCCTGGGACGATCGCCTACGCCAATATCCACAACTCGAAGATACGCTCTCCCTGATCCAGCTCTGCTGGTGCATGACTGTTAAGAAACTCCAGTCTACCAGACAGGAGTACGGGGTTAAAGCTGCTGGTCCTGCGGCTAAGGAGCAGGAGCGGAAATGGTGGCGAATGTGAGGGCTGTCTCTGGGAAGGGAAGAGAGGGGGGGCCTTCTGCGGTTTGAAGAGGGGGCTCGTTGAGCGAATGGATGGTGGCTTTGAGTATTCGGGTTTAGTTTGACTACGATGGAGGTGTGGTTGAGAGGATCGGGAGCCGAGGGGAAGAAATGGGGAATAGGAGGTTGGGAGAGGGGGATCAATGATACAGGAGAGAGAGGTCAGAGGCTGTTGCATACGGAGAAGGGAAGCAGGCGGACAAGATTTTGGGGAGCGGTGTCGGCGGTGTGCTGGGTTGGGTTGGAGGGTTTGAGGGTGGACGAGAGGCCAGTGCCAGTGCTACGGTCGATTGTCCAAACGCTGGCTCCGTCCTTGGGGTCTGAGTGCTGTTGGCGTTTGGAGAGTCTTGGATTGAGGGTATAGGTGATTTACTGGATAGACGGGCTCTGGGTGATTCGAGGCAGGTGCTCTACTGCTCGTGACTTTGGGGTTCGAATGGGTTGTATTGTATCGTAAATCCAATCAGCTAGATTTATGAGTGATATGGAATTGATATGTGCCAACGCAGTTGCAGCTATGTCTGGTTTCCAGACGATTTGCTGTTCTAATTTCTAGTACTGCCAGAGACCAGAGTGTCTGGAAGAAAAGAAAAGGGGCTCTTAGACGGGAACTGCCGGGGCTTGTTACGATTTGGAAAGAGACAAGGTGTGGCGAAATGACGCTAGAGGTTCTTGGGGTGGGCAGTAAATGCTTGTGAGCGTTCATGCTCTCGTGACAATGCAGCAGATATCAGGACAACGGACGTAGGCGTGGATGGCATGCAAGAGACATAAGATGTGCTGGCTTTGCTTGCTTATGTACAAGACAGTTCAGGAAGGATTGTTGGCCTCTCTTTCCTTTCTTTTCCTTCCCTTTCCCTCTAGCCCATTTCCCCCTCTTTTGTGTCTTGCTGCTGAAGAGGAAAATACCATCAACGCTTTTGTTCTTTCTTTTGCTGGTGATGAGGTTGAGCAGTCATACTGTGTTCAACAACGAACCACGGAAAGCGTCGGCTGCATGTGCTCTAACCACCGGCAAAAAGGAACCCTTTGCAACGCCAGATTTTGTTAGCTGTGAACAGGATCTTGCCACGTTGATTGCAGGTGCGGCTCTTACTAGACGTCTTCCAACTTGGCATCTTCATCGGGAAACCACTTGAGACCCTCCCCATCCCGCACCGGAGTTGTGTGCGCCGCAGGTGCCTTCACCGGCGCGGTCTTCGAGCTGGAAGCGGGCTGCTTCTCTGGCTCGATGGCTTTAGGCAAACAGAGAAGACCTTCCACCACTGCCGTGGCGGCTGGAAGTGCGATGAGTACCTCCTCGGCCGCGGTTGTCGAGCCGGAAGAGGGCTCTATCTTCGGCTTCATGGCGGCCGGGCTGCCATTGTGCGATGGGCTTTCCTGTTCTAGAGACTGGGACGGTCGTGAATCCCCGTAGCTGGGCATTGGCCGTCGTCCACGGCCCTTCCTTCCGGCGGCTCTACGAATGCCGCGTCGAGAAGATCTTGTGGGCATTGTTGAAGCCCGAGGAGGGTTGGAGGTGGGGTTGAAACGGTAGGGACCCGTTAAGCCGAGACTTATGGGTTGTCAGTGATCATTCACTCTCTTGGAACATGCGTCCTTACTCATTACTGCCCTTGCGGGCCTCATTGGCAAGGTAGAAGCCGCGGAGCTTCTGAAGGAGAAGATCCGCGATGCGTTGTGGTGTAAGAAAGGTGCGTTTGTTGAGCTGCTGGCTGTGCATGAACGAATCTAGTTGGCCCCACGTCTTGACGTGTTTACCAGCCGGGCCAAGCAGATCCATCACGGATTTTGCCAAATGGAGACCCTTCATGGCCTCCAACATCTCTGCGTAAGTAGTGAACGTGCCGGCCATGGTAAGGGACTGGTGGAATGACGCTGGTGTTGATGAAGGGGATGCTTGGTTCTGTTGCTAACAATGTCAGCCAGAAGGCGTCACGATTGACTGAACTCGAAGTCAAAGGGATGACTAGCCAGAGCGACTTACTCTTGAAGGACACGGTAGGTACTAGGGTAGAAATTTCGGGGTGCTTCTGATGACCGAGGTGTGTTCGGTTTCGGTGAAGCTTTGTGCGAATCCGGTGACTCGTGCAAATAAATGCCAAGACCCTCAAGCCATTTTTTCTTTCATCTATGTGCTCTTCCGTGGATACCGACATTCTACTTCTCCTGACCCGATTACTTCTTTCGTGCCTTTCATTGTCTCTAGATAGTGTTACAGATGCTTCTTTCAGTCCGCGGCATCTCACGCACACATCGAAAGCCAACACGGATTGCAGCAGCTCTTACACTCGGCTTAGACGGCTCCTGGTTACAGAGAAAGAGCTACATGGACATATGCGGCGGCCCAGTAGTCACGAAAAGTCACGGACATTTAGCACGCTGAAGCTGCCTTCTGGCTCTTCATGTGCGCTTATTCAAACGTACACAGAGCAAAAGTCGATCCAGCCGCATCCTAACTATCGTACTTGTAATCGACGACGTCGTCCCCATCTTGGTACTCGCCTTCGCGTTCGTAATCAAGGGATTCGAGGCAGGATGCGAGGTATTCAGCATCGGAGACATACCCTTGAACCAGTCAGCAGCGAACTTCTAGAAGATGGAGATACTAACTCACAGTTATGGCTTGTATCCGTATCCGTATCCGTCCCGTCAGTGCTGCTGTCCGGCTCCTCGGCGTTGTCTGCCTCTCCCGCCCCTTTAGAATCCTCCTTTGGCTCATCCGCATCGGCTTCGTAGCCGCTATCGTCCCCATCGACCTCGCTGCTGCTCACGCTTTCACGGCTTTCGTGCATCGCCGGTGCCGTTATGCTGCCGCGAACTTAGGCTATGATTAGCACGCGTAGGTACGGAAGCATGGTTGGGAATGACGCACCGTTTCGGGCGATAGCGTTGACGAGTATGATCTTCGTCAACGTCTCCAGGGGCGCGGATGATCGGATGCCGTAGACTAGAGAAGAAGGGTTAGATTAGGTGCGTGCCAATTTGTCAAGGGTAGTATTCTACCGATCCGAGCGATGAAGTTCAGGGATGCGAGAGTCGTTCTCGCCTTCTCTGCTGTTGAGGAGGACATCATTGTGGACGATGTTTGTTCGAATGTGGCGGGTTGAATGGAGATTCCGTGATGCCTTCAAAAAAGCAAGAGGTATGCCGCGCGTCTTTGTCGAGCCGTAGGTTGGGTAGTGAAAGAGGGAAGAACGGGAAGAAAAGTTTTCATTCGTGTTTCCTGGGTGGCAGGGAGGGAATTGTATTGAAAGGACCCGTCGCGGGTATATTACAACGATCGGACCGGATTGAGCCGAGACTGCCTTCTGCTTTCTGGTTCGGTTTCCACGCAACGGTATGTAGTAAGAGCAGGAAGTTCTGTTCGTTCTTTCAACCAAAGAGTAAATATTGGAGACTTTGCTGACAGTTCAAACAGTTTTTCTCCTTCAGTAGTTGCAACGCCCACCGAGTTGAAAACTTCTCTAGGATGGCACTGACGCCTTCCCTTCCCTTCCCTCCTGTCCGTTCAGCGAACATCTCCGTTTTACCGACGACGACCACGTTCTTGCCCCTGCCTACGACGGACCGGGTTACGTGGGAGGAATGTTGGCAGAATGAGCTGCTGTGATGATGTTAGACAACTTGAAGAAAGAGATGGGAGGAATGGCTCACTGTATGGAGATATTGGAAAGAAGGGCCGTGTGTAAAGAGATGAAAATGGCTGGGAGTTCTGTGGCGGCCAGGCACTGGTTCCGAAGAGGCGCGAGGGACCTTTTCCCCCTCCGCACTGCGGTCTGTTTTCGTTAAGGACAGTACGCTGCCCAGGTTCGTCGCGGATGAGATACGGAGACTGCTGGTTCGAGAGGAGAGGCGGTGGAGGGGTGCTTTTAATCATCAGTCCTGGCTTTTGCTGAACGAGGGAGCATGTTACATGAAGATTGGGAAGGAATGTAGTTCAACGGGGCTTATAGAATAGATGGGCTGATAGGCCGTGATACAGTCTATGTTGGTGGTCTTGATTGACTGCGTTTCTGCTGTGACCGTTTCTCTCTTTCTATGTTCATATATTTACTTACGTCTTTTTTGAACGTGTTGCAGGCTGCTGCTGCCCCTGGCTCGAACTCCTGGGCTAGTAGTACAGAGGGATACCCAAGCTGTTATGTATATTTTTAAGAGTCTTCGATGTACCAGTCTGAAGCTTAGCTAGTCGACTTGTTGGATCATTGCAAGCTCAATTATCTATAGATAGGAATGTGAACATAAAGGGATACAGATAGATTGCCATTGCTTTTTGTTTTGGGCTGCTTGGTGGAAAGAGGTGATGGTCAAGTCAGCATTGTATAAAAGAACCAAGGACAAAGACATGATATTGGAACATATCTTTGCGCCCGCGTGGCCAGAGTAGCGTGAGATACGGCTAAGACGAAGGCAGGTAAGTGGGTGCTATTACGTAATTGAAATGTCAAGGTAAGGTGGGGCGAAACAGGCGCTAAGGGTGTAGATTGCCGGCATTTCAGTAGGAAGACTTGATGTTTGTCATGCTTCAAAGACATTGCTGTCCGTGGAATCACATTCCCTTCAGATTGTCACTGGAGCACAGATTGGGTAGGCTCAAGCTGTTGTCATGGCGAAGTTCTGCATGAGGGTTCATTGAGTAGACAGTTTGACATGGTGCCTTGGAAGATGACCACGTGGTGTTTGCCCTATCATATCCCTTGCCTATCATGCCATTGATGGACCTCATCTTTCGCGCCTGAAGTGCTCATCCTCCAATCGAAAAAGCAAAACTTTTGAGCATAGACAGCAGCCACATAAGCATGGCATGCCGTCGCTCCGCAAGCAGTATGTTCCTCCCCTTGGGGACCGATGACTAAAGAAATGAAAGCCGAGGATATCCATCGAGACCCCAACCACTACTACCCTCGTTTGGTGAATTATCCCTGTTGCTTGTCTTTTTGTCGGTCGGAAGGATAACGTAGGTGGCAGAGGCAGGGGTTCTACAGGCATTAGCGTCCTCTGTACGGCTGTTTAGAAGCGTCTAAGTACTCACCAGTGGGTGTTGGCTCAGATTAGGGCCCAGGGATCCGGCCTAGGGTTCAGCAACGCCTCCCTCATGGCGTAACCATGGTCGACGCCATTGGCGTCGCGATAGTCCCGGACAGGCGGTGCCTCCGGGAGAAGATGCTCTTACTCTTGGCCGACGGTGGTGGCTCGAAGACCATGGTCCATTGGATTTTCATCCCTTCCTGCCTTCTCGACATCGGTATTGCGGCTGAGAGGGGTGAGGATTTTGTTATCAGTGTCATCAGTGTCATTGTCGTCGTCGTCAGTGTTGTCCGTTTCACCGCCAGCAATCGTGCCGATCTGGACCGCTCTATGCGCGACGTTAGCAGATAAATCGGTACGATGTGAAGGGATGGTCATACTCCAGGGCTCTCGTTAGCTCCTCATTGAACTTCTTCATCTTGTATGCGTCACGCAATTTCTGCATGACGCTTCTAACGAGGTCAGGATCCAAGGAGGTGGCGTTCTTCTTCATGTAGGTGTCCACGTCACCCCATGTGTACAATGCTGAACCGTCTGTCCCTAACATGACTTGGACGTCATTCTTGATCTCGACGTCTGTCATCAGCTTCAGCATGTCAGGGAGGGTGTCCTGCTTGGATTCCGGCATTTCAAGCGACTTTTGCTATGATCCTGTGTGGTAAAGATGGCTAAGTGCAGATAAAATCTGTTCCGTGGTGGGTGCGAGTTCTGTGTAGAGTGTCTGGTGGATTCTAGATGTATGTGGGTGAGTTGCAGCTTTGTGTGAAGGCTCTGGTGATCTTGTACCAAGCCAAGACCGAAGCGAAGCGCTAAGGCTGTAAGGAACTCCGTACGCTTCTGGATCGGAGGACCCTACTGCTTTTGAAAGACCCTTCCAAAGCCGCCAATCCTCCTCCTTCAGTCAGAACATTGCTGCAGATGTCGGGACTATGTCTAGGGCATATACGAACGTCGATCGAAAGCCAGGCCATTTATTTAGCACGTCCCTGCTGCCAGTTGCCAAGTGCAGTCCTTTTCATGCCCCCGCTGACTGCCTCACTAGTCTTCCACATCCTACAAGCAACGGGCTTGTAGCCCGCTAACCACAACTTTTGAAGCAACCGTTGCACCCTACACCTCAAGACTCATGACTTTGCTACAGTCCTCCAGGCTGATATTGTAAAAGAGCAACTGCGAGTTAGCGCTGGAAAATACTATGGAAGTCTAAATCAAAGTGTCGCCGCGAGAGCTTAGCACTATGGCTACAGACACGCGAACACCTTGGGTGACTGTTCTCAAAGCTCGACCAACAGGGCGACGTGTGGGTGCTATTGTGGAGTTTCTCCCCCATCTCTTCCTCTGTTCCGAACGCTGACAGCTTACGGCTTTGTTCAATTAGACGTCTCCAAGCCCCCTGTGAGCCGCTCTATGGACGTAAGGTCCCCTTTCCAGCAAGCCATCTCAAGACCTCTCATACTCAAGAGCCATGTCTACCACTACTTCAACAGCAAGACACGCTCTCTTGGAATTACAATGATACAGCAGTGGGAAAGGCCGAGCGGTTGGGCTCGAACCACCAAGCCATCTATGTCCTTATAAAGGTACCTCGACCCTGGTGCGGGTTCTTGAATGGGTTGATTAAAAGCTTAGAAAGGTGAAAGATTCTTTCTCAGGTAGAGTCAGGTCTAAGGGTGCTCTAGGTCCTCCAGATCGAGTTTTGCGAAAGCGAGGAAGCTGATTTTGGACAGGTCTTACGCTTTCCAACCCACGAACACCGATGTATTGCTAGTCCTTCTATTTCTCCCTCCAACTCTCTCTCCCTCTCTCGCTCCCTCCTTCGACAAATACTCTGGTGTTCAACAGTCACGCACAGTTTGCTAAGCATAACGATCTAATAGGCCGGTAAATCACCAGAAAACCTTCTACAGAAGCGACAGTTGAGAATTTGATCTGAAGGAACTACATCCTCCCTTCAGCTGGAGAGGCTGCTTTACCAGAGCATACTACTTTGGGTCGCTCAATGGAAGCACTACATGCTCAAAATGTCGCCGCCGTCCTTGTGAAAAGTTGCGCAGGAAGGGGATCATGTGAGGAAAGAAGTGGGATATCAGGTACTATGCCAAGGGTGTTCGCTTTCTACTGTCTAAGTACGCGACCGTCTACTTGAAAAAGAGAAGCGATACATCGACCCCCTCCACTCCCCTGGCTTTCCCATCCGGATACGGCTAGGGTACACTTCCTGGTACGATAGTGTCAGATCCCGCACCGCATGATTTTTAAGTGCATCTTTCCGGTCAACACGAGTATCTACTGTCGATGTTCAATCAAATATTTGAGGCATTTAGTATCTACGAGTTTGGGCGCACTCTACAGATTCCAACATAGGGCTCTGAAGCCCCCCCCCCCCCCACCTGGATACGGCACCCGGATGCGGATGGGTGGACTTATGATGTCTCGACAGAGGGCTGTATATGTTTTCTCCCTTTGTGAAGAAAATGTATGTAGAATCGTTCGGGGAAGTTACTGCGATAGCATGTCCCTATTTCAATGTATGAAGAGGTTTGGTAAATCCGGGGAGCTTGATCAATCTTAGAAACTTCACATTTTGAAGGTTCATTCCAGACGGAGGCCAATGTATACCTCTGTCAGGAATGAACGACAATCCAATTTGAATTTCTCCACAACTCTAGGGTGTCTGTGGCTAAAAAAGGTTCTTTTTTCAAAATTTGAGGGGATCAAACCCATGAATTCAGGGTATATTCATTCCCGTGTTGGTCTTTTGGGGGAATCCCGGCTGTACACACAATATACTGCCGCCAAATGTAGGGCAACTTGCCCATGCGAACATGTGATCTTCAAACTCGGAGAGCACTACGACCTTGCCGTCTCAAGCGTCCGATCCCGTCGAGTTTGCATTTCCCAACACCAAATTCCCCATTTTCGCTTTCGTTCGCGAGGCTTGAAGCCCGGAAGGTGAAAACGATTCTGCCACGGTGCTGGCTTTTTTTGCATCTATTTGGGCTTTAGTATCTCGAGTTTGGGCGCCGTTCCTGGGCTTGAAGCCGGTGGCTGGCTTTGTGTCTGACATGGTATCTTTTCTTCTTTGTGTGCGCTACTCAAGATCCTTGAGAGGTAATCGTGTTTTTTTTTTTTTTAAAAAAAATTTTTTTTTGGGGGTTTTTTTTTTTTTTTTTTTTTTTTTTTTTTTTTTTTTTTGTGTTTGTTTTTTTTCAAATATATTGGAGGGGGGGAAAAGATGTGATGTGGTCCAGAGAGATGGCCATTCTCGTTTGCACAATCTGAATGTTCCCAAGTTCGTGTCCAGTGGTGTTTGCAAGTTGCCGGAAATACTTTCTTGATGATTCAGCAGCGAAGAGTCAGTAGTGAAGAGCTTTCATTTAGGAAATATGTAAGAGTGCTATGTCAAGCTAAATGCGCCGCAAGCACCATCTTGCAATAAGCTCTTTGGCTTCCATCGATAGCGCACCTCTACGGCCGAACAAAGAAAAGGATACTCTTCAAAATGATTGACACAGATCCTATACCAACAACACACCTCATCCGTGGTTTTCATTGGACGTGTTCAGGACAGGAGATCTTGCGTGAATGTAAGAAGACTGATAACACCGCATCTGGTTGAGAGTGTCGTGGACTCGTCGAGGGTGATGAGGATATATAACATGGCTCTTATACTTAAACCCAGTCTTCCGCTTTTATACCACCGATCTTCTTCGTACTACTCAGTCCATCGTCGTCCACCTGCTTAGATACCGCTGTCTTCTTAGTAGCGTCCATGAGTATACCAGGAGCTTTCGAGAACGCCGAAATCCCAGCATCACCTTCGCTGCCGCTCTATCAAACGGATGTCAGTGAGATGGTGGAGTGTGATGACACTGGGCGTCTCCAAGATGAAGGGGCTGTCAAGCGGGAAGAGTCAAGGTGTGTAATTTGTTTTTGCCTCGTTTGAAGATTCCGTTGGAGAGGTACTGATGTGGACGTAGCACACCTTCTCGCTTCCAAAGTCGCCTAGGCTCAGGCTGGCTTGGGAAATGCTATGGGTCGGTGAAAACGCTCGTCGGCTCTAACGCCAAGGGAGGCGATCGGGATGTAGAGGCCGCTGTGACTGGTGGAAATGAACCGATGACTGGTTCTATGCTGGAGCGAACAGGCATGATGAGGGAGATTGCCCATCGCACCCAGAACAATGACGCGCAATCAGATGTGTGTGAAGTCGAGAGTTACCATACCGCTGTCGACACAGATCATCAGTCTCCAGTTCGCCACGGGCTAGCAAGCCTCGCCATCGGATCAGACTCATGTCCTCGTCTTCTCTCCGATGAAGAAAACGAGCGAATGAATAGGAAGATCGACAGACTAATTGCCGCCATCGACCATCGTCGTCCCATTCACTTCGCACCCGATGCCGAGACAGGTGAAGTCGAAGTCTTTGCGGATCAATACGGTGAAGTGATCGATCAGGCTGAATACGAGCTGGAGCAGAATATCGCCGCAGCATCGGAGAGTTTCGGGAGAGTAATCAGATTTGGTGACGGGACTCGTCGCATGAGAAGCCCATATTCACTACGATATGCTGACTCGACTGATTCCTGGGCTTCGACGGATTCGAGGAAATCTTCGTCTAATGCGTGGGAGAGGGCGATTGCTGCTGCGAATATTCGTTTCGCGCTCGGGCATGGGACGTTGGATTTAAAGGCTACTGTCATCAGACAGCCATTTCGCAGCTCGGAAATGCAACCAGAGGCACGTCGGGGCCGGGGTCTGGTCCGTACGATCTCGCCAATTCCACTGGACTTCGATAAGCCGCTACGGACGTCGACGCCGTCGATTCACAGCAATGGCAGTGAGCAGGATACCTCTTCACCGCTGTTCGAGAAGTCTTGTGAGCGTATTTGTCGGGAGACGTATGCTGAGCCGCCGGGCCCGACGTTCCGACGTGAATTTCCGGAACATTCACAGCTGGATCAGTGGGCATTTGTCTCCGAGCCTCGTGACGAGCCTTCGCGTGAAGCAAAGGCGCCTGCTAGCACCGGCAGAGCATTTGGGGTTTTTGCCGACGTCTCGAATGGTGTATCGTCATCGAAGAAAATTGGGAAGCCAGCCATTCGTTCCAAGGCGCTCAAAGACATCTCGAATCTGAGACGTCTTGGGCATTTAAAGTTCAACAGCTTTGCAAAGGACTCAAAGTTGGCAACAGATCAGCCAGTTACCACTGTCCCGGCCACAACATCTTCATTCGGTTTCGGAGGCGCATCTAGTCCGGAATCCAGGAGGGTATACATCAATACGAAGTGGCCAGGGCTGTTGGAAGATCGCGGTATGGCAGAGTCTCCTAGGCTCGATGGAGCGGCTCGTCGACGCAACGAGCAAGCAATCGGACATCCAATCGACACATCGCACTATTCACTGTCGCATGTGAGAACTTCGGTGGCAGATTCGTCACTGAACGCAGATCCCAATCGGCAGGCGCATTTCGATCTGGCCTTGGCGAGATTGGAAGGTCGCGCTCTGCCTCCACCACCGTCGCCGATTCACCGACATCCGGATTCGGCGGCACTGTTTGATCAGGACATTCAGATTGAGGGAACGAATCGTCCCCTTCCACTCCGTGGCCCTATGCCCAGTAGGATTGCGAATTCGACACCGTATCGGGCTTTCTGGCGCTATTTTGTTGGAAAGGAAGGGCGGGGACATTGAGCATAGGCGGGTATGAATGCGCGGGTGCTGAGTGTGTTGCCTCCACCCGTATCGAGAGCTTATAAGATTTCCAAAGGACCATTGGGTTTTCAATGACGGTGCACGGGAATAGGCAACTGCAATTCGCGTCTCACTAGCTCACCTACTTTTGCAAGATATTGTTCATGTTTCTGAAGATATCTTAATGGGGAGATAATGGTGGATCTCGAATGTTGGAAAAGGCCGGGCAACTTATTTGGAGGAAATTTGCTAGAGAAGTGGTTGGACAGGTTAGATGGGCGGGATCTAGATTGAAGGTTCTTGCTTTCCCTTCCGTGAGGCCCAAAGCGGAAAAGACTCGTACCAAGAAACTTTGCGTTAAAATAAACCTTCACCCTAGTACCTCTATGAAGATCTATTGCTGTCCAAGGATGTGACGTACCATTCTCACATTGTCTTGGGTTGTGGTCGTACACAATACTGTGAAATGTATCGGATCTCAATGAAGGGAAAGCTGTACCAAACTTTGCGAGAGACTTTTGAGGGGGTTTAGAATAGTAGATGCAAGGCTGTTGCTTTGTTCTGTTGCGGTCGCGTTTCGTATGCCATAGGTGTTGAAGGCTTTGTTGCTGTTGTCCGTCCACCCTCCACAAAGAAACTAGAGCTAGTCTGAGACTAGCCGATCTGTCCGGCTAATCAAACCTAGGTTTGTGTTTAGCTACTGTAGTGCGGGCGAGGCACGATGGCCTCTCTTGTGGATATCAATCTTTGTAAACCCATATGGCTGAAGGTCAAAAACACGCTTTACCAATCAGACGTGGGTGGCCTCAAAGTCCTGCATCACCATCGTCATAGCTCTTGATGACGACTACCCGTGAAGAGTTCTGATGCGATACTGCGTTGGGAGTCCATGATGAGGCAGGGACTTCTGGAGTAAAGGCCCTCCATCGCCCCATGCTCTAGCAACACACGGACTGCAGTCATATCTCCTAGATTCGCAGCGCAATTGAGAGGTGTGTCGCCAACCAAATCCATTGCATTGACGTCAGCTCCATTCTTGATAAGCCACCGGATCGCCTTTTCTTGACCACCAGCTACCGCGGAGTGAAGAGCGGTTTTTTCTGAAATGGTCCGGGGAAAATCGACCGATGGTACGTGTTGCATGAAGAGTTCTAGGACCTTGACGTGACCGCCCTGCGCTGCCAGGTGAAATGGCATCCCGCCGGATCGGTCGCCAGAGGGCACGGTTGCAAGTGCTTCCAATGAGGGATTGGCACCGTTCTTAAGCAAAACCTCAGCCACCGCACTATGACCTGACTTTGCGGCTAGGTGTAGGGCAGTTCGCCCACTTGAATCGGCCTTGTCTTCCGGGAAACCGGACTCAAGCAACGCTCGGGTTGCCGCAGCGTGACCGTTTGTAGCAGCGAGATGGAGTGCGGTCAATCCTCCCTGGCCTGTAGATTTTTGGGCTCCTCTTTGCATTAAGGTCCGTATTACAGAGTCATGGCCGTTCATGGCCGCTAAATCGACCACACTTCGACCTGTCTGCTTATCATACGCGTCGAGATCGGCTCCGGCAACTGCTAGTACTTCAACAACAGCCTCATGTCCGTTTTTTGCGGCCAAGGATAAGGCGATGTGGCCTTGTTGCTGGGCTGAGTACTGACCAAGGCTAAGTAGATACTGCAGCACATCTACGTGCCCTGCAGCTGCAGCAGTAGTGATAGCTCTTCCGTCGGAAATATCGTACCTTTCTTGCTTTATGAGATACTTAACTATTTCAGTTCTGTTGTGACGACAAGCAATCAACAACGTTTCGTTATGGTACCTCTCGTGGTAGATGTATTCGCCGATCTCGATTTCCGTAAAGTAATGGGATGTTAAGAACGTGAGGTTACCCACTTCGGCTGCGTAGTGGATCATGGATAGATATGGCAGATCTTTAGCGACCAAACTTTCCGCACTTGGGCTTGGACATCCTACACAACCATATGGACCAAAATGTTGATTAGAACCCCATGGCCGGAAATCGAAAGCCAGTATCTTGTGCTTGACTAAGCTCTTGAGGCGACAACGGAATCCGGAATCTGATGATTGAGACCACCTGGTGTGCAGTTCCCAGTGTTCTATGGCGTAGCAGAGGAGTCGATACTTTTCTTTGAGATCTGTGGAGGGATTAATTTTCGACTTAGGCTTTGGTCTTAGGTACTTCCAATAATCAGAATCTGAGGGTCGCACGGCTGGATCCCCCCGAAGTAGTCTGAAAGGTATATTGAACATAGATCTCCTAATACCAAGGACACTGGGGATCCACAAAGGTCCACCAGATTCTAGTATACCCTTTTGTTCGAGTCGGGCGATGGGCGTGGTCGACGTGATCTGAGTTTCAAAATCGGAGAATGTGAGATACGCAACACACGCCTGTCCAGCAAGAAGATCTGCGTCCGCCACCGAGATCTCAAACAGGGGATCAACTTTGGTGGTCAGTCCGCCCGTAAGATATTGCCGGACCGTGTGATGTGCAAAATGCGCGGTCCCGTCGTCCTCATCTTTGATGATCAGGCCTCTGCAGGACTCGAACATGAGATCTTCATGTGGAAATTTTGCTTCGTCCCAGCTTTTGTCGCCTGGTTCAATGGCAACGGCTTCTTTGAGTTCTTCAACGTTGAGAGGACGTTTCGCGACTGTAGCCCACTTGAACACTTTTTGAGCCAGTTTAGCTTTCGAGGGGCTTTCACTAATCTTGATCAGGATCCTCCTGTAAGTTTCGCCGAGTCCTTCGGGCAGGTTTCTTAGTGTTTCTCGAATCATAGCGTCAGAGGACGATTCGCAAAGATCATGTAGTTGGAAGAAGACCCAGAGAAACCTTGTAAGTCAGCAATAGCCCCGAGAACCAGGAATAGCGACTTACATTCCATTTGCCCTTAGAAGTAGCTCGGAAATGATGTCTTGTCCTAGATTTAGATTGCGAATCCGCAATTCTCCGTTCTCGACTTTCGATCTGACCGATGATGTAATAAAGGCCCTGATGTCTTCAGCTGTAGCTGCAGTGGATAGTTGGACGCACGGAGAATCGTGGAGACGATGTGCAACAGGACCTTCTTCCACACAAGTTATGAATGTCTTGACATGAGACTGTCCATTGGCTGATAAATCCTTAAAAACTTTCAGCATTGCCTGCCAAACGGTCTTCTCGCATTCATCGAGTCCGTCAAAGACCATGTAAATCTGGGGGTGCAATGCGACTACTGAATAGAAGATGTCACCCAATGCGTTCTCGGCGGGTGATTTGGTTCCTCCAGCGTAGATTTGGAGAAGCTGCGACTCAATGTACTCTGGAATCTGATGATTGAGGAACAGTTGCTTCAGAAGGCTTCCTAAGATACGATCAAGCTGAAGGGTTCTCTGATCTGCATAATCACAGTAATAATATATGACGTCCGAGGGTTGACATACTGGAGCGAGGACGCCGTTCATCAAATTGTCGACCAGGTTAGATCTATGCTTCAACGTTAGCAGATTTTCGGTGCCCTTAGGAGCTCAGTGTACGTACGCAAGGATGCTTTTGCCACAGCCGGCTGACAAGAAGCTATAAGTCTTGATCTTTGATAAAGTAGCTGATGGTACCTACGTATACCACGGCAGCAAAGAAATGCGGAGTTGCCTGGCGTTATCCATTCACAATATGTGGCCTGTCGAAAGAGCCATTCACCCGTTCCAGCATGACGTAAAATCTGGAGCTTTCTATGTTTAGCTTCATAGTCGACAGCGTGGAGCATGGCGATAATCCGGAGCCGATTGTCCTCTAATAGAACCTTAGCGTCTCAAGTTTAAGACTGAAAACACTGGCACCAACCTCGCCGTTGCTTGTCAAGCTGCTTCTGGTCGGCAAGCACCAGAGCTCTAGCATCAGCGGCTTCGATCATGTTCGCCAACCCCGCTTCCTTTTCGACATTCTTCTGATGAACACGAAAGGCACTAAGTTGCTGACCAAATTGCAGGTCAAACGGTTTCCATAACAGCTTGAGTGTCACCTTCGAAGCTTTTTTCCGACACCGTAGATCAGCATCTATAGACTGCAGGCGAAATACATATCGAACTCTTTTGGACGTCGGAGCCGCAGTCAACATTTGTGTATGTGGGAGTGAAGAAGCCATGCCAAAGAAGCAGATTTCACAATCATTCTCGGCTATAGTTGACTTACTAGATGAACGCTGTCCGCGTCTGAATACCATTTTTGCATTGGTGCAGAAAGTGATGATGTCTAGGTAGGCTACCGAGAGCGCTTGAATCAGACGCTCATGGTTCGAGAACAATCTTTCATAAGTTCTGAAGCGTGGCAAGACGTCACCGATCCTTGCAAACATCTCAACAAGCTTGTCAAAGTATTTGCCAAATTCACGTGCGATCTAATAGCGAACTACATTAGCATTGTGAGACAGCATCAGATGCCTCGAAAGACTTACATGGAGTAGGACTTTGATGCTACCCCAGATCGGACCGAGAGCTAGAGCATAAGTATTCGAATAAACATCGATCGCCCCGCCGTATTGTTCAATAGCGGCAACAAAAGGCTGAAGCTTCTCCATTACGCTGCGAGTAGTGCTTTTCGTACCGTGAAATTTCTCTGCGGCCCAAGCATCATCCAAAAGAGATTGTGGTGAAGCTCTGAAATACCTCTGCTGTTCTTCTTCATTGAGGTCTTCGACATATCGATCTCGAGCTCTGTTCCAAGCATCTGATATTTGTACTTCCGAGGCCATCTTTGTGTCAGGCACGGAGAGCAACTGGAGGCAACAGAAGTGGAATGTATAGCCGATGTAGATATTGGGAATAAAGTTGTTGCGCGAATGTGGCCTTCGTCATTACGCAACCAGGACGGTAGCCTCGTCACAGATCAGGCTGATATTTCGAATGCGTCGCTTTGTTGATCGGCATCAAACCTAGAGTCCACAGCGAGCCTCGGAGTAGACTTCTGAGAACAGATTCAACACGCGTGGTGAGATCGGACAGATGTGATG